ATTAGAAATTCGTGGCGGTGTAGGACGAGTGTGCGACCAAATTAGAAATTCGTGGCGGTGTAGGACGAGTGTGCGACCAAACCCTCATAGTTTTATATAATAAAACAATCAACGAATTCATCTGATTTCCCAATTTTCGCCATTCTTATTTTTTCATCTGGCATTGCCTGATTTTCCGATTAATTTTCTGGTAATTCAAAATGGCTAAATGTCTTTCCAAAAGCAGCAGCACCCACCATACTTTGTGCGGCTTCACCGACTACTGAGATAAAATTTCTGCCAGAGGTTCCATTTGGAAATAAAAATGTTTATAGGAGCAATTGAATCCCACTTTTAATGGAAAATTTACTCCCATCAAAAACAAAAACCATGATCCTTCACGCGACTTATCACACGACCAGCGTTCCATCTTTCCAATTACACTGCATATTTCCAATTAGGGATGCCTTTTGAAAAAGGCGGAGCGAAGAACCATGAACAAAGTAGACAACGAGTCCAGCATTTACAAAAAAAACTATTCCAAAGTCTAACATCAAAAGACAACAATGTTGAAAATATTCTCATCACACCAAACAATAAAATCGCAATGCACTGATAATAATCAGTATGTGGGAAATGCAGGCAGCCTGGCTGAGTGATGAAGTTATATCTATTATTACGCAAATCTCACAAGCTGTGTTTTATTATGGGTGCTTTAATAGTGCTTTTCTGTCAGCTTTTATCATATGCTATTTTATAATTTTATAAATTTCTTTGGAATTTTGTTCATAACGAAATTTATTTCCGACACATATTTTATTATTATTTATTTTTATTATATTATTATTATATTATATTATTTAAATTTATATTATTATTAGTGTATTATTTATTTTTCACTGTGGCGAACATAATTGTTTTACTTATGAAGCTTTTAACCAACTTTTATTAATTTAATATTTATAGAAATGCATAAATTATGGTAGCAATAAATGAGCTTTCTTTCAAACACCATAATAAAATAAATTATCATAGCAAAACAAACACGAGATGATGAGCCAATAAACAGATTATAGTTTTAAATATCTTTAGTCCACAGCTTAAAGGTCCTGTCGAAACTGACGCTAGCAATCCATTTGCCATCAGATGATATATCAACTCCCATCACTTTTGTATCATGGCCCATCAATTTTTTTAAAGGCTTCCAGCCATTTGTTTCCCAAACCTAAAAAATTTTGAAATGATGACATTTGAAAAGATGACATTAAAACAGAAAAAAATATTAATTACCAAGAACCACTTACCTTAAGTGAATTATCATAAGATGAGGTGATCATATACTGACCGTTTCCTTCAATTCGTAATCCTGACACTAATGATGTATGAGCTGCGATAGGTTTTATAGCACGTCTTATACGCAGATCCCACACCATACAACTATTGTCAGCTGAACCAGTTACCATTTGATACCTACATCAAATTATTGATATAATTTGTTCAAATAAGAATATAAGGAAAACGTTATTTAATGCTTTTTAGAATATTATTCACCCATTAGGCATCCACTGACCACAGTAAATCTCTTTTTGATGACCTTCCAGAAACATTATACATCGACCTGTTCGCAAATCCCACACACGCCCATAACAATCCATGCCCCTGCATTTAACTGTATTATTATACCATATTGTAACTGAATGAAAGAAACAGAAAATAATATTTTGAAAAGCGAAGATTAAATTAAATAAGATTATAATAAAACAATAGTTACACTGTAAGAATCAGTGAACCATCAATCTGAAAATCAGCATGGAAAACAGGTTTACTATGTCCTTCCTGGAAAAGAACTTCAGTTTCATAATCGACATCAAACAAACGCCATGAACAATCAAAGCTGAAAAGAAAAAACTTTAAAAATATAAAAGTATATATACACATATATATATATATATATATATATATATACACATAAAAGTACATTCACACACTTTCTTTTAAGAAAGGCTCACCAACAGGTTGCAAGGAATCGACCAGATGGATGGAAAGCAATTTTCGAAACTCTCTGAGAATGGGGTTCAAGTTCAGATAGTGGATTATCAGTTTCAACACTCCATAGTTTGACACTTCCATCATAACCACAAGTAGCCGCATTAAGTGCATACGGTTCTTGCGATATATATGCTCCTGGATGAAATCGGGCACATCCAGCTTGTCGATTATGAGCAATATAATGCCTTTCTCGAATACAGTCGGGTATAGACCAAATACAACATTCACCAGACCTTAAATGAAAATATACTAAATTAGAAATTTCGTGTGTGTTTACTTTTCTAAAAGAATCTATTATATTTGCGCTTTAAAGCTACAATGTATTTATTTTATTTTATGGCTATGCAAATCGAAAATATAAGAAATATACCATCCAGAAGTAATTAAATGCATTGAATCTGGGGAAAATTCACAAGAAGATACAGGACGTATATCAGCTACTTGTGAACAATATACAGACAATGAAGATATCCATCGATACATCTCTTGAGTTGCAACAGCAATCTGATGTTGTGAACGAACAGCATTTTCACGAGCCTGAATCAGAGAAGACATGATTTATCCTCTTTTTTCAATGGCATAAAAAAAGTTATATCAAAAATCTAAAATCACCTTTTTAAGCCTCTCTTTTGCTCTTGGCAATGAATAATCAGCTATTGCAATGCGAGCATCTCTTAGTGAAGCTGGACCTTTGTGGTACCATGTAGCTGAATCTCGTTGCTGCATTGTCTCAGTTTCTTCAGGACTATGCAATATTCTTGTTACCTCTTCTTCAGACATGGTAGATAAAATTGTTCTAAGACGTTCCTTTCTATCCAATTTATCCTCGCCGAACAGACCTAGAAAATGGAAAGGGGACAAATTAAATCAATGAAACCTATAAATTTCCACCATTATTTTTAAAAAATATAAATGACAGAAGACCAACATATTGGTTCATTTAATTTTCGAAGAAGCAATTTAACATGTCCATCGTCTGTTGGTAATGTTAGCGTTCTCGCACGTCGTCTCCGTTCAAACTCAGCCATAACTTCACGTTCCATTGGATTATCAACACTATCCAAATCAAAAAATTCATCATTTTTTTCATTTTCTGCTTCATTTTCAGCCTTAATTTTGTTAAAATTATAAAAAAAAAATGAATATTAATTAAACAGAAATATATTAATACATTAGTATAGGGCAATAACAGGGAAAACAATGTAACATTGTTGATACAAAAAAAAATGATTTCCCAATTTTTTTTCGTCCCTGATAAGTGCTCGTTACTTATGATTAGGCTCGCTCCGCCAACTCGTCGGAACAGACAAATTTTGCCGAGACATTTAGCGATAAAAATGTAGCCGGCATCGCTCGGATTTTTGAAAGATAGTCTAGCTTTAAATATTGGTACCAGCATTAATAATTTTTAATAACCAGTATAATCAAGAAAATAAAAAAGAAAATAATCTCACGATAAATATTTACCAACAACTTCTGTACGGTTTCCTCATTAGCCAAACTACCAAATTGAACTTTCGAATTATTCGCCGATACCGAATTTTGTTCGTCGCTCATTCTAAGCTATAAATTGAATAATTTATTTTAAAATATTTATTAAATTAGTGGAAAGCATGCAGAAACCTTTTATTGCTATTTTTTAAATTTTTAAATGTTCCAAATCTTACTTATTTCCCAAAACGAGTGGATTACCCCTTCGCAAGACAAATTGCAACAGCCAAGTGGATGGAAGCTAGGATAACCTACCAGCGATGAACGATACAAAAACACGACGGAAATAGAAAATTTTTCAAGAATATTAAAATGTAATAAAAAATTGAATAAAATACTCATGAAGCTGTGATATAGTAATGAGAAGACCGTCTACTTATATTTTGCAGATTCAAATTGTTATTCGAGCCGCAGATTTATATGAATGCGAATCGAGCCGCGAAACGTTTGGAATGTTGGGTCACATATTTTGCTCGATGAAATCGTTTTAGGGTAGGAGTGGGGGGTGTGGGGGTGGGGGAGTGGGAGTAGGGGCTTTCTGGGAGGGGTTCATAGGGGTTCCGACTGGTATTATTTTGGTGACTAAACTAATTAATTTCTCAAAATACCTAGAAATTTGCCAATATTTTTTCCAAAAAATCGACTTGAAATAACTCGGAATTTATAATTCTTATTAAATTTGTTAAGTAATTAAGTGAGTGGCGATTGGTTTTTGCTTTTGATCTGATGCGAACCATTATGGCTCAAAACGGTGATCTGAGTTACTACTATCTGTTCGTCTTTTCTGCTTCTTTTTGTTAAGTTTGTTTAAGAAAATGAATTAATAGATTTGATAATTTTTTGCAATTTCAGCGATATAGCGATTGTTGCTAGGAATATGAGAAATGCGGACGATGTGCCCGTTCATCATTTAGTTGTCGATAGTGGTGCTTTTATTAAGCAAATTCCTTTACAGGTTCTTTTCTTGTTTATTTTTTTACCGGCATTAATTTATTTTAATTTGCTTTCTGTTATTTTTTCTGCATTGGATTGCTTAGTGACTCACCTTTTGTTCATACCTCGTCCATTATCAAAATTGACTTATAACTTCACACACTAATAATTCGTGATTTTTTTTGTGCGCACGATTTTCGGTATTGTTGTCGCTGAGAGCGAAACAATACGGATTCTGCTCAAGTTCTTTCGCAAGAATTAACCCGTTATTAAAATAATTGCTGGAGATATACTTAGAAATCTCTTTGTGACTCTGGCGAACGGGTCCTCTCCTAAATAAAGTTAGCCAAACTATAATTGGCAGCGGATCTTATCCTGAATGGAGCTAGCCAGATTGAAAGTGGCAACGGATATCATCATAATTGGAGGCGGCCAAGCTACAAATAGCAATAAGTGCCGTTAAAAGAAGTTTTTGAGGATATTTACAACTGATTTTATTTTAATGGCATGAAAAAGGGTCACATTTTACTTGGTTAAAAAAAATTGAAAAAATTGAAAGAAAATTTGATTTTGAATCTGAATTTGTAAAAATTCAGAAATTTAGATTTTATTTGCTGTTTTATATTTGTCCTTCATTTTTGCATTTTTTGTCGAAGGCAGGAGGTCTAATAATTATTATTATCCTAGGCTGACTGACATTATTTTCTTTTTCTTCTTCTGGTATTTATCGCTGATTTGGCTCACTCCACTGGCGACAAGGGTTTTCAGCATCCCCGATCCGATGTCACTCCTTAAAATGAACTGTTATCTATCTCAGCCCTTAATCCGCTGGGCCTTCTCTATTTTCAAAATTCCTCCTGACCGTATCAGCCCAGGTTTCAATTGGTCCTCCTTGTTTCAATTGGTCATCCATCATCAGGGTTTAGCAAGTGGCTACTGTAGAAGTGCCACTATGAAGAACTTTGTGCAGATGGCGATATACTTTTTCATGATATTTTTAATCTTCGCAGATTATATTTGCGAAGATGGAAACAATCATGTGAGACTTTATCCACTTGGCAGGTATATATAATATATCTTTGATAGAAGTGGTCATGTAGCAGAATTGCAGTAAAGCCAGGTAGATACCGATTTTCAGGCTGATTTACCGAGCGATTCCAGGAAATTTTGCAGACGAAAGAATGCGTTCAACTGCAAAAAAAGGCTGGAAATTCATTTGTCATTTATGAAAGACCATTAGAAAATATTTTTAACACCATCTGAGATATTTATAACTCGATATTTCTTGGATCTTGTTGATCAGTTTGTTTAAATTGCGATGTTATGAGCTTTTGCTGTATAAGACGAAAAGTGTTTCTTTTATTTTTCTCGGATCTATTTATTTACAGTAATCGGAAGGGTAATTTTCGCTACTCATGCCGGAATTGTTTTTTGTTGTTCCTTATCGTTGTAAGCGATATAAATGTATTCAGGGTGTGTGATATGGTTTAGACCGATTATACGTCTGGATCGATTTCTCTATGTTCATAAACCAATCTATCGCATAACTGAAAATTCTAAGGAGGAGAACGCAGCCTCACTGGAACGTACACCTTTACTTATTTTAAATACATATTACATATTTACATATTTTAAAAGCTTTGTTATTTTTCCCTGCGAACTTGCTTGTTCTGACGTCGATAAAATGCTTTGAAGTCTGATTAGTTCTCTGGAACATTGGAATTTTGCATAATTTCTCAATGTGAAATTTGGTCGGTACGTCACAATCACATCCTGGCTCTCTGACTTGGTCCAGCTGTTTCGCACTGCCATGAATCTATTCACGAGAGGCGAAAATCGCAAAAATATCTATTCTTCAATAGTTGTCGGAATGCTTTCTATCGCCTTTCTTGGGAATTGGGAACAAAATTTCCTCATAAGAGTGGCATTTATTCCTCTTGCATCAATGAATATTATCTCTGCAGATCTCTGTTTTGAAGGATGCTAGGGAATCATTGAAGATTTCAGCTCATATACTCATATTTTTTCTGGGGATTTCATTGGACTTAAGCTTATGAATATAGAGTTTATCTCGTGTCCCGTTGGTGGTTTGCAGTTGTATCAGGGCCGTTGGCAGCTGGACCGTTTCATCTGAGACTTGAAATTATGTATCCTAGAGCCGATTTTTCGGAGATTTCAATTGGGACCAATACTGCACGGCAATTTCATTTCAATATTTCAGACTGAAATGTTCCTGAATCTTCTCGATAGTCAAAAGATTTTGAAGAACGCCGTTTTTTCCATGTTTTCAATCAGCTTTATTCGGATAGTTTAGAGACTGCCAAGTTTGGTTTCACAATACACAGTATCTAGTATCGAGAACTCTTCCATCGGCAATTGAATAACGAGCTTGATTGGAGTATTGGTTGCCTGGTCGTGTTCAACGTAAGTGTGAAAAAAAAACTATGCTTTTCTGGTAATGATGAAAACGCTTTTCGTTGTTGACTATAGTCCCTCTGTCACACTTGTCAATCATGGAAGATAGAGATGGTTCCATATTCTGCGCGTGCATTCCAATATCTCTGGTGATTTTTTGGAAAACATGCTTTAGTAAGCTTTGCACAAAATCAATCTTTATCCAGATCATTTGTACGTAAGAGAGTAATCGATGGTGATTGAGATGTTGCAAGTCAGCCTGTCATTAATAGGATTTCACTCGATTAGAACTTTTGTTTTTTCGCTTTCGGGTGTAGTTACTGCTCTAGATCTAGAATTAGGAAGACTGCTAGGCAGCTGATACACACACGGTGTTTCAATAGGGTTTTAAAATCTATTTCCAAATATCTATAAATATCTAAGCTCTCATTTTCGAGAGTTTTATATTCCTTATCAATATTTTTTTCCATTTTTCTCCTTGTAAACAGTTGATGGTTTTTCATGTTTTGCAAAAATTTTCTAGAATTTATGTTTTATTTTTTTGTTCTAAATTCTTTCTAAATTCTAAATTCTAAATTTTCTAAATTCTTTTTTTCTTGATAATGCACTTAAGGATTTGGGCGCCGTTATTTATACGACATCTGGAGTAGTCACTGAATTAAGATGCGAGAAATCTCGAACTTTTCTTGAAAGTTTACCATTTGAAATAACTATACGAGAACCAACTAATGAATCTTTATCAATTAGTTAGTGATTTGTTTTTTCCTAGCGAAAATTTTTCCGTTTTGTTTATTTACCTTTTTATTTATGTATATCCCTTGTGAAACATGGAATTAATGTTTGATTTTTTTTAGTGAAAAAATTTTCATTGAAGACTGGTGATTATGCATCTCTTTCTTCTAATGATTTAACAGTGTTGGCGCTGTTACATGATCTTCATATTGAATTATACGGAGCTGATCATTTAAACTATGAATGTCGATTAAGTAATAAAGGGACAAAGCAATCATCAGAAAAAAAAGGAGTTGATAAAAATAGATGCGCTGTGAATATGAATGAGGATAAAGGAAAATCTTCGATAACGGATAATGGCGATGCTGTACTGCTCATTAACAAATTAGATGAACTTAATTTGGTGAAAAGTGGGAAGGTTAGGTCTGAAAAGATTTTTTATTCTCATATATTTTGAAATCAGTAATTAAATTTTTTTAATTTCATTTAATGACTGGGTTACGTTCATAACAAATAGAAATGCATAAAATTTTATCTTTGACATTTTTTACATGAATTTTAATCTAAATTTCGCGAATGGTGCTGATCTGTACTTTTGTTATTTAATAACTCCTTAGTAAAAATTTCCAACCTTACCAACAGCCGGCGAAGCAAACCTGTAACTATTGTGAATACTAATCGAAAAAAAAATGTAAGGTTCTTTACCAGGCAAGCGTTTTTCTCATCTTATTAATTAAATAGAAGTGAATGACTTGTGATTTATAATAAATAAGAGAACAAATAAGAGAAGAGCCGCACAGTGATTTTATCTTCATATTTAAATGGTTTATTCACAGCATTTAAAAATTTCATTTTCAGATTGATTCTCCTTATGAGATTTCCCAACTTAATAGCGCTAGCAGTTCTAATGAAGATGATGATAATAATTGGATTACTGAAAATAATTTCAATGAAAAACTGCATCAGTTTGGTGCTATTCTTTTATCGGCAAATGATTTGAAGGTTTTTTTTATCACCATTTTTTTACGATATTTAGTTTTAAACTGTTTTCATAAAATTTATTTGCAATTATGCAATTATTGATATAATTTTTTGCAATCTTGCACGTAGTGTTAAATCATACATTAGGCTGAAATTTTTGAGTTCAATGATGACTATTAAATGTTCATTGTTAATTCTTTACATTTTTTTTCTTTACATTACATTTTATCTTAGATTGATAATAATTAGATATGATTGATATATAATTAGATATAATATGATTTTTTATTTCTGATAGAGTTTTTAGGTTGCCTGTCTTACAACAGATTTTGCTATGCAAAATGTTATCCTACATTTGGGCCTTAATCTTATTTCATGTGACGGTTTAAGGATTAAGTGTCTTAAATCTTTCGTTTTAAGGTATTATTTTCTCTTTGTTTTTTTAAAGTTTTTTCTGATCTTTTTTCCAATGTTCCTAAAAGATTTCTCAGCTATTGAAACATATTTGCATTTTAGGGCGTACAAGCCCACGAGTCATTTTTTCTTCGATATTTTTTTGAGTTTATTATTTTCAATTCTTGTTACCAAATTCTTTGTTGATCAATATCATTTTTTAAACGTACTAATATTATTTTGTCATATTTTGTTCAGATAGTAGTTTTTTTGCATTGTTCTAAAAGTCTTCCATTATTTTTCTCTTGCATTTACAGTGTTATGAATTTCTTTCATATTTGGACCGCACCTTATGACACTCTAATCTTCCACTGAATAAAATGTCTCTTCAATGGTACTACAAATTTTTAATTAGTTTTCCTACTTTTGATCAATCTTAAACATGTTTTAGGTGCCGTGCGTGTTTTGGAATAACATCTTTAATGGACAAGCGCTTTTGTCCTCGTTGCGGTAATAATTTATTACATCGTGTTCCTGTTACAGTCAATGAAAATGGCTCAGTTACATATCATATTAATTGGCAGAAAGTTTTTTCAAAACGCGGATTAAAATTCTCACTTCCAGCTCCTAAAGGTGATTCATTAAATTCATTAAAGAAAAGTAGTGTCACTTAAATTTTTTCGAGATTGATAGTGATGCACATTTGAATATACTTAATGCTCGATACAATTATTATTTAAACTTTTAATAAGAAACCTTAGGAGGAAAACATGCAGTGATGCCGGTTTTGTTCGAAGATCAGCCTGTCCCGCAAAATCGAATGGCTAAATTCAATCGCAATGAGAACGATTCAAGCCCTTTTAAACTTAATGATGTTACTAGCAGGTTTTTTAAATCTGTTGATGAAAATTTGTCGATTACTGGATATAGTGTGAAAAAATTATTGAGGGACAAGGGATTTAAACATAATAGGTAATAATATTAATTTATATTATATTTATATTTTTATATTTAAAGGTCTGCTATACTGGGTATCCGCACTATGCAACGGAAAAAAAACCCCAATGTATCCGGTGGGGGTCGGAAACGAGGAAATAAAAAACGATAATATTTGTTGTAAATATAAACGGTTAATGGTTTGTATCAAATTGGTTTGATTCTACTGCATATATTTAATCAGGAAGGATATGCACTTTGTACTTTGTAAATTTGTGATATTATTTGTAATTGTGTTGTGGTACTTTAAATAATGATAGATATGACATATATTGTGAGCTAAAGATATATAAAAAAGAGTAATTATCATTTGATATAGTAAATTCGGGTTATTATTGAATATAAGCAGTTACAACATTTCAATCGAATTGGGTTCTTTATTTGATATTTTTTGATGATTTGATATTTAGACTGTTTGAATGGGAATTAATTTTCAACAGAATTTTATTATATTTGTCTTTTTATTAATATGTTACTAAAAATGATTTAAAAAATAAATATTTGTTTTTTGCTGTTGTTTTTTGAAAGTTTGAATAACTTTTTTACCTTTATATGATTTTAAGAGCTCGTCATAATACTATAAAGCTTTAGTCTCGAATTTTTATATAATTTGTTGTTAACTGCTTAAGATTTCAGATGCCAATGTCAAACTATTATTGTCATAGTTGTGAACGAGACGTATCGCTTAGAGATGGTGTATGGTTTTGCTTCATGTTTCCTTTAATTCTTTAAAATTCCTTAAATTTTATTCTGATAATAATATAAAAATAAAAAATTTGGTTTTTGGCCTTGGCCGTTTTTTGAATTGGTTTGTTGCCAGGAAAATGATTAGTATAATTAAGTTAATTCAAATTATTGCATCCTTATTTAGCAAAGAATTAGACTATACAAACATATTTACATATTTACATAATATTTACATAATATTACATAATATATTACATAATATTACATATTTACATAATATTTAAATTGATGCAGTAATTATCAAATTTCTTAAGGATTTCATTTGTGATCAGTGTGGTGGAGAGTTTATCGAAGAATTACCGGAATCAGAAAATTCACCAGCATCTTTACCTATGATGGCAAATCCATTCAGTTTTGTGAGTTTTATTTCTGGTTTACTCGCAAAATATCAAGTTTGCTTATATTTTTCATTTTTTTCATCTAATTTCTATATATAATTGATTTACAGATGTTTGAAAATATGATCTCAGGAGCGGGAACATCAAGAACGCAGCCTCCATCTTCCATTCGAATGGTTCATGCACATGGTGTTCCCTATGATGAAAATATTGTGAGGATGTTTTTAAATCAATTACTATCTAATTTATCAGCACGAGGTGCCCATATTCAAGTGCAGTTTACTCAAGATCCGAGTTTTCTTCCTACTGGGTATATCGTAATTTCTTTATTTTTCCTTATTTATTTGGTTATCAATAAGCATCAAACATTGAATTTTTTATTCTTAATCATTCTATTTTCGGATTTCAAAATTTTCGGATTTTTTTTTCCAGTATATTACACGGTAGCATGGCTGATTATGTATGGGGTGAAGGTGGACTTGATCAAATTGTAACGCAAATTCTTAATCAATATGAAGGTAGAAACAATCCAGTTGACCCAAAACTTATTGGAAATTTACCGATGACCACAGTTCAACAAAAACACGTCGATTCTGGAACGCAATGTTCTACTTGCATGGAATATTTTGTTAAAGTATTTCTCTTTGATTCATTTAATATAATTGTTTTGTTTTCGCAGGCCACTTTTTCTTTTCTGTGAGAAAAAAATTATTTTTTATTTTGCACAATGGTTTATTTAATTTATTGAGCGATGATTTAGTATTGATTTTTGAATTTTTAGGATGAGCCAGTGGCTATACTTGACTGTCAGCATCTTTTTCATCGCGAATGCATATTACCATGGTTCGAGCGACACGATACTTGTCCTATATGTCGAAAAGCTGTCGACCCAGCGAAATGGCCTATTAGTAATCCCCTTGATGAGCTTGATTAATATTTCATGACCATATCCTTCATCGACAAGTATTGTTTTAGAATTTATGTGGATTTTAATGTACTGTTAACTAAAATATAGCAGTTTTTGAATACATCACAGCAAAAAATTGCCATTTTTTTCATTAATTAATATTATAATATTGTTTTTTATTTTTCATCATATTTTTTCATCTTATTTTATAGTTTTTATTGTCAGTTAGAATAAGAATTTATTCTAACCTCACGGAACAATTTTTGATTGGGAAAAAAATTTTGCAAATTGTCGTAGATGAAAATGTAAAATTTTTTATTTACAATCTATTTAAATAAAATTGGGTATTTTTCTCTTTTTCCAATTTTTTTGCAATTTTTGAAAATAGACTGTTTTTTTAGACGGAGATGCGCAAAAAAGGCAGTGAATTCGTCTAAAAAATGCCATCTTTTGCTGTGATAAATTGATAAATATTATGCGAACGTGAGTTTCATTTTAAGGAATATATAATTTTTTTATTTAACTGACATAATAAAATCATGAAGGAAGAACTTGAATTTTACTCGATAGATTTCGATAAATTACGTATTTTCACCAATATTGCTGGTATTTTTGATTTATAAAGTTTGAAATATAATCAAAAAAATAAGGTTCTTGATTATCTCCTCGGGTTTATTTATTTAGCATGCGACCTTTAATCTAAGCCAGTTGTTCTCAGACTTTTTATTGTGAGTATCCTTTTATATTCATAAAATTTATTGAAGACTCTCAAAGAGCATTTATTTATGTTTCCTCTCGATATTTGCACTATTGAAAATCAAATTTAAAAAATTTTTACAATGCTAATTCGCTTGAAATTTTTATCTTAAGTAATTTCATTCACAAAATTTACACATTCTGCCTAAGTGTTTCTAAGTGCCTAGTACCAACTACCTTAGAATGAAAAAAATAAAATTTTAGTATCATTGCACTTCTCTCCTCATTCTTGAAAAAGCATCTGGGACTTAGGTGTTCTTGGACCACTCTTTGAGAATTACTGACCGATTAAGCAAATAAATATATGGTGATTTTCTGTAATATGAATGTAGCCTGGATTATAAGTGGCTAATGCCAAGGCTTTAATCATCCTGATAGATATATGATGAACAATCGACCAACGCCAAAATTAAATATAAAAAATTAAAATATAAAAAAATTATATGAATTCTTGATTTGGCGAAATCTATTTAAGTAATATTGAAGTTCACATTTGTTTTGTTTTTAATTTAAAATTGATTTGCATTTTTAAATAAGCGATTAATTTCATGAATATTGGAAATTTTCCGTTCATAAATATCATTTTGCTCATATTTTATGTGAAAATTTTTTATTATTTCGTTTATGAATGAAATACTTGGTTGAAAAATAGTTAATTGTCGTTGATTTTCGTCTCTTTGATAGAATGAAATATAATTCTTATTATATTTAAATAAATATGGGTACTTTTCCGTTATCTGGTTTATAGTGATCCTTATTTATTGATGAATACTCTGTCGAGAAAATGGGATGAAACAAAGTCCTAAGGTTGCTATCATAGCATTTAGTGAATTTACGTCGGACAGCCAAGAGTTATGATTCATTTCGGCAACATACACCAATTGTATACCATATATATATATATATATATATAAATATGCTTGCCAATTGTTCTCGCATCTACCATTACTATTTAGACTCGTTCAGCTGGTGAAAGTAAAGCTGTTTCAGCTCACCCAGTCCGATGCCGTATTCAATAGTAACAGAAGGCATTTCTTTTTTCATTGCATATGTCCATTAATTGATGGACGGTCTCCACGTTTCTGATCTTATTAATCCAGATTTTCATTGATCCTAGCTTATGATGCTATCATATCATATCATCTATCAAGACTTAACAAGTAGCAAGGTATATGTCCTCACGTCTTATAATGGTCGAAGAATATGGCCTACAATATGGTACTATATAATTAGTAAAAATAATCAAGCGGAAGTAAAGCAATCATGTAAGATTCTATTCACTTGGTATTTGTTCAACTGTCACAGACCATGCAGGCTGATATGTACTATAGCTAAGTTGGTGTTGGCTTTCGTTTTGATGGTAATTTCGTTGCGATTTTTTGGAGATGCTGGACGAAAAAAAGTATTCCTGGTCGCCTGATCGTCTCTCTGGAATAGAATTTCGTCATTCGTTTGGCCACTTGTACCTCAAGATATTTAAAATCTGGCATTTCTCGTTCGGTGGTGAATTTATAAAAATAGGTACATTTTGAGTATGGTATTGGTCAGCAGTTCGAAATCTACAGTTATTAATATGAAGCCTTCCTTTAAAACACTACCAACTTATTCATTGCTATATTTCATGTCAGCTAATTCTAAAAATCCAGCTCGCTTCATATTCCATCAATAGTTCCAGCGATCTCAAGTTATATTTTTTAACTTTATAATTTTTGACCACAATAGCGGCGGAAGATAGCAAATCGGGTTAAACTCGCTATGGTCGCTGCTTGGAAGTGTTTAAATCGAGTCTGAGGAGGTAAAAGGAAAATCTCAGATGGACTGGAGCGGCGAAAAGGGAAATAGGCTAAGAAAAAATAGGGTGGTAGAAGACCAGAAACGAAGAAAGGAAAACGAAAACACCAGCCGAGCAAACAGTATTTTGCTGGACCAGATAACCGAAAAGGACCTGAAAGAACCTAAATGTTATAGTGAAGGATTTTGAATTTTGTGAAAATAAACAATTTAAGCTGTGTTTTTTTGATTATCTTATAAAACTTTAACGAAACGACAAGCCCGACGGAAATTCTGCAAGAAATTCACGTTGGATATTTTTATATCTTGCATCTTCTATCACGTAAACGTAACGTGTAACACCTGCCAGCCTTCAAGATGAAGGGAGAATCGGCATAAAAAAATTCAACGAAATAGGCTTTGTCTTAGGAGAGAGAAATAACTTATTAAGAGCAAAAGTGGTGTGGGGGTGAGAAGTTGTTTATTTTAAGCTGCTAATTTTATAAAGGATCCCACAATGATTTTTTGATTTGCGGGAATTACGGTAATTTAATTATTTTTTTCGTTTTTTCTGTTCGTTTTGTTTAAGTTGTTTGTTTCAATATATTTTCGTAATGTTTTTTTTGAATTAGTAGGAAATATTGTTGAAAATTTTTTACGAATTTTTTTTCCTCATCGCTTCTATTCGCTTCGCTGAGAAATTTTTGGTGGTAAATTTAATCTGCTAAATTTCGTGCAAAGAATGGAAGGCGGAGGTCGGCGCAGCGAGAACAGTCCGAACCACTCTCCTCCCCCATATAATCGTTTGAGTGAGCGCGAGGGGGAACTGTTCGTTCGCCGGAGAGCAGCGTGCAGCACGTTCACCCGCTTTCGTTCATCAAACGAAGAAAATTAAACGCATTGTTTCTGACTTTTATTCGATTAGGTGGTAAATTAGCGAATAAGCGATCTTCCGGAGGCAGAGAAGCGCGGTAGTTGGCGCGTTAGTGGTGGTGGCCCGCGCGAGGAGCGAGAGACGCGCTCTGCTCTCTGCTCTCTGCTATCGTACAGTCAACAGTGCTTTTCATCATAATTTGGCGAGCCAAATAAAAAATTTTTATTTCTTTAAAAGTTAGTTTGAGATCAGTCGAATCGAATAATGATGAAAATGGAAATATTTTAATATTTATGGATCGCTGACTTCATCATCGACTTCCATTCTTTTTAAATCTTTTAGCTTTATCATTTATCAGTTAATGTCGCATAATTAATAATGGAGAGAGCTACTTGTTTTGAAAGCGTCTTTGTTAAGAAATCATCGCATCTTAGGGGTAGTGATTCGTTTTTTTGCCCTGAGATTTGTCGTTGAAAAATCAGGTTATAGCTGGCGATCACCTGTGCGTGTCACTACCTGGCAAAGAATTCAGCGTACCAACAATGTCACCAGGAATCGTGAATTTAGTATATTCTGCCAAAATGGAGATGATGAATGGAGTGTTATTTGAAGAGTCATATATTTTAGGCATATTTTCGATCAAATTTATCGTATCTGCATGAATCGCTTGTTAATTTCGATATTGCTTCGTATATATATGGCAAATCTTTTTAAAATTAGAGGTCGCATTTCTTCCATTTAGCATTTGTAGTTAACCAGTTAACTCTCACGTTTTCCATGCCTTTTCCATGTTATTGGTTTAGTCCTTATTGGTTTAGATCACATCTAACCGGGATTATTATGCAAGTAATTATCGTTATGAAGAGCGAATCGGAAATTGGCTTTATTTTTTTTATAATTAAAGGATTGTCGAAATTTTATTTTACTATAGATCTATTTATTATCTATTTTGCTATAGATTATTATTATCTATTTTATTTATTTTACTATAGATATTTGCCGTTATTTCAGTAATTATTTTAGATTTCGTAAAAATATTTTTAAAGCTTTTTTTGAAAGGTTACAGTAACGTCATTGTTTGGATAATTTGTTTTATTTTATTGCTGGAGAGGTAAAATTATTGGTTTTATTCGATTATTGAATTGAGCCGAAAGTTTAAAAAAAAAAAGGAATCGATCGAGTCTGTTATTCGCTAACATTCCACCTACTTATAATTATTTATTTGATGCTGATTGCTGAAGAATTTTTATTTAAATGGATGTTTGTGATTATCCTTCTGGTTGTCAACCAATTACTATTTCGTCGAACAATAGCGAATTATTAAAAAGACTGAAGGTAAATATTTTTTTTTTAGTGTTTGTTCATTTTAGACAATATCATGGCTGCGGAACTTTTTAATTTCACAGTTATGTCCAAGTCATTCTTAAATTTTTTAGATTTTAAGCGATTCCTTGAAAGATACTGATTCGAATGAAGATGTTGGTACACCCGGTCGATATCGTTCATTACTAAATCATTTAACACAAGCGAAATTTTTGAATAATTCTAATAAAGATGTGCAAATTCTTTTGGCATGCTGTATAACAGAAATATTTCGCATTTTTGCTCCAATATGTCCTTTTAATGAATCGTCACATTTAAAAGTATGAAAATTTCTTTTGCTTTTCGAAAAAATTCTGTGGACATTATTTTTTGAAAAAACTAACGGCTTTTTAATTTGGATCAATGAAATTCCTTTAATTAGTTTTGATGGAGAAAAAAAAATGTCATAATTTGTCATTTTTTTTATCCTGTAAAATTTTTCATACCGTCGAAATAATGTCCACTGTGGTACCGTCGAATACCGTCCGTTGGATACCGTCGAAAATAGTTAATATTTAATCTTATTTGCATAAATTTGAATTAATCTTACCGGTGTGATTCTATATTTACAGGATATATTATTATTTCTAATTCGAGCACTTCGTGGTATTCCTGATTCTTCATCAGATCAGTACTTTTATTACATTCATTTAATAGAGGTAACTTCATTTTTTTATATAAAAAAAAATTAAAAATTTTGAGAAAATTCCTTCAACGATTGTCGAAAAAAGCGTATATATATAAGATTGTTTTTTATTTTTTTGTAAGGTTTGTCCTTTTGTTTCCTCAATTTTTTTAAGTTTATGTTTCAGTACTATTTTATTTTCAGAATCTTTCTGTTGCTGAATTGTTGCTTTTAACACTGGATTCAAATGATGATGCCCAATTTATTTTGCGTGAATTGATTAAAGCAGCTTGTTTTTCGGTAGAAAAAAATAAGGATGAACGACTTCGTGGACTATTTATTTCCTTGTGCTCAAAATTTCTTCAAAATTTGGATCGAATCGATAATATTGTTCTTGACATACTTTTCTATTTTCTTATACAACCACAAAAGGTTTGAATTTTTTCTTATTAGTCCTTTATTAGTTATCTTGATTTCCACGAAAAAACTAAAAAATATTATTTTAGCTTAATAACCGGGAATCTTTCCGGATAGTTCGAGAAATAATCAGTTCTAACTCATCATCTTTTGAATCGTGTATTCCTGGGGTAATATTTGTATTTGTTGCAATAAATAATTTCTTTCGATCTATTAAATACATTTGGCTGATTAATTTACTCTCTTTATCTACTTACTTTTTTAAAATTTACGAAATTTACCGTTTAAAAAAATTTTATATAGACTGTTCTACTGAACCATTTCTTTTGTTCTAAAAATTAAAGATCTTTAAAATTATTGCAGCTTTTGGAAAATTGTATTCATACAGGCCAAATGACTGGATGTACTCTGGTGACAGAGAAAAAATTATTTGAAATAATTCTCGAGCTACATGATTTTGCTTCAGATTTAGTGTATTCAGTTTTGCCGTCATTATTGCCCAATTTGAAAGTAAAACAGTTTTTCAGTTTTTCTCTTGGAATTTTTATCGATAATTTCATCTATTTTATTAAAAATTTTTATAGTGTTAAATTATATAAAATTTTGAAATATGTGAATTTAGTCAGATAATGTTGTTGTTCGCCGTGAAACGACAAAATTGTTTGCCCTATTATTGGGATCGCATAATTCAAAATTGACTGAGGAATTGCCTGATGTATGGGCAGAGTTTATGCACAGATTCAGTGATATCAATCGCGAAATCCGTTGTTTATGCATCCAAGCTTCTAAAAATATCATTTTATATCATCCAGAATTGAGAGGCCAAGTTATAGGTTAGTTTGAATATTAATGATAAAAAGATTCGTTGTAATAACTGGAAAAAAACAAGAATATGGAACCAACATAGAAAAAAAATTCACGCAAAAAATTTCGAGCTTAAGCTTTAAGGCCATCATGTAGGAATGGCGAAAAGAAAGGATCTCAAGGCTTCGGCAGAGTTAAATTCTGAAATTTATCTCTGCCTACTTCATGCAAGTGGTGAATGAAACGCTGTATTGCGTGAATTAGATAGATTTTAAAATTAGATAGATAGATTTAGATAGTGAATTAGATAGATTTTTTCTCTTTCATATTTTTTAGTAAAAATTTTTGAATTTTATTTTAAAATTTTGAATCGCTATTAATTTTATCAGATTTTCTATGAGATTGTGAAGACACTATACTGAATGAATATAGCGTTTGAAGATAGTATAGCGGAGTTGGTTGTCAAAGGTATAAAGGGCTTTAAAAGGGAGCATAAAGCTATTTGAGATTATGGATTTACAGGAGTAATACAGGAGAATAGAGTAAAAAGCGTAACGAGGTTTGGAAGAGCAAAACAGGTGGATGAAACAATAAAGAGAGATTGTATAATTTTGATGGAGCTCAGCTATCGTGGGTTCGATTAAGTAGAGTTGTCATTAAAAAGAAAAATCTGCTACCTTTATCTTTTAGTTATTTTTTTGCCAAAGGTTTTCACCTCAGCTATCAGCCACATCGAAAACGGTGAATGAAAATAGAGAATAAGTCGGATAGTTTTTTGCTCTAATTTCGAATTTTTTAGCTGTTCGAATAACTTGGTTTTTTAAGGATCTAGTGGAATAAAAAATGTTTATTTTCATTTTCTAAACTACTTTTTCTTCTAGTAAATCGCACCATTGTTAATTTTGCTCGCTCAACTCATTCTAAGCACTGTCACATCATTATCGAATAGCTGGACCGTTCCAGTTTACCTTAATAGATCCAGTTTACCTTCTTCCGAATCATGTGGCCTAGAGCGAGTTTTTTCTGTAGGTGGAACTAGGATAAGGATCCGCAGTGTCCTTTAAGTTTATTTTAATTTGAAATATGTCGACTGCTTTGCTTTAAATCTTTTAATTTGAAATAATTGAAAGATTTTAGCGGAAAGCTGTTGTTCGCTTTTTCAGATATTCGGATCTTAATTATACCATAATTCGATCCATATATTTCGAACTTCAAACCTTAAGTCGAAAATGGTGAATGCTTTTATATAGAGAGTAAACTATTATAGGTGGAGGTTTGAGGTTCGAGATATATGCCTATTATAGAATTACCACCGGCTATTTACCAAAATGTAATCAGGCGATGTAATTAAATATGCAGTGCTGAAAGTATATGTTGGTATCAAAGGGACCATGCACTTCAGCGTAAGAAGAACGCGCTTTCCACTCTTCGGATCCCAATGCTATACTTGTTGAGATAGGAATTCTCAGATCCTCACATCCTTCATTCCAGCCTCGCATAGTCGTGATTTTTTTAGAGATACGCTGTTAACAAGTTAAACTTGGCAAATTCCATCTTTATTCAGATCATCAGATCATCTTATAAATGGAACATAAATAACGGCAATTGAGATGTTGAAAAATTTGCCTGTAAAGTGGGCATAGGCCAATCTTTTATTAGTAGAATTCCATGCGGTTAGAACTGGTCATGTTTTTTCGCACATAAAATGGTTCCTATTCGAACCAAGTGTATTCACCTCTCGACTCAGAAATTAGGAAGGCTAACAGGTAAGAGATATACGTGATATTTGGATAGAGCATGGATGGTTGTTGCCTGGCTTCCTATCCTCATGGGCGTTCCATGCAGTCAAGACCTCAGCCAAGTTCAGAGTTGGTTGGCATTTATTCGACTAAGTGAAATACAGTTCTTTCAATTCGAGAATTTACGTGAATTTTTTCAATAATAAAATTGGCGAAGTAAAATAACGAGCCTAATTCCCATGTTTGTCGCATATACCATCGAGTTAGGGGTACCATACATCTCAAAATGCTCAGGCATCATTTATGATTTGCTTGATCCATTCACCACAGAGTCACTTGGGAATAGCGGTATAGGTGGATCCACTCAGATTTGATTTTAATAGCATGTTTACTCCTGTGCAACTAGTAAAAAAAAATATAAGTAAAGTCTTTATAAAGGCAATTTTTTTGAAATTCGAGGCCTAATTTTTTTTTTAAAATTGATATGAGAAATTGCCTAATGTTTTATAAATTCAAAAGGAAAATTTAAAGTTTTCTAGAAAATAAATTGTTATGAATTATTACATATATATATATATATTTATTATAAGGTTAATATATCAATCTTTTGATCTTAGAAAATACAGAGGACAATTGCAGCTTGAATATTAAAAGAAATTTTGTTTAGATTTAATTGTAAACAGGGCTCATGATCCGAACGAAGAAGTGCGCATGGAAGTAATATCTATGGTTCGAGGTTTGGCGAAAAGTAAATTTGATCTTATTAGCGAACGGCTTTTAATGTGCGTTGTTCAAAGAATCAGAGATACGAAGGTATCAAAACTTAATGATTTTTGTGATCTTTTTCTTTGCAGCTTAATGGTTAAAATGTTTTAGGTAAAAGTTCGGCATGCCGCAATTATTGTTTTATCGCAGTTGTATCGTTTAGTTAATGCTAATGATGAATTTTCTGAATCTGAAAGAGCCTCTGTTTTCATAGTTTTTGCTTCAATTATGAATTTTTATAGTCAGCCTTTATTGGAAGACAGGTCTGTTTTTTTTTTATATTACCTTTATTTTGATTATTTAATATTTTTTCTTTTTTTTATTTTTTTCTTTACTTTTATATTATGTATTGTCCTTTTTTTGGTTTTTAAGTCAATTGATTGTAGGATGTTGATTGAAAAGGTTTTCGTACTTAACTTGGTTCCCTATAAAATGGAAGTTACAAAACGCGTGCGGATTATGATAAATATATTTCGAAATTTGGATCTTCGTGGCATGAGGTAAAATTTTATTTTTCATTGGATATTTCAAAGAACAAGTTAATTTATTTATAAATTCATTTTTTGCTGTTTATTCATTCAGATTTTTCAAAGAAATTTTGTCGATGCAGAATAAACTAAGAAAATCGCTTGGTGAAGTGGTCAGCCTACTTCAGTCTGATAACATGGATTTAAAAAAAACTTTAGAAGATCGTGTTATCAGTTTGGCTAATTGTCATCCTGGATCCATAAAATGGGCTAATCTCTTTAAGTTCGTTCGTTCTTTAAAATTTTTCATTTTTAAAATTTCATTTTTATTTGTGAAGTTTGTTTAAAATTCCAATGTCGGCGAGTCCATGTACAATAGTTTATTTATTTAGAGCTATTTTATATCATCCAATTAATTTTAGGCATTGAATTTATTTTTTTGTGCAAAGAAAGCGATTTTATGAAATTAAAAAATAGTAAAAGAAATCAATGAAACATATTTCCAGGCTTTTTTTGAATTATCTTTGCACCGAACAGAGATCGTTACAGCTAATGAATTACATAGTGGGAAATACTTACACATGTGCAAAAATTAGAAGTGCTGTGGTAATTATTGTAAATATTACTTTTTTGTATTTCTCCTCAGATTAGGATGACTTTCCTATATAATAAATCCTCTATTATAGACAGAATTATTGCAAAAAGTGCGAGAGAATTCATCATTACCAAAAGAGTGCTCAGAAATTTTGCAAACTTTGCTTGAACGTTGCGCACCATTGCAATTCGATGGTGAAACAGTTGAAGTTCTCGTTGATCTCGCATATCAAGTTATTCAAAAGGCTGCAAATCATTTTGATGATACAGTCGCCTTGCGCAGGGAACATTCAGTTATTAAATTAATCGCCGTATGTTTTTTTTTCAATAAATCTGCTATATCCTTGAATCTTCTTTTTCTAATAGCTCTCACCATTACTGATTAAATTGGCCCCAGCGGCTACAAGGGTGAGACGCTTCCAAGTGGCATGTTCTGATGCCATCGTCGACAGTAATAGAAGCCATTCCTTTTTCCATCGTCTAAGTCCATTATTGCCTATACGTTCAAAATCAGTCCAGATCTTGATCGGACCACCTCGCTTTTGTTGCCACCCATCACTCGGTTTAGCAAGTAATGAAATAAGCGACAACTCTTGCCTGGCCATTTGGTATTAGAGCCATTTGGTATATCCTTGAACAAAGTTATTGTTATTGTTATTTTTCAAGAGATCATTGGGAATTTTTAGGCAGTTGCTGACAATTATTCCTTTTGCTTTGGTGGAAAAACTTTTAAACAACTAGTTAGTCTTCTCGAAATCAATAATTCATTATTAGGTATGCTTATTTATATCGCAGATTTAATGAAAATTTCATAAGTATATTTTTTTGTTGTATTGGTGAAGTATGGGAAAATTTTGAATCTATATTATACAATATAATATCCCTTTTCCCACTTTCTGTAGGTAAATGGTGAAAAATTCCCTTTTTTTTTTAGTAAATATTTGGAAAATTCATGTTGTTAATGTATGAGCTAATAACTTTTGAAGCTAACTCTTGTTTTCATTCTTTTATTCTTAATGTTCTTTTTGGCTAGAAAATAGTGCTTTAAGTGTTATTAATATTTTATAGTGGAAACTGTTCTTGGCATTTTAAATTCTATCGCGCATGAAATAAAATTACTTGATGAATCTTCAAGTCAATTCATAGAGAAATTAGTTGGAATTTGCGAAAAAATGTCGATAGAAGGCAGTCCGAAAGCAGCTAAATATGCCATTCAATTTATCAATAATATTTTAAGCACAAGTGATAGTCAAGCTAAATTGTTCGCTGTTGCCGAGGTTTTATATTCATATTTTATTTCCATAATTTTTGGTTTTGGCTTCAAGGACTCATTTTTTATTTTGATTTGAAATATTTTAGGAATCGTTAATGCATTTGAATCCATCACACAAATTTTGCTGCACTGCCTACAGAGCTCTTGAAACATGTGTACGAATCTTTCCTGAAATTTTCAAGCCGCGATTTATTGATTTAATACGGGTTTTGCTTTTTATTGTTTAATGGCAGTTCAATAATTTGGTTCCTATTAATCCGATAATTCGATTTTAAGTGGAATTAACTTATTTTGAGGTTGATGTGGTCGAGACTGTATTGGATATGAAGACGAATGCTGTTGAAGCAGATGATGATGGTAATTCGTTTATAAACAATTCTATTAAAGAAGGAACATTTCGTAACGTTTTCTTGTGTACGGGAAATAGCTGCAAAATAAAGGTTGTTTTTTATTTGTTATTGTTTATTTTTTTTATTTTTTATTGTTGAAATTGATTTGTTTTTTAATTTTTTTTAATTTTATATAATTTTATAAATTAATTTATTGCTTAAGAACAAAAAGCACTTTTTAAATTAATTTTTTCTCTTTATTTTTTTGGGATTGATTTTTAATTTTGGGAAATTGAATTTGAATTTTTTCATCTTTAGACAATATTTAAGGTATTCGCCATGAAATTTATGTGCAACTTTTTGTTGGCTGTTGCATCATCTTATGATGAAATCGTAAAAACGCTTGCAACACGAATCATAGAACTCTATGCCACTTTTATAAAATTCAGCGGTGATATTTTTGAGAAGCCAGTTAGGTAATTCTTATTCATTCTTTCAAGATTTCTCGTGCTTTAATGATTTAAATTTCACTTTATTTTTTCAGAGATGATATCAAGGCAGTGCTTCGAGTTGCTGCGGGGACTTGCTTACTGAAACTGGGAACGGAAAAAAATTGCGCAAACTTAATTACTCCGTCGCATTTTATTCTGTTTGGCTCACTTATTAAAGTATTTATAATGTATTGTTGTCTCATTTTTTGGCCATAGAATTATATCACATCATCTTTTTTGTTAATTTGTTGCTTATTAAAATTATGTATTATTTTTTTCCATTAACGTCTTTTTTCCAAATATTTGATTATAGGACGGTACTGATTTCGTGCGTCGGGAATTTTCCGAACATCTGATTAAATATTTGAATTCAATGCGACTTCCAGTTGTTTATATGGGATTATTTTCCTTAACTGCATTAAATGGTGAAAGCAATGTGAAACAACAAATTCGTATCCTTATTGATTCGTTAATCTCCAGAAGGCGTAAAATTCTTGCTCGTTTCGAGTCAAAGGGTTAACATTTATGTACACTAAAATTACTACTGTTATTAAAATTGTTTTTAAAATCGAATAAATCTGAATCAAATCTTTTTTTCAGTAAACTCTCCCTATCATCAACCTGAATATTGTTTTGCTTCTGTTATATATCTCTTGGCACATCAGCCTAGTTTTACTTCTGTTGAAGATCATGGTTGTTTAAATACATTTCGTGAGTAAGTTTTCTAGTTTCCTTTCTTTATTTACAATAAAAAAATGTGCTCCTTGATCCAAATTAAAATTGAAATTCAATTTTTTATATTTTTTTAATATTTTGCTATATTCTTTATTTTCCATTAATTCTGCGATAGTATATATATTATTGTATCTTTATCTTTTTGCTTGTAAATAGTAGAAGATAATGAAGATTTCGTTGAGTTTATTATGTTTTTTAAAATTTTTTTTCAGGTGCATTTGGTTTATGATCGAAATTTTTTATAGACGAAAAGAAACGGGTAGTCTTGAACTTATACATGACATGTTTCAGGTCATTATTGTTATGCTAGCTGCGCCGTTTTCTTAAGATTCTTGAGAGACTTAAAATTTTATTTCGTTTCGAATTATTTTTAAATGTTACAGAAAATAAAAAATTCCGAAGATGCAGCGGCCAAAAGTTTACCAACGGATGAACAGAAAATTCAAAATATGGTTATATTTTTTGATCTAGGATTAATTTTTTTAATCTTAATTAATTTTTGATTGAATTATTCATTAAAACTTTAAATTCATTACAACTTTTAGGTTAAAACCTTTCTCCTACTATTCACTCACTCTTCCTAAAAAGTAATCTTTGCAGAAAATATGGGTTTTGTGTGATATTGGAATCGTCCTTCTTTCATATCGTGTTGAAATAATTCTGAAGTCAACTAGTAAAATAATGCTGCCAAAGTTTTTTATTCCTTGCAGTTCAAAGGTCCATTCCTATCTGATTTATTTACTTTTGTAACTTTCAAAACTACTTTATTTTTACTTTTTAGATTGAAAGAGGCGTGTTCATACCTCGAGAGATGATTGAAGAAGAAATTCATCATAAAGTTTTATCACATCGAAAGAAAGGAAATACGATCAAATCGAAAATAACTAATGTCGAAAAAATTGACTTAAAAAATAAAAACGATAATCTGCGCAGGTTTATAAGTGATTTTTCTTTTGATGTTTTCCACTTATTCAACTGAAAATATTTCAGATTCAATTTTCAATTCAATTTTCAGATTCAATTTTTAATTCATTGATCAATTAATATTTATAGTATTAAGAAAAAAATTTATAGTATAAAGAAAAAGAATAATGCTATCAATCATCGACAAAAAAATAGTAAAATGTCGAGCAAGAATCCTGCGAAGAATCCAAAAAATACAGTTATATTAACTCTTTTTAATTTTAATACAATACATATTGCTTGTAAAATTACCTATCCTATGGTAGAATTTCCATAAGTCAAATATGGATCAATTAAATATAAAAGTTCTTTAACGTAAAAAAAGTAGTATTAAAAACGTGGCACACAATTTAATTGGCATTTCTTGTCCCTTTGGTACCATCTTTGCTGTATTCCATAAACAATAAATATTACTGGTAATCCTTTCATACCGAGTCCCTACTTGCTTAATGTTATTTAACTGTTTCTTTCTCTGCACAAGTCCCCGTATTTCATATCATTTTCATATATGTTTCATCCTTTCATTCAGTGTTCCATGAATAGAGAGAATCTATTACATTCTGGATGCAATTTATACAAAACTACATCCGGCATATTAAGAATAAATTAGAAGGCCGTTATTACTAGGTAGAAAAAGTAGAAAGAAAAATATTAAGAAGAATATTAATAAAAAATTTATAAAGTTATGATAGATTATTTTAAGGGAATAGGATATAAGGTTTTTTTCCGGTACAAATTCTTTGAGGAGAATTATAAGGAAATATGGCTGGGTTGGAGAGATATTATACAAGGGAATATAATGGAATTTAATAACGAAAGCGTTTTTTATATAGAATATATTAAAATATATTAGATGTTATTATAAGATAGGTATTATTATTAAATATATATATTATCCATATTTATATCTTCGTATAACCACCCTTCACCATTTCTGGTTCAGTAACTCCACTGGTTACTACTGTGAGAATTTGGCCATTTGAAGGTAAAAATGTAAATTGGTTCCCATACATGGTTCGTACCATAAATATATTCTTGAAATAATATATGAATAATTCCTATATCAAATTTTATAAGATATAGCTTAACTAATCTTAAAGTTACACGATATTGGAAATGGAAATGATGATGGCGAAATGAAACCAAGCAGTTCTGGAATCAACTACGGAACTATAGGCTTTGAGGATGAGGTTTTATTTTTTTTGTTTTAAATTTTTATGTGTGTTTTAAGGTAGAATGAGAAAATTTTATAGTGTCAGTAATTCTTATAGCCGACTTATTGAAAAAATTCTTTGATTTGTTTTTTTTTTGTAACCTTTGTAGCCAAATCTTCATACTAAAAAATCACAAATGACCACAAATAAAATCATATTTATTATTAAAATTTTATCGTTAAATTATTTTCTTGTTGCTAAATCAAATCTTTGTTTTTCATATATGTTATGTTGTTTAAGGTTTCTTCTCGGAGTCCATCGAAGTCACCAAAAAAAGTTTTTGTCGGCAAAGATGCGTCTGATTCGTTAATATTTGATCGAAAATCCAGAAATATTGGAAAAGATTCTACTAAATTCAACAGCGATAACCAATATTCTATCGACTGTTTATCACCGATTTTTCCAATAAGAAAAAGGGCGTTTCAAAAGGTTTGTAACATTTCTTAATTATTTGCTAGTTATTGACTTTCTTTAAGTCATTTGGAGGTTAAATTCTATCTTCGTTCGATATATAAAAATAATGAAAAATAATGTAAAATTATTTCATGCTATTAACAAGAAGAAAAAGGAAGAGATGTGAAGGGATGCTAAGAAAGTACATCGAAGTTTGCGGAATTGCGCTTACGATGTTTTTGGACTATCTTCTTCGGGCATATAATGCTTTCCATCAGTGATTTTGCTTTTCTTATTTCGAATTATTTCAGCTTAGACTTGGCAATAATGAATTGCCATTTGTTAATTCAACTCCCGACTGTGGTAAATTGCAACATAATTTTCGTAACTTTTCACCAGAAATGTCAAAAGAACATTCGAAAAAGCAAAAGCTTGACACGCATTCAACTGGTCAAAGTAGTTTCGCGCAATGTAGTTCGCCGAAAAGGTTCAGAATTTTTTATAAGATAATATAATGAGATGATGCAACTTGATTTTTTAATTTTTTAATTTTTCATCTCACTTTCTATCCGTAATTATGTTTTTTAATTGAATTAGCTCTAATTGCTATAAAAAAGATAATAAATATAATAAAAATGATGGAAAATAACAAACAATTTTTAGATCAAGGCAATTCACAGATTCGCCCAAAACATTGCAAAATGAAAGATTGAAATCCAACAAAAGAACAAAAGAGATAGGAAAAGTGAATCAACTAGCACCACTCCATGCTACTACTGTCAAGAAGTCAGCCATGATGAACAATACAAGATCTCAAGTATTTATTTATTAGTTGAAAATAGGTGTTTTTAAAAGCTGCTGTTCTTTTTTGAAACATTATCTTTTCGTTTTTATTATATTGGCAGAATATCATTTTTGCAAAAAATGGCATTAAATGGACTGAATATTATAGCTTTCATTATTTCGCTTTCGAGTTCAGTTATAAATATTTCAGGCAATGACGATGAGATTGCGTTCAGCTGTCCAGAAAGAGAAAAATATATCATATAATTCCAATTCGATTCAAAAGAAAGGAAAAAGAATAAGAAGAATCTAGTTATTACGTATATTAACTGCGAAAATCTGATAAAGTAGTGGATTTATATATACATATATATATGTTGATTTATATCCGAATTTTTTTCTTATTTTTCTTATTTACATTTCTTTTCATTTTTTCGCTTTATTGACATAATTCATGTTGAAAATATTTAAGTTTCTTTAATGGGTTCGACTGATTGCAAATTAATATATTTTATTTCTCATTTAGAAAATAAATTCAGGAAGAGTTCGAAAATATGCATTCATTTTTAATTTTTTTCTTGCGGAAAATAAGATCACAGTTTCGGATTTTTTTTTCAAATCTAAAAATTTGTATCATTTTATTTTCGAAATTGACTGAAATGACATGAGAACCTATTGTATATATTCTTCTTGGAATAAACAATGGAATAGGAGGAAAAAAATTTCTTCCAAACAATTTGGTTTACTATAATTCATGTGCATCAGTTATAATCATTTGCAGCAAAAGGTTTTTTCTGCATCCCTTTGATTTTTTAAAACCTGAAGAGTTCTTCCCGAAATATAAATAAGACAGGTTTATCATCGAGAAGTGATTTTGTATGTGTATGATTTGCAACGGTGGTTAAGGCATAAATACTTCTCTTTTGCTTACATTAATGTTTAAGGAGAACGCACTAAATCAAGCAGAAGTTGAAAATGTGATTCCCTCGAAGATTTTGCATGAATCCGAAATTGCATAAGAAAAATTTGGCGCTAATTTTTTGCAGAAGCGTACATTCTGCTTACATTGATATATTCATACATTCATTACATATATAAGCGTACATTCCGTCTTTTATTTATTTACCCACGGCTTGCTTGGGCGTATATTTTTCCAAATAAAGACTAAGAAGGAAAAAAATTGAGGCTTCGACAATCCAATCAAAAAGTCGATTTTCAAAATAAATTATTGCGGAACATCTTAAATTTTTTAATGCTTAAAAAAATAATCATTTATTGTTTTCGGAAGGATAGTGCGAATTGTTTTAACAATTATTAAAAGGCGCAAAAGGTCATTAAACCCAACAAAAGATAAAAGAAACATCATAAAGTGATATCGTTTTTTGAATTAAATGATTCGTCTGACGATACGGTTTGTGGCTAAAATCATTGCAGCGTTAATATTTATATTAGAAGATAGCAAGTGATATGCTTTAACAAAACGAATCCTAAGCATTGGTTTTCTTTGTCGCGAATCAGTCAGTTTTGCCGGTTTGGCTGAGTGGGGATGTCTTTTGGCTAGAAGGCCAGTTGTGGATGGAGGTGCGCGGACTTCGCCTTTATTTCAACCCACTAGCGAGGTGTGAATTCATAGCTGGTTGAACTTATCTGAAGCAGCTCGTAGCTAGCCCTGTTAGATCGAAAAAGAAAAAAATTGAAATCCGAAAGCAAAAACCTTTTGTGAAGCACTGTTTAACTCTATCTTAGACGTTGTTTGTTGGCTCGTTTCTCGATAAACTGAATTGGTAGCAATTTCCTAAATGTCATGAAATGCACCTTTTATTTGCTCACTGTTGATTTTGTTATGAGGCAGAAGCCTTGGGTGATCGAAAACAATTCATTCTGGGCTATTTGTATAATAAAGCAAATAAATTTTTCTGATTTAAGAACTTTTGAAACCTGTTCAGTGTTTCTGAGATGAATGTCGTCTTCATCAATACCGTCAGTAACCCACGCCATTCCTTTCCAAATCTGATGCATTATATGAACAGCTGGAGCTAACATCGCAACTGTGGCTCGATTCCCGGCCCTAAATGGGAGAAAAGAGCAGCTTCATTTTCTAGTAACGTCACTCAACATTTCATTTCTGGTTTGGTTAGGGGTACTGGCTATTAGGATACAATGCCTTCACCGATTGAGTCGCATTTGAGGAAAGAGTGGAAATCAAAGAAGCTTAAAAACTAAAGGAACCAATCAATGGAACCTATAATTATTTGTTGTAATTATTTTTATAATTATTTTTACTTTATTTGACAAAATAACTTCAACTTTTGCAAAAATCTTCGCAGAATCCTTTAAAATATTCTAAAAATGTAGGTTGGCTCATTACTTTTGGTTATTAGAATTTTTTTAAAATGAGTCCTACCATTATTGGTTAAACTCGCTCCACTGACTTGTCGCACTGGACAATAAGCCAGGGAGTCCTTGGCGATAAAAATACAGGTGAGTCGCCAGCATCACCCGGATTTTCATAGGTTTACTCCTGCGGGGAATGGACATCGGCGCTCCCAATTGAGCAACAACCCACTGAGCCATTGTTATTAGGAATAAAAACATACACTTGGTTTAATCTTGGTTGTTCTACAGATTTCTCATCGATACCAACTGCTTGCATCGCAATTATTCTCGACCTTAATTCACTCATTTGTGGACTAGATCTACCTTTTGGTTCGGGATACATCGCCTATAAATGAAATTTATTCGATATCTGATGATGATGTTAATTAGTTAACTTTCAGTTAAAATGTATAATTCTTAGTTTCTGATGGTATAATTGAGTACTAAGAATGTTAACTCGTAATATAAAGGTGTTGATATTGTCGCAACTATATATATTCAAAAAATAATATTAAATATTAAAATTAATATTGAAACTTTTAATGTTAACTTAAAATAATCTTTTAAAAAACTACAAATATCCACAGAGACACTTAGAGATGTGAGTCTCTAGAGTCACGCATTTCATCTTTAATGATGTGTCTTCGTGAAAATGAAAAAATTAAATTCAGGACACCTGAATTTTAGTCGAAGCGTCGTATCATTTGATCAAGTTAATTCAAATAACAAGTATTCAAATTAAAAATCACCTGTAAAAGAAAACAAAAATTTGTATACCATGAAGGATTACGACATGCATTCGGATTTGCTACACATAATGCACATGCTAGCATTATACCTATAATTTGCATTTGTAATATAGAAGAGAGAAAAATGATTAAATAAATAAAATTGAATAATAATTACGGTTGGCAGGTTTTTACGATCATAAATTTAATCCCATTTTAATACAATCATTAATGCAAAAGTATTTATTTCATGAGGCTTCAAGCTCGAGGTTTTCCGCACTAAGTGGTTAGCATCCATTGTGTGGTCCCGCTAGTACCACGAGAAATTTTTGCCAGAGAATCATTTGGTGATAGAATTACAGGTGAGTCACAAGCATCACCTAGATTTTTCAATGCTGGCTTACTTCTTCCACATTCAGAAACCGAACCCCTTTTCATCACATTTTTCTTACATGCTTTACGCCAATGACTTTCCTTCTCAAATTCAATAATTTTTTATTATTTAATAAACAATATTAATTTCACAAAATCTAACGAAAGAAAAAATAATTAAATAAAAAAATTAATAATTAAACATATTAATTATTGTTACAATTATTGTTATCATATTAATTATAGTGTTTTTAACGCAAATATTAACATAATTTTCGTAAATTTCTAACATTTTTTTTCAGCATTTGCTATTTTCGGTTTAGCTGATTCAATTATCTGGCTAGAAATAATACGATAAATTTAATTCTAAATTTGATTGTAATTTGTAATGAATTAGTGAAATTTGTGCGAAATTTCCCTTGGAAATCTATTTAGTGTTATAATTAAGGTTCGAGCAAGGCTAACTAATTGATTATTCAAACAGGAGAAATTAATAGATTTATTGATTTAGCAATTAAAAATGCCAGATGCTTCCTTATTTTTTCATTTTCTTCCAGTAAAACGAAACGAAAAAAACTTCATTGATGATAAGGAAAAAGGAAAATTGTAGTTGTGATGAGGAAGGAAAATTAAGCTTAAAATCGAAAACGTAAAATATTTTGTCGAAAAGTTCAAATTTCAAAACATAGAATATCTCCGAAAATAAACATCTCTAACTAAATTTAAAAATTTGAAATATTTCGAGATTTATTTAAATTTAAAAAATTTAAAGTATTTTAAAATCGAAAATTAAGCATTAACTTTCTAAAAATAAGCAAAACTTAATTGCGAAAAATTCTATTTATTGATCTCTGATCACTACTAAGAATTATAAAATTTCATCTCTTTAAAATTTATGGATTTATGTAAAATTCCTCGAAAAAAAATCCGAGTTTATTAGAAATTAATAAATTTTTATTAAACATTGTAACAATTTCTTTTCATCAATATGAGAAAATTTGTGAAAATTTTACGAAAACTAATCGAAAATTGGCAACAAAAAATAAATTTCAAGGATTTTCAAATTGCTTAAATTTATTTTTTATTGCATAAAAATTTTTGTGAAAAAAAAATATTTTTTTCACTCAATTTTATATTCAAAAAGAATTTATTATCCCATGGATTTTCTTTAAGACGAATCCCTTTTCTTAAGCAAATCCTTTCTTTGGCCCTCTCAAAATTTTGAGATTTAAAAATTTCAGTCAATTGTCATATTGCAATGCAAAAAATATCTATGAGATCTATGCTATTATATGAAAAAATTCGAAAAACAGAAAAAAGAAGTGAATTAAAGGAAAGAAAACTGGGTAATCTTAACTCCGTTGGAAGAGGAAAATCGCCAATGAAAATTAGATGTATAAATACATTCTGGCTAGGTTCAAGTTGCTAGATGTGTGTCAATGTCGCTAGAGGGTCGATTGAGAGACAATAAATACAGACGAGATTGCTGCATTTCCCTGATTTTTTGCCTTCTAGCAAGGATAAATAGACGAATCGTAATGTTTGCTGCAGTCTAATTGATCTAATTCAGTAGCGAGGAACTTTTAGTGGCAAGTTTTATCTGAAAATTTTTGTATCGAAAGGTACGAAGAGCACAAGGAACTTGGCTGGAGGCCTAGTGGTACACAGCCTTTTTAACACGGCTAAGTGACTAAACATGACTAAACTGACCAATCCCAAACCCAAAACAACTAAGTCGCGCTTCTCCCACGCAACACGTGTAAATGAAAATATTCACACGCTTACATAAATTACGTATTATAAAATTCAAATACGAGAAAAATTCTTACTCCATGAAATATCATAGAAAACGTTTTCTGTGATAAAAAGAGATTTCAAAAAATTTCGTTGAAATGCATGCCAAATGTGTGCATCGAACAATGCGTTTCACATATTTCTAACTTTTTTGCCTTTTTTAGATTCGATTTGACTGATTTTTAAAAAATTTTGGATTTTTTAAAGTATTTTAAAATATTAGATTAAATAAATATTTTGGAAGACAACGGAATAACTAAAATTTTTCTTTTTTTTTTATCGAATTTCATTTAGGAAAAATATCGATTCTCTGTTAAAAACAAAGAACAACAAAAGTTTGGAAAAAGAATTTTCGGCTCATTGAATAAATAAAAAAAGCTTAAAAATTGGAAATATGCAATAAATTCCGCAAATTAGCTAAAAAAAGATCGAAAGAAATTTTTCGTTTGACTGATTCGTAAAAATCAAAATTTTTCTAATATTTCGAATTGATGGGCAGAATAGCCGAGTGGATAATGGCTTAGATTAAGAAGCAAGCATTCGGCTCCTACATCCAGCAGCAAATCTGTCACTAATTATCCAAATGGTGATGGCAGCCCACTTGTTTTTTTTTCTCGCCATGTGTTTCAGTGGCTAAAATTTCCACTATTACTAATAGTTAGCAGAGCAAAGCTAGTACCAAATGGTTCCAGCCACTTACTTTATACTATTTCAGGTTGCATAAAAGGATCAATTAAAATTTTATAGGAGAAATTCGAAAAAAAACTCGCAATCGCTTTATTATTTTATAAATTTTATGAAATATAGCGAAATGTTAAACTAACAATGCAAGAAGTAACACTAAAACGGTCTAAAATAATTCGGATAGAATTTTAAAACAAACAAGTTTTATCGAAAAATTTTATGAAAATTTTTAAAATTTTATTGATAAAAGTAATGAATTATTTTTGAATGGATATTTATATTAAAAAATTCAGTTGTGTTTGTGAATAACTGATTGAAAATTTTTTCGTTGTTAGATGTCTGAAGGGGATTTGAAATACTTTTTTAATATAAATAATATCGTAAAAAACAAAAATATAATAAAACTAACTAACCAACAATGCATAAAAGGATAATATATAAGCCAAAATTATATTCTTCCAAATCAATTATAGCAATAATAACACATATTAACATTACTAATAATAAAAGTAATATTGCGAGACATGCATAAAACATTACCTTCTTTTTTTATTAAAAATTCCTTAAAATACACAATATTATGTTGAAATTTCGTGCATCAATTAACGGTAATTGTAAAGAAACGGAAGGACAAAATGAGTGAGTGGTATGCTTCTTTGATAACGGTTAAGCATTATCAGTTCCGTTCCTGACCCCTAATGAGAGTGAACTTGTCCAGTTTTGCAGGGGACTCAGCTATATTCTTCATTTGTTCTCATGAAACTCTTTGGCTTCATTTTAAAAGTCCATGAAATTAGCGGAATGGTGAAATATGTTTATTAGAAGAATAAAAATCTTTTAGATAGTGGTGTGCAGTGGTGAAGGTGAACGTAAAATCTTTTAGTCCTAAAGCCTTTTATGTAACGCAATAAATTCAATATGCAGCCAAAAAATAGACAAAATTAATAGTTTTAATGTATTAAATTATTTACATTGGTGTACAGTGGTGATCATAAAATGATTGAATGTTAGTTGACTGAAGATCAAGACAAGCACCTTAGGTTCGATTCCTAATTTGAAGAGATTAAATTTAAATTCCGGATGATGCTGAGACTCATGCTTCGTTCTGCATTTGCCATCTCCAAGTGACTCTCTGGCAAAGCCCACCCACCATATTAATGGTTGAAATCAGCCAAACCAGAAATGAGCGCTGTTCGATTGATAATGATTTATAATGTAAGCCTACTTGTTCCCATTATACGAAGGCATCAGAGTTCGTGCGAAGGTTTCTTCAATATTCTTTTTGTTATTTTGTTATATCCTTTTGTTATTTACTTTTACTTTTATTTATTTACTATTTTACTTTTTATTTATTTATTTATTTATTTTGTTATTTATTTATTTTTAACGATATTCACTATCTTAATTAAGCCTTTAATTTTTCTATGGTAAATAATGAAAATAATTTATTATGAAGGATTTCATGCTAAATTTCGAAATTAAAAATTTAAAATGGCTGTCTCTCACAGAAATTAGCGCAAAGTATATCTCGCTGTTACCTGAAACCTGGGGGATGGCGTCAAGTACCAAGAGTAGAATAATGTGGTTGGGGGAAGTTAATTGTGATTGCCCATAGTCAGTAATGCGTAGATCGATATATGGGCTTAGGCAGTGGAAAAAGCAATGGCTTCAATTAGTTTCAGGAATAGCATTGATGGATGGGGCTGCAGGCTTATCCTCGTCGCCAGTGGAGCGAGGAATTATGCGAGCTATTTGAAGAAGAAAAATTCAAAATAATTTAAAATGAAAAAAATTTAAATTTTTAAAATTCGGGTCAGAAATTAAAAATTTAAAAAGTTTAACTATAGAACGTCGAAATAAAAAAACAGCTGAAAGCGGTCGATCAAAGTATTTCAACTACTAATTGGCTCTAATGAAGTCTACAATTTTTCGCTGTTTTCCTCGTCCCCTTCTATGTGTTAAACAATTTATTCATAGCAATTTATATGAGATGAAGTCATTTGAATATTATTATCGAGCATAAGCCATCTGAGAAAATGTACTTTACGTATTTATATACTGCCAAACATTTCAGATAATTGCTGCTTCGATTAAAAAACGGTGCAAAACGGTGTGAATGCATATGATTGGGATGAAAATCAGAGAATCACTTGGGAATGGATAGATGGATGCTTTAGGAGCCAACCGCGTCACAGGTTTACTCTTCTCATGCCACACCAATAAGAAGCTGTGGGCAATGAGATAGCCTAAGCGACAAACCATTTGGCCTGCCATCCTCTATTTTCATAAAATGCTACTAAAAATTGGGTAATTCTTTGTGATTGGAATGATTGCAAAATTACGACGACGAAGTATTCGTTCAATAACGATTATCTATCTTCTTAATTTGGCTATTGCTGATCTTATGCGGTAAATTTTTTAAATTATATTGGCTTATAGTGATAATGACAATTGCTAAAAGTTGATAAAGTACCATTTCTAGGAACTTTTTTTTTGCTAATTTCAGTTAAGTGTGCTACTGTCGTTCGTTGCTTTTAGAAATAATAAATTTACAAGTCAAGCCATAAAATAATTATTATCATTATAAATAATACAATTATAAAATCGATGAATACATTAAAAAATTATTTTTAGAAAAATAAGATGTTCGATGAAATCAATAGAAAATAAAAATTTAATTCTCCTCTTTGTAACTTTTTTTGCAATTTTTATATATCGAAGATTATTAAATTAATGTCCATTTTGAAAGCAAAAATTGTCTCGGGCAATATTACATTATAATTGCGGCGAGCCAAGCCAAGCCAAACTGTGAGGCGCGTTATGATAACGATACGCCTAAGATACGCCAATCAACCACTCGGTAAAAGGCAAATAGTCAAAAATAAGGTAAAAGTTTTACTTAAAATTAATATATTTAACAGATATTCCATAGTTTTGTATCTTTTTTTCATGGCGTTCCACTTTTATTTATGAAAATAATATTGAAAGTCCTAAAATTTCTTTCATATCTTCCAAGAATATTGAAAAATTTCATGATTTTTCAATAAAAATGTTGGTAAAAATGAGACATAATAATGACTTAATTAGCGAGAAACTGAAAACTTGGAAGTTATTTTAAAAGGTTAACTAATATTAATTTTTAGCACATTAAAATAAAATGCATTTTGATTTCCGTGTTGTATTTACAATTATCTAAGAGTTTATGCGCAAAAAACATCAATATTATCTTATAAAATTCATGAAAGGCCTTTTTGTAGTAAATTTTGAAAGCCTCTCCTAAATTATTTGAAAACATCTTCGCATAATTGTCGATTTCGGTCTCACAAAGCTATTTTTCAAATTTTCGCCAAAAAATAAATTATTAAACATGTTAATAATGAAAGTAAATTTAAATATAATTTCAAAATTCTAAAATTATTACAATTTTTGAAAAAATTCTTATACACAAGGAAATTAATGGAACCAATTTTTTAAGTAATGTGATGAAAAGAAATCAAAGACGGAAAAGTATTCGTAAATTCCCAAACTCCACTCCCCCTTATCATTTATCGAATTCCAGAAAGCCAACCACGTTAGCTAACAGTGACAAGAGCGAGGACTCGTGCAATGAGATGCGGTAAGATAGGTGAAAAATGAGTTTCACCAAACATCTATTCAATTTTTCGCTAAAACGACCAAAAATAAAGCTTTTCTTGTAGTTAATTTCTAGTTAAAATATATAATTAAGAAGCAATAAATAAATTTAAAACAAAATAAATAAAAGAATTCTTTCTGGATTCTCGGCAAATATGCAAACTAACTGCCTCATCGTATTTTTCATGTTTAGAATCAATACCATGGAAAAACGTAAAACTGCTAAAACGTAGTGGTAGCGATGTTAACTATTAGAAATACTTATACTTATATACTAGAATATTTAAATTAGAGATTTCTACAAACGTGCTTTTGGTACTTCCTTTTTTCAGTTCCATAATGCCTTCTCCGTCTAATAGCACTCAGCATTTCTGGTTCGGCTGACTCCATTCACTATTACGATGAGAAAGGCATGTTAGAATATTAATAATTGCGACACTAGCAGATTTCGATTTTAATGACGCGTTTTTTTTGTCAAATAAGAGGAATCGAACTTGGGAATTTCAGTCGTAGCAATGTTATCCTCCCAAGTTAACTGAGTGAAGGAAGATTTGCTGAACAATGAATAAAAATAGTTTTTCTCGCAAAAAACTGTGGAAGTAAAGTAGAAATAATCGCAAATTGACCGGAAATCGCAACGAATGAATAACAATAAAGAATGCTTAGAGGATAAACGAGCGACACACTCAACATTATTTGCAACAAAATATGATAAAATTGTGATAAGATAATGGTGATAATGATAATGAATAAATGAAGTGCATTCGATGATTTCTAACATAAATCATTAAAAAGTAATCGATTTAGCGACAGACTTAACTTTAAATGGCTGGGGTAAATAATTAATTTCATTTGCTCAATATGCTTTATGAGAAGTACTTACTGCTCAATTTCGCTTTCTTTCTTTGTTCGCAAGTAATCGATGAGGATGAAGGTCGGATGCATCCTGAAAACCTCGCTACCTTTAAGAACTCATCGGCGAGAAGGCCAGCGATCCCGTCGAGGTCGCTGCTCGCCAGCCCACTTATAAATTACGACGAAGAGGATGCAATGGACACATCGCGAATGCACGATCCAAATACTTAGTTGGTTTTGTTCCTTAACAGTTTAAGTATTTTCATTAAATGATTTAAAAGTTGCTGCACATTTTGCGTAATTTTTTCTCCATTGCAAGAGATTTTAATAAATTATTTTAGAAAAGATGTCAAATATTTAAGGGAATTATTGCAATTCCTTGGCAAACTAAGGAATTTTCGGCTTTTATTGGTCAATCGCGACGAATATTTGAGCCAAATTCTGTTTTACTTCTGACTACTTTATGCCAAACATGGCTGTTGCGCAATGCAGATATTAGTTCTAATTTTTTAAATTAACGACGTAGTTTTCAATAATTGGTACTACTTTCGTTATATTATGTGTCACTATAGCCGAGGACTGAGGACATTTGCCGACTGCGTTTCCTTGGCACCCGTTAAATCTTCTATTTTAAATTATCCATAAATAAACATTCCGTCAAATCCCGAGTATTTCCTTTATCTCTAAAATTTCATACTTACGTCGCACTGACGAAGCACCTCAAATCCTTTTATTTTCTTATACGTCACTCACTTCACTTACGAGAAGACTTTTTAGCTTAATTTTTAAAGACCTTTTTTGTTTTTTCTTTTATAAATTAAAAAAATGTTCATCTTTTAAAGATAAATCTATTCACCATATCCTCAGACCTTTCAAATTCAATTTTTTTTGAACTGCAAATTGCAAAGTTGTTTTTTTTTCGTGCTGAACTACTTATTAACTACTGCATTATTTCTAAATAACTTGGTGATAGGATAGAAAGTGGATCTCCAGTAGCAGACGTGCCCACTTCCAGCGGTTTATTTCCACCAGAGAGAATCCATGGCACTCGAGCTCGCGGTGGAAGCACTCTTCGTTGCATACATACGCAGCATTTAAAAATTCCGCTTTTTGTAATATTTTTAAACTTAAAAGACTAAATAAATAGAATTTCAATAGAATTTTTAAAAATTTATATTGATTTTGGAATTTTTTTCTCACAATTCTCAAAAAAAAAAACTAGAACTATAAATAATTTATGAAAAAGGAGAACATAAATTATCAAAGTATTACAATGATAATAACATAATAATAATGATAATGATAATAAATGATAATGATAACAATAAGAATAATATAATCAGATAAATGTAATAATAAACAATGACAATAACAAACAGAAAATAATAACAACGACTGAAAGTAAGTAAATTTTTTTGGAATTCTTCGACTAAACATATTTTTTAACTCGCCGTATTGAAATTTTTTAAAAATTTCGCAAAATTTTAAAAGAAATTTTTGAATAAAAAACATTTAAAAAATAATAATAGATTAGAAGACGAAGGAATCAATCCAAGAAATCTAGAAAATATAGATAAAATTCTACGAAATATTTCATATATACCTTCTTTAAAAAAAAAAATTTAGAAAATTTGAGTGGTGTGGTACAACGGTGTGAAAAGTTATCAGATTTTTATCCTACCAAAGTAGCACCATTAATCCATGCTCAAAAGCGCCAGGACTCACGAAATATCAATCAATGAGCAACTCGCGAGGACCAAGAGCAGTCCTATCTCGCGAATTCCAGAAGCACGACTTCGATTGGGGGCGCATAAATGATAATGAATATTATCCTCGAATACGTTTGATTAATAATAAAACTTCTGAAAGGAATAAATTTCAAAACAAACCGCTGCCAGAATAAATAAAAAATTGCATTATCATATAATATTAAAAAAGAATCAAATTTTGATAGAAAAAAAGGAAAAATGGGTGAATTTTCGAGAGAAAAATGTATTATTTCTTATTGAATGAGTCGATTTAAAAGCCGATTTGAAAAGCAACTAATTGCTAAACATCGCAAACAACTTTTTTAGACTCATTAAAAAAAATATTTATTTGCTAGCAAATAGAAGCAATAAATCAGCTCGGGATCATCAATTTTTTATTTTTTTAAAAATTTTTTTATTTCACAAAAATTGTATATGAAATAAATGGAAACTCAGTATTAATATTAATAAACTGAGTTCAGCTATGGTTTCATAAATTTCAACAGAAATTATTATTACTAAGTTTTGGATTCTCTTTCAAAAACAGTGTCTGCGTCTGTCAAATATTTATTAATATTTTATTTAATATTTTTTTTATTAATATTTTTCCTTCTTTCTGCTGGTTTGAAATCATTTGTTCCCAATTCAAATTTTTTCATTTAATTTTGTTAAATCATTCATTTAAATTATTTACTTGTTCCCTTCGTACTTCTGAAAAAATTGAACCGAGTATTTCCCAAAGAAACATACTGCCGAATCTTCTGTCACAAAAAAATTTTATTAAAACTAATAATGCCTGAATTTATAATAAGTGATTTTAAAAAAACCAAGAGACTTTAAAGAAATTTTTAATTTATATTTTCTTAGCCACAATAAATTACGTCCCATTGGCCCTTAAAAGAAGAATAATTAAACAAATTAATCATCAAATTCGAATGAAATCACAATTAGTCAACTGAACATTACAATTGGAAATTTCTCCACCATTTCAGCAATAAATACAATTATTCAAAGCCCAATAATCCACAGAAAGTTTTATCCATATCGAATGAAGAAAATAACAGAAAATAACTAAAAGTTCCAAAAATATGTAATTTGTGACATTAATTACCTAAAGAAACGAACATTAACATTAAATTTATATTACATACGTGTTCTTATGTATACATATATATATATATATATATAAAATTATACATATATATAATATATTTTATATTTATATATATATATAAATATAAAAACTAAAATTCAGCTATAACATTTTAAACTTACCATGGTCGCAAATTTGATTTATCGCTCAAATGAGAATCATCGCCGCTAAATTCTTTGATGAATTTTCCATTTTCAGCCTGCACAAATTTTGACACAGTTGCTTGCCCAACATATTTCCATTTACCAGAAAATATTTCATGGATTGCACCGACAGGTGCTCCATGCGAAACTAACAGCATCTCGCTTCCTATATCATCAAAAAATGAGAGCAATTCTGAATGAATATGAAAACAAGATATATGACCTTAAAATTTAATAATTTAGCTAAATTCTCAACAAAATCGCCTGTAAAATAAAATGGCGTGCAGAAACCTGGAAATCTTTCTATCAAACCATTTAATGTTTCATTCACCCGACCGATACAAGCGTGATCACCATATCCTTCATATGGAAGTTTCCAAGGCATCACTGGCTGATAACTCTTGTCGACTAATGGATATTTATTCGATATTACTTCAAGTGATTCATATCCAGGAGGATTTTCGCACAAATATAGTGCCTGAAATTCAATAATAAAATTTCTGTAAATATAAATATTTGAAAATACAAATTAAATTATTTCATATAATTGGTGATACTTCGCTGCAATCGAAGAAATCTAGTCACGTGGAATTCTCCAGATAAACAACGATATTGGTTGTATATTTTTAGGCAGTGACCGCTGGAAGAATTAAGTACAACTAGTCGTTCCTTTAACCGCACTGAAACGGGCAATCTTTATGGATGTGACTTTATTATGGTTCGAGCCGCATAAAATTGACAACTCGCAAAACAACATCCCCCAAGATCTTTCAACTATCTCTAAAAGATTCAAAGATAGAAAAAGCATATTAAACCAAATTGTTGAAGTATCTCAATGATATAAATATTAAGGACTATTCTGGAACAACAGATATTGGTCCCAATTAAATGAATGCATCCGAAAGTCAGCTAACGACTTCCACGCTATGACATACTAGTAAGAAGTGCACCAGTTGGTATAGCAACTGTGCAACCATGCGAAAAAGCTGCTAAAGCCATCACAAATGTCAAATCCTGGACTACTGGATGCTTCGAAAAACGACAACAACACGGCAGGAAATCGCTATTGGAGCAATAGAGCTCTGAAAATGGAAACGGTGGCTCGATTAGGTGATAAAAGGGAATTATTCCACCTTCATCATAAAAAAAACTATAATTCAAGATCAATGAAATGGTAACAATGGTGTGCCTATTAGGATTGCCTAATATGGTGGAAGGAATTCTTGAGACTAAGCTTAACCAAGATACGCCATCTGTCACTTAAGACCAATAAAATTTCCCGAGATGATCTCCAGGGTGAACTTTTCAAATATTCTCCATCGTCTTTCTGGTATGGAAGAAAAAAAAACCAGATGACTGGAGAGAAGCAATTCTGTTCTCAATTCTCAAGAAAGGTTAATATATGTGACAATTACCGAGCAATCAGCCTACTAGACATTTCCAGATAGAAATTTTCATTTCTCTTTTGTTAAATAGACTCATGGCAACAAGAGATAGCAGAATGCGTCATAACCAAACTATATTCAGACCGAGAAACGATTGTGCTGACCAGATATTCACGTTAGAAGAACACTGGAACATCGCTTCAAATATCTGCAACCTGCCCTCATGTGTTTCATCGACTTTGCAGTTGCCTTAGATTCAGTTGCGCTTCGAACGTGATGATGGAATGTGACGGTGTTTCAGAGAAGATGATTCGATTCATTAAAGCATTTTATCAGCATACATCAGCACAATACGTGTATATGGGGGAACTGACAGGCTCTTTCGAAATTAACAATAAGTGCAATACGTGTATATGGGGAAACTGACAGAACCAGTGTTCCGCAATGCTGTATTCTTTCCCCTATAATATTCAACCATGCTCGTCAAGAGATATACATATCATCCCAGAGCATCATAACAACGCTAATAATGTAGTCTTTTTCACTAACAGTTACATAATGCTAAATAATATGTCAACAATGTAGCCAAAATCGAATTCGGGATGAATGTAAATAAAACGAGCCTTTTCGTCACAAGAACCTGATAAAATAATATCTATTTTTATAAATTCATTGCCAAGTGAGGAAGTGCCGATTTTAAAGATCTTGGACCATTCTAATCACAAATGGCCAGGCAAACGGCGAAATTACAACCCGGATAACGATAGATAGAAATGTGTTTTTCTGGTTGACGAAACCTCCATGGGCACCATCCGAAATCACCATGAAGACGAAAATCCGCGTCCATATAGCTGCAGTTCGCTCGATCTTGCTCATGCCTAGAAGATATGGCTTGGGAGAGTGGATGATATTAAGAAGCTATTTGCCTTTGACCACTCATGTCTAAGACGGATTCGTTTAAGATGGAGCGGATAAATCTTACACGATTGCATCCACTTCCCTCAAATACTATGCATTAACAATACCATAACAAAGCGTCGCCCACCGCAGAAATTGACTATATTCCGCTATCTTTATGTTAGATAGTATCAAAGGCGAGATGAATCAATCAGGACAGTCAGAAAAGATTTTAATGTAGAGGGAGATCAGCAATATATGGACTTTGACGGTCGAAAAAGCAATGGGTTCTGTTACTATCACCGATGACATCAGATCGAGCAGCTTGGAAATATCTTACTCTTGTAGGCAGCGGAGCCAGGCTATGTACACCAGTAATGGTGAGAATTGTCAGAAGAAGGAGAGAACTTCGCTACAAATAAGAAATGGTACTGAAACGCACAAAGCTAGTTTATACTATTCAAAATTTATATTCTTTGAAATGTCAATTAACTTGTTAAAATATTTAAGACTACTTGTCCATATAAAAAAAGTTTTATGTAGTTCAATTTAAAAATATGAATCGAGAAATGTTTTTTACCGCTAAAAAACAACCTGTTCAGATAAAAATACCTACCATAGAGAGATGAAACATGTTAGATTAAAAAAGATCTCAGCGTAGTCCCATACTGATGCTATGTAATACTGTGCAATTTACAAATGAAAATATTAAAAAATGAAATAAAAAATACCTCGACCAGACCCGGTTCAACTTTTAATGGAATGTTTCTTTCACCAATTATTCGTGTTGCCGTTTCAAGACATCGATCGAAAGGAGAAACAATCACATGATTTAATTCAACGTTCGCAAATCTTTGTCTAATTTCATTTGCCTGCCCTGCAATTTAAAAATTAATGATAAATAATTATGGCTTCGCCTTGGTCCTCGATAATTTTTTCTGAAGGACTGAACTAAGATCATTTATCGATGAAATAAATTATGGTGATGACAAAAAAGGATACAAAGGTAGGATGATCAATTTCAGTTAAAAATTTTTGAATCTGCATAATTTTTTTTGAAAGGCACTCATTTCTGGTATTTCGCTCTGCTGGTTTGTCAGGCATGAAATTTCGCCAATCCGGATTTTCGAAAGGTAGGTTTTTTTTTCTGCTGCAGCAGAAAGCAACAACCTATTCAGCTATTTTATTCCCAAGAGAAAAAGAAATAAAGATAAGAAAAAGGAAAAAAAAAAAATGTCAAGAAGGCATGATCACTGGACCTAATAATCAAAAAGATCATTTGTAGTGAAATCAATTTATAAAGAAAGATAAAGAAAAATTGACCATGAACGTTTATAAATGTCCTATCTCGAGTTCAACCACTGCTACTTTTCTAATGTGGTCTTCGATTAGGCTTCACTCTAAAGCCAGTAAATCAGCCTATGACAATTCCTGTACACATCCCACTCATCGGTCAATCCTACCTACTGAATAAGCCCACATTATCCCACATTATCTGAGAATATTCTTCCAGCAACATTTGAGCCACAAGCAAAGTATATAAATATGCATAAAAATGAAACAAAACCTTGTCCACGTCTCGATAACGGCGAATTATCGCTTCTTAATGTCGAATTGCGGCTCCAATTTGAATTTATATTGTCTTCCCGCTCAGCATGACGAACAACCCAAAAAACTACACCACTCATTTCTGCAAATAATTAATGAATGTTACTGTATTAAAAATTAATCAAGAATTGTAATAATAAAGTAAATGGATTCATTTTTGGTCAAACCAGCTAACTGTTAGCATGGCTAGGAATTTCTGTCGCCGAGCTGGGTCACAAGCCCTTCACCCTTGTTGGAGGCAGAGGCCGAGTCCTTGCCCCTCAACACGATAACCTCCAATCTCAACCAACATCCTCTCTCTCTATTAATTAACAATTAAATTAAAAAGTAAACTGAAGAAGGTGACAAAAATGCAAAAGATGACGTCTTTTTCGAAATAAAAATATTTAAGAAAAATATCGATGAATTTAATAAAACTTTCGAAAAATTTCAAAATTTAATTAAAACGCAAGAGACATAAAAAAGTTTAAACCTCCGCACCTCCAGCAAAATTTCTTAAAAGAAAAGGAAAAATGTTTAAGAAGTTTTCCTTCAATAGTACTCACCACTTTTTGCCCAACTGGGCCCGCTGGCTGTTGGTGATCTCTTTACAATAGCTCAAAAGCCGGCGGGTCCCCGCTCCGACTGCACCATATTTTTAGGAGAGCACTGCTTCTATTCCTAGACAAAAGTGAAGTTAGTACTGTAAACGACATTTTAAAATGCCTTTGAAATGTCTAAAATGTTTGCCATTATCGCGAAATTTTTTCATTCTCATTTGCTTGCTTTAAGTTGCGTGCGACCTTTATGTTGGCCAACGAAAATGCACCAAACGGTGAGATTGGTGAGAGTTGGTGAAAATCATTTCCAATATTAAACTAATTTTTGCTATTAAAATATAAGAATGTAATCGCTCAACACTTCAAAATAAGTTTATTAATAGTGAACCATAAAACGAAAAAATACAAAAATTATAAAAAATTGTAGCAAACAATGTACAACTAAATCTCGTGCGATGTACTTCAGTGGGCATTCGGCTTCGGCCCCGGCTTTGGGCTAATAATCAGCCCTCGACCCTTGGCTTCGACACCATGCGGTACCATCTGATTGGTTGAAAAAGCACGGCAGGAAATTGGGGGTGGGGTTCTTTTAATCGGAATTGCTGAGGAAAAAAGTGCGATTTACCGTGCAAAGCTAAAGCAGTGGGACTGAAGTTCCAGAATGTTTAAACTGTTTATCTTACACTTGCACCATTTCCTCCTTCCACTTTTCCAGTCTTCGTTTGCTCGGTTTGTGATGGATTTTCTCCTTCCTCCCTCCCCTTCCTCTCTCCTTTCCTCCCAACTATTATTGAAACTTAGAAGTCAGATGCCTTCCAAACGGAAATTTTAGCAGAAAAGGTGATGCCAATTTCCAAAGTTACGCAACCTCGCTTCCCAATGGTTCCCAATGGTCGACGAAACAACCTCATGCATTCTACGATTAGAATATTTTAAAAGGCATTTGGTGGAGTGGAATTTGTGCCCCGTGAAGTTTACTCCACAGTTACGCCATAGCTGATAAGCTATCAGAGAGACAAAATTCCTGATGATCACCCACAATTTTGCAGTTTCGCAAAGAATGTACCTTTCGTCCGATGTACTAACAACATTCCATTAAATTCCATTAAATTACATATTCCTTTAAACCTTATATAAATAATTTATTGAAACAACTTCAGGACGAAGAGGAAATGAATTTATAAAATTTAACTCGAATATAAGGAGAACGTAATTAATATTATTACAAAATAATATAATATAGTACAATTCGAAATAACTATAATCGGATGGCAAAAATCGAGATTTCACAGATATATTCCTGCATATTGTGAACTTTTTAAATAATATGATATTACCTAATTTTGTTTTAAAGATAGCTAGGGATATCACACAAGCTATATCGTTCGGTAGTTTATTCCAGTAATTAATATTACGAATAAAGAAATCATGAGACCTTAGTTTAATTTTACCCATAGGTTTTGATAATTTTAGCCCATTAGTTCTTGTTGGATTAAAAAATCTAAATTTAACCTAAAGTTATAATATTTTGAACAATCTAGTTTAATATAACCATACAAAATCTTATAAGTATAAATTAAATCTTTTTTAATACGACAAACTGAGAATCCAGGTTATATTGTAGAAATTCTCTTTTATAATTAAATTTGCAATTAGGAGAGAGGCGCCGTATAAAATATTTTTGGAGTCCTTCAATTATTTTACTTGATTTACGATATCTCGGGGAGGAACATGTAGCATTGTAGTCAAGAACTAGCCGAACGAACGCTTTATACATTTTGATAAGGAAATCTTCAGTTTTGTTCTTAAACGAACGAAAAATAAAGTTTAGTAGAAGAGGACTTTGAGGATTTCTTTACCATGGTTCTGCAATAAAAGTCGAAATCGAGATTTTAATCCATGATTATTCCAAGATCGAAAATGTGTGAGACTCTACTGATTATATTGCCATTAATAATAAGATTAGGAAAATCGAAACCTTTAAAATTGATATGAAGAACGGTACATTTTTAAAAGGAAAGGGTAAGAGTAATATGCCAGTGTGTCCTCTGGCGATATGCGCATCACCTTATGAGGATAAAACATGAGGATTTTTGGATAGATTTACTCTTGTCGGGAATAGAACCCCAATATCGGCGCTCCGATTTCGGCAATTTCCCACTTTTTGGAAATTATTATTTTTATCATTATCATTGATGTTGTATCAGACTACAAAATATTTACCTGCAATCACCTGTTATCAATTAACATTTGCAGTAATAATCACCGCTTATATTATTCATCTTTAAACAATTATTAATTCTGTTTATTCAGCATATTCAGATGATTTTTTAAAAGTTAAAAATCAAAAGCAAAAGATTTTTACAACAAATTTTAAAAATTTTAAAAAAATAAAGAGTTTTAAAAATTTTGAAATTTCAAATTTTAAAAACTTAATTTAGAAATAAAAATAAACGATTATTTTAATTTCATCGACGAACTGCTGATTCGTTCATTACGCGATAAGTAATTTTTATTCAAAGGGAAACGTTTCACAGCGCCACATTTCGAACATTTACGAATTAGTTGCTTATTTTTGATTCTAAAGAATAAATAAGTTTACAACGAACCTACAATCTTCGGTTTTATAAACAAAAAAATAACAATAAAAATTTTTATTGATAATTTCATGGCAGAATTCCAATGAAAAAAAAAAAAATTATTGAAATTATCAAAAGACTTTTAAATAAATAAAAAGACTTTTTAAAATTTCATCAGAAGCACTAATGACAGACGTTTTTTCATGCGACTTTTTCTCTCAATTCTTTTCAGCTATATTTTCCTCCACTGGAGAGTTATCCCTTACCGGTCGAGAAAGAGCTTCTGTCTTTCCCAACAGCAATTTACTTTATTCATTCCTTTAGTGTTACCTCCCTCAACTCCCTTCATTATTTCTTTATAACCAAATATATTCTAACCAACGAAGGTTATTGCTAATCTATTAATGAGAATTAGTAACAAACTTGAGCTGAAATGGGCGAAAATTTTGATTTGCTGCATATATTTGTTTGCAAATTTTGCAAAAACTTCGTACGAACTCCTTCGTTAATTTTATCATATCCACTAAACATATCTCTCTCAGTTGTTCCACATAAAACCTGCTTAATTCATTCATAGCATCATTTCCATCACCTGGAACGACACAATCGTGTAATTCAGAGAAATGCTTGTATGATGCCATTGTAAAACTCTTTCTTATCACCTTTCTTTTTTTGAAAACTTTCTATAATAAATTAAATTAAATCGGAATTGAGGATAATATGAAATTTTAGAAATTTAATTCAGAACCAACAAACTTATGAAAATGGCAAAAAGGAAAATTTAATTTTAGCCAATTTTTCAATGAAAAAACAAACTTGCTGAAGCAATTAGATAAGCAGCTTTATGCAAAAAGTTCACTCGATGGTGATTTTCATTTGCCATTTTGGCTTTAATTTTTTGCATCGTTGAATTATTTCACTAAATCACCGCAATTTATTTTAATAGTGCGAAAAACAAATATTTAAAAGATGATTTCTAATTTTTGCTTAAAATTATTAAAATAATTATTAAAATAACGAGTTATTTAGTAACGAATTAGTTGTTAAATATGAAATAATTCCATCCTTCAATTATCCAAGAAATCATAAAATAATTTTACTGAACGAATTTAAATAAAATTTAATAATTAACCATAAAACATGAAATTTATTTCAAAAAAATAGGCAAAATTTATATCTACAAGTGTTCAAAAAATATTTAACAAGGCAAAAGCACGGATAAAAATAAGAAATAACATACAAAAGAAGTAATAGATAAAACTGCTCTTCAAGATTTTTGCTCTGATAAGCACTTCAAACCCTCAAAAATAATTCCCTCTTCCTTTGAAGAGCTTTATACTCATCGATATTCATCGTATCAAAAATTAAACAGAAAGACATTTGAAATATTCATTCAATGAAATGAAATCCTTGAACATGAAAATAGCGAAATTTGCTAAGGCTTAAATTTTGCCAAATACAAGCAACCAAATACGTTAGAAAAGAGTGAAAAAGGTAGATAACGCATTATTATAAAAATATTCTTAATCTCCAAACGTTCCTTCAAGCACCCGCGAGAGGCATAATTGATAAAATATTAACTTTTGCCATGGATCATTAGAAGCACTGCCTGGGAATTTTTTAAACTTTACTACCGAGAAAAGGAACCGAACCCACGCCTCTCTACTAACTGAGACAAAAAACAGGGCAAATGTTTAAATTTATTTTGACAAGCGTTTTTCAATTTTTTCAAGTAAAACTTCAATTTGAGCATTTAAATTTGGTTGACCTTTTTTATTTTTTTTCATAACTGCACGATCCATTTTCCTTTTCATATTTTTGTAATTCGCCATAGCTTTTTGCCGATTTTCTCGTTGTATTCTTTTTCGTTCCTTTTCAATTTCTTTTTCTCTTTGAATTTTTTTATATGCTAAATGAACGCGTTCATATGTATGTAAACGACGCTTACGCCTAAAAAAAAATGAGTTGGCGAGGCAATGCAAGTAATTAGCATCGGGAAGATAAAAAGCTGAAAAAACGCAGTAAAATAAATTAGTATAATTTGAATTTTAAAGAAAAGATGAAAACAATAAGAAAAGTTTGAAAAAGTTTGCAAGTCGCGAAAAATCCAATAGTTCCAATTTTTACAAGGGAACAGGAAGAATTAGCTAACACTTAAAAAAAACCGGGGGGTTAGGCTAAGAAATTATAACACGGTTTGTAGAAGAAATATAACGCCATTTGAAGGGTGTCAAAGGACTAAAAGTCCGATGAAAGAATATAAATGCAAAAGGAAATGGGGTTAGAGGCATATACGGGAGTTTGAAGGAGTTGTAGGGGACCAAAACGGGAAAGGGGAAGATAAACAGTGGACTCTAAGGTATGAAAGAGCTACGAAGACTTGAGTAAGCGTAGAAGTTAAACGAAAGTTCTCCGGAGATATTAAAGAGTTTCAAATATGCTGCACGCAGGGAGACGTTTCCAGCCATTACTTTACTGATGTCAAATGAAAAACCTTTTCAAAAAAGCAGCACTTTCGCTGCTCGGAGAACGTGAACGATTTCCATGAACTTCACCTGAACTTGTTTGCAAGCCATTTGAAGTGGATCCCTCTTCTTTGGATTCTGCTTCATCAAATCCGATAGTTTTCATTAACCGCTTTCCTTTCATTATTTTTCGATTAGAAATTAGGCGCAAATTTCCAATAAACTGAATAAAATAAAATGTTTAAGGAAAAAGGGAAAAACCCTTTTCGATTAGACGATGCAACGAGGATCCTCACCGAACCTAGCCAACTGATGCATTCCTTGTCTTCGCAGACAAACCGAAGAAACAACAAAGGATAGAAAAACAACTGGAAAAGAGAGAGATCCACCGAATTCAGTGATAAAACAAATTATTCCATACACTAAAGGACCGAAAATTCACTGAAAATTATCTGCGCCGATTCTTAGATTTCTCAACTTGCAGCTGCACAAAGCCGCCATTTGAGTAATTCGAAAATTATTGGCATTGTAAAATTTTCGAATGGTTGTTGTATAAAATTTTCTGTTTTGGCGATTAGATAATTAATAATTTATTTCTTTTCTAAGCTAATTATATTGCTAGGATTTAATGCAACTATTGATCCCGTAGAATTTCACAAATTCCCGTTCGTTGCCGCGTAGAGGTGGGGGGAGGGGGGAGGGGAGGGAGTCACGCCAAACCTTTACAAATTCCCTTTCTTTGCGGGGGGAGGAGGGGAGTCACGCCAAACCTTAATGTATACATTAAATAAAATAAACCGCTCTATAGTAAAAGCTTATCCACAGAAAAGGGTTAGTGGGAAGGAGTGGGAAAAAACCTGTCTGCATTGCCTTTTTCCATTTTAAATCTTTTAACAATCTGGATTTCCATTTAAATTTTTCGTAACTTCGAAATTATTAAATGATTTAGAATAACCGCGTGAAAGGATATTGCGAAAATAAAGTATACAAACGTTCCGCTTTCTCATAGGTTCTCTTTCTTTCAAAGATTGCCACTCATCGTATGATAAACGAAGATATGATATCGTTCAGATTCCTGGATTCTCGTGGGGAATCAGTGGTTCAGCTCTCTTTTCTATAACAGTACATCTTTCATTAAAAGGTTCGAGCACTACTGGTGTTTCGTTAAGGAGCTCCCTGGTGAATACTCTAACCGAAATGACAGCCAGCGAATCGAGTAACCACTTATTTTTCATACTTATATTTATCATATGATAAACAGGAGTTAATTTACTTATCACTTTGAGCTTATATCTGTCATATGTTCAGAATGTACACTTCCATTTCATCCACTGTTTAGCCCTTTTACGTGTCAGGCAGAATGTATGATCTGTCGTTTTTTGTACTTCTTATACGATGAATGAAAAATTACATTTGATTTTCTTTTAAGGCTTATAATTTTTATGATATAAAATGTAAAATTATGAATGGCAAGCGAGCACCAAAATCTTTTCTGCGTAAAGGATCGGGCTTAGCAGGTCAAATAATGGTTGGAATTTAACATTAAATTTTTATTTTTTGAATTACAAGTTGATTGCCTATTCATGTGGTGATAATTGCTACTATTACCGAAAAAGAAGTTTCATTTTTTAATGAATTTGAACTTTTTAATGAACACGGATTTAAAGTCCTGTGTAGTCCTCAGTTGTTATTTTGGTGTCTTGCAATGAGTAAATGGTTATTTCGATTATATTTCAAGGATTATGTTGATTTTCATTTTTAATTCTCAGTTTTCTTCAGAAACGAATCAATTATCCGATGTTAACAAAAGCAAATATTCAACGACGATTGCAAAGTTCTGTTACAGTAGATGATGGGATAACTCGAACGGATTCTCATTCAGGTGGTTGAAGTTTCATTTTTAATTTTATGCTTTTGCTTCAGTTTCGGCCAAATTTCATGTGTCTTATCTTCTCATTCTCATGAGCTTATCTTGTTTATTTGACCCTTTAAAGCTAACGAAATCTTGTTTTCTTTTTGAAGTGAAATGAAATTTCTTTACTACAGAATTCTTTACGAATTGAAATAAATCGGAAATGTAAAAAAAGTAAAAGGTCAAATGTTATGGAATCTTTATGACCTTTTTTGTGTTTAATTTCACCTGCAACTTACTCTAAATTCAAGTCATATTATCTTCTAACGTGCTCTCTCTAATTAACTTTAATCAGGAGTACAGCTTTAAAAATATCATATTCTAAATTACTTTCTTTCTCCTTCGAAGTGGCGCTGTTCAACTACTTTGTTATTTGACAATAATTCATGAAATTAGCATCATCGGTGCATTGCTAATTATTATTACTTATTATTAATTGCTATTTTTATATTTTATTATATTACTATTTTATTATTTTTTTATTTTATTTTATTATTTTTTATTATTCTTATATTTATTTCTGATTATTGTTATTAATTATTATTTGTAATTATATATTATTATTATATTTTGTTATATTATTACATTTTATTATTATATTATATTTCGATTCAAGAGTGAAACAAACCACTGGTGTCTTTGGAATAAATTTCGGAGAAATGGATGTAATTTTATTTGGTGATCTACCATTCAGTTGCGTCAGTTCAGGCTATCCCAGTCGAAACATAGCCAAAATAATGTTTCACAGGTACAACACGACTGAAATTTTATGAACTGAATGAAATTATGTGACAATTAAATGTTTACATCATTCGTGGCCAAGATTGGCAGTTGCATAATATTGAATAAATTAGATCCAATAAAATCACAATTTTTCTCCGAAGAGGTGGCAAAAAAAAGTGTTCGCATGGAATATATCTGTTCTTCACAAATTTTTTCAGTAATTATAACTAGATTGTTTTTAATTGTTCAGATATAAAAAATTATTGCCGTTTGGTTTCCAAAATTTGGAACAACAATGAGAATAGATATAGTGTTGACGAATTTCATTTCATAGGTTACTTAAGGTTGTTAGTTATTATTATTTATTATTATTACTTAAGAAGATTGAAGATTAGTTATTCTTCAAATTATCAATTATCAATTTTATTATCAAAAATTATCAATTTTCATACTACCTCTGTTGATGGAAATAGTGGTACGGCGATATTCTTATCTCTGGAGCTATAGACCTGGTTTAATAATGAGGAAGACATGGAAAAAATTTTAATTTTATCGTCCATTTTGAACCTATAAGACCTATAAGTATATAAATTTGCTGGCGACTTTTGTGTAATTTTTATCACCAAGGGACTCCTTGGCTTATTTTAGTCTGATGAGCCAAAATAGCGAGTGTAACCAGCAATGGTGCTCTTAAAAAAAAGAAAATCCATCAAGTTTCAGTGTCGTACACTGTAAACCCTTTTTGATTTTAAATTGTACAAGGTTGTAAGTAGAGATTACAATGTAAATTTTCTCTTAGACGAAATATAGCCTCTAATTTTCTAGGTGGAAACTCAATTTAAGAGTTGAGTTATAAATGATTCTGCAGAAGCGATGATGAGGTGAGGGACTCGTTGCATTGAGAATATTTATCTCTTACCTCACTTACTATAAGCTAATTTGTGGAAAATTAATTTAATTATATCAGTCTATCTATCGTTTTTTTGGTCTTCTTCAATGTTCTTATATTAATTAAATATTTTATTTAAAAAAATCAAAAATATTTTATTTACATAAAAATTGCGAGATGTGCTGATTTAATACACATTTTTTATATCCTCAGTCATTCTTTGATTACATAGAATTTTTGATTAATTCGAAAGGTATAGTGCACATTTTTTATTAAAAGAATATTTAAATTTTGAAAATTTCAGAATTTTTAAGTCCATCGTAAAATTTTTGCGTCAAAAAAATTTTTTCTTAAAGTTGTTTTTAATAGGTTTTAACGAAATGTTTTAACGAAATGTATTTTTTAAATATGATTTTTTTTTTTCTTGCTCCTTGCTGTGCAAAGAGTATATAATAATCAGAATAATCAGATTTTTTATGCGTTTATTCTGGAGATTCACTAAATAAAAATCCTAAATGACTTATTGGGACTCTTTTGAATTATTTATTAAGGAGTGATGTTTGTCCGATTTTATCCTTGCAAAATATCAAAATGGATTATTTTTAGGTTTATCGGCTATCGGTGAAAATGGCGTAAATAGTAATTCTATCAGAACAACTCCTATCCTTATTCAAGTATTATTTGTAGTTGTCTTGTCTTTTTTCATTTTTAAATTATTTTTTCAAAAATACTTTTTATTTCATATTTCATGTTTAAATTTTAAAATTTTAAAAATGGGTTAATAAATTTAGTATATAGTAAATTTATTGTTAATTTATATTAAATTTTAGTTATATAGTAATATAGTGAATTTTATGAACCAAAAAAACTTGAGAAAAAATTTATTTTTTGGGTAAAAACGTAGTTTCAAAAAAAAGAAGTTGAATATCTCATATGATTTAAAATTCTGGGGAATTAGTCATTGAATAAATTGCATTATAGCAAAATGAGAGGACCAATAGACCACTAACATCGGGCACCACTGACAGTGGTTTCAGAGATGACGAGCGAGGCTCCGTGTTTCTTTCTCCAGATAGTAATGTAGATAATAATGTTTCGAATGCTTTGTGTATTGTTGACGTATCCAGAACGATTAGTGGAAATTCTTCAACTTCTGGTACTTTTACGTTTAATTTCTTTAATACTACCATTGGACCTCAGACTTTTCATGAAAAGGATTAGTATAAATTAAAAGGATTATTTGTTTTTAATTACTTGTGATTACCATTTTTTTAAATTAAGGATGAAGATCCTTTTCTAACATTATCAATTTCTTTTCCTGTTTCCATCTTAGTTATCGTCGTATTGTTATTTAAATAAAATTTCAGTTTCCACTGGAGCAGGATCTCAAAGTATTCCATTATGCATTGTTGATCTAAGCGACATAAATAAATCACAAGAAACAGTTGTTTCTAATAAGCAGTCTAATGAAGGCAATCGGAAACTAGATGGTATAATTTTATATATAATTAATATTATATATTATATATTTTATATATTATAATTTTATGGTATATAATTTTGTTGCATATATGATAGGATATTTTTGTAATATTTTACTGAATTATCATTGTTTTTGCAGCTAACTCTAGATCAGTAGTTCAGAATCGTCATACAGGCGATTCAACCATAGAGTTCGAACAAATAGAAAAACAGTTCGATATCGATGCTGCATTTTCCAAAAGTTTTTCGGACATTTCTTCACGTGGTACAGATGGAGCGGCATCGAGACATTGGCGTCAAATTTTCCAAGAATTTAAAAATGTAGCATTTATCCATCTAAACTCTACTCAGTTCTTTTTATTGCTATTCACGAGTAAATTATTAAGGATAAAACTCCAAGTTCGACATCATCTTCATCGGATAAGAGTGAAATTTCTCCTCAAATACACGAATATGAAAATGGACAAAAACTAAGGCAGTTAAAATTGCATGATTCAAAGGACGGAGGTTCTTGTTATGCTGTTTTATTGAATGGAGTTAAAATATTTTGAATCAAATCTCTACAACACAGAATTCGCATTTCATTTTTTTTACCTTATTCATTTTGTAATTTTTCGTTGTAGAATTTTCTCCTATTCGCGAATCTGCAAGACCTGCATTTCAGTCAGATTCTCATATGGTAATTTATTCGTTTAAAAATGTTATTAAAAGCTTTTATCCTTGAATTTTCTTGCAGTCGTAGGAAACATCATCGTGGTATCAAAAATAGTTATTATAATATTTCGCTAAAGCTTTTCTTTTTTATTGTTCAGCATATTTGAGTTTTCTTGAATAGTTTATTATCAAATTATGTCCTTCGTATACCAGAATTTCTTAATTCATCTCTTTTATGCTATAGCTCGAAAAACCTGATCTGAAGTTAATTCACTAAAGAATTCCTGAAAATTCTGAAAATTTTTTTTTTCATTTTAGAATTTTTTGAAATTTCTGAAGTTGCTTGAAATTTCCACTTGAAATTTTTTAAATTTTATTTTTATGAAGCTCATTAATGTCTAATCAGATCCAAAGATGTGGTTCCTCTAATGATCACATATCAGCTCGTTTTAACGCAGCTAAAATTAATCATTTAAATCGGCCTCATCCACTGTTGCTGGGAAAATCGGCGGATGAAGAATTGGCTGTCCATCGTGAAAAAGAAATGCGGATCCAGAATAAACAGTCAAAATACACGCAGGTAAGAAATTTTTCTTCTTTTACCATCCTAAGAGATAAGGAATTATTTTTTATGAAATATGAGTCAGATTTTAAGAATTTAATGCAGGTTTCTCAAAATGATGTCCGTTTTGGACAATACTCCACTCACACGTCGTTAGTTCATAGTTTGGCAATGCAATTGAGAGATCTCATTGCACACGTGGATATCACTGCTGAAGAAAATCGATTAAAGATGAAAGAAGTATGTTTTTGCTTTTCTTTTTTTTGCACGTCGTAAAATAAACTCTTTGTTGTTTCATTTAATGATTTTCCTTTCCTTGTAATTTTTCCATCATTGCGTTATTTCTTATCATTTGTAAACAATTTTTAATATCGGAATATCGTATTCTTCTAACAGCTCTCACCCTTACGCTACAATGGCTCCGCTGGCTACAAGAGCAAGAGTAAGTATCCAAGCTGTTCGGTCCGACACAATCGTCGACAATAGAAGCCATTTCTTTTTCTACCACATATCACCCCATACGTCCCATACGTTTAAAATCTTTTCTGACTGTATCAGTCAGGTCTTGATCCATTTGTTTTGCATTATTTGCATTTCGTCACAACTATCAGCATAAAGGACTGTATCATCAGCGTATACAAAGTTTATACTTTGGGTTGCTTATATACCTTATGAATGCTGACAGGCGATTATCTGGTCTATCTTATCTTCTAATGGCTCTCACCATTACTGATTAGGCTATCTCCAATGGCTATAAGGGTGAGACGCTTCCAAGCGGCGCGGTCTGATGCCATCATTGACAGTCATAAAAGCCATTCCTTTTTCCATCATCTAAGTCCATATATTGCCGGTCCACCTATACGTTCAAAATCCTACCTCGCTTTTGTTGCCAATCATCACTGGGTTTAGCAAGTAACGAAATATGCGACAACTCTTGTGGTGGGCGACGAAAAACATACCCTTACCAGCGAAGGCGACGCTCTGTGATAGCATCATTTATGCAAATGGTATTTGAAGGAAAGTGAATGCGATTATGTGATATCCGCTCGACTGACCCGTAAAATGTGCCTTAGATAAGAGTGGTCAAAGGCAGATAACTTCTTAATATCCTTCACTCTCATTGACCATGTATCAGAGCCATATAGCAAGATCAAACGAATCACGGCTATATGCGGATTTTCGTTTTAATGGTAATTTCATGAAAGATCCATAAAGGTTTCGTTAGCCGGAAGAACGCATTTTTAGCTGCCTTGATCTGGGTTGTAATATCGTCTTTTGCCTGATCATTTGGTATTAGAGTGGACCCAAGATATTTGAAATCAAGCACTTCCTCAACCGGCAATGAATTTATAAAAAAAACATTTTATCAGCTTCTTGCATATAAAGCGAAAAGACTTTCGTTTTGTTTACATTGACCCTGAATCCGATTCTCGCTTTCGCATTCGTTGACACTTATTATTATTTAATATTACTTGCATTAGCATTATTAGCATTATTTGTCTTAGTTGTCAGCAAAAATGACCACAGGATTATCAGCGTATTCAAAATATGGGATATGATGCTCAGGATTGATTTGGACATTTCTTGAGTGTAAGCGGTGTCCATTATCCAGTCATCGCATAGCTGAATATTATAGGGGAAAGGAGCCTTGATGGATACCAGTTCTTATTTCGACTTTCGAAATTTGTCGCTTCCTTATATAGTCAGACCTGCATCAGAATAGCTTCCTGTTATCGCCTAATCGAGCCGTCGTTTCCATTCTCAAGGGCATGTCACTCCAATAGTGATTTTTGACCCGCCGTGCTGCTTTCATTGCAAATCTTCGAAGCATCCGGTGGCCAGGATCACCTGATATTCATGCTTTGGCAGTTTTTTAAGACAGTTGGACAGTTGCTTCTGATATCTAACTAGCGCAATTTCTACCTACTAGTATGCCCTAGCGTGGAAGTGGCTGACTTTCGGAGACATTCCTTTAGTTTGGACTAGTATTCATTTGTTTTTCCAGAAAAGTTATTGATATTTATATTATGCTTCAATAATTCAGTTTGAAATGCACTCACTGTCACCGAATTTTTTGGTTTGAGATAGTTAAAGGATCTTGGAGAATGTTGTTTTCTGCGAGTTGTCAATTTTATGCGGATCTTGGCTCGAACCATGACATAGTCAGGTCCATGAAGATCGCCCGTTTCAGCGCCGCAATAGGAACGATTATCTAATACGAATTTTTCCAACGGCGACTGACCAAGTTATAATTTCAATTCAATTTGGATGAAGTATTACGAGGAGTTCTACGTAACTAAATATTTTCTGCGATGCTGGAAACAAGTATGAGTGACAAAGAGTTCATGCTCTTCGGCATAACGAAGGAGGCGTTTCCCATTGGCGCACTGGTTTTCGATGCCATAGATGGTGCCGATAAGCTGTACGCTGTTAAAACAAATGTCTCTTTCGACTCTCTAATGCCATCATCAATTGAATCGAAAACAGTTACAAACATGTAACGGTGGGTTGCAGATATTTGAAGTGTTGTTGTAACACCAACCTTAACGTGAATATCTGGCCAACACAGTCTGGTCCCGGTCTGAGTTCAGCATGATTAGACATTCTTCTGTCTCGAATTGCCATAAGACTACTGAGTATAAGGGAAGCAAAAGTTTTTCCGGAAATTACTAATAGGCTGATTCCTGTCACAGTATGTCCTATCATTTTTTTTTAGGAATTGGGAGCAGAATTACTTTGCTCTAGTATCCTGGTATTATTTCCTTTTCCTAAACCAGAAAATACATTGAAAATACATTAAGTTATGAATGATGATGGACAACAGATTTGAAGAGTTCGGTGATCTTCTCCACGAGTTTTAAGTCTTGACTTTAAGTTTATGGGTAACAAAAATTATTTCCTCTTGTTGGCGGTTTGTAATTGTAAACGACTCGAGCGAATTATGTCCAGGACAACAGGTGGCGTAGTTAAGTTTGGCCGCAAAGAATCCCATCATACGAGGCGTACCATTTCGCTTAATTTTTTTGAAATGGCTTATATAGAAAAATTTAGTGATGACAATTATGATATACCGCTTCTAAAAATTATGCAAATCTTGGAAGATATTGGCATAGAAGATGCATCAGTAGCTGACTGTGTTCATGTGGCTTATGTATGTTCTCTTGTTAGTAAACGGTTCGTTTTTATTTCTAATAACATTTACTATTTCTTATTTGGATAGGTTTACAGGCTGCCAGAGAAAGAATCCTAGATAATAGAAATAAAAGATGGATGCTGAGCAATGTCGCTTAACAGTATCTTTTATCATTACTTGGAATTAGAAAAAAATTACTCCTTAGTATCAATTTGAAATTATTATTTACTAATTAACAAATTAGAATTAGGATTTTATGCTTAGAATAAATAATTAATAAATTTTGCAATTTTTGAAATATTTATTAAATTGCAAATAAAAGGTTTAAATTATTACTTTGATATTAAAAATTGACTGCATTGGTATTAAAAATTTGTATTTGAAACATTTTTTAATGTGAAATCATTTGGAGAGGCTTGCGGTACTTTTACGGCACAACAGATAAAAGAAATAGAAGAGAATATGAAACAGAAAGAACGAAGATAGAATTGTTTATAAGGGAGAAAATATTTGAAAAGTGATAGTAGAAAATATTAATCCAACAAAATTTTTGCGAGTAAAACAATTTAAAAGATTAACGAAAGGAAAAGGAAAGTAGAATGATGGTATAGGATTTCTCGAGGATTTCACTGCATAGCCGAATAGTATTGAATATTTCACTAAAACGCAAAGAATTGAATTGAAATATGAAAAAATTCAAAATTTTTTAGAGCAGCTTATTTATGTGCAGCTGGAATCGCTACAATACTGAAGCGCATGAGCAAACCGTATGTTACGATTGGTGTCGACGGATCCTTATATCGATTTCATCCAAAAGTGCCACGTTTGATTGATCGGAAAATTGATGAGCTACTTCCACCTGATTTGGAGGTTTGTCTTTTAATTTGCAAAATTTTGAATGAATACGATTGCTGTGCTTAGCTGCCAAAGGGTTCGAGGCGAAGCATTGATAGTTCTATTTTCTTGTTGCCTAATCTAAGCAACTTAAATTTTTGAACTAAGAAAGGCGTTATTCGACATAGAGAAAAGTTTGATTAAAAGAAAAGCCAGGAGAAAGAAGTTCTATAGATCAATAAGCAAAAGAAAAATAACCTCAATTTATTCCATTTAAAAGGCATTTGTCAAGTAAAGTAAGGAGTTAGCTCTCGCTATTTGTGGTTAGGCTACTTGGCTGTTAATAAGGCTGGAAATTTTTACCAGAGAACCACTTGATTAGAGATAGAAGTAAGCTGCCCGGATTTTTAAAACACCATATCTATTGCATCTATCGCCCAAACTTTGTACTGTTTTTGATGAAACTTATCCGCAAAAAAGTAATGAATGAAGTATAGAAATTTATTTTGTAGTATCAGCTAATGCTATCGGCTGATGGAAGCGGCCGAGGTGCAGCACTAGTTGCAGCCGTTGCGACAAGAATTAAGCAAGAATTACAGAACACTCGTTAGTTGAAGTAATTCATTACCGCAGTGATGCACCTTACAATTTTTTTGCCTTTAGCAACGGAATATGCGTAATGAATTGCACTCCTTTTTTTAAAAATTAATTCCCTAAATTGAGAGATGAAAAATATTTCGAAAAAAATTGTTTTAATAAATTTAATTGAAATTTTCAAAAATCCAAATAATTCGCTTAAATTTTCGTCGTTTCTCCACATTTTTCGAATAAAATTTCCACATTTAAAAATTTCTTTTAAAAAATACAATAAATATCTTTCAAAGATATCTCAAATTAATTAGTTATTTATCGTAATTAACAAACTTTTAACTTCAGCCATTTTTGGCTTTTTGTTTATCATTTATTAAACTTGAAATACTAATTTTGGAAAATATTACTAAAAATCCAAAGAGTTTATGGGACAACAAATATTAAAAATAATTTTATTTTATTTTTTAAAATTAAAATTCATTTGAATAATAATCACGAATAACGCTAATTATAACCACAAAATATAGAATATAAAGGATTGTCATAAGTGAGTAACTTGTCGACTTGGCAAAATTACTATGATTTTGAGTAATCTTTTTAAGTCCTATAAATAGCTGTACCTGTATATACTTATTTACTGGAAAACTCTAAGATATTAGCGGCAGATGAGCGACAAACCAATATAATTCTTCTTCATTACCATAAATCATCTCGAGAAATAGAATTTTGGCGGTTGTGAAATATTTTTGTACAAAGCTACTAACCGTGGTAACAAAGTGAATAAATTACTTTAGCACATCCCGCAAAGCATTAAAGGGCACATTAAGCGATTTTTGGATACTTCATCGAATATATAGAAAAAATAACGAAAAACGATAAACAATAAAAAAGGACTGAGATAAATCTGAGATTTGCCCGTCAAATCTTTTTAGTTATCGACTTTCAAGAAATTGCTGCCGAAAAAAATTCGAGAAATTCAAAGCCACAGTATGATAATTATTATTTTATATAAGAACACTTTCATTTTTGATAGCACTGATATTATAAATTTTATGAACAGCCTTCTTTAATCTTACATTTGATGATTCTTTAGTTTTGCACGAAGTTCCATCAATTCCAGGTAGTGTGGAAGTTGTTGACGGTGATGCACTGGAATTTCATCATTAATCTTAATTTTTAATTGCTCCGATCACAAATTTCAATTTTTTTCGAATTTTTAAGCTAAAGGCCGAGTGGCTGTTGCTTAGATTACCATATCGACCAGTTGATTCTGCTCCTGCCTCGCCGATAAGAGTAGCCTAAGAAGCCCATTCGTATTTCCTATTCTCAAATGATTTCCTAAAATTTTTAGTCCTACTAATTGAACCAAAAATGATAAGTGCCAACCACCCACTGATCTTTAAATAAACTCTTTAAAGTAATTTTAAAGTAATCTTTAAAGTAATTTTCTTAAAAAATTTTAATTTTTGCGCCACACTGATAAAGAATAATACAAATTTTTTAGATGTTGCAATTATAAATCGTTTTTTTAAAAAATTCGATTAAATTTTATAAAATCACTATTCATAAAACGAAAACATACACTGGAAAAACGGCTGAGAACGTTTTCCTTCGTTTTATAAGAAAAAATGCGATAAGAGAAATCAAAATTATAGCAGTCGTAAAGAGGATTATTATTGCCAACGATATGTTTGTGTTGACCATTAGTTAAACTGCTTTTGACTGAAATATCTAATTCTTTCTTACGATGAATTACGTGATCATAAGCAATAAAGTGACAAGAAAAGATCGCTGCCTACGGCAAAAATACAATTACCATAATAACTTAACTTCAATAACTGAATACAACTATGCTTTTCATTTTATACCCTTTATTAGTCACACAAAGGAAATGTAGTGGAAATGACGAAATAAAAAGCTTAGTAAGGAAAAATTTGGGATTTGGGAAAATAATATTTTGGAATAGTAACTTTGGATGTTATGATAAGGACTAACATTTCGAATCGTTCTGGTCAATTTTTCCATTTTTTTACCTACGAAATGGTAAATACAACGAATAGGATTCAGAAAAATGAATGACATGAATAAGAAACAACATTTAAGAGCATTTAATTGCGAATTAAAATTGTTCCTTTTGGTATTGGCTAAAATGAAACTAATTCCGGATTGGTGCTAAGAATCATTCACAATATTTCTAACCTCAAGTAAATACGTTGCGAAGGAGTTTTATTCTTAGAAATAGCGGAACCAGCCAAACCAGAAATGATGAACGCTATTAGAAGACGAAGAACGAATAAAAGTAATCGAGAATATTTCTTCGTTTCGCATCATCAATCTTTTTATTATCATATTACAAACTAAAATTTCTCGCATAATTTTTATCGAAGTCTCAATTTAAGTTCCATTTTTTCTTCAGATAAACAAGAAACAACGATTATTAAATTTTTATAATTAAATTCCCGAATAGTCTTGCGAACAGCAAAATGAATAAAACAAAGAAAGTGGGAACATTTTGGTTGAGTGAAGGAGAATTTGGTGGTGGAATAAAGAAGGCATGCAACGATATGGTTGCTGAGTTGGTTACCTTTTGTTTTATAACATAAATCGCATTATTACACCACCATCGATGCACAAATTTTATTACAAATTCTTCATTTATTTCTTCACTTTAATTGATTGTTTTGCCTAGAGATTTTTTATCGACATTTATTGCTAAAATTTTTAAAAGGCCACTCTTTTTAAAAAAATATTCTTTAGATGGAAATCAAATTGAATTGAAGATAAATAAAACGATGACTGGAAAATATCGTCGAGTGGTACATTGCTCCGGCTGAATCGAGCCGTGAATTTTGCCCGCTGGTGGCAGCAAACCCTAACTATTAGCAAAAAAGCCTATATTTGTCGGCAAACCCTATGGAAAAGAAGCCTCATCCTAACAATCTCAGAAGTAAGATAAACAAGAAATATCAAGTGCTGATTGAAAAGAAGAGAAAATTTGGGATTAATTAACGTAATACCATTAACAAATAGGGCAGAGTAGCTCAGTGAGTTTTTACTCTCGTAGCGCAGATGATGGAAGTTCCCAGTTGGAGAATTAATCTTTCAAAAAATTCGAGTGGTGCTGTCGACCTATCTCTATTTCTATCCCTAATTGTTCCTGGAAAATTTGGTGTGAAAACCCCCAGAAATAATGAGAACAATTAGAAATAATGAACCCTATTTAAAAATTAATAAATAATAAGCAAAATTTAAAATAAATTTAAAATACGAAAAAAGATGTAAATAAATTTTGTAATAAAATTTTTTTTGCGCTATAAATTGATTCTAAAAGTTTTAGAAAAAATTTTCGTCTATTTTCAAAATATTCTGTTTATTAATTGTTTCAAAATGGAAATTTCAAAATTTAAAATTTGTAAATTCTAAATATAATAAAATATAAATATAAAATATAAAAATATAATAATTCAGTAATCAATTTATTTACTAATCATTCAGTTTTTTTTGCGCCTTTGATCATCTTTTTTCGCTCTATTGTCGTCGCTTTTATTGTTCTTTTTTTTCTTCTAACAGCTCTCACCATTACTGGTTAGGCTGGCTCCAACGGTTACAAGGGTAAGACGCTTCCAAGCGACGCGATCTGATGCTATCGTCGACAGTAATCAGTAATAGAATTGGTGGTCCATTCCTTTTTCCATCGTCTAGGTCCATATATTGCTGGTCCATCTATACGTTCAAAATCTTTTCTGACCGTATCAGTCCAGGTCTTGATTGGCCTACTTCACTTTTGACGCCTTCCATCACACGGTTTGGCAAGTAACGAAATATTTGGCAACTCTTGTGGTGGACGACGGAGGACGTGCCCTAACCACCAAAGGGGACGCTCTGAGACAGGTGGTGTTTGAATGAAGATAGATACGATCATGTGATATTTTATCCACTCGACGGATCCGTAAAATATACCATAGACAAAAGAGGTCAAAGGTAGATAGCTTCTTAATTTCATCCACTCTCATTGGCCCTGTCTCAGAGCCATACAATAAGATCGAACGAATTACAGCTATATAGATTAGCACTTTCGTTTTAATGGTAATTTCATGACGGCTCCATAAAGGTTTCGTCAACCGATTTGGACAATATTGTAGGAGAAAGGACGCATCCTTGACAGACACTAGTCTTATTTCGAAGGATTCTATCAGTTACCCATATACACAGAAGCTCATAAAATGCCTTTATGAGAAGAATTATCTCTGAAATACCGTCGTATTCCATCATCCTCTAAAGCGCCTCTCTATGAATTGAATCAAAGGCAGTCGCAAAACCGATGAAATATCTGAGTTGCAAGTATCTGGAGCGATTCAAAACCTTTCTTAACGTGAATATCTGGTAAGCACAACGGCCCCCGTCTGAATCCAGTTTGATTAGGGCGTATCCTGTTGTCTCATACTCCCATAAGTCTGTTGAATATCTTCAATTACTGAAATTTAAGAATTACGGTCTGTTCAGTTAAAAAAGCAGTATTCACCAGAAAAAGCTTATATACTTATTAAAAGAAAAGCAAAAATTTTCGCCGAGACGAGTCTATTAGGCTAATTCCTCGATAATTGTCGCAGTATGTCCTATCATCTTTCTTGAGAATTGGGAGCAGAATTGCTTTACTCCAATCATATTTCTTTTTCCCATACCAGAGAGTACATTTGTTGAACTTGTGTAAATGAAATATGATGTCATGTGTTCCACTTTTTTTTAAAAGAACCTCGAATACCACATGCAATATTTAGCATCTCTTGATCACTTCTACGCTCATTTATATCACTCCCCAGCATGGTTGATTTAAACTCGAATTAAGACCAATATATTGGAACTAATGGCAAACAGATAAGACTTGCCAAATTAACAGAACATTCGTAAAACTACACTACCGTACTATTTAGATAGCTTTGAATCGCTTTGGTTTGTTGTCCATTATAAGTTTTATTCGTTTTTTTCTTTTACTAACATATAACCCTCCTTGGTTCCATTGAAATAAATAACCAAATAAATTGCTGTTAATAGTTTTATTAAAAATATATAAAATATAATAAATATATTAAAAATATAAGCTGGTTGCAGCCAGTCTGCTCTGGTATGACTTAACAAATATATAATTAATCCTAGTGTAATTTTTATCCATAGCTGTTGTCGAGAAAGATATTATATGCGAATCAAAATATTCCCTATGCACGCGAGTAAGAAAATTTATTATAACAATATTATACCCAAACCATTCTCCTTAAAAAAAAGCAAAAAAGTAAAAACATACAAGAATTTACAAAAAACTGACGATGGCATCAATCGTTTTTCAGAAGTTTATAAAATTCCGGCGAAAAAAAAACTTGATCATCACCATCGACACCAAATAAAGTAACAAAGAAAATATCAAATTTTTTGCCAATTTTTATAATCAACAAACTTCGAAAAATTCAAATATAACAGAATCGCTATCATGAATTTCTTTTCTAAATCAAATAAATAAAAATAAATTATTCTTTAAAAAAAATCTCAAGATTTGAATAAAATCAAAAAACGCTGAAAGAACATTCGCGAAAAAGAATGAAAAAACAAAAAACAGAGAAAATTAAAAGAGAAAAATTACCCAAAAATTATCACCACAATTATAGAAAGGCTAAAAATGTTTGAATTAAAAACGATAAAAATGTTAAAAGGAATGTCTCTCCATCTTTGTTGTTATCTTTCACCACAGTGGAACTAAAAAAGAAATTCAAGACACTCCCTTTTATGAAAAAATAAATTATGAAAAAAATAAAAAAATTCACGACAAATTGTCAGTATTAAATATTCTCAAAAACTCAAAAATTAACAGAAAATTAACACAATCATCAACAAAATTTTTTAAAACGATTTAAAACAGAGAAATAGCAAATATATTAAAATAGCTTAAGAATAACTAGAAAATAAATAAAAGCATAGAAAAAATCTTTTACAATAAAAAAATAAAAAATAGATGTAAAAACAATAGAAAAATTTTGCAAATATAAATCATGCAAAATACGATATTATTAAACTTTCTCTTCGGTCGCCATATTCAGCTGAATTATCCATTCTTTTTAAATTACAAAAGATTCAAAAAGAATCGACAAAAGTACCACACAAGCGAAAAAAAAAGATTACAATCGACAAGCAATTATTTCTGTTCGATCCGCATTCTTTTATGATTATTCCCATTTATATTAGTAATGTGCGTATACATATAATTGGTCTTATTAACTTTATGCTCAGGCGCTATAACATAATTAATATCCATACCAGTGTTTGATTCCAAATAGTCATCGTCCAACGGCAGATAATCATTATAAAATTGTGAATTATTTACTTTTCGCAGTTTCATTAAATTCAATGAATTCTGTGACCCCAAAGAGCACGATTTAGAATGAACTTTATCACGTAATGAATTAAAAATATTCATATTTTTGTTTGAATTGATATAATTATCTGTGGAAAAATAATCCATTACCGACTGTTTTTTTCCATACACACTAAAAAACAACTATGAAAAGGAAAAAATACAAATTTGACGGTTAGTAATTTATTAAAAAATGACGAATAACGATAAAAAATGAAACCATTTTAAAGTAAGAAATTTGAATTGATAACTTTTGATTTGATGGAAAAATAAAATGGAAATTTCAAAACCTTGGCGATAAAAAAAAATCATTCTCCTCTTCATCACCATCACAGAAAGATGTTGCTAGAGGATTTACAAATTGCATCAAAGTTCGTGAGCGCCCTATAATTGCATTAATGCATTATAAATGCATAAAAATTGAGATAAATGATAATTAAGATAAAGCAGAATAAAGGAAAAACCTGGTAGATGAGTCTTTCTTGTTTCTTGATTTTGCTGTTGTGGTTCATTAGATTGTTCTTCCGAGTCATTGTTGTGAACCTGTGACAGAGGCGATAAATGAGGTGCAACAACAAGACAAAGAGACAGCAAAAGAACAGCTAAGCAAGTGCCCGAATTTGAACTTCGCTTTGCATTATTTGCAATAATTACTTGCAATTTCCGAAGCTGCAGTAAATATGTTTGATTCAATTTCGACAACTGCTCAACCTAAAATCCTTGATAATGAAAAAAAGCAACCAAAAAAGTGCCGTCTAAAAAGTTTAGTAAAAAATAATTTTAAAAAATATATCAAAAAATACCTACCTGTTTTCTTAAGGCAATATTCTCTTGACTACAATCTTCGACTCGGTCTTCTAACGCTTCAATATAATCCTAAAAAAATTGTGAATTACGAAATTCCATTAAACTGCATTATTTTGTAAATAAAAAACGGCAAATGGGGTATACCTGTTTCCTCTTACGACTTGTTTGTGCAGAGCGCTTATTTCGAATTTTTCGTCTGATTCGCTTCAATTCTCTTTCCTCAGCTTTGGTTAATGGATAATTTTCAGGAAGAGTGATGTTTTCCTTCTTACATAATCGCTTTTCTTCTTCCGTTAATATTAATGCTGGATATTTATGAGTTCTAATGCGCTCTTAATTCAAAAATATATAGAAATACCAAATAATATATCAAAAAGACCTAACTACAATTTTTGGCAAACTATATACCAAATTTAAATTTGTTCAGGTTATCGCTTTAATAAAATATTTCCGAAAAAGCAACAGTATCCTTTATCTTTTATTTTGAAAAATGGTTATTAAATCCATAACCAGTTATCAAAAAGTTATTAATTAAAATAAATTTGATCAACTTTCATGATTCAATCGCTTTCAATTAACCTGATATAATATTCTGCTGAGAATTATTCCGGTCGATATAATTTGAGACATTGTTGCTAAGTGAAGAATTCAACGACGTGGTATTTGGCGAATTTGATAAGGACTTACTAGTGATAAATGAACCGACTTGCGAAACTGGTTCTCAAATCACAATTTAAAAAATTAATATATAGAAATGACGATAAATATGCTATTTTTCACATGCAAAGGCCAAAAAATATTGTAAAAAAAAAAAAAATTTACTGAAACGAACGACTGTTCGATGTTTGGCAACGGATGGTCGTTTTGGAGTACTGACAACTGTATTAATGGCTGGAGGAGAAGGTGGTCCAGATTTTTGAAGATTAAAAAAATCATTTTTTGCTTCCTAAAAATGAAAAATTAAGGATAAAAATTGCCGACGAATCTCCCAAAAATTTTAGACTTTACTTGAAGAAAATTGAATCGCTCATTTGAAATAAAGGATTCATTAGGCGATGGCGTCCTGTGATTACTACACGATGAACTTCCTGATGATAGCCCTTCTGCATGCAAACATTCAATAAATTAGATTTCAATCAATGAAAATAAAAAATGACTCTAATCAAATAAAAAAACTCGTTAATGAAAATTTTTGGAATTTTTTAAGCGATTGAGCAAATAATGCAAATAATTAGAATTTACTAATATTTACCACAAATAGGAAAAAATCTCTAAAAAAAATTTGATTTCTCGGTTATCGAATGTTTTACAAAAATAGAAATTGCCACAAAGGAAGAAGAACACAGAAAATTAAATCAATATATCATATAAATATGAGTGAAAGAAGGATATCTGCAAAAGGAAAATGATCCGATAACCGACAAGTATTAGAAATATTAAATAAGTATTAAAAAATATTAAAAATATAAAAATAATAAAAAAGGATATTTGCAAAAAAAACACAAACCTCCTCTTGCTTCTTCAACAAGAGCATAAGAATGTTCATTGTTATTGCTAATATCACCGATATAATTTTGCTCATTTAAATTTTGCTCATCGTGAATAAGTAAATTATTAGATATTTCCGGAAATAAGTTAAATAATTCATTATCGCAAATCGTTGAATTATTTCCGCCATAAAATGTATCAGTTGTATTAAATCCAATATTTAGATCATTCGATAACATTATATCATTATTTAGATCGGCAAAAAAATCATCAAAAATCAAATCGGATATTCCATCGACCATCGCCGTTCGTCGTTTTCAAATACCTGAAAAAAAACATCGTAAAATAATCCAATTATTTCTGCAATAACTTGGTAATTACCGCTGATAGAAAATCAAATTTAAAGTAAATTTCATAGAAATTTTAAAACTTAAAAAATCAACTGCGAAAGTTAGCTGCAAAAAATATCTGAAAAATCGAATAAATCTACAAAACTTATTAGAGATATATGGCAAACCAAAGTCGAAATCCGAACAAAACAAAGTTTCATAATTTTATAATTTTTCATAATTTTACACTAGCGTCGCTCTACAGCTTAGACAAATATCTTTAAAAATCTGCTCAGAAAGCACATTTCTTGCAATGTTTCCAAGTATTTTGAGCGATCCTGGTTAGTGTCGCTCGGTTTCATTAAATAAATGAAATATTCCTTTCTTCAATAATAATTGCGCATGCCGTTTATCTATGCCGCTAATTCATTATGAAATCCAGTTTTTCCTCTCGAAAATTAAATCGATAAAGTCCCATGCTTCAGTCGTTTTTTTTTAAAGCTAAATGAATATTTCTAGTACTATTTAATAGTCACTCTTTGGTAGAATAAGCAGAGCAATAAGAAACAAGCAAGATCATTCGATAACATTATAACATTATATCTATTCTTAAAGTAAATTTTTGAATTAAAGAAAATGATTTTTTGCATTGGTACGAAATTAATTTTAGTACGAAATAAATAAAGTTAATTACACGGCACCAGATTATCGAATGAGAGTCTCTTAATCACTGTGAACTGCTGAGATTAGGATGAAAAACTTTAATAGCTCGAAGAATTATAACTTTTAGCACTTATATGAACGTGTAAATTCCTCAAAAATGATATACCTTTATAAGACAAAATCTATAAGACTTTTTTGCCAAAATAATTTGCATATTGGAAAGGATCTGGTGTTTTGAGCCGTCCTGGCTAGTCCCGCTCAGTGAACTGTATGGACTTAGACGATCAAAAAAAGAAATGGCTTCAGTTACTGTCGACGATGACACCAGACCATGCCCCTTGGAAGCTCTTACCCTTGTAGCCGTTGGAGCTAGCTTAACCAGTCTTAACCAGTAATGTTAGAAAAAAAAGAAAGTCCCGTTCAATCCCATCAACTCTGGATTTTCGACACAAAAAACTGATACTGATACCGGTCGAAAGAAACTTTTGCGAAATTTCTAATTCCAATTAAAATCCATCATAACTTGGAAAAAACTAAAACTCCGGGTAATATCCGAGTGATAACGAGTATTAGCCCGGTACTTCCATTTCCTAATGACTGCCGGAGAAATCCTATTAAACTGAAACAGACCCATTTCTACTACTGCACACATACCACTGCATCCTCTCTACTATTGAGTGTAGGATAAGTGTTTAGAGGCGTTTAGCCCTTTACATTTTTCTAATTTTTATTTAGTTTTAGCTTTGATATCTGCCATCCAGACGTTGGCACTTATAGCTCGGTTGTTGCAATTTTTTTACCAAAGTCAAAGGAATTTTCTTTAAATCCCTAAAGCACATCCACTTTCATGACCTGTGACCCGGTAAAATGATCGATCTAATATCACAGAAAAAAATTATTAAATTTATCAATTAACGAAAGCGTAAGAATAACGATGACCTAAAAATACAAAAGAATGAACGAGAGAAGATCGCATCGATCGTACAAACCAAAACAGATCGAAATTTGTAACCTAATTCTCGCCAATAAAAATTCTGGAAAAGGTCGAAAGTGTAAAACATGTTAGCCATAATGAACTTATAGAAAAAGAAATGGTTATTTAATCAAATCAGGAAAATAAAGAAGTACTGCATTGATCAATATTTTTTATTAGCAACCATTTTGTACGATTAAAAGACAACCGCGCAATCAATAAATAGGTCATGAGCTATGGAAAGCTCGAACTCTTTTGCCTCAAACCACTAACCACGAGGAAAAAAGCAAAAAACAAAGCAATAAATGATAAAGCATATTTCATACAAAAAAATATTAAATATATGTTCATTCCACCTCTTTTAAAAAAAAATTTTTTGATAAAAATATAAAAACAAAAACAAATATAAAAGCAAATAATAAAAAAAACAAATTATAAAAAAATCATTATCTATCAAGTTTGAAACTTTTCAGCGAAGTGAGTAGCCAATGGGCAAAAGTGGATCGGATCATGTTGCATGTTGAGAAGCAAAAGTTCGCGACAAGTAAATCCACTATTAAAACCCGGCTCGCGAACTACTTGCAATGACTCCCTGGCAAAAACCTAACTAGCAGCATTAAAAATCAGTCTAACCAGAAAGAGCGCGTGCCAACCACTTATATTTTTCAGTTGTTTAACACGATGCCGATACTCATTTACTAGGAAAAAGCAACACAGATATATATTTTATGATTGTATAACACAGCAAATAGAATGAATTCCTGGCGAGGAAATAATATAATAGAATATAATAAAATATTGTGTAAAGAGATCATTTGATTGTGCACCGCAGTTATAAGCACTGAACAGTACTGGTCAATTGGTGGCTAACATTTAGGCTCATTTCACTACCTGTTGGTATGATGGCGACATTTAATACACAGAGACATTAGGAGGTAAAAGAAGGATTATGCAAATATCGTGTATTCTTTTAATGGCAGGTTTAATTCTGCCGGAAGAAAGGTCCGATCTCTGACGAGACGATAACCTAACCGATATTCCTTTTCAGTTGGTACCGTCACCGACTCGTTAGAAGCAAAAAGAAAAATTATAAGATGAGATGCGGTATGGATATAAGAAATTATCGAAAAATAACACGAAAAGTAGACCTCTCTGCGACGTAAAAACTTTGCTATGGACCAAATAACCGAAAAATTACTGCGCTCCTGCCTAACGGAAATGACCAATCCATCCGCTATAATTTACTTAACCGATTCACTTTCCCCCTCTTCATCCACCTACCATCTGAAATTGCCATCCCCACTGTAAACCAACTGTCTCACCTTCGCCCTCCCCCTCTCCCGCCTTCCCCACCTCCTCCTCTCCCCAAATTTCGGCAATTCCTCCTACCACAGAGAACAACGGACCTTGCTGGTAACGTAAACAAGACAAGGAAAAAATGTTCCTTGTTATAATGAATAAATGATTCAGCAATTTGAGAGTGATCAAAGAAAGATAGGAACATTAAAATATAACGAATTTGAGAAATATAGCAGTCGTAAGCAGTGCGCGAGTGGTGTAGAGAAAAAATATTCGTCAAAAAGAGCGCTAAGAAAGAACGAAACAAAATATTCTTAAAATAATCCAAAATTGGAGAGGTTTATACGAAAAAGACAAAGTAAATATAATTTGTGCGCGAAGAAAGAAAAAGAGAGTGCCAACTCATCATAAAATTTATTGATGTTCAGGTTTGTTTGAAATTCAAATTTTAGTTTTTCCTTAATTTTTTATCACTTATTGTTGGTATTTTTCATCTCACGTGGTACCACGCGTGGCTTACTTTTGCGGAAGTGTTTTGATGGTGGGGGAGAATGCGAAGATGGAAGGGAATGATGTGGTGTGACGTCATGTCGTACCAGCTAAGGTGGAAGGTCCGTCCACAAGAATGTCTAATTTTTCTGTGTAATTTTTTTCTACTTAATTACTTTTGCATAAATTAAATTTGTTTTATTCTTATTTTCCTTTACAATCGATTGTTTCGTTTTTCTCGCTGAGCCTTTCTTGTTTTTATGCGAACATTTAAAAAAGTTTTTTATCAATCTAAATATGGTTTTGTATAGTGTATTTAAATTTAAAGTGGTATTTACTATCAAATATCATTTTTCGAGTAATTTAAGGCTTATTAAAATGCGAATGTTTTTATTAAAATTCGTTGAGTTTTATAATTTATTGTGAAAATGATTTTAAAATAAAGGGAAAGAATGATGAGTGATCAGCAATATTCACCGTTAACTGCAACAATTATTCGATCGCTCACTGATAAATTATACGAGAAACGAAAAGTTGCAGCGTTAGACATCGAAAAGTTTGTTCATTTCTATTTGGCAAATTCGTCATTCTTTTAAAATTATTTGATTTCTGTCGATGTTTTTCGTCTTACGTGGTAGCACATATGCTTTATGCAATTACTAATTAAATTATTTAGATGAAAAAGAATGTTGGGTTATTTCAAAACTGCTTTCAGACAGGTGCGCGAACTGCTGCAGGCGAACCATTTATCGCAACTTGAGAAAGTTCTTTCTTTACTCAAAGATTTAACTTGTACACCTTCGGGAAATACGAGAAAAGGAGGTCTTATCGGATTAGCTGCTGCAGCCATCGCTCTTGGCAAAGTAATTAAATTTTTACTTATTAGAAGTCATTTTTTTTAAAGAGCCCTCACCATTACTGGTTAAACTCGCTCCATTGGCTTGTCACATTGAGCAATATGCCATGGAGTCCCTTGGCGATAGAAATACAGGTAAGTCGTCACATCCCCGAATTTTTGTACAGGCTTACTCCTGCGGGGAATCGAACTTCAGCATCGGCGCTCCCAATTGAGCAACAACCCACTGAGTCATCCTATCCCCTATTAGGAGTCGTATTTAATGTTAATCGTAAAGGTGAGCATGATGGCGGCATACATTTACCGAAAATTTTTCATGAAATCAACAATAAAGATTTTGAAATTTATTTGGAAACTATTTATCCATTTTTTTTCGAAGTAATTTATTTCCATAGTGATCAAAAAGAAAGAATTATGTCATTTATATCGAAACGTTCCGTAATCATAAAATTTATAACAAACTTCTCGACAGGCAACAAAAATTTACATTTATTTTCACTTGCTTTTTAACCATTTCGCAGCGTTATTTTCAGAATTCTTCAGAGTACACATCACAGTTAATCGAACCCGTTTTGACTTGTTTCAACGATCCAGATTCAAGAGTTCGTTATTATGCTTGTGAGGTTGATTTTATTTACAGTTTTTATAATTAAACTTTCCGATGGTTAATAAAAATTATTTCTTGAGTCAAATTTAGTTTTTAACAAATTCATCAAGAAGCGTTTCGTCCATTCTTATCTACTTATCAGATAGTTTGTTTTAAAATCATTTTTGTATATTAGACATTCTTAATGCAGATTTATGTTTAGTCATTGTATAATATTGTGAAAATTTGCCGGTCATCATCTATTAACCATTTCGATGAATTGTTCGATACACTTTGGCGAGTAAATTTTTATTTTGTTTTTTATTTTATTTATTTGTATTCTACATGCTTTGGTTTGATTTTTTCGCAGTCTATTTGCTCTGAATAATTATAGTTATCTGCCGACACTGATCCCAATGTGAGAAGCGGTGCAGAATTACTTGATCGACTATTAAAGGTTATGTTATTATATTATTATATGTTTATTTTCCAGTCTTATTTGTTGTTGAAATCTTCTTTTCATGGTTATATTATATTGTCTTTAGATAGTATATTTAATCATTGATTTATTTTTTTAGGATATTGTTATCGCTACTAATAGTTTCGATATTGCCCAACTTATGGTACTTATTCGTGAAAGAATTTATACTCAAAATAGTGCAAATAGGAAGTTCATTATATCTTGGGTAACATTAAGATTCGTTATTTGAATTTTTAATTTTTGAGTTTTAACTTATGAAGATATAGTAATAATTATTCATAAGCCATCTATAGGACTTCTTTGATATTTGATATGTGGCTAATTTTTATTATCTTTCATTGATTAGTTTTAGTTTTAATCATTTAAATTGTTATTTGTAGTTTTTAGCTTTCTGCGATGCTATCGACGCCAAATATATCGATATTGCCGTATTTACCCGAAGTGCTTGATGGTTTATTCCAGATGCTTGACGACGCTCAGCCAGGAGTTCGAGATGTTACTGAGGCTGTTCTTGGACAGTTCGTTGAGCGAATCCAGGATACATCTGAAGATAATAACGTATTTACATTTTTTTGCCTTTCTATTTTTTTTCTTTATTTGCTATTCGATTTTATATTCTTCATCATTAATTGTATCACAAAAATTTGATGATTTTAGGAAAAATTAGCGACAATGATTAACGTGCTAATAATACATGCCTGTGGCGATGGAAATGAAGTACGACGCATGATAGCACTAGTTTGGCTCGAAGAATTTATTTTATTGCATAGCATTCGTCTTTTACCGCATTTACCTGCATATTTAACTGCTGTCTTACCATTTTTGGATGATCCAAAGTTGAGAGGTTTCTAAGTTGATATTGAGATATTAGTTTTGTTTTGCCCTAAGTTTTAGTGTTAATTGGAAGGACCAAATTTCTTATTATTATTGTTATTCAGTAAACTGTCTTCTATGAAAACCGATTTAAATTGATCAATTATTGTTTAACTTGATATATTTATTCATTATGCATTACTATGTAATTTATTTTCAGCGAAAGAAGTCAATGCAAGACTTATGGAATTATTTACGGAAGATGCTGCAATCGAAGTTGATGGTGTAATAAAAGTTCTTTTAAATCACATCAGAAATGATTGTCGTGAGACAAGATTAGCGGTCCTCAATTGGATTAGTCATATGCACCACAAAGCTCCAGCTAAGGTATAATTTTCAGTTTTTTCTTTAGAAAAATAGTTCAAATTATTTATTTTTTCTACTATTTCTCGTTCGTAGATCATAGAGTAGTTTTATAATTTAATTTTGTTGTAGGGACCAGAAATTTTTTTAATGACAATTCATTATGCATTATTTTCATATTTTTATTTTTATAGGTAAATTGCTTTTTAAAGTCAATGTTTAGCAATCTCTTATTTGAATACTATTCCACTTGAATTTCTCATTACAAAAAAGTAATGCTATTCCTATAAGAGATTATATTCCAGTTTAGCATTAATGTTATGGTAGATGAAAATAACTTAAATAACTTCTGATATATTGGACTTGATATTCTCATCATAAAAGAAGATAATTCTTGGCAGATATTTGCCTATATGGATCGTATATTTCCTATCTTATTGTCGATGTTATCGGATACTTGCGACGATGTTCTTCTTCTAGATCTTCAGTTGCTTTCAGATATATGTGAAGAAAAAATTGGTAAAGAAGTTGATTTGGAGGACTTACGCTTGGATGAAAAAATCAAATCACAGGTTATTAAATCAAATCACACTTTATTAATGAATGGTCCAATATGTTTCATGTTTCATCCTATTAAGATATCCTAAAAAGTTTTTATATGTTAAAAACTTTTACCTCTATATTCACGGAATATAGTATTTATATTTCATTATTTAAAGGTGCTGTTACAGCTTTCAGGGATTTCGCCATATTTAATAAAATTTGCGGTTAGCTTGTTGGTTATGTTCAAAAATGATTCCTCGTTACGTAATGAAAGAGGTGTCCTGATTATTAGGTTTGTTTTTCGTATTTTTTTGATTTCCTTTTTAACTTTATTTTATTTTGCAAAATTTTATTTTTAAATTTATTTTCATAGATCATTATTTTTCAGGCAACTTTGTCTTCTTCTAGATTCAGCACATATTTATCGTTGCCTTGCTGTACTGTTATTGAAGGAAAATGATATAGAATTTGTATCCCGAATGGTTGCAATGTTAAATGGCATTTTACTTACAGCAACGGAACTTTTTGAGATGCGCGATCAGTTAAAAGTTCTTGAAGTTGAGGTTGCTTAATAAAGTTTGATAATAGTAGTTTGAGGTAAAATAGGTAAAATAATACAGTCGATTAGTTGTCACTCTCATTTTGGAATGCTAAATTCTACTCTTGATTATCTTTAAATTACCTATCTTTTAAAAATTCGAGCGATGCTGCCGACAAAGTGTAAGGAAGATATCCAGAAATAGTGTGTATTTTTACGAAAACGTTAATAATTAAAACCTTCACTTTAAAGCATTAATAGCGAAAATAAATTGCAGGAATACTTAAGTTTATTCGAATGCCTTTACCGATGCTGGGCTTATCAGCCAATTGCTTTACTTGGCTTATGTGTTTTATCGCAAAGCTATGTTCATGCTAGTGAATTAGCCATTCATCTATCACGTCTTGATATAACCGTTGATGTGCTTTTAGAAATTGATCGATTAGTACAACTGATTGAAAGTCCCATACTGTCTTGTTAGTTTTTTATGCTTTTAAGAAAACTTATTTCGTCACTGTTTTTCTTCAGTATTCGTTTTATAATTTTATCGTTTTTTGCTTTAAAATCTATTATAATGATTACTGCAGAAGATGTGAATGATTTAAATATTAAGAATTGCAGATGTACGTTTGGATTTGTTAAATGAAGAATATCAACGTCCTCTTGCATCAGTTTTATCTGCTCTTTTAATGTTATTACCACAAACAGAAGCTTTCAACGTTTTGCTCAAACGCCTTCAAAGTATTCCATCACTTGTAATTTTCCAGTAAGTTTTTTTGTGAATAAGTGAACAAAAATTCGACTTCTTTTTCAATGCAATTTTTTTACTTGGCAAATGGTTAATATTGCAGTATGAAGCAAAATCCTAAATCAAGATTGAAGATCAATTTCAAGCCACTTTATGAACATTTTTTACAAGTCATTGAGCAGCAACATCAAAATGTTCGAAAGAAACATCGATTATTACTAAAATCATCAATTAAATAAGTAAATTTTATTATTTATCTTGAACTGATTTTTCCATTCAATTTTTTGCCTTGTTTTTTTCGCTTGTACTCATACTTTTTTATTTTATTTTTACAATAGATCCTTTTTGTCACAATGAAATGTTAAAATATTTTTACCAAGGAATATATAAATATATTTACTATACTAAATATTAGTACTACTAAATGTTTTTACCAAGGAAGGAACTTGACAATAAATCGTTAGTATCGCCCAGATTCTCAAAAGACTAATTTAGTATTCAACCTCGGGGCAATAATATTAACTTGCTAATACGTTTATTATTTATATTGAATTGCGAAAATATTCCCTGACTGGTTTGACGAGTTTTATTTAAAAAAAAAATACGCAACAATCTTTCTTATTTGTTTTGTTGTCATGGTAATAATTTATCATTTTATTTTAATTAAAAATAAATTTATAATTTTTGTTCCGACGTTTATTTTTCATTAGAAAAATGACAAACGAAAAAGAAATGACCATATTTCACCAAAAAAAAATTATTTTAAAATTTATTCCGAAAGACAAGATAACTTTTTATATATTTTGTAAGTGGATAATGAACATATTTAAAGATTTTATGGCATAGTGAATCTGAAAATGGAGGATTTTTATTATTACTTATTGAATATCCTTCAAAAAATTCAAAATTGTAGCTGCAGGGATTTCCAGATTCAAGAAAAAAACTATCGAAATTATTATTGCCAATTAGTTAACGCTTGTCAAAGTAATTAAAAGTTGGTTTGGTACAATTACAATCTTATTCTGCTTTCTTGTTTATGTTTAAAATTTTTTCTACGAAGATAATTCGAAATAATTATCTACCAGTGAAACCAAAAAAAATCCGTTGTTTGCTTTAGTATCGAAATTTATTTTAAAAAATGTGCAAGATAAAAATATTAATGAATAATAAGTCAAAAAATGCAATAATAACGATGCTAAAGCTATATTAATTAAATAAATGGAAACTGAAAAATTTGATTTTTCTGGTTGGAAAGCATCAAACCTTCCCTAGATAGAATGAAGGATTTTTCCTACTCTAGTTGGTACTACTTGGTCAATAATTCCAGGGCACTGGTTCGTTTTATCCCAGGCTTATAAACAAAAAAATTCAAAATATATTCAAAAAGAAATGCCTGCATAAATGCAATATAAAAAATTGTTCAAATAATAAATTCTAAATCATAATATAGGAGATTTGCTTATAATTCAAAATAAGCATTTTTGATTCCGTTTTTTTTTGATAGATCAGAAGCAAAAATTTCGAAGGAAGCATTTAAACATTTTTCGGCTTCCTCGAAAACTATAATCTATAATCGCACAAAAAGTGGTTAACACGACGAAAAATTTAAGAAAGAAAAAAAAATTCAAAAAAGAATCTAATAAACATAGATTTAGAAATGGATGCTGGCACTAATGAAATGAAATATTTATATCTAATCAATTTAATGTGAAATTTACAAAGGAACGAGTACTTGAACATAAGAGATCGGAAAGAAACCAGTTTTACCTCGAAGAGTTCCTTCATACCAATTTTCATCAATTTGCGAAACGAGATCAATTACATCGCCTTCTTTGAATTCCAATTCACCTTCATTTAGTGCTTCAAAGTCATACAGTGCTTTAACCGTTGGTTTACATTGGTTGGTTGATGAATTTGTATTCATTGTTACTGCTGCTGTTGTTGCTGAATTATATGAAGTTTGATTAAAATTAGATGTAGTATTCGCACCTACTGGCATCGACCATTCACCACCATTTGTTGATGGATAAACGGATACTGGTGCAGCAACAGGTGCTGACGGCTGGACATTCCCATGATTTAATATTTGATTATTACTTTGTGGTGACCTAGAAAAGAAAAAAATTCACAAATTTTTTCTCGAATATTCAAAATATTCAGTTAAAACCAATTTTTTACTTAAATTTTCTTGCAATAGCGAAAAATTAAATGAAATATATTAGATATTACAGAAAATATAACGAAGAAAATTATTCGAAATCCTAAAACTAATTAATTAAGGTAGCAAATGAAAAAAGAAAGCAGATAAAATGAAAAAACGCTTCCTTTAATTGAACAATTTCACTCAAACTTATGATAGGAATACTTCTAAAATTTTTTAAAAATCCTTTTTTCCAGATAGAAATGGAAAAAAATTTAAAATATTCGAAATTTAATTTAATAATGAAATTGACAATTAATAAAGAAAAAATTCATATTCTTTGACTGCATTTGGTTGGCGGTAAGTATTTCAATGCAATAATTTGAAAGAAAGGGAACCTAACCTGCTTCTTGGAGTCCTATCTGTTAAAACAGGTTTAACGATATGCTCAGTGCGAGGTCGCTCGCTTGCTTCGCTTACTCTATAAAATGCTTCAAATCCATGTTTTAAACCAATGATTATCTAAATTCAATTAAGAATGAAAAGATTAAATACCTCTCTTGAAGCTTAACATGTAAACTTTCAAGGACGTTAAGAGTTTGACGATGAAATTCTATCTGCGCATTAACTAGAGCACAGAGTTGCGAAATCTGTTCAACCTGAAAATTTTCATTTGTTTGCTTAAATAAAATAAGGAAAAATAGACCTATATATTTTAAATTATGCAGTGGGAAAAAAAAAACTAACATCGTTGCTAAGTAAATTAAACATCGCTTGTTCAGCTAATTGCTTTGATTCTTCTAATTTTTCTTCCGCTTGAATTAATTCTTCATCTAAAATTAGGCAAAATTAAAAAGTAGACTTAAGAGTGGTTCATGCAAAATGGAATTTGAAAAATGATAATCAGAAATCAGAAATATCAATAAATAATTAAATGCTAGAATTACCAACTGCTTCAAGATTAGACCTATAATTATTGTTATAAGCCAATAAAATACTGGAAATATTATTAACCGGTAAATCCGTTTAAAACAAATAATATAATAATTTAAATAGTATCTTTAACAAATTTAACAGACTTTAGCATTTTTAAAAAAATAAATAAGATAAAAATTTTCTCACCCCTTGTTTGCCGCCTTTTCTTACAATCATAATCTAAACGACGACCTTTAAGTTTTGTACGATGATGCTGAAGAAAAAAAATTAAAGAAAAAAAGGAAAAAACTCAAACTCAACAACTTTTAAATTTTTTTTTTAAAGCACTCATTCTTTATGGCCTACTTGCAGGAGCATGGATTTCTCCAGGGATAGAAGAATCAGTGACAGAAAAATCAGTAGATCGCCAGCATTACCAGAATTTTTAAAAGAATTTTAAGTTTAATCCTGTCGGAAATATATCCCTGGAACCCATTTCAGTGGGTTACTGCTATCATATCGGCACTTCGATGATAGCAATAACCCATTGAATTTCTTAATATTTAAATTGCTAAGAAGTGATTTAAAGTAATTTTATTTATTTATTTTATTTTATTTTTATTTTATTTTCTTTTCTTCAGAAATTTTTGATCGAAATTTCTCATTTATTGCAAATTTTCTGGCATAAAATGATATCTTCCTCGAAAAAAATAAAAGCTAACATTAACTTCTTTCAAATCAGTTTGTAATAAATGAGCTAGTGGATCCAAAAAATTATGCTTCACACAATCTTCTAACTGGTATTTTATGTCAGCCATCTGACGATAAACTTCCGAAGCATCCATTAAAGCTAAAATTTCAGTGCAATTTTCGAATATTCGAAATGTTCAATTCTAAATGACAACATTTTTCAGTGACAAATTAATTTTTTGAATTTATTGATTAGTTATTATTGTTTTAAAATAAACATACAAATAAATTAAAAAATTAGATTACTATATATAAATCATTTAAGCAAGTTTTTACAGGATAAAGTTCGTGAATATGTTTTTCAGCCTAAATATACGATTCTGTGGTGGCATTTCCAGATCGCTGATTATAAAGAAAGCAAACCTTTCCCAAGATCAGAGTCATTCCCTAAAGCTATTCCATACTTTTGCATTGTTTCGCCCAGAAGAAATTCGGTTTGCGGATAACTTGATGATTTTGACGTTCCTCGAACTTTCGATAATGCTCCCATTGTTGCCATTTTTGCTCTTGTGGCTAAAAAGCGCTACTCCATTAATGTTTTGCAACATCTAATTCATACTGCAAAATCCTAGAAAAATTCTGCAAAAAATTAAGCCGAGACTCACCTGGACTTCTATTTTCAAATATAAAATATTTACATTTTCAAATATAAAAAAGTCTACATAAGTATAAGTCTACATACAATTTTTTTCGCAAATTAATAAAAACCTGGGTTCGGTTGCAAATATTCATTTGTAGCAGCAATTAAAGCATTTATCAATTCATAAGTTGTATCGACTTTCTAAAAAAATATTTTAAATAAATAAATTTAAAGTAATGAATAAATTTAAAATAATAAAACTAACTAATTAGTTGAAATATTCTAAATGATATCAATCATTTATCAAATAAATTACTTATATGTTTAAAAAATATGCAATGAAAAATACAAAAAAACGACTTTTTCCATCGAATTGTATTCATCATCAAATTTCGTCGGTTCTGCTGCACCCATCGTTTCGCTGAGATACTGGTAATCACATATAATTAATTAATTTAATTAAATATTAAAATTAGACATTTAAACATTCTTTCTGAAAAAAATATTTTTTTTGCCTTAAAATTGGCAAATTAACCGTATTTTTCTAGAAACTTTCATAAAAATTTCTTCAAAAATCAGTAGAAAAATTAAAAAGCAAACCTGATTAGCTTTATTAAATTGTTTTCGAAGCCCCGAAAATGACATTTTCACTCGAATTTTTCTCTTTTTCCTTCTACAAATTAAAAATTTATTATCGAATCTAAAAAATATTTTTTTTTTAAATAAATCAAACTCAAAATCGAATTCATTCAAAAATAATATCGAACATTAATAACAATAATGTCAGATGTTTTACACAATAATAATGATAATAATAATCCATTAATCCATTGGACAACTTTGCGACCAATACAGTTGATTAACGGTGAGGAACGAAGAAAAAAGAATTCTTCATAAACAATAATCCCATAATAAATTCCAATAGGCGAATGGAAGAGATTTTATAAACAAATATTGCCTGGCCTATCTAATTTCATAAATGAAAATTATTAAAACAAAAAAATGCAAAAATTGAAAAATTTGTAACGTGGAAATGGAAATCGAAACTGCGCCCCCTTATAATAAATTTTATCGAAGAGAAATATCAAAACAAAAAGTGATCATCAGTTAACTAATTAATGATTATAATATCGACAAGTCATAAAAACAAAGAGGTGCAAGTAACACCAATGTCCAGAGACAACTCCCTTAGAACAATTCAGTCTTAAATTGATCATTCTTAATGTGAAAACGAAGTCAATTAAAAATGGCTGTCACTCGAGCTCAACATTACATCAAAATTTGGATCCTACTTCCAATATAAGTAAATGTCACTGAAACAACTCGAGTGGTGTTGGATATGTTTCGAAATGATTTCATCGCAAACGCTTTTCGTCGTATTAACAGCCAGTGGAATATAAAAAGAAACGATTTAGTGCTGTACTCGCTTCTGGTCGATTAGCCAACAATAGGACATTTCATGAATCCGTCATTCCAACATTAAAATAAAATTTAAAATAGATAGAATGAATTTCGATACGATAGCCAGAAATACATTGCTCCAACTTTGGTCAATCCATCATTGGTTCAACTCGGAATCTTTAAAGGAACAAAACTAGCAGTTAATGGCGAAATCGTGGCCAAGCTAGTCCCTTGCATTTTCATCCCCAACTGACTTTCCAGCCAATAGATCTATTCAGCTTTATTGTACCAAAAGTTCAATTTATCTCATTTGCCAAGAGAAATAATGAATTCCGTTAGGAGAAAAAAGTGTCGAATTGTAGTATTTCAACAAGCTTAGCTTATCTGTGTCAAAGTACTGCATAAGAAAAAAAATTTAATAGTTGCGAATATTATGAAAAGAAAAAATTAGCCGAGAAGTGCCTTCCTTCTCGCAATCACAAACATTGATACTTGCATACTGAATAACCGACAAGTACCATACCTTCTAATGATAAGTATAAATATGCCTCCTTTATATTTCCCTTATAGAAACGATACGATTTATTGATATGATTCACAACTTAAGAAGTTTCACATAATCACTTCGTATTTCTTGCAATTTTCTCAGGAGACTTTTTATTATTCGAAATTGCCGTCATAAATAAGAAAAATAGGAATTTTGAAATTTAAAAAAAAAGTAGTATTAAAAGAAACACCAAATGATTGGATGGAATAAAGCGACTGATAGGGAAAACTTTCCCAGTAATTCATCCCAGCATTTACCTTACCTTATTTCGGAACGGCTTTAGCTATCCTCCAATATCCGACTTTTGGTAAAAATCTTCTTCATTAATCTCAAATCATAAACGAAATCTGTTCTGTGCAGAGTTTCCAGCCTGGTTCACAACAGATCAAATGGAAGGGGAATTTTTTTGAAGAATTTTCTTCATTTCCCACAAACTTCAAATGAAAATTTTTAGGGACGTACGTCAAACGACAGCAACAATAATAGCGGCTAGCATTCACCATTTCCAATAATGCTCGCCCTATTGATCATTAGTAGAATTCGACAATTTTGTCGGAGAGTAGCCATCTAGTAGCAGAAATACAAGCGAATCCATGACACCATAACCATGACATCCTACTTCAGAATGAATGAAGTGTGAAGCGAACCACGGTGTTGTGAATGATATTCTGGGCAATACGCCGAACTATTCCGCGAATATTTCTTTGTCACCGGAAGAGACTGTATTTATTACCACATTTTCGCATACAGTATTTATACATGCGAACATTTAAAAATATTAAAAACATATAAATAAAGGACCACAGGCTTAATCAAATTGCCAAAAGTGATAACGGTACAAAAAATTTACGAACTTCCGCTAAACATTTAGCCTTTCATTGGTTGTTTACTAATAAATAAGTGGAAAAAATTCATAAAACCTGTTACAAAAAAGTATGAAACCGAGGCCGCACAAATGTTATTTTCCGCAAAAAATGAACTTTCCATCCTTTCTTTTCTCTTTAACACGAGGAGAGAAAGGACAAACTGGAAAAACTGGGAAGGTATGAGTAAACTAAGATGAAATGAACAAATCCGAAGGAAAAGTTCAAAAACTAAGAAAGCAGGACAAGCGACAAATGAACAGTGGATAAAGGAGAAATGATCAATAATGCCTTAAGGCCATTATTTGAGAAGAGAGAAATGCCCGTGCCAATAATTTTTGCTGCAATCGATATAAAGTACTACGAAAAGATGTGAAGGAAGAAAATATTTTCGATTTTTTGTTTACGAAAAATATATTTGCGCTTGAATTTTCTCAACTTTTTTTTTAAACAGCAAAACAGTGTTACACAATATTCAGTAATAATAAAGAGTCGAAGGTCATCGAAAGGTCAAATGCTAGCTGACTGGTTCCTTTTTTGCTAAAAAAGCACACGAGTTTTTGCAGCCAATAGATACTTCATAAGATTTGCAGATAATTTCATAGCGAATAAGATTATCGAAAGATGGACGCTTCTGATTGAAATATTCTTATTCATTACGAAATTAACAGCAAAGCTCATTTATAACTGTAGCATTTACATTATGCAAGCGATGAAATACAATAAAAATAAAATTTATATGCAAAATCGACCCTTCTCAATGTGGTCAGTTATCCTACTTTGGGTAACTTCTGGTTTACTATATACATTGATAATACATTAATTTTTACTATATGTATTAATTTAAACTTTGCTCTTATAACTCTTTGTGAGCCATTTCCACCACCATTTTTTAAGGATTTCGAAGATCAAATAATATTTTAAAAAAGAAGAGAAATTTCAAAGAGAAAGATAATGAACCCACTAAATTCTTCGATCACTGGTTTTTTGTTTTTCGTTCTTTTTTCATCCACCAGTAAATTTTCTTTTTATAGGAAAAAATTTAAAATAAAGAATTTGAAATCACCATGATAATTATTTAATTATTAACAAAATACATTTAATACTGAGATTTTCAAAGGAAAGAACAAAAGTTAAATCATCAATTATTAAAGTTAAAGTTAAATTATTAAAGTTAAATTAGATTTTACTTTTTGTGAAACTAATTAAAATCGGCTTCAAAATTGTAGGGTAAAAATTCTTCAAATTAACAAATACTAAATACTAAACATGTATATCACGAATTCGTCGGCAAATATCATCAGTAAACGATGAACATGTACCTTTTCCTCCCAAATCACCAGTTTTTTCATTTCCTTCAGAAATTGCATCAAAACAAGCCTGTAATTGATTAATTTTCTGCATTTCTTTTATTCGTAAAAAAAGTATCAATAATAAAATAAATACTAAATGCACCCAGAAAATATTAAAATAATACCTTCTCTATTTTTGAGGCATAATTTGATAAACCCATATAACGAAGCATCATTACTGCTGATAACAAAAGAGCTGTTGGATTCGCTTTATTCTTAAATGAATTCAGTAATGAATCATTATTACGACATTCAAGAAAATATTGACAAAAAAAGAGTAAAAAGTAGCCAGAAAAATTATTACCTGCCCAGCAATATCAGGAGCTGTACCATGAACTGATTCAAAAACTGCAGCTTCATACCCTATATTTCCAGATGGTGTGACTCCCAAACCACCGATCAGTCCAGCACATAAATCCGATAAAATATCACCATAAAGATTTGGCATAACAAGTACATCATACTGCGATGGATCTTGAACCATCTACATCAAAATTATGTACAATACATAATATATAGAATGATACAATTAGTACTACTCATCACGAAGGAAGTTAGATATTTTAACTAATATTTCTTGAAAAAAATTGACATTTTTTATTATTATATTATGCAAAATTTCTTTGATAAAAAATTTCTCATTTAATGACTTCTTCGATGACTCAAATTATATTTATTTAAAATAAAATGAAACCAAATTAAATTAAAACAATAAAATTACAAAAAAACTGACATTTAAACAGACAGTATCAAGATACGCTTCTTTAAACTTGATGTCTGGATAATTTAAAGCTTCTTGTCGACACATGTTCAAAAAAAGTCCATCAGACATACGCATTATATTTGCTTTATGTACAGCTGTTACCATTTTACGATTATTTGTGCTAGCATAATCAAACGCAAATTTCGCCACTCTTCGCGATGCTTCTTCTGTTATTAATTTTATACTTTGTACTACACCATCAACAATCTTCAAAAACATGACATGAAATCATATTATGAAAGAAAAATAATGGTAAAACAAATATGTTGATTTCTTCATGAAATTCTTCATGACTGAAATGATTGAAATTTATTATCGAAATCTTGATTCTGCATCTTACATCTACAATTATTAAATGATTAATTTTATTTATTTACTACCATCAACCAACCATTAAACTTAATGCATCGCAAGTTTAGGATAAATTAAACCTCAAAAAATTTTAAAAAAATTGGAATTTAAAAAAATTTTTGTGCAAATTGAAATGAAGCTGAAATTTTATTCAACTAAAACACTAACTTCGTGTTCGATGCCGGAATATTCGCCTTCCGTATTTTCTCGAATCGTTACGACATCAACACTATCATAAAGAGTTTTATGCCCAACTAAAGAACGACATGGTCGAACATTGGCATATAAATTAAATTCTCTATAATTATTTTTTTTAAATTAACTTTTACTGATTATTAACTTAAAAAAATCAAAAGACATTTAAAATATTCATTCAATTAAATATAGAAATATAAATTAAACTATATAAACTATAGAAAATCAATTTTATTTAAGAAAACCTTTGAAAAAATTACTTTCTAACAGCTAAATTGAGAGACCGATGTCCTTTACCAACTGGTGTTTCCAATGGTCCTTTCAACCCAATTTTATTCTTATGCATTAATTCAATGCATCTGTGAGAAGAAAGTATTAAATACAAGATAAAAAATATTTAAATACAAGATAAATTTATAAAAACAAAAGAACAAAAAACTTATAAAATATGATCACAAAATTTAATTTATCAAGAAGTTTTATCAATTCTTGGATTCGATTCAGTAATATAACAGCACAACACTGTAATTAATTATAACACTGTAATTTCTAATAGCTCATATCACTACTGACTAGGCTACAAGGATAAACACAGACCATTTGGTTCCATGTCATGCTTGAGATTAAAAGAAGTTACAGTCACTTCTTTTGCCAGCATTTAACCCATATATTGCTAGGCCATCTATATGTTCAAAATTTCTCCTGACTGTATCGAACCAGATTTTTATCAGACTTCCTCATTTTTGACAATGCTTCACATGGTTTAGGTTTAGCAAATAGGGAGATATGTACCAATTCCTGAGATGAGCGGCAAAAAAATGGCCCTACCAAAGTATGCGACACTTTATGACGATATTTTGAATAGAAATAGTATTTGAGCGAAAATGAACGCAATGTGCGACGATCATGTGCCTTAAATACGAATGGCCAAAAGCAGATAACTTCTTATACTCTCATTGGCTATATTTAGCTAAATAATAAGCCGATGCGCAATTCAGCCATAGAGACCCGAAGTTTCGTTTTGATGATGTTTTCGCCAGAAAAAATAACGTACTTCTAGCTGGGCACTACTCGGACTGCAATTTAATTTTTCTCTCGGTCAGTAGTTGATTAACAACTCACAAAATTCACAAAACTGATGAGAAACAATATCGACATTATGACGTTGAATAAGTCAGAAATTTCGAAATAAAAATAAAACTACTTAGAAGGTATACGAAAAATTCCATCTCTACCCTTGACAGGCGTTACATCAACCGGATCCCATTCAATCGGTGCTTTTGCTGCTTCGAATATTTTTTGTACTGACTGTGAAATTTCTGGCCCAATACCATCACCTCAACAGAAACAAAAAGTATAAAAATAGAGATATATTTATCACCAGCACACTTATCAGCAAACAAAGAAATAGAAAATGGGATGTTTGTTGACCACATAATAATCTGGATCAAGTTTGAGAAATATGTGCATTTAGGGAGGCAGAAAAGAAAGAAAGGAAAGATAATTCACAAAAATAATTCACAAAATTGATAAAAAAAGAAACAATATCGACATTATAACATTGAATAATTCAGGAATTGAATATTGAATCTGATCTTTTGTAATGATCTTTTGATAATCTTTTGTAATAATAATTCAGGAATTGAATCTGATCTTTTGTAATGATGAAGTGAAAGTGACCTGGTATGAGTGTTACTCGCCGAATAGTCGTCGAATTCGATCTAATAATATTAATCAAAGAAAAATGCCCTTCACAATTTAGCACTTGTCTAAGCATCGCCACCTAAGGTCAACAGTTCAGAACGAAAGGCAAATAAGCTGAAAATCCTTTGAAACCATCTCATTTCTGAATATTTAAGAAATCGTCGCTCGTAGAAAGAAAAAAAATGTTTAAACTTAAATCAATCAAGTCAATTTTTAAAATTAAATTTTTAAAATTTTTCGAGGAAAAAACAAAAAAATGTAAAATGTAAATATAAGCATTCATAAAAAAAAGGTAAGTTGAAAACTAAAGAAAAAATAAAAATAACTGGCAATTGTAATTTTGAAGAAAATCCTTTGAGATACTCCTACTTTGTCTGATACGAATTCTGGCAACCTTGTGTGGTATGGATTTCCACCTTATCCGATGCGAATTTAGGAATTCCCATCTTATTTGGTGCATACTTCGGTGCTCTCATTTCTCCTTCCAATTCCTTTTTCCCGGCTCTTAACGTTTTTCCCTTTACTTCTCCATGATCTTATAATCCGCTCCTCCTCTCTCTCCGCACCCTCCTATCTTTCCTTGTGTCGGACGTAACGTAACGTTCTACTACCGCCCCACCATCTTCCAGAACGCTAAAGCCATAGTTTGCTTCAGTGTCCCTTCCAGTAAACTTCCACAACAATACGTAAATTTAGTGCCATAGCAGATAACCTCTGTTTATCTCTGTTTACAATTCAGAAATCACCCAAAAATCATTTGTTTAATGTTATTATTTATGTTGTTCAATGCTTAATGTTATTATATCAAAAGGAGTCTCAATTACTGACCCAATAAACCCACACACAACAAGCCAACAACGAGGGTTGAAGTAAAACAGACCCCCTCTGACGAAATTCGGAAAAATAAAAATCTCTGCGCACTATTCTGCAGCAGCTGTGTAACTATCCGAGACTGATGGATAGAAACCGTCGGATGTGTAGTTGGCAGTTTTCGCTTAATTTAAATACGTGAAAAGTTGAAAACTCGTAGAAGGATGGAAGGAGGGAAGTGCGATGTGTTTGTTTCTGTCTTATTTATGGTACTTTTGGATTATTTGGCCAGCGGCGGGTAAATAGTCGACAAGTGTCGAATTAGTATTTGTTGTTATTTAATTTTAATAATTTTCAGCTAAATGGTTTCGATGGATTTGGAGAAATCGCTCGAGTTTTATTGAGTAAAATAATTTATTTATTAAATATTTATTAATGTCGTCGATAAATGGCGAAGATTTAAGTGAAGAAACGATTGAATTACGTTCAAGATCATCGAGGAATTTTTCTTCATCTTCAAATTCTCGAAATAATCGTTCCTTGGATGATATAAAAAGTTCTTTGTCTTCTAAAGTATACCCTTTTTTGATCCGAAAAGTTTCACTTTCTATCCTATAATTTCCCTGTTTGACAGCTGTTTTTCTGTCTGTCACTTATGTGTTATTTTAAAAAGATTCATTTGATATTTCTCTCTTGGCGTTGATCAAAGGAGTCGCACTTGACGAGTAAATCACATAGGCCAGTCCTTTTTTTGTTATAATTGTTCAGTGCCAAATGCCAAATGTAGTGTACAAGTTTTAATGTACGAATATTCGGAATATATTGCAGATTAGTCAAAATATTTCAATTTTATAGGAATTAGCTCGAAATTATGGTTTCATTCGGGTTTATATAGATAATACTGCTAATATTGCATGTTTGATGCCATAATTTTATAGGTTTTAATCGAAAAGAAGGTCAAAGGTGACGATACAATCAACAAAATTTCTTTGCAGTATTCTGTACCGGTACACTTTTTTCGTTCTTCCATAACTGATTAAATCATGGTTAAAGATTTGGTTGCTGTTTTTATTTGTCTTGCAGGTTTCAGAAATAAAAAGAGCCAATAATATTATAACGGATCAAGATCTTTATGCGCTTTCTTTCATTAAAATTCCAGTAAATAGATTAAGGAAGGAATTAAATTTTGATCAAGATCGGCATTTATTCATTACTGAAAGTGAAAATTCAACGAATGTAGATTGTGATGACTTCGATGATCGAAGGTTTTTTTTTCAGATTTTAAAAGTTTTATTGATGTTTTTGTTTCTTGGTTTTTTAATTATTTAATTATTTTATAAGATAATTAAGATAGATTTCAGTTGATCAGATATAATATAAATGAAAAAACATTTTTAAAAATTACAAATATTAACAATAATTAATAAAAACTGAACTAAAAAAAATAAAGCTGGTCGAAATTATTTTATTTTAGGCCACTTATTAATAAAAAAAGTCTAAATACCAGAAGCGTTGAGGAATTATTCGAAAATACAGACGCTTCATTGGCACAGATCCGTGATGGAAATAGTGTCGATACGCTGACTAACGGACAGTTCCATTTTATTGATGCTAGACCACCACAGTCTCACATTAATGTAAATTTTTTATCATCTTAGCTATAAACAAGGCATTTATCCAAAATATCACCTGAAATTTTGCGCTTGCTTTTGTAATTTTAATTTATAGTAAAAAAATAGATTCCGAAGTTTAGGGCGTCTGGCTCATAGTTTGTGGTTTAATTCTGATCTTCGTCGTTGTTCCCATCGTATTGACATTGCTGGAAGAGAAATCCGAAGTATCAGAAGAACGAAGTAAAGTAACACCGTCAGCTGATATTCAGTCAAACTGATTGGACCTTTTTGATTTAATCGGTGTTTTAATCTATTGTTTCTTTGTCTTTATATATTTCTTAATATTATACTGTTACTGAATAGATAGTAATATTCGTACATATCTTTATTTTTTTTGGGCTGTTTTCCTTGTTTTTCGAATTGCTAACTGCAATTCGTTTTTGTTTTGTTGGCTAATAACGAGACTACGACATTTTCACCAGAGAATCTGTTTCGAATAGAACTGCACTTAGATTTGACTCTTAAAGGCTGATCACGGAGCCATTCATGATATTTGCCCTCCCTCTAGCTACAGTTTACTTTATGACATTCATGTCGTTATTTTACTCTATATTTATTGAATATAACATTTTACATAGTGTTTTATAATCTTTGATTTTTAATTTTTATTACATTTTTCAGCAAGTATTTTATTTAAAACACTTCATTAATTATCAGTTTTAATTAACTTATTTTATATACGAAGTGCGGGGCTATAAATATTTTGAATCCACTCATATCTAATGGCCAAGTGAAATTTCAATATGGTCAGCAACAGGAAATGCGTTTTTATATCTGGCAAAATCTTTATAGAATCGTGAAATCACCATCGGAATGAAAGTTAATCTTAAAATTAAAGTTAATTTCAATTTAGTTGCAATTCGCACCATTCTTTCATATAAAATTATGAGTTATAACTAAGAAATTAATGAAAGTAATTAAAACTGAAACTGACCATTGAGAGTGGAAGATAGTAAAAATTTATCTTCTTTTGATCATTCTTTTTTGCATTTTACTTGCTCGCCGAAAGAATAAAATATCATAATTGAACCTATCTTCGTTCAGATATTACTTGCATCCAAAAAAATCATCATAGATTATCGCTGCTTAGACCATATTCTTCGGCGTCCATCGCAAAATATCTGATTATTTATTAAGAAACGACCGTTTGATAATACCAAAAACGAGCAGGAACAATCAAAATTTTCAGATTATGGATTGATACAGTCAAAAGATTGTGAACATATTTTATATTCTCAAATAGCATCAGATCGAGCAAATCTTGCTTTTGAGACCAGTGGAGCCAATGTATGAGTTATTAGAATTTTTTATTAGCAATTCTTTTTTACAACAAATTATGGTAATTTTTTGATTCAGTTTTATGTATGACTTGGCTGGCTGTATGAATCGACATGACGAAGCGTTCCGCCAGAGGGTTTAAGGAGCGAAGATATGCAAGATTTCTGTCGATTCCAAGAAGTGCTTTGTTTCTGTTAAAAATTAGAAATCGAAGCACACTTCTTGCCATAAACCCAATGCCTATAAGGTGTACCATTTTTTAGTGGATATTTAAAAACTTGAACGAAATCATTTTGGACAAGTCACATCGCCTTATTATAAACGTAATAAAAATTTTAGATATTTTTTCATGCCTTTAGAATATTTTTTAAGCATTTTTGAATTGAATACATTAGCATCAAAGAGGGCATCCCGGCAAAGAAATTTGTTCTTAGATCATTAAACGAAGAAGTAATCAAGAACTTTTACATTCCATTCAATACATGCATTGCGCTAATATAACATTCTCATAACATTCCGAATAACGTATAACCGATAATTATTACATCTAATACACCCTTACATGACGCAAAACGAGTGAAAATATTGGAAAATTAATTGCTCAAGGAAAAAACAAATTCTGACATTAGTGATTTGAACTGTGAGACTCGTTTCATATCGCAGAATCAGACTGGAAATCAACTTTGTTTTTTTGAAATTTTCTTCGAATGAAATCAATTAGCCCATTTCTTATCTTCATCTTATCTTTGTAAAGAACGAATTATTTATTAATATTAATATCTTCTGGTAGAAAACGAATTATTTATTGAAAATATATACATATATATATAGAAAAATTAGATGCTTCCTTAGAATGAGAAATTTTTAAAAAAAATGATAAATTTTAGAATCCGAAAGCACCATTTTCACCAAAGGCAAGAAACAAAAATAAGGCAAATCGAAATTAGACAAAATGGAACGGCAAGAACAAGTAAAATTTAAAAAGCATAAGTGAAACATTTGAGCCATTTGAGCCACTCTCTTTATAAAATAAGTGAATCGTAGTAATGAAACAATAAATGAAGTAATAAGCAAAAAGTCAAGCTAAAAAATCGAAAGAAAGTTATTTTAAGAAAAAGAAATATGGTGAAAAATGACTCGCTTACAACAAAAAATCAAAAATTAGATTTTATTCTTTCATTTTCTTGAAAATTCATAAAATAAAGCCCTTTTCATTTTCCTTTATTAAATTTTTCCAAATGCATGCATAAAAGACGAAAGTCTACGGAAAATGAAAATTAACTGCTATAAATAGTGTAAAAATTACAATTGTTCAAGAACACGAGAAACAGCTAAACGTGATCTTTCTCTTGCTTTAGTTCCCCATTCGAAGCAATATCTATTTGGGCCCGTTGCGTGACCTGACAAATGTTTTACCGTTCCAGCATCCACCATCATCATTGCTATACTTGTATCAATATTATTTAAACGAACTTTTACATCGCCATTTTTAAAGCGTCGTACCTAAAAAATTTTATTAAAAACTGTTGAATTTTAAAATAAAATATTTAATATTTACGTTTAACATAAATTAAAAGAATATAAAAATGTTAGTTATTAAAACGATCTGTTCGACCCCATAGCATTTTATCATTTCATATCAGAAAAAGAATAATGTACAATCTTTACTGTATAATCTTTAGATATCCATGCAAAACTGTCATTGTTCACTAAAGAAACTTTGGATCCATCACAGCGTTCACTAGATATTTTCGATGCCAATCGTTTTGTTTTCGTACCATCAGGATGGAAAGTACTCACTGTTCCATCCTCTTCAAAACTGAAAATTAGAAGCAAATATTTTCAAAATTATTTGAAAAAAAAACACGAAAATTGATTAACCGATGTTACCGATGTTTTTGGATGCTCAAAAATAAAAAAACGAAGATGATAAAATAAAATTTAAAAAGCATTATAAATAAAAAGGAATAAAATAAAAAGGAGAAAAATAAACATAAAAAGTAAAGAGAGAAAATTTAAAAATAAAAAAAAAAACGAAAATTACATTTCTGTATATAATTCACTATTAGGACGCCTAATCGTTTCAATTCGTCGACCACATGGCATCACAAGGGTTGTTTCATTGCTTTTTCGATAGATTTCCAAACGACCGATAAGAAAATGACGAATTATTGTTTCTCCATAATTGATTTCCAACGTTGTTGAACGGGCTTGACCATAATAATACAACTTAAAAAATGAATATATTTTAACAGTTATCTTGGCCTTTATTTTTTATTTAAAGCGAAAAAATATGCATAAAATAAATTTTAATATCAAACCATGAAGCGTTTATTACGATAAATCCATCTAACATCAGTATTGCTATATTCGTAGCAATGGCAACCACAATATGTTTGCGTATACACTGTGAAATCACCATTCGATCCTTTATATAGTGAGGCACAACCAAATATATTTTTCTCTGAACGCGTCAAAAGCTATAATCAAAAATTGTTAATATTATGTGAAATTTTGACCTATTAAATAAGATAACAATTAATTATTAATCTCAAATAACCATATCAGCATTTGGCTCCAGCGATACAGCAGCAGCAGTAGATGGAGCAATTGCAGTTGCCAATGGTTCATTCCAGTGTACAATTTTTCTGCCGCGATTCATATTACCAAATTCATTTTCCTTAGCATCCATAGCATCCAACATATGCAATTGATTATTAAAAATTGCATTAAAAAGATTGGTATTAATTGAATTTTAAAAAAATTAAAAAATACAAAACTTTTACAATACAATACAAAGCAACTTTTACAAATTTTAAATAGAGTTTACACATACTGCACACTCATCATCATTTCTGATATACTTTATTTTCGTAGCTGCACAAATAGGAGCTTTATTAGAAGCTCGATTAACAGCTTGCGAGTGTAGAGCATTTAACGCTAAATTTCCACGTTCATGCGCTTTTTTTGCCTAAAAAGTAATTTAAATTTGGAATCATCTGGTGACAATGAATATAAAACAAAAATGATTGGTTAAAGATTCTTCAATACATACAATTGACAATTCAAGGTGTTTTTCTAGACGCTGTTTATTTAGTTCGTATTTCTCGATTAATTTGTCTTTTTCCTTGATGATATCCTCTAATTTCTTCTTTTGCGACCTTTCTGCTATCTTTTGCCTGTCAGAATCAGCCAATTTTTTTCGTAGTTCATCAATCTAAAAACCAAAATCCAAAAAATTGCATAAATTATTAATCTCTCATTTCATACGTATGATTTAAATAAATTAAAACAAATGACTTGCCCGCTTTTTTAACGGCTCGATTTCGCTTTCTTTCGATTTTTGGTTACGTTTAAATAAATTAATTTCTTTTTTCAGTTTTTCAATATCGGCATCTTTTCGTTTATACATGTCTAGTAAACGATTATATTCTTTTTTCCAATGTTCGCCTTCTTCTTTATGGCGAATGGCTTCATCTCGACACTGTTTCGCAATTTCACGATGTTCTTCAAACTGCAATTGTTTTTTTGCTACTTAATCAATATTTTATCGTAATATTTCTGGAACTTGAAAAAAAATTTCTTTATCGATCATTTTCTGCTATTTTTAAAATTTCAAAATTTTCGAAATTAAGCTAAATTCTTTTAATTTTAAAAAATTTCAAAAGAAAGAATCAAAATAAATTATAAATTAAATTATAAAACGATTTCTTTCCTTTTTATTTATTTTTCATTCTATTTTCTATTTATTTTCCATTCTCCTTAATTTTTCTTTCATCTTTGCCTTTGAAAGAATGAACCTATTATAATATCCGAGTGATTACTAACTGTAATTATGCCCCAAGTGACTCTATGGTGGAAGAATCACATCTTTTTGGCAATTTTTTCGATATTCTCGATAATTGGCAAATATGGGCTCTAGTGCGCCAATGGAGTACACCTTCTTTATTACAGGATGAATTTTTTTTACTAAATATGCTTCCAGCAAGATAAGATAAATGTCGCGAATCAGATTTCATGTTATTGTTCGAATCAAGATTCGCAAAAAAACTCTCCTAAGATGTCAAGAAACGACTCTCCTAAGATCTTTCAGCTACTTTGAAGTAAAAGATTCGAAGGTAATAAGCGCATTTTAAACCGATTTATTGAAATGTTATCTTTGCAATGGCAGTTGAATATTGGTCGTAACTAAAGGGACGTCTTCGAAAGCCAGCCACTTTCATATTAGGATATGCTATTAAGAAATGCGCTATTTAGATATCGGAACTGTACAACTGCCCGAAAAGGCTGCCAACGTACAAATTTCACGAGATTTTGACTACTGTATGCTTAATAACGACATTAGCACGCAGAAATCGCTATTTGAGCGATATTGATTTGGCGATAATAGGAAATATTGTGCCTTTATAAAGCAACTCGAAGAACGATCGGTGAAGTGATGCAGGATAATAATGGTGTACCTGTTAAGATTATTAAGGATCACCTCACAATGTGAAATTTTCTGAGATCAAGTTTAACTACGATACGTTGTTCTGGATAAAAATGAATAGCTCGTCAAGCCATATTCTTGCAATGCAAATCGCCAGGATAACAAGGAACAATCTCTGCCATCCAGAAAAAATAAAGCCAATAAAATTCCATCAGAAGATCATCTCTGGACTGAACTATTCGAATATCCGTCCTTCATAACAAACAAATGCACTCTTTGACAAGAAAGAAAAGAAATAATATCTCAAATGACTGTAGTAAGACAATTCTGCTCCCAATTCCTAAAAAAATTCCTAAAAAAAAAAATGATAGGACATACTGTGACAGGAATCAGCCTATTAGTAATTTCCGGAAAAACTTTTGCTTCCCTTATACTCAGTAGTCTTATGGCAATTCGAGACAGAAGAATGTCTAATCATGCTGAACTCAGACCGGGACCAGACTGTGTTGGCCAGATATTCACGTTAAGGTTGGTGTTACAACAACACTTCAAATATCTGCAACCCACCGTTACATGTTTGTAACTGTTTTCGATTCAATTGATGATGGCATTAGAGAGTCGAAAGAGACATTTGTTTTAACAGCGTATCGGCACGATCTATGGCATCGAAAACCAGTGCGCCAATGGGAAACGCCTCCTTCGTTATGCCGAAGAGCATGAACTCTTTGTCACTCATACTTGCTTCCAGCATCGCAGAAAATATTCAGTTACGTAGAACTCCTCGTAATACTTCATCCAAATTGATTATAACTTGGTCAGTCGCCGTTGGAAAAATTCGTATTAGATAATCGTTCCTATTGCGGCGCTGAAACGGGCGATCTTCATGGACCTGACTATGTCATGGTTCGAGCCAAGATCCGCATAAAATTGACAACTCGCAGAAAACAACATTCTCCAAGATCCTTTAACTATCTCAAACCAAAAAATTCGGTGACAGTGAGTGCATTTCAAACTGAATTATTGAAGCATAATATAAATATCAATAACTTTTCTGGAAAAACAAATGAATACTAGTCCAAACTAAAGGAATGTCTCCGAAAGTCAGCCACTTCCACGCTAGGGCATACTAGTAGGTAGAAATTGCGCTAGTTAGATATCAGAAGCAACTGTCCAACTGTCTTAAAAAACTGCCAAAGCACGAATATCAGGTGATCCTGGCCACCGGAAGCTTCGAAGATTTGCAATGAAAGCAGCACGGCGGGTCAAAAATCACTATTGGAGTGACATGCCCTTGAGAATGGAAACGACGGCTCGATTAGGCGATAACAGGAAGCTATTCTGATGCAGGTCTGACTATATAAGGAAGTGACAAATTTCGAAGGTCGAAATAAGAACTGGTATCCATCAAGGCTCCTTTCCCCTATAATATTCAGCTATGCGATGACTGGATAATGGACACCGCTTACACTCAAGAAATGTCCAAATCAATCCTGAGCATCATATCCCATATTTTGAATACGCTGATAATCCTGTGGTCATTTTTGCTGACAACTAAGACAAATAATGCTAATAATGCTAATGCAAGTAATATTAAATAATAATAAGTGTCAACGAATGCGAAAGCGAGAATCGGATTCAGGGTCAATGTAAACAAAACGAAAGTCTTTTCGCTTTATATGCAAGAAGCTGATAAAATGTTTTTTTTATAAATTCATTGCCGGTTGAGGAAGTGCTTGATTTCAAATATCTTGGGTCCACTCTAATACCAAATGATCAGGCAAAAGACGATATTACAACCCAGATCAAGGCAGCTAAAAATGCGTTCTTCCGGCTAACGAAACCTTTATGGATCTTTCATGAAATTACCATTAAAACGAAAATCCGCATCTATATAGCCGTGATTCGTTTGATCTTGCTATATGGCTCTGATACATGGTCAATGAGAGTGAAGGATATTAAGAAGTTATCTGCCTTTGACCACTCTTATCTAAGGCACATTTTACGGGTCAGTCGAGCGGATATCACATAATCGCATTCACTTTCCTTCAAATACCATTTGCATAAATGATGATATCACAGAGCGTCGCCTTCGCTGGTAAGGGTATGTTTTTCGTCGCCCACCACAAGAGTTGTCGCATATTTCGTTACTTGCTAAACCCAGTGATGATTGGCAACAAAAGCGAGGTAGGATTTTGAACGTATAGGTGGACCGGCAATATATGGACTTAGATGATGGAAAAAGGAATGGCTTTTATGACTGTCAATGATGGCATCAGACCGCGCCGCTTGGAAGCGTCTCACCCTTATAGCCATTGGAGATGGCCTAATCAGTAATGGTGAGAGCCATTAGAAGATAAGATAGACCAGATAATCGCCTGTCAGCATTCATAAGGTATATAAGCAACCCAAAGTATAAACTTTGCATACGCTGATGATACAGTCCTTTATGCTGATAGTTGTGACGAAATGCAAATAATGCTAAACAATGTGTCGACAACTACAGCGAGAATCGAACTCATTGTCAACATTCATTTTATGCCAATTGGATAAAATCTCATATGACTGCATCCACCTTTGATCATATACCAATACCAATACCATCACAAAGCGTCGTTTTTGCTAGTTAGGCCATGTTCTTCATCGTTCACCACGAGAACTGACACATCATACTTCGTTACTTGTGACGTCAAAAATGGATCAAGACCTGACTGACACAGTCAGAAAAGATTTTAAACGTATGGGACGTATGGGATGATATGTGGTAGAAAAAGGAATGGCTTCTATTATTGTCGACGATTGTGTCGAACCGAACAGCTTGGACACGTCTTGTAGCCAGCGGAGCCTTTGTGACCAGTAATGGTGAAAACTGCTAGAAAAAGAAGAAAATGGTTGGTTGATTTCTGGATAATTTCAAATTTATAATCAATTTATCAATTGTAGAGGTAATGCCAATAGCAATCGATCAAATATGACCATTTCTCTTTTACTTCAGAGAATGGAATATTTTAGAGGGCGACCTTTTGGATCGTTTAACTTCTTCGGTTCCAAAGTAAGACTGAAGCGGTGCATTTTCGCGAATCCAAACGATAAGTGGTTTTTTAAATATAATTCTATGAGAAAAACGGTCCACTTCCTCATAAAAATATTTTTTCATCAAAAGTGTGACCTTTCAATTTCGGAAACGTATTTTGTTGGAAACGAATAGGGTTGATTAAGCGCATCGTAACTGCCATAAATGAAAAGAACGTTTTCTTCGGCGAGATGGAGTAAAACATGTCGAACAATCTCACCCAAATACATACCTGAGATCATTTTCTCAAACCTGCAAATATTATCACAAAATTTTTAATGCACATTTGATATCACTTTGATATAATTCCCCTCGGGAATTTCATCTTGGGTAACTTAGATCTATATTTTTTGTTTTATTTGATTTTTATATTTCCGTATGAAAAGAGATAAGCGCCAAGATGGCGGATGGTTGCGTCGGTGGCTCAGTGGCATGTAATTGCCACCGAGAATCGAAGTTTGGGTTCAAGTTCATTTGTCGACTCACCACTTTTCGTAGGGTGGCATTGCCATCTAATAGAGAATAGGAAAGTAGAATGGCTTATTGGGTAGTTGTTCAATTCGGAGCTGCTGAAATTCTATTCGTGGAAAAAGTAAGCCTGTACAAAAAACCGGGTAATGCTGGCGAATCCTTTTCTTCTATCGCCAAGGTACTTCCTGGCGTACTTATTTAGCGCAAAAGCTAAAAGAGCGTGTCTAACTAGTAATGATGAGCGCTCTAGGAATAAAAGGAAGTAGGCAGATAGCATCGTTTCGAATAAGGCCGAGTAATTCAGTTCTTGTCGAGAGAGCAAACCTATAAGAGGACAAATTCGTATCATGCTTGGGCTTTATTTAATTTTGGGCTTTATTTTTGTCTCCAAGTACCCCTATGGCGAAAAAGCTTTAATAACCAATAAGTTAAAGTTGGTACACAAGATGGATCTTTGTAAGCTTTCTGCAATGATCTCATATGATCTCATATGTTTAATTTCAACATATTTTAAATTTCTGTGTCTGAAGAATTAATGAAAAAATTAGTTACATTTGGCGGCCAGGATTTATTGTATATTTATCAACCGATATATCATAGCGAGTGCGCACAAAATCGAGACCGCCATCATCACCAAGTGCGCCCCATTCCATATTTATAATCATCTGCCAATAAATTTTACCGTTTTAAAAATATTTTCGAAAATTTTCGTGCATTTAAGAATTATTTATTCCGTTGAATTTGATTCCGCCATCAAAGGGTTCGGTCACTGGCTATGGTAGCAGCAAACTTTACATTACATTAAGAATCAGAGAGATATTGACGGTCCACTTCTGATCTTCTGGCTAAATCGCCCTCTAGAAAAATTTCTAACTACACTAATATTTAGTGAAACCAGAAATGATGCTAATTACCACTTGCTTACTTTCTTCATTGCAAGCATTCTGCAAAGTGAGTATTGAAGACAGCGTCTTAAATGCCTCACCTCTTTTGGATACTCATCATTTTCGAGTGCTTTAAGTTTCGGACACTTTTCGATCTTTTCCATATAACATGCATTGGAGCCTGTACCAAGTATTACACCAATTTCACAAGAATTCTCTTTAAAAGCACATGCCATCAGAGTTCCGACGGTATCATTAAGTAGAGCGACAATTTCGACGTTAAGATCCTCAAATTGCTAAAATTATTTTTGTCTCTATTATTGATTCTTACGTCTATTATTTTGAACCTTTGATAAGTCTATGATAATAAGAATTTTCACTTTTCGACGTAAGCATGCTTCATGCAGAAGTTGCACGACATTATTTCCAATAACATCGCTCGCATTAAAACCTTTTGTCCATGAAATTAATTTGGCAACATTAATGGTTTCTTGCAAGCATGGAAATGAGAATGTGAATCCAACAGGTAATTTTGTTGTTTTTAAATCTTTTCCATCCAGAAAATCTGCGATACATGCAGCTATATGATCAAACAACTGCAAATATTTTTACTGATAAATGAGATAAGACTCAGCCATCAGAATCTCATCGTTCACTTTCATGATAAATTTACTCCACTAACAAAGGAGCAAAAGGCAATTCAGTAATCGCATCCCATCTAATAATTTTTCAATGTATAAAAATTTATAGATATTCAGATTGCTTTAAAGCAAATACTGTCAACCATTAGCATTTCCGTCCGATTCAAAAAATTGGTCGCAAATAAGCAATCGACAATTGGCAACTAAGAAACGCACCGCTATTCCACTTCCTTTCTTGACAGCATCTGGTATAGAATAAATTTTTCCACTCATTTCAGCTCCACGATCATTTAATCTGATCAAAAGTACTCGAAAATTTGTACCTCCTAAATCAAGAGCAAGGTAGTCGCCGCGTTCGCTGCCATTTGGTAGTGAGCGTACGAATGATGGCAGCATTTTCAGAGGCGATTTTATGTCTAAAAATATTTAAAAATTTATAAAAAGTTATTTAATCCACCCTTTCTGAGGTGAATATCATTTGAAAAATCAACATGAAATTAAGGGAGCTGCAAAATAAATTATGGATCAACCTTGACTGGAACAGAAATAAATTAGAAAAATCCATAGCGGCAAAATATAGATAAAGACTAAGAAAATAAGAAAGAAAAAACCCGGTTGATCGCTTAAACCTTTCTCCATTTTGTCAGCCATTTCATTCATAACTTTTTTTAAAGCTTCATCTGATAATATAAGACATTTGCATAGCTGACGAATCTAAAAAACTAAGCTGACAAGCTGATCTTGATATCACAAAATTTTCTTTAGCTAACTTCACACAAAAAATTATCAAAAGACAAATAGAAATATTCAGTTCTTGTAAAAATTTCAAAATCATTGACTGAGGCTCAACCATCAGAGGCTCAATTTGACTATTCGTCAATTTTTTTAAATTGATTTTAAAGATAGCTATATTAACAATTATTTGAAATGCCTAAAAGGAAAAATACTTTTTTCGAATTTGCAATTTCCAATTTCTTAATCGCGGTGTCTGATTTGAATCGTTCAGGTGATATTGGCTTTCCATGACTCAATCTACGAGGCATTATTGATAATATGTGTCACAAAAATTTGAATGGTTCCTCTAAAAAATAAATTAGTCTTGATATACGGAAAATCCTATTTTTTTGCTGATTACAATTCTGTAAAAGTACGCCACTTCTTATAAATCCTTCTGTTTGCCTACTTTCGCCGTTTAATTATTTTTACATTTAGCATTAATTATTTTTTTCATTATTTTACTTTTAAGAAATCGCATCGATATTTTTTAAATTTCATAGAAATTACATTTATTTGTTAAGTTAACAAAAATAAATTTTAAATTTTACAACGAATGGAAATAGCCGAAATTTCCCAAAAATTTTATTAATATCTAACGAATATTAAATCATTTTTATTCCCATAAAAATGGAGGAAAAATCAGATTTCCTCTCTTACGCGACAACGCGAAAATGAACCAAAAATGAATGAAAGATTTTACCAACGACCGCGCAAAAATTCTATATTCAATAAATTTTAGAAAATTTAATCAGAAAAACATGAAAAAATAATAAATTAAAATAGATTTTGAAAGATTAAAAGAATATTAGTAAATAGTAATTTTTATTTTATTCATTTCCTCCATTTCTATTCTCCATTTTAAATATAAGAAAGAAGGAAGTATGGATGGGTCCCCCACATCATTCCAATTTTTAATGACAAATCTGCCAGGTGAAAGAACTGAGCCAAGCTGCCTCCTCGATATGATGCAAAGTAAGCGACAGTCACTCTGCGATTTTTGCTTTGAAGGATACTTTCCTAATTCAAAATCGCTATCAAATAAAATTTTTTCTTATTATTGCCATTTTTTTCATTATTGTCATCACTCTTGTTGTTATTAATATTATTTATTCTATTTATTTATGAAAAATAAGCGACAAGCGTCATGTGCTTGCGAAAGTAACACTAAAGAGATATGAGAAGGGGCTGACAAAACAAAGTCACATTGTTGAAATAATATTTTTAAGAGGTTGTATTGGAATTTGATCCAAAATTTGCGCAGCCAAGATTTACAGTTATTATTCTAAAGGTGTACATCAGATTTTATTTTACTGTCTTGATTTTCAAAGAATCTAAATGATAGATCAGATCTGACTTAATATGTGGGTTAAGATTTAAACGAGAGAAGTGTTTCTAAATAATTTTTATTAATTTGCTTGATTTAGAATATTGGGTTGTGTATAGTTAGATAAGGAAAATCTCCCATTCGAAAGGGCTTATTGAGTGAATTCAATATTTTAGAAGACTCCCTCGCGATTAGCTCAAAGATCAGAATTTGAATTCCAATCGAGAGTTACGCGATATATTTTCCACATAAATTTTTCAAAGGAACATTATCAACCTAAATTGTTGGAAATTAGAGTGTTCAGAATTAATTCGCGAAAATCTTCGTTTCGAAGGATAATTCGCTCATTGCCATTCGAAGCCATTTGGTTGTTTTCATTCGGGTGCAGTATTCTACAGTATTTCCAAATCCCCATTTTCCAGTCGCTAAATAAGTGGTAGAATCAGATGGAACTTTGGCGACATCAACACTGAACAATGGACCTATGCAACTGTTGTTGTTATCATTATTGCTGCTGTCATTATTAAATTATTGCGATAAATTTTGAACAATGGTTTGTTCTATCACATGAATATTACATAAATGTTTCTCACCATTAAACCGAACATTTGCGAGTAAATTTCTTTGTTTATGAGTTTTTTTATAAAATTTTACTATTTTTATAGCTATTTGATTTTTTAAATTCTTTGTCAACTTAATTTAATTTATTTATTTGTCAATCAAACATAAATCTGTCGATAAATGAAATATAAATTTATTTAATCCAACGATATCCAATCGCAAATAATTAAATTGGTTAGTTCCATTATAAATTCAATTAGTTTAAGAAATTTTCTGTAGAAAAACGATAATAAAGTAAAATAATGAAGAAAGATTCCAAAGAAAATATTATTTATCATCAGTGAAGCCAAGTAAAGCTGAAATCCTTTAAACATAAAGGACCCCTTATGGGCAAACAAAGAGAGATCTGACTCTTCCACCATAGAGCCACTTGAGGACAGAGGTACAAGCGTATGCCCACAGCCACCCGAATTTTTGACACTGACAGGTTTACTCCTGGAAAAGAGAAAAATCGAAATAAAACTCATATAGAAAAAGGATATTTATCGTGTTTGATAAACTTATGCAAGTGAGTTAGCAATACCGCACGGCTTTATTGTAGACAGATTCACTTCTATGAGAGATATTTATCGTGTTTGATAAACTATGTGGAATTCTTATAAATGCGTCAATGCATCCGCCACTTGTACTATACTAAGCCTCGTAAATTCCAGATTTTTGATTTATAAGCACATAAAATTATAATAAATTCTACTTATAATAAAATTTTAAACTAATATGTTAAAATTTCAATTCAGTAATTAAGCGGTGATCGCTCACCATTTCTGATTAGGTCTGATTTATGATTAAACTCCTAACTATTAATAACAACTGCCTTATAACATATAAATTTTTTTCCATCCATCTTTATTTTTTATAATTTAATATTTGAAATTTTTTTATTATCATCAGTCAGCGTATAGTCAATAAATTTTGTTAATATTTTAACATATAATTGGAATAAATTAAGTTTGTGTGGAAATGATGTTAAGTCATTTGCCGTGCTGTTTCATTTATTTCCGCTAAAAAAGTCGTCATCATTCGTTAAAAATGTTTCGTTTAACAATGAAAACCGGCTGTGATTGCGTTTATCAGCCTTCAGCTGGTGATAGAATTCGATTAATCAATCCCCTTCTGACAAAAAAAGGGAGAGTTGATCCACGTAATCATAGCTAAGAGAATTCATGTCAACAGATTTTCCTTTCCTCTTTAAAGTTGTTTTGTTAAGCTCGTTAATTTGAATAAAATTAATTTACATTTTAATATTTTTTTCTATCATCAAATTATTATTGTTTCTAGGATTTCTACATCCTCGTGAATCCAACGTGTTATTGGATATTGTAGACCCAGCTGTATTCTTAGGATTAAGAAAATTTCGAATGTCACTGTACTAGCAGTTAGTAGAGATTGCCTAACCGGAAACGTTGCGCAATAATCATCACCGTTGTTATTTTTTGACAGCAAAACGAGAACAAACCACGCTTAAAACTTAATTTTTTAAATCCTATTTTAATGTATTCATAAATTAATGAATTAATGAAAATAAATAAATAATTTTAAAATTTATTTTATAAATCGTTTTTATAAATTTCAAATTTTTGAAATTTAAACTTTTCGCAAATTTCAATAAAAAAGTGAAACATGCGAATTTTCATAGTAAATCACATGAACAAATGCACAAAAAAGAATTTATTAAAATCATATTTGAATATTTGATTAATAATTATTTTATGAATATTCAAAGATTTAGTAATAAAATTAAAATTTTCATCGAAATTTGCATTTTTTCTTTTGCAAATAAAGTGAAAATACAATTAACAATTTTCGTGTTATTTCTGCTGTTTAGATATTTCTGCTGTTTTTTTATGAGGTGATGGCGATTATTTGCTCACCTGTGGCCGAGGCCATTTGCCCACCTGTCGATTGTTGTTGTGGCAAAGACAATTACTGCAGGAATGCACTCTATGCATCAAGCTTGTTAAAATTGGTTAAAAAATTGCCTGAACGAGCAAATAACGAAAACACATAATGTCAGCGCAATGAACTGACTTTTCCAGTCATTTTAAGGTGCATCCCTGGCTTACTGCACCAAACGATAAACGGTAAATTTGCTAATTTTTCATGTGTTATTTTTAATTTGGACAATTTGTCTGACCATAAGTTATTTTGCATTATTCCAATAAAAATTCCTTTTTTCTAAAAAAAAAATTTTGAAATTTTTAAAATTTTGCAAATTTGAGAAATAAAATCAAAAATTCATTCGAGTCTTTCAATTAGTTTTTTGGGAAATATTCAATTTTAAAAAATTAAAATTTATAGGAAAAATTAAAATTTAGATTTATGGAAAAATTGATGAAAATTGATGAAAATTCTTCCTTCTTTTTATTTTTCTTCTTTGAAAATATTTAAATATCTAAAAATAAAAAAATTCTTTTTATTCCTCCAATAAGTTAAAAATTAATTTTTTAAATCTAATTTTATCAAAAAATTTTAATTTTCTTCCATTAAAAAGAAATAAACTTTTAATTCTGAATCCGCCCGCGAACCGTTTGCTTTTCTATGGCCAAGTGATTCTCCATAGAAAAATTTCACACGGACATCCAGCCGGAACGGAAATTTTTAGCACCTTTCCGCATGAAACATAAAAGCTGTGGATATTTTCGTAAATATTCCTAATTTCTTACAATTTTTTTTTTTATACTTAATTTTTGTTAATCGATCGTGCTAACGCGATTCTTGCAATTGCATTATTAATATTAACAAAAAGGCGCTTTAGGCACTGCGATTAGTTGATAGGGCCGTCCATTCTGATCAAATTAATTTATGGGCAAATTTTCTCTTCGATGTACTGGTATCATCACTGTCCAGTGACGTCATTACTATTATTTTTTATTCATTTCGTTAAATTTTTAATTAAATTCGAAGAAAGAACAAATGATTTCTCCTGTGTTATTACTTATTTTCAAAGCATTTATTTTGCATTCAAAGCACTTATTTTAAAACGAAAATCGATTTTTTTTATTTCTCCAATAAACAATAATTATTCTCTAAACATTTTTTAATGCTAGGCGAATTTTTGTGGGCGGGGTAATTGGGTGGGCGGTACTTATCATTGTTGCCAAGTATATACGTGCAATTTCTGTTCCATATGTACCAAATTAATTTTTTTTCCCTATCGCTATGGTTCTATTTTTAGCGACATTCTCCGTTTAATTTTCAATATTTTTGACATTTGACCCTGGCAAAATATTCCTTGACCTTTTGACCTTTTCGTTTAAAAACATGGTCGAACTTCTTAGAGAATGAAAAAAACAAAAGAATATTTTTCGCATACTTGCTTTATAGTAACGTTTATTTAATAATTAATATTGATATTTAATAACTATTAATAATATTTAAAGGTAATATTAGTGCCGATTAATTGTTATCAGTATCTAAATAGCGATGTTTTATAATATCTAATTTCTCAATAGTGGATATTGGTGCTGAGGACCCTCTGTACCTCAGTAGCTTTGGTTCCTCGCAGAAATGCGCCTACAGCTGAAGCAAATATTTACGTCTAACAATATTTATAATTAATCATATTAATAATAATTAAACAAAGCACGATTTTTTTCCGATGAGACCGGTTTCTATTACGTCTCGGCGATCCTTCAAGTCATAAAAATCAATTTTATATTCATTTTATGCACTGAAACGAATGCGGCCTTTAGGCAGTCTTGGCCGCTGGCCTCTTTCTTTTCACGGCCATTCAACTAAAATTGAGTGGGCAAATTTTGCAAATTCTTCTATTTTTATAATTTCATTCGACTTTTAGCTGCAAAATCGTATGATTTTTAGTCATTAAAGTTTCTGCGATATTCTTTTTATCTTTTTTTTTGATAAAATTTATGGAAAAAAAGATCAAAAATTAGAATTAGTGCAACGAGTTGAATATTTTTCATTTATATCGCTCTACTCTATGCTTCCAATTTTTAGATTTTGTGACAATATTATTATTATTACTATTATTATTATTATTATCATTATTATTATTATTATTATTTTATTATTATTATTATTAATATTATTATTATTAATATTAATATTGTTATTAATATTATTAATATTTTTATTATTTTTGCACCAAACGGCTTCTTCCATACGTATCGATTTCTTCCTCTCTTACTCTCATTGTTCGTTTGATTAACTGTCGGGCGAATTTTGCTGCAAATGGAATTGGTGGTAAAAGTAGAGGTTGGTCGCCAGCATAGCGCGAAATGTTAATTTGCTTCGTTGCTTTTTGCGAGCGATTTTCATCATCGTTTTGGTTTGCTCGTATCATTTGCGCTTGTTGCGTTTCGATCTGTCACTGTCACTGCACGTCTCGCTTCTAGTCTAATAAATTCGTATAGCCCCCAGGATCGGAGTCATTTCGGTGCTTCGGTGCGGGCAACGCATACAACGGTGAGGTAACCGCTGACCTATTGGTACTGCTACTGCTACTGTTATGCAGAAAATAAATAAAATTTTGTGTCTTTTCTTTTTATTTGGCACTCCTTTCATCTTTTTTGTTATCTAACCGCTGATTAATAGTACGAAACAACTTCAGAGCACTTATCGCCGTGCTGTCTCATTTCCTCACCAATGACATTTAGTAATTCACTTTGTTTATCACGTCTTTATTATATAAGTATTATAAGTATCCACTGGGATCAGATAATTAAGCTTTAAAATGTCTTATTTCCTCATTTAGGACGAAATTTTGGAAAATATGATTTACGAAAAAGGAAGAGAGGGAGAGTCAGCGCGTGGCACGCCAAAAGTGATGTAGAAATTTTTCGAATTAAGTTAGTCTTTCAACAAATTGCCTTCTCTAAAAATTTTCGGGAAAAAGCACATTTAATATTTTCATAAACGAGAAATAACGATGGTGAAAATTTTGTATCGTCTTTTATCGTTTATTTTGATGTATTTTGGAATGATTTCTTTTTCAGTTTAATTTCACATAATTTGCAAAATGACAGCGTTATTGGAAAGAATCGGCGATGGTAGTATTATTGACGATTCACCGCAATATTCATCCAGTGGTAGTCTTTTTTCTTGAAAAATTTACTCAAAACGATAGAATTATAATTAAATTTGGGAAGCGCCATTTATAACTTATAATTCGTCAATAGTGCTAAGTGCTCATCTTCCTGGTTAAGCACGTTCTGGCATTGGCTGTTCGATGGTTAAAAATTTTTTAACAGGGAATCGAGCGACGATAGAAATATAGGTGAGTTGCCAGTACCACTCGGCTTTTTAATCACAGACTCCTTCCTACCGGCAGGTTGAACCCTTGCATCTTAACATGGTGATTAACCATCCATTACTTTTTCCTTTGCCCCAATAAATATGAAGATGATAAAATTAATAAAAAATATTGTTAAGGAAATAATTGTTTTTTTTTCATTCATTTCTTATGGAATTAATATTTATTTTAATGAATTATACTTGTTTATCATGCTTATTCCCATTGGTTTGATAAACTTTTAACAATTGGTATTAAATATTCAAATAATTCAAATATTCCTAAAAAAAAAATTAGTTTGTGAAAATTAGTTTATTAGTTTGTGAAAAAGACAGTAAATTTATAAAGAATAAACAATAAATATATCTCTTCAACCATCCATTAAATGCTTAAATGCTTATTTCTTAATTAATTCGATGATGTAAAAAATTTTTAAGAGAAGGCGAAAACTTTTTTAGTGCCTAGTACAACCATTTAAGAAAAAATAGAAAAATTTCATATGATACTCATGTCATGTATCATAGATCAAATAATTTATGATATTAGTTTTTTACTGAAATGAAAATATTTAATTTTTTTATTTTCAGTTGCGCTGGAGATGGCTGATGCAATTCAAACAACATATTTATCATCCATATGGCAGAATTTAGAAAGGTTTTTAAGAAATTTTTTTTTTATGTCAAGATGAATATATGGCAAAATTCAGTCGTGCCTCCGTCCAATTTGACAATGTAATATATGGTAAATCTGAAGTTTAGCGTTTTTCTTTGCTTGTTAAACCATAATGATACATTTATTATATAAATTATTATATAAATTTTCAGATATCTGACCTCACATCCGAAATATCATAAAGTTTTCTGCGAAGCAATCGATCAATTATTTTATGGTTGTGGACCGATGATACTATCTGATAGGCATTTTATTGCGCTTATGGTAGTTTTTTAATCTGATTCTATTTTAAATTGTACAGATTAGGTCGCAAATAACGATTATCGATTGTAAAACACGAATATCACAAAAATTTGTATCATAAAAATTCATTAATTCCATTCGAAATTATTAATGTTGTTATTTTTACGTTTTTTAATTTCTATTTTTCTCTGAATGGAAGATGGAAATTGCTTTGCCCATTTCTTTTCTTTATTGAACAGAATCTAAAATTTTTTGTTTATCAATGATTAAGGCAGCAAAAATTTCTATTTTTTCAAAAAAAAATCGGCGATCATTGACCATTGAACAACTTTTTCTTCATTTCTGCAATTATTTTCCTTACTATTATGATATTTGCTTTCTGATGTTTTAATTCTTTTATCGATTATTTTTTATAAATATATTGGAACTACTCGAAATTATTGAGAAACTAAAAAGTTTCAATGACTTCGGGAAAGTTTTAAAAAAAAAGAAATATATTTAATAAAGATTCTAGGCATCAAGTCGTCACCAGTGCAATAGTTTAATGCAGTTACATAAAAGAGAATTCGAACGATTAGGTGGTAATATAAATTGGTTAAAAGGATTGCAATATGTTCCATTAAAAATCAGGAATCTCGACATGTTAAGCGCAATTCTTGCTCATCAGCCTTGGTCAATTGATGTTGATCATTTATCGGTTGATTTTTGAAGTTTTCAACTTTCATCTTCGTTATTGAAGCAAATGTTTCATTACATCGAACAACGATTCCAATAAATTTTTTGTTCATAGAAAATTTTACTATAAATTTTCGATAATAAAAAACAATAAGAACAAGGAAAAATTAAACTTTTGCTTAAATTTTTGTTAAAAGAGATATTGGAAAAGGAATTTGGGCCTTAATTCTTCAGAATTAAATTTTAAATTTTTGATTGAAATTAAATATAATTCAGATGAATTGAATAAAAAACCATATTATCGAAAAAACCATATTATCCATATTATTATTTTCTATTGATTCACCATCATATTAATGCTTCTCAATAAACTTTAACCAATTTTGGTAGTTTAAATAAGCTTATCAGTTTTTTAAATCAAATAAATAATTTTAATAATTTTAAAGGCATTGACAAAATGTGCCCCTCCAGCGAATTGGTCTTTATCAGAATTATTACAAGCGGTTATTATTCTTGCGCAAACTCATGTTCTTTGTTCGTTTATTCTTGGTAGTTATAATGACGAACGGCCAAAATTCGACAAGTAAAAATTAAAATTTGAATTCCAATTATTTCAAGAAATTTCAAAAAATTATTGTTACGACATAATTTTTTGCTTTTTTTATTCTCTTTGTTTTGTTTATTTGTCAGAGAAAAGATAGGAAGTAAACAAATGGGATAGGAAGCAATTCTCGAGAGAAATTCCTTTATTAATTTTTTTTCCTCTTGCACTTGAATACTTAAAAACTTCACTTTTTAGAGGAACTGTGGCGAATGCTCAAAATAATTACGATAAGCAGAAGATCGGTGAAGTGGAATCATTACTAAAACGAATGAATGAACTGAAAGAAATTCAACTAATGGTTCATAATGAAAATATTAGTGAACAACAGCGTCAAAAACATTTTTTAGAAGTTCACAGCGAACAAATTTCAAATGATAAAATTTCACAAGGTTTCTGTAAAATGATAATTTATCTTGAATGAAGAAGGAAATATGAAGAAGACAGAGGTAGTTGATGTTAAAAGATTCGTTTATATGGAGTCATCCTGACTTCATATAGGTCATAAGTCATCCTGACTTGATATATTTCACATGCTCATATGCACTTTGGTTGAGATCGAGCAATATGGATTCGATTTCTTTCTCCTTATACAAATAAATCTGTCATTAAAATTGCAATATGGATGGTGCAGGCGATCCTTTAGATTAATTAAATAGATTCAAATTTTTCATAATTTTTCACTTTTGCCAGTTTTCTTAATTAATCGTATTTCCGTGTTAAATTAAAAAAAGGTCTCTTTTGGGTGATATGGGTCATTCTCAACTTTGAATCCTCTACTAGGGGCTTGAACCAGGGCAAATAAGCTTCCAGAGGGTCTAGCCCAAGGATCCTTGCCAGAAACGTAAAGAGGATTGGCTGCGATTCGAACGGTCACACTCTCATGTTAATTGTCTGCTATCCCAGAATTATATAATCTAATATCGATTCGATCATGCTATATGGCTCTGAGATATGACCAGTGAGAGTGGAGGATATTAAGAAGCTATCTACTTTTGATCACTCTTGTCTAAGTACATTTTACGGGTCCATCAAGCCGACAAAATATCACATGATCGCATCCATCTTCAAATACCACTTGCATTAATAATGTTATCATAGAGCGTCGCCTTCGGTGATTAGGGCACGTTCTCCGTCGTCCACCACAAAAGTTGTCGCATATTTCGTTACTTGCTAAGCCATGTGATGGATGGCGTCAAAAGCAAGGTGGGCCAATCAAGATCTGGACTGATATGGAAAAAGGAATGGCTTCTATCACTGACGATGGCATCACGCCGCTTGGAAGCATCTTACCCTTGTAGCCGTTGGAACCATCCTATCCAGTTATGGTGAGAGCTGTTAGAAAAAGAAAAAAAATATAATTTAATATAATTTAATATATATATATATATATATATACATATGTATATAATCTGTTGTAGGGAGCTCACCATCAAATGTTACAATCTCTCAACATTTCTACAGTTTATTCACCGATAATATGAATTTTTGCTATGTTGATTTCGCAAAGCGAGCTCGAGATGGTTTCGCAAAAACGCACAAAATTCATGTCAGTTTTTAAAAGAATATCATGGTTTAAAATATGAAATTATAATTTAAATTTTTTTGTAACTTATATGAATTTGAAGATTTAAATTATAATTTGTTTTCTGAAAATTCATTTTTCAAATACTTTAAGGATATTTCGTGGGAAGATCATGGGTACAGTTGTATGGATGAACTTTATAATGAAATGGCTGACATTCTTGATAAGAAATTCCGACTAACACGAAGTCTTACTTACTTTACGTAAGTGATTCCTTCTGCTGACATATATCTAAGTTATAAAAAAAAGTTATATTCTCAGGTGGAGGTTTTTTTAAAATTATGTTATTCTTTATTACATACCTACTTTATAGAATGGGTGGATATAGTCATGTGGATACAACTAAGTACCGCACTGCCATTTGGATGTATATTCAATCGTTATATGGTAATATTTTTCATTTGATTTACCAAATATGATTTTGACTCATGACCCTTTCGCTTTAATGTTTTTCACTAAGAGAGGTCACTGACCGTATAAATCTCTATTTAAATTTAGTTTCTAAATTTCTTCTATAGCCACTAGTACTCAGATCGGATCATTTTAAAATTTAATTTTATCTACTTTACAATTTAATATTTTCTGTAAGCCTCAAGTAAGTAGGATTTCATTTATATAATATTTTGTTGTTTTTAATCTATTATTTTTATGGCTGGTAATATTAATTGATTTTGAGGAATAAGACACGATGATTATAATTATTCTGAAGTAAACATTATGCTAAGTGGTGAAATGAAAACTTTTATCAAAATAATTAGTTGTTTTCCCGAGAAAACCACAGCTTCTCTGAGGGATTCTGTTATGTCTGAATTTAAACTCTCAGAAAAGGTTACCTTTAATTTTTTATCTAGTCCATATGTTTTTCTAATATAAAGAATAAAGAATAAAATCTAAATTCAATTATAGGTTCATGTGATTTTATTGATAATGGAAGCGCGATTTCAAGCTGAATTAATTCATTTCTTTCGGGCGCTTATCAAACTTAATAGCTCCTCTGATAATAGGTGATAGTAAGTAATGAAGTGATATATCAAAAAAAAATTTAAATTCAGGTGATATACTGCCATATTTTTTGTCTTATATATTTTGTCAGGTATTTAAAACAGTTTATTATTTATAATTTTTTTTAAGATAATTTGCAAATCATATTTTCTTCTTTGAATTAAATTTTTTCTTCGCCGCTGCTTTTTTTAATTAAAAACCCACAATAATTTTGATTAATAATTTTGATCATATTGTAAATGAAATATTGAAAACTGATTTTATAAAAATATATACATATAATTGTACATAGAACTATTTTTACTTTTTACTAATTTGAACTACCGCATGATTTTCATCTAAAGTTTATGTTAATATTTGTTTTCTCGTTATGATTTCCTTTTAATATTCCTAATTGCTAATAGAAATTTTTGCTGTAATGATTTAATTAATTATCAATAAAATAAGAAATTTAAGCACTTACAGATCGCTATTTAGGTATATTTTAGCGTTTTAGAAGGTATTGCATCTTTTTTTAGGTCAATTATTTTTTCAAATTATTTTCTTTTGGGAAAATTCTTTGCAAAAATTTTGAAATTAAAAATCGTATATTTTGAAAAATATTGAGTATCGCATTGATAATGATTACCTCAACATAATTTGCTGGTAATTTGTACGACATTTAATTTATAAACTTTTAAATAAAACATTTAAAAAATTAAAATATACTAAAATTAAAATATATTTTTGAATTTATTTTTTGCTACGTGAACATTTTGTCATCTTAAAAGTTTTTGCCAATTTCGTGGCGTCTGGGTTCGAGGCCTCATTTTTTTATTACCATCCAATATTATTTGATTTGATTTGAATATTCGATTTATATCGTTCTGCTTACCGTGATCTCCAGTTTATTTTCGATGTGAAATCGGTAGCTGTAACTGCTAGCCTTTTGACTTTTTGGTTGGCTTAGTCCATTTGACATGGAACTGCGCGATTTCCAGAATCTGGTATTTAAAAAGGCTAATGGTGAATGTAGCTTAGGGCAAAAAAATAAAAAAGAACTGAATGAACGTCAAGTTTTGAAGAAGATAAAAAACAGCGGGAAAATGGTTCGCGAAAATCAAGTGGGAAAAATGGATATCGAAGGTGTCATAAGTTCTGGATAGCCCTCAAGTTCTATAAATAGATTGGTGAAGAAACTGAGCTGATCCCAAGAGCAGATTTAGCAGATAAGGGCTTCTAATTCCGTATGAAATCTCTTGCGTACTATGAATAAAGAGTTTGAGCAAATTTCGATAGACTGAATGAATGTCAAATGAAAACATATTTGGAGGTCTAATACGATACAGAAATGACCTTTTTCCGGTGATTTCTTAGTTGCTATTGGACATTGATTTTGTTCTGCTTCGACAACCTTGAAAAAAATAGTGAAATGGTTGCGGAAGATCGAACCTCCTCGGTCCATGCCAAGACCTTTAATGTTAGAGGACTTTGATCACTGCATGGTGGCCTGATGGAGAGGTGATTCTGTGCTGCTTCTCGACATAGTAAAAATCGACCTCGAAGTGTCGACCGGAGATTATCGGAGATATTTCCTCAACAGAAAGGGTTCCATTATTCTATAAGATAAAATCAAGCCTCATGTCACAAGAATCATTTGTTAAAATTTGCTGTGCTGAATATCGAATTTTCTTTCCCCCATCCACCACACTCCTAGTTCTTTCATCAATAGAATATTTTTCTTTGTCTGAACAACTTCTCTAAAGAGAATAAATACTTTCGAACATACTAGGACTTCGGAACAATCTTCCTTGACTCCATAAATTTAAATTTTATACGAATGGAATAAATGCACTCAATTTGCGTTGAGTACAAAGTATAATAATTATAATACGGTATTCATTTTGGATAAAAATATTGATATTCACTGAAGTTATGGTTTTACGAAGTAATCGACACCAAGCCGCAAACGACCACCGATTTTCAGGATAACCTAATAGGCAGAAATTGTTTTTTCATTGGCTTTTCGTTCCTTACATTTATGATTTAGTTGAATGCGATCAGTAAAATAACTTTACTGGCATTAAACTAACTTTCCGGCTAATTGGTACACGGTGAACGATTGAAATGCCAGCCCATTTATGCTGGCTTTCTTTCATTTCTCCTAAAGGACGACCTAAATGTTCGAATGTGGGCGTTTTAAAATGTTTGCTGATGTAAAAAATAAATAACAAAAATGAAGCAGTGGGATTATGCTCGCTTGCAACGCGTTAATTACATTAGAATAATCTTGATCCGACTGCTTTATGAGGACAGTAGAAAAAAAACTGTTCCCGCGCGAATTGATAGAAATCTTTATTCGTTACTTCAAACTCAAACTTGGGTAATTAAACCAATTAATATACAGACAGAAAAAATAATATTCGATTTGAGTTAAATCCAGAGATAACTATTTCAAAACAAATAAGAATGTTTAAACAATGAAAAGCATGTTAAATAACAAAATGCATAACATTAAATATTGAAATATTGGGATCCAACCACTCGGCTCCTTGATGGCACCAAAAAAACAGTTTTCTTAAAAAGGATATCCATTATATACTTATAAATTGACCTCTATCCTTTATTGACATATGTGAAGAATTAATAAATAAATGAAAGACTTCATTTGGCGGGTCGGGGTCACTATTTTGAAATAAATTTAAAATAATAGAAACATCGCATCTCGCGACAGCTCATATATGGTTGATAAGGCATATGAGCTATTCAATGAACTGCCAACTTGCAGATTTTTTTCTGATTATTCAGTGGCAAACATTAGTTTGATACTAAATGAACAAGTGGTTGGCGCCAAGCATTTTTGATTCTATTGTCTATTGGAATGAACGAATTTTTCCAGAGAGTTACTTTGGAAGGGAATAGAAGTAGAGGTATAAATGGGCACAGCAGAATGCAGATTGGCAGATTTGCCCTCGTGATAGCCAAGCTGAACCGCAATGCTTGCATTAACGACGCAGACAACAAGCCAAGCTAGCGCTTGACTTAATGCTCGAATAAAATATAATTTATACTGTTTATATTTTCATTTTTATATTTATATTATTTATTACAAAAATGAATAACTCTTCTACAGATGGTCCCAATAACTACGATGACGATATTTTCCCCACAGACTTCTACGCATGCGACCCACGATCAATCGCTTCCTACCACGTTCAGCTCGTTTTCTTATTTTCCTCATGCATTTCACAGCAGTCGCAGGCGGCTTTGTCATTCTGCCGAGCACTACTTTGATCGAAATTTAGCGTATAGCCGACTGTGACCGCTTTTTACAGTTTATTTTCCTACCAAGTGTAATTTTATGTTAAAAACAAAATTTGTATTTCGGGGTGCCTCTTCTTCGGTTTTGCTTCGGTTTTGGCGATCGGATTTGGCGATATTCGTTTTTAATATTCGTTTCATTGTCGTAATATTTAAAAAATTAGTTTTATTTGCTAAAATCCGCAAATAATTAATTACTTTTTTTTGTGATACAAATTAGCATTAAAAAATATTTTCAACTTTATAAATTTACATTTGTTTCTAAACGCTTTTTTGTTTTAATTTACTTCGGAGAGCTATTTTTCCCGCGTGGCGCGTGGAACGTTTCTCGGCAGATGGCAAATTTGCGGCTAAAATTCAGTCGGTTCCGATTAATTTAATCCTATTTAAATTAATCAAATATTCCCTTCGGTTTTAGCTGAAAACACTCGCTCGAGCAGCTTCAGCAGCCGCTGCATTTTAGGTTTCTACTGCATGAAAACTGCGTTTCCTTTCAAAGCCGATTCGTCCAAAAATTCTAAACATTTCACCGAATAGATAACGGCTATGAATTCGTTTGCTCTAAGGAATAATGCTAGTAGAGCTGCGTTTCTGTGCCATTAAACGAGAGGAATTATTTCCATGACAGCGTTCTCAGTTTTCACTCACAAGCAGAAGCGTAAGACGCCTAAGGGAGCGAATGCGCAGAGAGCACGAGAGAGAGGGAATTGAAATCATGGATTGCAAGAAGCGTTATGTTAAGTTATTAGTTGTACATGCAGCCGAAAAGTGCCAAAGAGTGCCAGAATTTATTTATTTGTCTGAGAAAGCAACCAAGCGAGGCAACAACAAGCGTCATGTGCTTGAGAAAGTAACACTAAAGAGATATGAGAAGGGGCTGACAAAACAAAGTCACATTGTTGAAATAATATTTTTAAGAGCAAAAAAATAAAAGAAGAGGAGAAGCAATGTGGAGTTGGAATAAATTTTTGAAGGTGCAACTTTATCTAATTTGTTCTCAACGTTTGATGCTAGCACTACATTCTTGCGCATTTTATTGCAGTATTTTATCCGCGCTTTAAAAAAATGAATCTTTGCTTTGCTTTTGCGAATTATTGGTTTTAACCCATTGTTTTGAGTGCAGTGAAGATTTTCCTAATAATGGAATAATTTCTAAATTTATTGCTGTTTTATTTATTACTGATCAATGCCTACTTTAATGGTATCAAAAATCCATCTCTTTTGATAACATATAATAAAATGATAATGAAAAAAAGTCAAAAAAAGGTCTTTTTTACCATATTAAGTTTCTGATTCAAAGAAAAGAGTAGTGAAAATTATGAAAATTGTAATTGTATTAGAGTGCAATGTATTTGCAATTTAAACGATGGTTTATTCCTATTTGTTATCTTTTAAAGATAAATGATTACGAAATTTTCTTATTTTTTTTCAGTTTCGTTTCTTATTCGAAGCGAAATCAATCATTTTAATCGTTTGGCCGATTTACTCGATGTGTGTTCAGTTAAATAAGATTTATTATTTTATGGTCGTTCAGTCATTTTACACGTTTGGTATATTTGAGATTTTTAAATTTTTGGCATTTTAAAATTCCATTCAACTTATTCGAAATGACGTAAATATTTGATTATTTTATTTGTAAAAATTTATCTTTAGATTTCATTTCATCAATTTGAGCCGATTAGAATCGGAATTATTTATTTCATTAGAAAAAAAAGATTATACGTATTATGCTTGTTTTACTGGTTTTCAGCTTTTCAAGGTCGATTTCTATTCCATGTCAAATCAGTCCTAATTGATTAAAACTATTTGCTTTTTGTTACATCAAGTAATTTCCTTTTTTCTGTTTTCTGGTAGAGTTTTCGAATTTCTCTACTCGCTATTTTATCGATTTCTATATTTCTTTGGGAGAAATTTTCACTTATTAATTTTCACTTATTCACTTATCACAAATTATAACTTTATAAATTAAAATGAATGAATGAATACATGGGTTGATCCATTTGTTCCATTTTTTAAAGTTTGTTTTCAGATTTTAATTAATTTTAATTTTTTAAATAAAAATTGTTTATTATATTTATTTTTCAGATTCGTTGAATTATGTCGACTATTGATGGTTTTTTAAATACGAGTTATGAAAAGAATTCAAAATCTTCCGAAAGTATTCATTCATTTCAGCGCAAATGTTTATCCAGCAATGAGCAGTCCATGCCTTGGTATCACGGAAATATATCACGCGAGCAAACTGAAAAGTAAACTTGAAAATTTTTGTATTTATTTTTACCGATAAAAATAAAAATTAAATTTTTTAAGATTTTAAGATTTTAATAAGATTATATAAGATTTTACTCTTTTTTATTCTTAATGCTTTAGTGCTGTGCGCTTAATATTCTTTTAATGTGGTTTAATATAAAAGTGTTATTAGAATAGTTTCACATAATTAATAATTTATCCTCTTTTATCAAATTTATCAAATTAAGAATTTAAATTTCGTGAAAGAACTAAAATTCAACCTTTTAAATCTCTTTCATTTGCAGCATTCTTTTAAATAAAACAGACGGAACATTTCTTATCCGAGATTCGACAAATTTCCCTGGTGATTTCACATTATGTTTAGCTTTTAATGGAAGAGTCGAACATTACAGGTTTTTATATTTTAGATCATTTTTTAGTTTCTAAATTGTTTTCAATCTGTGCAGTTTTCTTATTTCTGGATAAAAATGGAATGGAATTTAAAATGAAAAAATTTTTTTTTCAACTGATATTTTGTTTTTGTTTTACTAACTGCTAATGATAGTTTTATAGTTAAAATTTTTTTTAGAATTTATCAAACAAATGGGATTCTAACTTGCGACCATGAAGAACATTTTGATAATTTAACACAACTCGTTTCGGTTATTTTTATTCTTTTTATCTATTCTGAATTAGTGGTGAAAGCATTATTTCTTATCACATGATTGTTTTCTCCCGTTTTAATTTTTTAGTTTACATATAAATTTTATCTAAATTTTCTCCAGCATTATAAACGAGATGCAGATGGACTTTGTCATCGTTTGGTAACTCCAATGATTAATGAAAAATATCGTATTCCTCGCGAAGCAATTTCTATAGAAGATCGCATTCAGGTTTTCAAACAGACCTCATTAGTGATCCGCAGAAGCAATCTTCGACTTGGTGATACGATTGGTCACGGTGAATTTGGAGGTAAATTATATCAATATATCAAAATAACATTCTTTTAATTGTTATTTTAATTTTTAATATTTCATATTCAATAATTAATCTTTCATCCACTTGTTTAATAATTTAATAATTCATTTTAATTTAGATCTTGAATATTTTATTTAGATGTTTTGCTTGGTGATTATATTGGTCGGAGAGTTGCAGTGAAAGTATTAAAAAGAAGCGCAATGGTCAATTCTTTACTCGACGAAGCAAAATTTATGATGTAAGTGGAAAAAAAAAACAATTTATTTTTTCGTAACTATATCTTATAAATATTTTATATATTGATCCTTAGACTGCTACCATTCGAATGCTACCATTAATTTTTTGTTAAATTTATAATTTATGCTAAATAAGCACTATAAATGAATATTTTTAATTTTAAATTGAGTTTAAAATTTAAAATTTAATTAATATACCTCTATCCCTTGCAATTAAATAAGATTTCGATTAAATAAGATTTTTTCAAAAATAATGAGCTGATAAGTTTCATTGACAAATTTATATCTTGCAAAGATATATTTTAGTGGATTGGAACATAAAAATCTTGTTGTGCTGATCGGCGTTGTACTGGATGATTCTCGAGATCTTTTTATGGTTACTGAATATATGGCAAATGGAAATCTCGTTAGTTTTCAATTACTGTTTATTGTATTTGTTATTTTTAACTGTATTTGAAAAATGAGAATAATATAATAGTCTCAAAATTGAACGAAATCGCACGAGATGTTAATTTAACTAGTTTAATATGCTTCTCTTTTATATCATTTCTATCATTCTCATATCATTATATCATTCTAATTTTCCAGTTAAAATTTTGTTGATTTTTGAGTAGATTATTTTTTGAAATACTAGATTGATTAAATACTAAATTTATTGAATTAAATACTAAATTTAGAATGAATTTCGTTTTGTTGTTGTACTACTTTTGAGAAAATAATATTTCGATGATAGGTAAATCATTAAACAGGTGGATTTTCTGCGATCACGGGGACGTCATCACGTTGAAAAATCACAGTTAACAAGGTTCGCAATTGACATATGTGATGGAATGCGTTATCTTGAATCAAAAAGCGTTATTCACCGTGATTTAGCTGCACGTAATGTGTTACTTGATGATTTGCTTGTTGCAAAAATTAGTGATTTTGGCTTAGCGAAAAACGAAAATGAATGTCAATACGCTGAGAGTGCAGTCGGAAAATTTCCTATCAAATGGACAGCCCCCGAAGCCCTACGATATAGCGTAATTTTCTTTTTTCTGAGCATTCACAATATATTAACATAATGTGCTGATTTGTAAGAATTTTTTTTGAGAATGCATATTTTCTCGCTATTCTTTATTTGCAGCAGTTTTCAACAAAAAGTGATGTTTGGTCATTCGGAATATTACTATGGGAAATTTTTTCATTTGGAAGAGTTCCTTATCCTCGTATTGTAAGTTTAGACTTCAATATTTATTATAACTATTTTGTTTTTCTTATTATATTCATATTTATTGCTCCAATTTTTTATCTAATAATTATTTTTCCCTATTAGCCACTTAAAAGATTTGCTTTGCTTCGTTTTCGATTTTTAAATGCTTTCGGAAGAAATATTACAGTTATTTTTCGCATGTTTTTAATAGTAATTCTTATCTGTTTTCTAGATATTATTAATAATATTTTCTGTTTATAAAGTTTTTTAGCCAATTCAAGATGTTGTTCGTCATATTGAGAAGGGATACAGAATGGAACCGCCTGAAGGATGTCCAGCAGAAATATCACGTTTGATGAATGAAACTTGGATACTGGAGCCTTACAAACGACCAAGTTTCGTTGCTGTTTTCCAAAGGCTAAAACTTATTTTCTCGAATTTATATTCTTTAAATATTACATCAAATTCTGTATCATGAATTTTATTATTAATTTGTTACAATTAGGATATATTTTAATTATTTGCGAAAAACAGTCCTTCGTTGCGCTAGTGTTTCAATTTTTATGAAAACATTAACAATAATTAATAATAATGGAATATTTTGTACAATTATCTTATGAAGTAATGTAAAATATAATTATTTTATAGTTAATTTAATTAAATATATTTAAAAATTAATCCAGCTGCTGTATTTATTTTAATTTAATAAACAGAATCTACTTCAATCATATCATTTTAATCGCCAATACAATGCTTTCTCTTCATTTCACTCAATTTTTTTACCTTATATTTCTGTGATCTAAAATATTTGATATAAATTTTGATATAAATTTAGATGCCTTTTTTTGCGAAATTTTTTTTGTTAAATATTGCCTTAAGAGAAGTATTCATTGCTTAATTTTATTTTCGTTTCCCAAGCCGTAGTTTTTTTAATTGATAAAAAATATGTTCACATAAATTATTTGAGGCATTTCATTTGCACTATCAAGGACAATTTATGTATCCAGAAGCTTTCATTTCAATTTTTTAAATTAAGATGGCGTTATTATTTCATTTTTTTAACTTTTAAACATTAAATTCATTTGTTTCGATTGGATAAATTGCCCAAAAAAATCATTGAAAATTCTTAAGACACAGTTCTTCATTTAAAATATTTGTGGATTTCTCTTTTTTTTATTTTTTAAAACTTTTCGAAGTCTTTAAAACTAGATATATATTTGTTTGAATTAGGAGGAGAATTTCATATTTATTGTTGTCTTACAAAATGATAAAAACCCATGTGAATTATGAGAAAATTGTAAATATTATTTTAAACAAGAAATGAACAGTTTTTTTGAAAAAATTAAAAGTTGAAACGCTGTAGGGAACAATGAAAATGATTTTCTCTTTACAGTTGGATTCGGAATTGGAAATTGATATTTTAAATGTGTTGAATGATGTATTTCTTATGAATCTCGATTAATAAATTTTTTTTAAAATAGCTTTTAGTGATTACTTTATTTCTCGTGGAATACTCCAGTGAGATTTATTTTTATATTTTCTTATCGCATAAACAAAAATAATAATGAATTTATTCGGGAGGAATATAGTAAATTAAAATAAAGATAATTTGTTACCTTGATTCATTGTTTCATTGATTCATTGCCTTTTTTTTTCATTGCAGACATTTTCATTTCATATCATTTGGGTCTTCTCGGTCGATGACTTAAATCTTTCGCTTGCAAAATTAAATGAGTGATATGTCAGATCTCTCTGCAGTGGAACACAAAGACAGTTTTCGATCGTATGTGGCAACATTCAACAATCAAAATAGGGTAAAAAATTTGGAAATTTTCCACATAAAATATGAAAGTTGCTTAAGATTTTCAGAATATTTTCTAAGCGAATTAATCGATACCGTTTCTCCGTATTATAGTATTTCCAGAAGATATTTTTTAAGTAATGTTAGCGAGCTAATTTAAGAATGGTAGCTAAATTAATGATACTAGAGGCGTTAATGCATTTTTTTCATATACTGATCATTTTATTGCTGCCAATTATTTAAGTTTTGGCAAATTTTTTTTCTTTTTTTCAGCCTGATCCCATCAACGATGAACCAGATTTTCTTTTGCTTAAAGGTAATGGTCTTAAAGGCCGGTATTGTTTTCTATCTTTTTTTGTTGAATTATATTAACTTAGCACTTTTATAATTTAATTATTTTAGGTGAATTAATTTCTTCACAATGTGGCGATGTGCTATTAGATCCTCCATTCAGAGAAAATCTTTTTGGAAAACTTTACTGTACAAATTTTCGAATATGCTTTGTTCCACTCATTGAAAAGGTTGACTTTTATCCTCGGTTTATTTGTTTGTAATCGGGAGAGCAGTATTTTCTTTCTAATTGTAAAAAATTCCGATTATTTATCATTTCAGTTATTTATCATTTGATTTATTTTGAATTAAAAATTTCATCAGTTTCGTATTTTCAGCGGCCCGATCCATGTTGCAGTCGAAACCTCGTTTTCGCTAATGATTTCCAACTTCCACTTTGTTCTCTTGAAACAATTTTTTATTCATCACATCCGATAAGTAATTTTAAAGACTATAAATTTAAGATCAATAACTTTTTTAGATAGAAATTATTTTTTATTTATGTACTTTTAATTACTCATAGTTTCTTTCTGGTTCTTCACTTTTTTTGCCATCTGTTTGTTTTATCAATTATAGCAAAACGAACTTCATCTTCAATGAAAAGATTTCGATTAATGACTTCACCTGCCTCACAGTTGGATATTGTTTCTTGCATTAAGGTTTTTTCAAAGGTTTGTTTGACTTTCCTTTTGTTTTAGAATTTCTATAAAAAATTTTATAATAAAAAATTAGAATTTTTGACTGGGTTTTCTTTAGAAATATCAAATTTATTTCTTATTTGATGAAAAAAAATTGTTAAAAAAAAGTAAATGTTGTGAAAAGATAGTTGGTAATAGTATGTATGTAATATGTAATATGTAATTAGTATGTAATTTTCTGCACCTTTGATAAACAACAGATCTAAATTTTTAAATTAGTTTTTATTTCTCAACAATTTTGTTTTTTTTTTAGGATTTTCGAATTTGGACATTTGATCTTCAAAGGAGCCAATTTGCCGTTAATCTGGCGAACAATATTTATCATTTTTCTCACCCGGTGTCGTTATCGAATTTTTTTCATTTTCCAGTTGAAATTTCTTACCTGGATCATTCTTGTTAGTCTTCATTTTTAACTTTTTTTGTGGAATCGTGCATTATATGTCATTGTATTGTGTACAGTATCTTCGAAATATGATTGGGTTTTTCTCATTCCTTTAGCTTCAATCCGTTTTAACGAACGAAAGGACTGGATAGATGAATTGCGTCGTTGTCATGCTGATGAATCGTCATGGCGTATTTGTTTTCTTCATTCAGATCGCACCAGCCAAAAATATTTGGTTGAAACGTATGTTTTCCGTTAAAAGTTCTTGTTATATTCGGTATTTCTCATTTCTATTTTAATTCTATTTTTTATTTCTATTTTTATATTTCTATTTCTTTATTTCTATTTCTATTTCTATTTTTTATAATTTCTATTTTTTTTATTTTGCCATTTTGTTATTACTTATTTTTTTTTTATAATTGATTTATGAAAGTTTTATGAAAGTCTTATAGATTGTATTTTGCAGAATAATCGACTTATATATCCCTTAAATTTGATTTTGATTTTCCATTTCTTAACCTTTTGCATTTTTTCAGCTATCCTTCATGCGTTGTTGTCCCATCAGAAGTTTTTGATGTAGTAATAATTGAATATTTGATACCGAATTGGAGTAACGGCCGATTTCCGGTAAATTGTTATTCAAAATTTATTTATTTTATGGAATAAATCTTGCCGTTTTCACTTTATTTATAAAAATTTTCATTTTATAAAAAATTATAGATTTGGTGTTGGTCTGCTACAAATGGTTGTGCGCTTCTTCGATCATCTTGTTGCACTCAAGATCTTAATTCCTCTTATCTTTGGGAGAGGTAAATAGATTGTTTTTTTTTTAAATTCTATCTTAGTCAGACAGAAGAATTTTTGATAAACATTCTAGAATTTAAAACTTTAAAATATTAAAGAGATACGGAAAAATATGAGCTTCTGTCTTAAAAGAATTTTACCAAAATTACTATTTTATATAAATTTATGAAAATGATTTTTTAATTATTGATTCTTTATTTTATAGGATTTTAACTCCCATTTGTAAAATGCATCCTCGAAGTAGACGACCTCTGATTATTTCCATTGATATATCACCCTCTCAAATTTCAAATGCTTATGAAAAGCTTCGTGAACTGTGCTCGATCGGTTTGTATTTCTTTTGATTTGTGACGCATCTAGGAAATGGACATTGGTTGTTCTTGCCGAATAATGGGTGGGATTATACCGTTCGGAAAGGGCAAAAGCAAATAGAAAAAGAGGTAGTCTATTCTATTTGCTTTTTGCTGGATGTGTCATTTATTTTGATATTTTATTCGGAAATACATAATTTTCCTATTGGGATATTTATTTTTACTATTATTGGTTATAAAATTTTTGTAACCAATGCATAAATTATTATACAAATTTTGATTTTAGAATCTGTTGCTCAATTTCTTCAACGAGATAAAGATTGGTATTCATTATTAGCTGAAACGGGTTGGTGCAAATTGATATTTGATTGTTTGTCAGTAACTTGTAGTGTTCTTCATAAGATAACTGAGAATCAACGATCTGTGATTATTGCAGGTTTTAATTTTACTATATTTTAACTCTCATGTTTTCGATTAATAAAGGAGTTATTTTTATAATTCATATATATTATTTTCGAAAGAATTGCTTTTATTCAGTCAAAAAGAAATTTACATAAAAGGTATCATTTATATATACATATATATCAAGATGAAGATGGCTTCAATGGATCTGTCATTGTTTCTTCTTTGGTACAGATATGCGGTGATCGGTATTACCGAACTATTGCTGGTTTGAATTCGCTCATTGAGAAAGAATGGATTGCTTTGGGCCACCCTTTCGGCAAAAATATTTTTAACTGTGGATTTGTTTATAATAAAGTAATTATTATTTAATTTTTTCATTTTGTTCTAACTTAAGCCAGTCGAATACATTTCTCTTTAAATTTTTTTGCAGACATTGCGTCAAACTACACCAACATTTCTTGTCTTCCTCGATGCTCTTTGGCAGCTGTTACGAATATTTCCTCTTTATTTCGAATATTCGCAGTACATGTTGATAGCATTGTGGGATCTCTCAATTACTGGCCTTTCTTCGTTCGTTCTTAAAATAAACAAATTGTTCCTCTTTGACTACCAAATTTTTTTGTACATCATTAGTATTAGTATTAAAAAATTGTCCATACTTATATGATTTTAAAATTAATTTTGAGTTTTAATAGTTGAAATATTTGGTTATAATTTTGCAGTGGGTTAACCTATAATTCCGTCAGCGAAAGGTTGGCTTCAAACAAAGTTGCTCCAACCTTTCCACTTTCTCAGTATTACTCTTCAAAGTATTGTGCAATGTTTACAAATACCGCTTATTCGCTTAATCTTCTTTTTGCTCTAGGTTTGTTTGTTTTTTTGTTATGTTTGTTATTTGCTTGGGATGTCTTATTTTAAATTTCACTTTCATTATATCAGTATTATTTGAAATGATTTTTTATTTAAAAAGTGAGGTATAAGTTTTTTTATTTTATTTTTGATTCTGCTTTATATTTATTTGCATTCTTAAAAAGTTGGACATAATGCGTGCAATTTGTTTTTGTGAGGGTCTTTCAAATGGATTCATGATTTTATAATTTATTTATCTTACGTTTTAGACCCATTATCACGAGAGTTTCTTTGTGCTTGTGCTAGCCCTTTTGACATTGAATTTTGGACAGATTGCTATTTACGATGGGTTCCACCTGCCAATGTTAAAGTGAACTTTATTTGTCTTTTAAAGTAAGCATAGATAAAATCAAATTGAAAGAGATGGAAATCTTGTTTTATAGTTTATATTTGCTATAAATTATTTATTTCTATAAATTTTTTGTAAAAATTATACTTCCTGGCTATAAATTTTTGAATTAATTATTCCAAAAGAAAAAAGATTGAAAAAAAAGCTAATAGGATGGTGGAAAACTGACTCAAGATATTGCATTATGTTCAGTAATTTCAATGGCTGCATCTGCTGCTTCCCCCACATATGATTCTGTCCTTTCACGTCATCAGTTTCATCCAGCTTTTGATTCTTCTAATGTATGACTTTCCTTTTTCAGTTAATATTTTTCTTCATACTTTTTAGAGAAAAGGAGAATGTTTAAAAGAAGAATGTTTCTTTAAAGTATGATAAATGCGGGTAAAATTTTCAAAATTTTCAACTGAAAATTTTCTTAGGAGGAAATCGTTGAAGGGAAAATTATTAAGATTTGTTCTTTCTAATTCCTCCATAATTGATTTTTTTACTATTGATTATTGCAGATAAATTCTGCGTTTCCATATATTGATACATTATCTCTCGCTCCAATCTTTAATGATATGGATATAATAACGGAAAATTCATCAGTTAAATCAATGCGTTTGCATTTTGAAAATGTTTTGCCGTCTTCTTCTGTTAGTTCTTGTTGAATTAATAGTAATTTCAAAATCCGTGCTTTAATAGCATTTTTTCATTGAATTCATTTAGTTATTTTGAGGATTTTTTTATTTAGGATCACAAATAAATAATAATTTTGAAATAATTTTTTTGAGGTATAAATTTAATTTCATTTTTACGATATTTTTTTTAGTGCTTCCAGAAATTCTTTCAGTTTATATTTATTCATCTTTAATTCTGTCTTTTAGAAACAAAAATTCTTTTATTTTAGAAATTGTTATATGAACGGCGTCTTTCCGGTTCGTTTTTTTTACCACATCTCAACAATGAAGTTGAAGAATCGGGTATCCCACGTTTTATCGCTTCATCCGATAAACATTCTACAAAGAAACGAAATATGTCGGCGGTTGGGACTCTTGTTTAATTAGCGTTGTATCACAAATTTCGTTGTTAGTCTTCACTTTAAATATTTATTTATTTAAATCTTTTGAACGGTTTCTTTGTTTCTTAAAATGATTTGGCTGCTATTATCAATGAAACAAATTTATTATGAAAGTAACCTTTATTCTTTGCATCAAAGTCGAAATTCTTAGAGATTTTGCTTATTAGACTATTACAAACTTAGTTTCTGATTTTTTAAATCATGTTTTGTCGTGGATTTTTTTCAAAATTATGGTTGTTAACCTATTTCTTAGAGCAAAACAAAATTGTTGAGATGGATTTAACAACGATTCGTTTATATCAAATTTTTTAATTTGATATTTGTGATTTCTAAAGAGTGGACATCAAATTGCTAAATATTTTCAGTTTTACTTGATTTCGATTTCATTTAGATTTAAATAACTTAGATTTGATTTCCAGACTTGAGTATTTAATAATATCTGTGATTAATAATATGCAAGTGTGTTTCATAAAATACGGGGTTTTTGACGAAAGTGGTTTTTTTTCTTAATGCTAATTGGCTAACAAAATTCTTGTATTTTGTGAAAAAGTTTTAAAAAGTTCTTATAAAAAGTTTTGAAAAATTATTTTTTGTTTTATTCATAATTTTCACTTAGAACAAATTATAAGTGCGGTATAAATACGACAGTGAATTTGATATTAATACATTGCATAATTTCACTTCTTTTTTTCTATTATAATTTTATAATTTTGTTGTTATAATTTTGTTGTATTTTTTATACTTTTCGTAGATTTTTTAAAATGTTTTTGCATTTTAATTCAAATATTCTCTCTTGAATTATATTTTTTACAAATCAAAATTTTACCAATTTTTTCTTCCGTAGAAATAAAAATTGTGAACTAAAATGATGCTTTTTCGCAAATGTTTTAAAAATATTATGGAAAATAAGAATTTTGCAAATTTTTTTTTACTTTTTTGCGTTATAATTTAACTAACTGAGATGTGATTTGGCATATTGATTCATTATTTAATACATTATTTTTTAATTATTTTCGCCTTATAAGTTGGTTTATTCGGCAATAAATATGCAAACTCGTTGTTGGACTGCTTCGCTTTTCGTTTTATCAATTCATATTTTTATTGATAATATCGTTGTTCTGGTTGTAACATATAATTTATTTGTGATTGATTCCGTGGTGTCTGAATGGTTTTCCCATGGATCGGGCAAAAATATAATTCATTCCATTCTTATCGGGAAGAGAAAAATATAATATTTATCAAAGTGGATTCTTTTATACCGATAATTTTAATTTTAGGCACGAGTGGTTTCTTTTTAAGGATTAAAAAGGAATGTCTCGTCATCGCAATCTTCGTAAATTAGTTCATGATGATGGTAAGTGAGCGAGGAGTCATTTCCCTTCATTTTTAAGATTTTGTGATAAAGAGGGTAAACAAATAGTTTTCGTCGTTCTTTAAAAGTACTGATCAGTTCACTTGGAAAACTTGAAAAATATTTCTCTTTATGAAAAGCTTTTCTCGCTAGTTCGATTTTCTCGCTTATTTTATGCAAATCCATAAGCGAATTTTTATGGCAAATAAACTCGTCACTCCGATTGTTATTAGATTATAGGTGAAAACCTTATCACTTAATCTACGCTGGCTCTCTGGAGTTGTTGCTACATAAATAAAAAGATTCAATTTAATATATTTCAGATATTTTTCCGCTATAAACTTCGTACTTTAATAAATATGAGAACATTTCACGAATATTTAAGCGTGCTTGACACTGTTCTTTTAAAAATTCTGCAATTTTCATTTTATTTTCTTTTGTTTTTAATTAATTTCATTTCAGATTATGATTATTACGATGAAGAATATAACCGTTACAGTATATCAAGTGACGATGATCATGTTATCCCCGGTATACGCTGATTATAAAGTTATTAAAATTCGCTACTCCTATTTTTGGATTAAATGCATGTCACAAGTGGCTTAAAAAGATAAAACCACTGTTTTCAGCAAGCTGTTTGTACGGAAAATCGGCGAAAGATGTACAAGATGATACTCAGAAAAATTTATATGATTGCGTTTTCGATCGGTCGAAAAATTCTTTAGAAAATGCAGCAGTTGATATTAATGGCAAAAGCAGGAAAATTTTTTCTGTAGAGAGTATGGAGACATCAAATTATCTTGTAATTCTTTGGGATTTTTGAATTTATTAAAATATACTTTTGGATATTCTTCAAGTTGGTAAATTGATTTTGAAGAGTTAGAATGAAAATTATCCACCAAGATGTCGAAATAATAGCTTTAAATCTTTCAGAGTTGCGATATTCCTACTATTTTACCTATACAACAAGTGCAAAACCTGAAAATTTCAAGTACTCATTCTGCAGAAATGCATCGAAGTACATCGCCTTCTCCATCTAGATCACTTGTTCCTAGTTCCAGTTCTAAAAGACTTTCGGCTTTAGCCCAGGCGCAAGCGACCATATACACTACTCCAAAGTTTGTTCATCTAGTTTTTATCACTATATTTCTTCAGCTTTTGTTTCATTTATGGTTGAAAAGTCATAAATATTTCTTATTCTCTTATTCTTTCTTTTAATAGGAAATTTAATAGGAAATAGCTTAGGTGAAAAATTATTTAAATTTTACATGCATTTAGATTACAAAAGCGTGTCGGTGATGGTAAACCATTGATAAATTTAGTGATAGTCGGACATGTAGACGCTGGCAAGAGCACATTAATGGGGCATCTTTTGTATCAAGTTCATTATTTTATTCTTCAAATTTGTTAGCAAATTTTCAATTTTTTTCATGATTTTCTTTTCTAGTATAAATTTTTCTCTCGAGGATAACGTTTATTTCTTATGATTATAAAATATTATTCAATTTTTAGATGGTAATTTTTAGTTGTAAAATTAATTTTTAATTTTTTCAGATGTGTTCATTTTGTTTACTTTAATTACAGATGAAAACCTTATCACTTGATCTACGCTGGCTCGCTGGCTCTTAATAATAAATCATTACACTCTTAATTACTTTTGTTTTTTATAATTTTTATAACAATTTTCGGCCAATTTAGCTTGGAAGCGTCGATGAACGTACAATGCATAAATATAAACAAGAATCAGCCAGGACTGGAAAGGCTTCCTTTGCTTTTGCATGGGTTATGGATGACACTCAGGCATTTCCTCTATATTTTCGATTATTTTTGAAGTTTTATAAAAAAGTTTTATATTTTTGAAGTTTTATCTCCATTAACTTGTAGGAAGAACGACAGAGAGGAGTAACAATGGATATAGCGAAAACCTGTTTTGAAACTGATCATAGGCGAATAATTGTTATGGATGCACCGGGTCATCGAGATTTCATTCGAAATATGATTAGCGGTTATTTTTATTCTTATTCGTTTTTTTACGCTTTTATTTTGTATATTTTTAGTATTTATTATTAATATTTAATATTTATTCTTTAAAATTCTTTTGTGATGATAAGTTTAGTAAGGTAAATTCTTAAATTTAAGGTGCGGCTCAAGCTGATGTTGGTGTACTTGTTGTTGATGCCACACCGGGTAAATTTGAGACTGGTTATGACCTTGGAGGTCAAACTCGTGAACATTCTATGCTTCTTCGGGCATTGGGTGATTTTTTAAATTATATTTAATTACATTTAATTATATAATATTTTTTGTATGATATATTTTCGTTAGATTGATGATAAAATTAAAATTTGATTTTAATTTGATTTTGATAAAATTTCAATTTTAAAAAACAATTCATCAATTATTTCTAATTGCTCTTAAGGTATAAATGAACTAATCGTCGTTCTGAATAAGATGGATATGGTTTCTTGGTCTCAAACTAGATTTGATGAAGTTTGTGCCACTTTAAATCCTTTTTTAAAGAAGCAAGCGGGATTTCGCTTGTTGCATTTTGTTCCCGTATCTGGTCTTCATGGTATAAATTTAACAGAAACAGTGCCCATGGATCATATGTTACAGTGGTATAAAGGATCATGTTTAATACAGACCATTGGTAGGCTACCATTAATTCTCTATTATTATTCAGAAAAATTTCATTTTTTTCTCGTTTTTCCAATTTATACTTGGTAAAGTTTTCGATTTTAGACGATTTGATTCCTCCAAAACGAGCTGAAGATGGTAAATTCCGAGCAGTGATCAACGATGTTCAAAAAAACACGCAGTCACTACTAACATTAAGTGTTAAAATCGAATCTGGCTATGTCGAAATCGGAGAAAAAATTTTCATTATGCCTAATGCTGATCCTGTTTTTGTTAAAGGTTTATTAATTATATTAATTAAGGTTTATATATTAATTTTTTGTCGTTTCAAATGAGTTGTTTTTTAAAGCAATTACTCAATTTTTATGAATTTTATCCACTACTACTGGGTTTGTTGAAATTATCTTTCTTCTTCCTATGAGGCATTTCTTTTATAGGAATAGTTTCTGATACGCAGTCTTCTTCGGATTCATCGACTTATTTTGCTGGTGAACAAGTCATTTTGAATATAACAGCTTTAAATAATGTAGAGCAAGATTCGATTACGAGTGGCTACATATTATGTCGTGGTGGCCAAGTAATTTTATTTTTTTTTATTTTTGGACTCTTTTAGTTGATTAATTAAGCATTAGATAAAAATCCAAATGAAAAAATCCGATGAATAATGCCATAAACGATTTGTGAATTAATGGATTGAATATGCTTTATTATTTAATGGGCTTTTGAAGTAGTTAAGTATCAAAATTATCAAAATAATGTCTAATGAATGCTGATTTTGACCACTGGATGCTTCTTTTAAAAGTTTTATCGCAAACTTAATTCAATAATAATTATCAATTCGTTTAAGGAATGTCTTTTACCTGGAAAGCGTTTTCTTATTCGTCTTGTAGTTTTTAATATTGCAATTCCAATAATAAAAGGCACTCGAGCAGAACTGTATGCCCACTCATTGTGTCAGCCATGCACGGTTGTCAGACTAAAGGCTGCTCTTAGTAAAGCTGATGGCGAAATTTTAAGGCAAAAACCAAGGTATTCATTTTTTCTTTAATCAGCACTGATAATGAGAAAGTAATTAATCTCAGTGCTTCATAATTTCTCTATTTGTTGCATATTTAAAATTTTAGGTGTTTGACAAAAAATATGAGCGGTATTGTAGAAATTGAAACCGACAAGCTTGTCTGTCTTGAACCTTACTCAGAGTGCAGAGCACTCGGTCGTATTACGTTGCGATGTGCTGATCAAACAATCGCAGCAGGCATTGTCGAAAGATTGTTGCAGTGACTATTGATAATCAGTTTTTATTTCATCCTTCCGCTCTTTTGATTTTTTTTTGCGTAGCTTTTCTTTATTTTAATATTATCCATTTTTCAAGCTTTAATGCGGGTTTGATTTTAATACCTTCGTTTTTTTTTGGTCTTGAAAAAATTCGCCTGAAGCTTTTTCCTTCACTTCATTTCTACCATCAGATAACAACAATAATTGAGCGATAAACTTAAAAAGAATGTACAGCAGAATACCTTGATCATATTCTTAGGAGAAAAACGCAATAAAATTTCTCAAAACTGTATGCGTTGTAAATTAAGCATTAATTAATTAATTAAAAGAATTAATAAGAAATAAATAATTATTAAGAATTTATTTAACTGAATAGTTCCATTTTATATAGCTGCTCAATGTTTAATTGTGATTTTTTCTCTCTTTTTTGCTCTTTTTTATATTCTGTTCTTATTTTTTTCTTTTTCGAATACAACACCCAATTTTTACTTCAGATGATGAATTCATTCCCATCAAGAAACATTTAAATAGCAGTGGATTTTAAGATTTTCCGTAATAAGAAAATGCTGAAATTGGATTTGTTATTATTTAGATTGCGAAATTTTCAAATGAGTTGAGTCATATTCCAAAATGGTACGATAAAGGTTTTTTATCACTTGCTTTAGACACTTTATTATTGGGTGATGTTACTTCTTTCCAAAAAAAAGTTTAAAATATTAGCATAACTGAATCGGCGGGCAATATTTTATTTTCCTTCTATTTAATTTATTTTTTTGACATTTTTTATTTGCATGATTGTTTGAATTTTTGAAATAATTGAATAAATAATAACAGTTACAGTAGTATAAATAAGCATAATAGTTGTTGGAGTTTTTTCTACTTTACTGCAATACTGAATGTTGAATTGGTGTTCCTAATCATAAGCCAAAAATCGAAGTATAATTTTAAGGATAGGTAGTTAGGGAGAATCGATAATCGAGGATACGCCGTCAAAATTGAGGGTTTTTATTATAAATAAATCTATCTTAAAAAAGCTAGATTTGTATTAATGATATTTTGGCAAGACATATAAAAAGTGCAGTAGATAATAGGAATAGACAAAGGGTAAGTTGGAGAAACTTAGGTGAGCATTTATATTAAATGACTGTATTTACAGGGTCATGATCATGGTGAAATTAGTGCAGCATAGAATCTTCTAAACAGCACTCTATTATTTTAGAGTAAGGACTATATACCGGAATATCGATAGACCGGATGACTACGGCATCGCTGTGTCAAGTCTGGTATTAGTCAACTAGACATTGGTGGTTGAGAGGCTTACATTCCAAGAGTACATTAGAGCAGAAATTGGTGAATCCGAGCTTTACCGTGCCAGAATAACAAATATGCGAAAGGAGCATAGAATTGATATAATGATAGATAGTGATTAACTTTTCAGAGATAATCGTTGAATTACACTAATATTTTGTCCGTTAATTCCATCAATTTATATATTATGAATCAGTACTAAAAAATCGAAGTAATCGGCGAGAGAATATATTAAAGAATAAATTAGTAGAAACATGTGAGAAAAAATTGCCGATTGAAAATTTTGACATTAAATACATTGACTTTATAAGTAATTTAAATATTAATGTTAATCCTTGGTTTGAGAATTATATTTTCGGAGATTGATTTGCAAGAGTTTGCTCATTTTGTCATATTTTTGTACTTTTATCAGTTGATAGATCAGTCGTTTCGACAAGCTGCTTAGATGCATTCGATTGTCCTTTCGCAGAGGAAACATAGGCTTTGAGCGAGAAAGAACTTCATATGGCCCTTAATAATGTTCAGGAATCTTGGAATTAAATTCTTTGTCGTTTGATAAAAATTCCCTAACATTCATTGAGGCATCGTTAAAGATTTAATTTCTTATTTGTGAAGAGCTTCATCGATACACTTAATTGTTACAATAATATTGTCGACATAGAGATTTTTTCTGATCTCGTTGGCGAGCTCATTGCCGTAAATCCAAGTGATAGTTAAGTGTAGCCGATAATAAAAATGGTGAAGATAATACTCAGAATGTGCCTGGTTGAAATCGATAGTATTCAATATTCCCCGTATATCTTTTAACCAAAGGAATCTGGTTCAGTTTTTTTCTGTTGGTAATATATTCAATTAAAAAGGCCTTTTCAATATCTGCCACTGTTTCCATCATTCGGAAGCCGTATTCCTACTAAATCGAGAAGAGTTATGGGTCCCCGATATAATGCATCGTTTAAACCCTTCCCCCTTTTGGAGTGAGGATGCATCATAAACAATTCTAAGTTCGATTGTTGCCTTACTTGGAGTTATGATTTCATCCTGAGGAAGATAATGAATAATACCAACCTGGTCCATTTTTGTACATAACTTTTCGATAATATTGTAACTGGATTCATTACAAATCGTTTCGTCGTATTCGAGGAGTAAGCATTCATTGTTCTGAATTAAAGATTTTATGTACCAAAATATAACTCAAAAATACCGTTTAACTTGATCCTTGATCCTTTCTGTGGCCAAGCAACTTAGTTTTTGCGATACTTTCCTTGAAATTTTTTTAAAACTTGAGGTTATTCTTGTGTTTTTATGAATTCCAGAATCAATCAATCTCTGGAGCCTCGATATTAATAGATGTAGGTTTGGTCCTAACTCTGAATGGGACAACATTTGGTATATGTTACCATCTTGTTGAGGCGATTACCATGTTTGCCTAATATCACTTCCAGCAATCATTGGGCCGACTATTGTGTTGATTAAGGAAAACCTGGAATTTATAGTTTGGATGTCTCTAACGAGATAAATTAAAGAAATGGTCGACTCCAATAATTAACTCGGATTGTTTCTGCTAGTTTTTTTCTTTTAGTGGGAACTAAGTTGAAATTTCTGGTATATTGCCTTCGTTTATAGGTATTATTCTTAGCTTAATTGTTAAATAGTCTATTACTGTAGCTACAATGGGTTTAATATCTGCTCCTATAGTTTTATTCCAATCCGCACCTTAGAGAAAAGCGATATTTAGGGTTCCTATTGCCTGCGAATTTCATTTGCTCGTAATCAATATCTTCTAGATTTAGGCCCTGTAAGTTTCTTCGATATACAAGTTGTTTGAACACCACTATCAAATAAAACTACGACTTATTTGAAACCTCTGGTATATGTAAATTAATTACTTCAACCTTTTTATAACAAAAGTAAAACTTCTCTAGCATTTTGTCTCGAGTGTTTTATTACTGATAACCTTTTCCGAGTTTGTCTCTTCTTTGATTGGATCGACTGACTGAGCTCGATCATTATATTTATATAGCATAACGCAATATTATGACGACCTTTGCAATAGAAATAAACAAGTTTTTTTTTGTTGCAATAGATTGTCGTATATCCTGATTGAAGACAATTCAGACAAGCGTTATTTTCTTTTAGTCGTTGCATTCTTTGTTCTGGACTGGAATAAGTTTGGCATTCATTATTCTAATGATTCTTATCGCAAAAAATACAAGGTCTTTGAGTTTTACTAATCTTCTTCGTATTAGCCTTTGTTTTATAGTTACATATTTGCAAAGTCGTTATAGTTAGGGCCAAAGTTTCTTGTGGAAAATATCGTGAATTAAATTTATTTTTAATTACCTTTAGCTCCTTCATGATGTCGAGAGATTGGCTTCTTGTTACTTCTTTATTTCTCTAAGAACTGTCTTAGTTTAGCTACTGACCATATTTCTTGTTCCTCTTGTTGTTGATATACTCTATCCAGAATCCAGGCTGGCAGTTTATTTTCAATGATAATTTCAACACTGAATTGTTCAAGGTTTTCAAGGCCCATTGCTTCAAGTTGTCGAAGTATTCTTTCGATGGCTTCTGCCGTTACTTTCCATTCTCTGTTATCCTTCTTGATGGTTACTCACTATGGAGCTATTTTTTGGTGTGGTTGCCCAAATTTTTCAATAAGAACCTTTCGTGTCACATCATAATTTTCTGGAGCTACATCATAACTCCTGATGGCCAACAAGGCTTCTTCTTTTAGACATGCAATTAAATTTAATTTTTGGATGGTATGCTAAATGAACTGTAGCTCAAAGCTATTCCAGAATCCTCTCCATAGTTTTGGATTTCCACTGAAGGTAGGCAGTGTTAGTTGTGGTAAAATTACTGTTGAACAGCAGGTTATATGAGTTGGTTGCCCCTTTATTTCGCCTTGTTTAAGGCATTGGAGTACTAACTCTAAATCATTCATATACATAGTTAAGGTTATGACTTCTCTACCTTCATTTATTAAGTATAAAATACCTTATTTACCTTCGACCGTTTGGGCGTATTTGTCATCCTTTTGTTGTTTCTTTGTTGCTGGAACTTGTTGAATGTATTAGATCCAATTAATATTAATGATTCCAACATGCAGCTTGAGACGCATTATTTTTTCTTCAATAATGCTTTTTCTAGCCTCGCGTAGTTGACGGGTTTCTTCTCTGGTCAGCATTTGGCGTCAGATCCATTCCTTTGAATTCCTTGAGAAAAGCTTCCAGTTTCTCCTTTACCGGTTGTGCGCTAAGAATTATAGTTGCAGACATCTACTGTCTCCTCGCACCGATAAATTTCTTGTTCAAGAAGTAGTTGAGGGAGAATGAATTGATGAATTTTAATACAAGAAGTAGTGGCAATTAACTCGGGAAGGATGTGGTTAATTAGTTTGAAATCTAATGATCTGTCGCTGAGCTGACGCTGAGGTTTTTTAAATTTTTATTAACTCAGAAAACATAAATAATTAATAAATGGTCACAATAAAACGATTAAAAAATAAAAATTAAGGAAATGAAGTAAGCAAAATAGAGTTTCAACATCGAAAATGAGCCTATTTTGACATATATATATATATATACATTAATAGATATAAGATTTGTTACAAGAGATTTCGCACGCTTAATTAGTTTTTCAGCTATACAAAAAAAGGAAGTGGAATTTTTTAAATCAAGGTAATGAAAAAAATTATCGTAGGAATTTGAGATTCTTTTAATTTTTTATTTTATTGTTTTTTTTGTTCGCCATTCGAGAGTTTCTGATTTAACTCATCATCAAACATGGCAATTAAATGAAAAATAAAAAAAAACTTGATAATATATTTTGGATAAATTCGGCTTGTTTCACTCGCCTAAGAAAATGCGAGACAAAATCACGTCGTCGAGTTAACAACTTTTTTTGGCTTAATACTCAGTGCGCAAAAATGAATAACTTTAACTTTTCTGAAATATTAACCAATAACAAATACGTACAGCAATAACATTGATGAATTATAGGTGCTTTTTAGAAGATTCCAAGTTGAATAGTCATAATGTTGAACTCTAAACTTACAGAATTAACCATTTATGGATTCAGTGAAAGAATGTAACCATCTAAGTGTGATTAATTGTATGTGAATGTAATTCAGCAATTCAAATTTGGTCAAATTTGGTCACAAGTGGATCTTTTACATTTAATTCTCATTTGGTTAAATTTTCTCATAAATCATAAAATTTCAATAAAATAAGCCTTTTCTCTAGTATATGCATTTCTCTAGTATATGCATAACAAATGGGCTTAGGACAGTTTGGCTTCGAGGAAATTGCACAAAAGCAAATAATATAAACAAATTAAATATATTATAAAGGAAAATGAAGGCATGCTTAACCAATAATAAAATTTTTGATAATAAGATAATTAGATAAGATAATTAGAAATGAAAAATTAAAATTTTCAAAACTGTCACCCAGCTTGACTATTTTCAAAACAAATATATTTTTGGAGAAATTTTTTAGTATCAATAGCATCGCAATTGGCTAGCAGTTCAATTGGGAAAAAATATTAAAATAAATTGAAAAAATTAAAAAATATTTTAATGAATACTCAAGGTCACTCTCCCATACAATTTCGTGATGAAAATTCAAATTTATCTGTTGTAACTTTTGCTAATATATTTTGTCAATTTTTTTTTTAATATCGTGTATAATATGATATTTAAAAAATGAATTGGTGCCATAGCTGCCATTCACCGTTTAGTTACACCATTTGATCTAAAATTTTTTGGTCCTTTTCGTGCTGAAATCATGCGAAGAAATTGAAAAACTTGATAAAATTATAGAACTAATTGATAAAATTTAATTGAAATATAAATTCAAATTTAAATATTAATTTAATATACCACATTTATCGAGTATCTTTTAAGATTAATAAAAAAAGGTAAATAAATAATTGGTTAGCGTTCGCCATTTCTCGCTTCGCCACTAGCACAGTTGGAAATTTTTGCTGGAGAATTTCCACTTGGCGACAGAAAACTCTTTTCTTTTGGTTGCTGGCATCTGAGACTTTTGTTATTTTTTCACTTTGGAGCGAGGAAGAATCATTGCACTTCAAAGCCATTGTGTCTAAACCACTATCCACTCAAGTAACCTACCGTCTTTAAATATAAAAGCTAAGAAAATTTTGACCTTAAAAAAAATGCATTTATTATGTATAGTAAGATATACCAGATAAAGACTACTATACCAATAGTAAATCTGATAGCATGAAGTTATCGTTTATCGTTATTTGAGAATTTTGTGTCTCCTCTACCATCACGAAAAAGTTTGTCATTGCTGAAGTTTGCTGAAAATTATTATCATTTAGATGGTTTGCTATGGTATTTTTTTTTAAAAATTCGTAAGTAAGTAAGTAAAAGTTTTTTAAAAGGAAATATTTTAAAAAATTTAAAAATATTTTCCAATATTTGCATCTGATTGATGGCTTTTTTCTGGCGATTTTTGCGTTTTTAATCCTTCAATTTCTCGTTTATGGTCTAGGCATCTTGGTTTGTAACGAAATCCCTTTTTTTAACAGAGTTTTCACCATTACTGGTTACACTTGCTCCGCTGGCTTGTCGCACTAAACAAATGTGCCAGAGAGTCTCTTGGGGATAAAGATACAAGTGAATCGCCAGCACCACTAGGATTTTTGGACAGTTTCACTGCCCTGGAAATAGAACCTTAGTATCGGCGCTCCGAATTGGGCAACAACCCACTAAGCCATCCTATGAATTAATGAATTGATATGAATAAATGAATTGGTTTATAACGAATTAATGGGCTCTATAATTTTTTTTTAAAACAATGGAGCATTATTTTGTTTATCTTTAGACATAAATGCTTTTTCTGTCGATTTTTTTCAGTGTAATATTCATGAAATATAGAAACGACCAGAATTAAGGAAAGCAGTAGCTCGATAATCAAATACAAAAATTGAATATTATAGAATATTAAATAGCCGTGCACATTAGATAAGAAGATGACAATAATAACAATAATGATAATAATCGATGGTAAAGAGTTTTAAATTTTGAGTGAAAAGCTTTCGTTCAGCGTCAAAATTTAATGATTTCATGGTATAGGAAAAAAGTAATCAAATCGATGACGTATATAATTATCGATAAATGAACTCATTGCATTTCAAACAAATTTTAAATCATATAAGCACAATTAAAATTAGGAAGCATTTTTCATCGCTTCAAACCATTCATTCGATTAAAAGAAGGCCTTCTAACCAACTCATAGATGAATGTGATTATCACTTATTGCTTTTGCTTAAACTCGTTCCATTAGCGATTAATGGGATGAAATAGTCGATGTAATCTCACACAGTCTTCCCGCAACAATTGATGAAAACAATACAATTAAATCAAATCACTTCATTCCGTACTTTTACAAATGACATTGTTGATATCTCTCAAATATTTTTCTTTTCTAAAATTAATCAGTCATTGTTTCTCATGAATAAATGAAATATTCTATAAAAATTCAGCGCAATTTTAGACGAAAAAACATTTTCTTATCGATTTTTGCTATAAAGTGACAGTAGGATTGATTTGTAGTGGGCGTTTCATGTTGCATGCCAACCAATAGAGTAAGAAGATTTTGATAAAATTTAAAATTTTGATAAAAAGTACTGTAGTTGATGGTGCTGTTGATTTGTTTCATTGGTGAGTATGAGCAGAAATTTTCAAAAAATCACTTGCTAGGAATATAGATGGATCGCTAGCATCACCTGGATTTTATTTATTTTAATTTTTGTCAAAGATCTAAATTTTTGATTCTTAATCAATTATATGCAACAAACCACTCCGTAACCGTGTCGCTTATTTGAAACAATGCCGTTATGCAAAACTGGCTAAACCCAGTCGATTCAACTAAAAATGGTGACTAGATGATGAAATAAAGCCAATTTTGGCATAAAATCACTACGAATATATGGAAAAAAATAAAAAATATTTGGAAAATTTTCTTGAAATTGAAATTTGAAATTTGAAACTTGAAATTTTCTCGTCATATTTCTTATTACCGGTCATTTATCAAATTTTTAAATGAATCAAATGGTACTGATGATGGTGCGATCTTCTATTTCTTAATATGACATCGAAGATAAAATCTTTCTAGAACAGTATTTATTAAATATTACACGTTTCGATATTTCATTTCGATTAGATTTAACAAAACATAATCAGAAATTTCAATATTTAGATTGAGATAAAAATCGGACTCATCGTACTTGAATTGTACTTGAATACAAACAAAACAACATGGCACTTAGCTGTTGTTACAAAATTTGGAAAAATATATGATCAGTCCATATCAACTCGAATAGACAAAAATCAGACAGATGGAACAATAAAAACGATTGGATAAAAATGAAATTGAAAATTTACAAAAATTTCCTTTGAAATAGTTTGCGACTGAGCAAGATTATAATAGTTCTTCCTTGCATTTACAACAAATTTTAGAATACTAATAAATTTAAATCATTGAAAAATTGAAAGTTGAATCATTGAAAATCTTAAGAATGGACCAGTTAGTAATCTATTAAAACAAATCTCTTGAAAAAGTATTCTTGTATCTTATGGATAAAAGACAAGAAACTTCCACATAGCAAGAAACGATAATTATTCATTTATGAATCTGATTTTTTGCTATTGCTTCTTTCCGAAATAAATGTGAAACATGATAAAACCAACAGTAATTTTATTATTTAATAAAAAAGGATCCACACTTAATAATACGATTCGATAGGGATGGGCTGGTTGAATGATATGTTTGTCTATTATCATTCCATTATAGTTCAAGTTCTTTGTTTCTATGTGGAAGTAAACCTATTGTCAAAAGTGAAATCTGAGTGGTACCGAATCCATCTGTTCTTTATCAAGCAATGGCCCTATGATGAACGAGTTTGATCTTAATAATCAATGAAGCTAGCCGAAATAGAAATGGTAGAAGTAAACTTATTGTTATCCACTTTATTCAAAAATTCAATAAAGATTTAAAAATTTAAAAATTCAATAAAGGTTTTTAAAAGCTAAAACAAAAAACAGATGAAAAAAGAAAAATATCGTTTCAGTGAAAATCGTAATAATTTGCTAATCACGTGGAATTTTACAGAAAACAATTTTTGAAATTTATAAATTTCTAGGTCAATCGTGGTTAGCAAAGAGAAACGTCGTCTGGCGGAATACTTCAAGTCGACATTTTCCATGAAATTTTCAAATTTTCATTTTTTTTTTGTAGAAATAATTTAAGAATTTCCTCTTTTTATTTATTCACTTACAATAATGATAGTTTTTGGATTTGCATTCTTAAAATCAAGAAAATTATTCGTATTTCATATGAAGAAAAAAATTAAGAGAAATTTAATTTCAAAATTGCCTCGGGCAGAATTTTATACAAAACAAACGGTGATGTTGATTGAACTGAGGACAACTTTCTACATAATTTGACTCCCAGTTTTCTCCTTTCTTACGACTCGTATTTACAATAATTTGGTAATTCGGTTGGAATGGCATTTATAGAATTTTCTGAATTGCTTGATGTTTCCATACTGTACTCATTGAATTATTTCACAAAAACATTTCATCAATTCTCTTTCGAACATTGTCAATCTTTTGTTCATCTGAATAAAAAAAATTTAGAAATAATATTTTAATATTGTACTTTGATGATCATGATAATTATGATAATGATCACTACTGGTTTGATAGAAAGTAAAATGAAACTAGAAATCAGAAAATGCCAGAAATTAATTGAAACAGAAATGTAGCTATGCCCAAGTATCAGTCAAATTTCAGATTTCAGGTATCAATCTCATCAATCTCATATAGAGACCCATTCTATTTCAATTAATTTCTGGCAAAAAACTAAGGATTGCTAATAAGGATTTTTAAAGTTTCTTGAATGCTAACCCATAAAATGAGATAATAAGTCGTTTAAAGTTTGCCCAAATGCATTCACATCTCCTCTACCATCTTGAAATAGTTGACATTTTTGGAACTGAAGATTTTTGGTAAAAGCAATCATATATAATTCTTTTAGCAATTAATATTTTTCTTGAATAATTTCAAGCAGAAAATTACAGGATACTGACATCTCTTAGTTCAATCTTCTTTTTATCCATCTTCATCTCATAGCCAACTGCTGATGGTTGCTCGTGGACATTTGGTCCGCATGGTTTAGTGGTTGACTGTTCGGCCAATGAGTTCTCTGCTGATTTTTCTGGTTTTTCTGCTCCCCTTTGCGAGTTTTTGATAACTATTCTTTTCCTCGATTTTCTTTTATTTTGCTTCATAGTTTTATTCCATCCAATTCTTAGAACTTTTAATAAAGCAACTAATAACTAAAGTTACCAATGACGAGAAATATATTCAAGAAGATAGAAAAAAGTAAAATAAAATAGCATTTTAAATTTCTAAATCAAAGCAGCATAAAAGCGCAAAGAAAATATGTTGAAAATATTCAAATATTATAAATTTAAAAATCTAAGTAACGCTGGAGATTCACCAATCCCCGAATGAAAGCGTCCGCTCATTCCAACGAATGAAGGCAGCCAAATTCAGAAATAGTTTTAGGTGAAGAAAATAAAAAATAAATAGTAATACTCTCTGTGCGTTACAGTCAACAAACAACTTTCGGTGGCGCAAAATCCAGCAAACGTTGGAAATCAAAGTTGGAAGATTTCCATATTTCAAAACATTGATTACGTGGATTTATCGAATTTTTAAGATAAATAATATTCAAATTTTATAAAACTATGAAAATTTTCTAATAATTTATAATCAAAAGGATTTTTACCAAAAATTTAAAAAAAAGTCCAAACGAAACCATTTTAAATCTGAAAATGGTTTTTTCGACAAATTTTTTAAAAGTAATTCGCAACGATATATGACGCATTTAACTGCTTCAACCTTTTCGAGTTTTCTTATACGGAGACACGATGACCGAGTGTTGCCAAGTGCCATTTATTTTATACTGCATTTACGCTAACAATCAGTAGAATTGGTTTTGCCGAAAATGGACTCTTAGTTTTGCCACGGCTCAGTGGGGTTATTGCTATCATTTCAGAGCAGTGTTACGGCTGTTACTGTTTCTGCTCGGAGTGAGCTTGTCTTTGGTGAAAAGTTCTGCTATGATAGCGACTTACTTGTGCGTGTATCACCGAATAATTCTCCTCTGGTAACAATTCGTCTGATCCGACAAACCAACAAAGTAAGCGACTGAACTAAAATGGTGAGAAAAGAAACTATAAACGACTTTAAAATACCGCATAACAGCGAGTAATTTAAATGGCACAAAATCAATCAATAATAAAAAGTTAGGATCTATGGTTCGCGGAATTTCTTCTCATCACTCATCAGAGTACTGCTTTTATCAGTTGCAATTCTTTAGATTGATTTGAAAATCCGGAAAAATTTGATTTTTATGAACGATTAACGATTTAATATAAATTGAATTTCTCGATAACAATTGATTCAGTGATTTTGGAATAATTATGCCTCTAAATTTCACAAAGTTATTGGCCTAGTGATATGTGATATTCGCCTAATGATATGCGATGTTAGATGCAAAAAGCTATCTGCACATAGGAAGTTCGATGGGGAAAATTTATCTCCCCATCGAACGTTGCGAGGTTTTATCCATATGAAATGCTATTGCATGTTTGCAGACAGGTATAACCATAGAAGTACACGAGCAAAGACACTTATGTGTAGTCGTGTCAACGATGCGAGAATATTCTGGACATTCTGGACAAATCCACGTTAAAATAACTTGATCAGACACTTCAGGAACTTTTCTCAGAAGAAACCCAATTGTCCGAAAAGGCTGCTGAGTGTTCACCTCAGAACATCCTAACTATCGGATATTTCGAAGGCATCCAACGACAGTGACATGGCATATTGGAGAGCTACGAAGCGCTACAGACTAGGGATAGTGAAGAACTTTTGTGCCTTCTTGAAATCGCACTAAACAAATATGCCAGGGAGTCCCTTAGCGATGGAAATACAGGTGAGTTGCCAGCATCACCCATATTTTTGCACAGGTTTACTTCTGCAGAGAGTCGAATCTCGACATGGGCGCTCCAAATTGAGCAATACCCACTGAGCCATTCTACCCTTCTTTCCTTCTCTCCATCAGACGACACTGTAACTCGACGAATAGTGGTGCCGACAAGCCAAATTCTCAGTGGCAGTCATATTGCCACTGAACTCCGATGCACAAAACACTTAGAAAGGAGCAAATGGAATATTGCGAAATAAAGACGGACCACACGTTGACCTTACAAAGTTTTATCGACCAGCTCATTCACCACTTCAGATATGAATTATCTCGATTTATATGATATGATTATAGCAGCAGACCACTACTGAGTACGAATCTTTTATCGAAAAGCTCATCTATAATAATTTAAGGTATTTTACCAGAAAACGTCGGTGCGATTCTGCTTGTGTGGATAAGAATCCGAACTGGGTGCGTCAAAAAGTCGTTCCTCATTCTGAACTCTTAATGAGTCAGTGAAATTCTTGAATTCAGATTCCCTCACAAACTTCGGTTACACGATATTAAATAATGAACATTAACAACGGTCAATTCGTCGTCGCTCGCCGTTGTCATAGCAGTCAGCAAGAAGAGAATCAGATCGGTCCGACGTTTACCATAGAACAATTACAATACATATCGAACGCAGCAGAAGTTGAATTTCAAATCAGCTTAAAGAAGATTTCTTCCTTCTCACCAAATCCAATTTTCTGGATTCATTTGAAAAAATGGATCGAGAATCATTTGAAACTTTGCTTCCAACTTGTCGGCAGATTTCTTATTCGGACCAATTCACTCTTACAAAGTCGGATGGTGCTTGCAGTGCACATGTTACATCACCAAGCTTACATTACCGAGTGTACCCCGGACTTAGACGATGGAAAAAGGAATGGCTTCCATTACTGTCGACGATGGCATCAGACCGCGCCGCTTGGAAGCGTCTTACCCTTGTAGCCGTTGGAGCCAGCCTAACCAGTAATGTGAGAGCTGTTAGAAGAAGAAGAAGTACCCCTGACTATTTTTTTTTTAAATCCAATTTCGAAACTTCTATGTCGCCATAAACTATGGTTAACCGATTGTGGCTGAATTTCATTGTTTAGAGATTTTTCATAATAAATTCTTGAAATTTTTCTTCCTCAATTCTTAATATTCATCATATACGAGTAATCAATACGAGTATACTGTAATATCTGACTTTATTTTTTATTTTTTTATAATGGTTTGTCAGATTTTATAAAGGCGAAATCACATTTTATAAGTGCTTTATAAGTGATTTATTATCCGAAATTCACTATATTTTGGAGAATATATTAATGTTCCTGATCTATGGAAATTTGTGCAATTATTAGGGAATTAATAGCTTCTAAAGTCACTCACCGTGTCGAAAAGCAAGAGTTTTTTTCCTGTCCCCAACAAGAGTGCATTAATGGGACGCAATTGTACTTCTAGCCAAATGATTCCCTTTCTTTGTATGTACTGCATTTCAAAACTATATTTCAAACTAAAAATATAAATGCAGTGAAGACAAAAAAAACAAAAAATATTAATTTTGTCTTCCACATCAAAATTCATTATCAACAAAAAAACTTTTAACAAATGATAAAATTTTAGCAAAAATTAGCTGCGCCAAAATTAACAAGCAGATTAATTAATTTGAACTCATAAATGATATCACACTTTTCTGCCTTGGAAATAATCCATTACTGGTATTATTCCTAGATAGTTGCCAATTAAATATTGAACGTTATCAGGAAGAAAACTGAAAATAAATATTAAAAATAATGAGATTAATTAATTAGATGCATCTGAGACAATTTTTTATAAATTTTTATTTATTTTTTAAAAAGATATTTCCATAAAACATAAAATTCATAAGATATCATGTTAATTAATTAAATTATAAAATAATGTAAAATCATGAATAAAATTGAAAAACAATCACCTTGCAAAAAAGAGGGCCAAATAGGTTGCCTTAGGAAGACATAAAGTTGTTTTATTAGTTAAAATAGCTTCCATAGATTGTTCTACGACGTATTCAGGTTTAAGGATAGGGAACATACCACATAAACTGCAAGAGATAAGAGAAATAGACATATAAAATTAAAAAAATGAAAAAAAACTTTTTTCTTTTTCATGCTTAAAATTATTCCTTATGATATTTTAAATATTTCTTTTACCTACCCTTTTTCGACACCATGAAACATCCCTGTATCTATAAAAAATGGACATATCGTAGTTACGTGAACATTGTCTTTCTTTAGAGTCCGCAATTCTGATGCTAAAGCTTCTGAAAAGCCAACTGCACCATGTTTGCTGGTACAATAATCTACCAAACCCGATATTACAAGTTTTCCAGCTATCGATGCGACTACGACAAGATGACCTTGATTATTTTCGATCATGTGCGGCATGAAGGCTTTGCTTAACTGAAAAAAATTGAAATATACAAACAGAAATTCCACACAAAATCGCTTGTCTACGTCGTTAAATCAAGAACAGTTATTCAAACTAATTTGAAACCTTTCAAATCTCCAAAAAATTTCGAAATATAAAAATTCCAATAGTTCTAACAAACCTATGATAACTTCTGCTTCTATCGTAAAATTATGAAATTGTTTAAAGATTGCAGACCAAAAAACCGGTCAAAAAAATTTATTATTATATTATTATATTATATAAATTTATTACTATATTATTAAATTTGCTATATTATTCAAACTTTTAAATTCTTCCATTTCTTCTATAATAAAATGATAATCGACAAAGAAACTTAATTAATTAAAAAATCAACTTATCAGTCGAAGCAAAACTCACGAAGAACAAAGCGTTCGTATTAACATCCATAACGAACATATTTTCATCATCATCCGATTCGAAAAATCGCTTGCCATTCGCAACACCAGCGTTACTTATAAGAACATCGACATGACCAACGTTGGATTTTACTTTTTCAGCGTATTTATAAATTTCTATCCGTTTCGATAGATCCACAGTATAAGTAAAAGCCTTTAACAGCAAAATAAGATTGAAAATTCTCAAAAATTTTGCGAAAAAATTATATTAATAGTTTCTTCGAATAATCTCAGAAAGAAATCTCATATAATCTCATCAAAAATTTCTTTTTCAAAATCTGACAACTGCTGAGTCCAACTTGAATTAACCCGATTTTTTAGAACTGCCGAACTATTTAATATATCGAAAATATAAAATTTTGCGAACAAGCTTCTTGACTTACTTTTGCTCCTTGTTCTTCAACTAGTCGGCGAGTTTCAGCATTTTCCACTTCGTTTATATCCCAAAGTACCAAACGACAACCTAACTTAGCAAACTAAAATTATTAAATTATTTTACATAATATTATCCAAGTGAAAAAATGAAGATATTTGAAAAATTATTATTACCTAAGTCTTCATTCACTCGAACCTCAGTATCACCTGGATTTCATTTTTAAAGACTGCTTCACCCCTACCAAATCACTGGCATCTAACCCGCAATGCTGCGGTCGTAGCAGTCACATCGTCTCATCTCTTTATTCTTTATCATCAGCACTGCCATCACCTTTTCTACTACAACTTTTATATTAATACTTAATTCGACAGCAAAAAGGCGACCAATGCCACTTGCTGAACCTGTTATGAGCACAATTTGGTTGGAGACATCCTTCCTAGGCAGAAATCCTGTCGGCAAAACTGCTTTCAAAGCACCAACCGCAGTATACATTATCACTTTGATCAAAGTTAGAAACATACCTAAAAACGAAAACTATAACATAACTTTATTCACTTGATAAATTAATTAATTCAGGTAGACTGAACACGAAAACAACATTCAAATTCGGCACTCTTCATTCACAGTGAACCCACGTCGCGTGGCCTCAGTCGCAGTCGACTGGTACACTATTCGGCTATCCCATCCGCAATATTGACATGGCAAGGATAATACGAATGACAAGAAAAATGAGTGCGGTTTGCAAGAAACAACCAGTTTCGACAACAAAACATAAGTTATCAATGAATCTGGTCATCGAACGAATGATCAATGATCATTTAACAGATATTTTATGAATTATGGCGAAAATTGTTCAAAAAAATATATTTTAGGCCATTCGATAGAATAACTATATTAATAAATCGTAAAGAAACGAAATTTATAGAGAGCAACAGCCACAACGTAATATTTATAGGAAAGGAACAAAGGAACAAAACCGACCAGCTGACAGCAGCAAATACTAGTTGTCGGCAACTAAGCATTTGCATTTAAATGTACACACGTGGGGTTGAGAATTTGGAGAATTTACGGTTAAAAATTCCCGGCCGACGTGAATCAATCAATTCTTTGCGGACACAACAGTAAACAACAATAAATCATTTTAATGCCAATGAATCACTCGATCAAAGGTTAAGTCTTTTCTACGCGAGCAATTGTCTAAATTCGTAGAACTTTTTCCAAAAGGCGATTTTCCACTTCGACTGCTCCTCGTTATTTCAATTTCTCTCGAACAAGTTTTCAAATGTATCATTTTGTAAATGCAAAATGACCAGGTCCCACCGAGATTCGAACTCGGGTCGCAGGATTCAAAGTCCTGAGTGCTAACCGCTACACCATGGGACCACACTGCAGTCGTGCAATATTTTCTCATTTTGTCGAATAATTGATGATTATATTTCAGTTCTATGCACTCATAAATTAAAACCACAAATCTGGAAACCTGGATTTGAATTCACCAAATAATTCATTGGATCAGCAGGAAATCTCTATCTCTTAATTATTTTCGGCAAATAAAGAATAATTCCATCATTTTAGGAAGCAATTCTTTCGAATAATTTAAAAATTTTGATTTTTTTAAAAAAATTGAATTTTTGGTTCAGAAAGCCATCTGGAGATAGGCCGATAGAAACCATTTAGAATCGCAACTAGCGAACTTTTCCGTGAATCAACGCTTGATCTATTTAATTCATTCCCACAAATTTTTATTTAGTTATATTCTAATTATTAATTGGATATACTCGGTTATTTTTTTCTTGGTTAAAATCTTTTAAATCATTTCAATTTACTCTTTGTTTACATAGAGAATATAGACTTATTGAAAGGGGAAAATTGAGTCTCGGCTTAAATCAATTGAGTTCAGCTCGGTTCGATTTGGATATATTTAAGTGATTAAATGAAAAAAATATAGCCATATCCAAATATATCCTATCAAAAACTTGATTGAAGGGATGATCATCAAAAATTATGCAGTTATACGTCAAAAACCAAACGTTAAAATATTTTTTATCGACAATTTGAAAACAAAAAAAACATTAAACATATAAAATGAAATCTGGCCAAAGAATTCATTTCAAAAAACCATCAATTATATCTTTTGTCCATTTTGCTTCAGAAAAAAATATATACATTATATCTTGATCACCTGAAATTTACTTAAAACCAATTGAAAATATTAATGAAATTTTGTAAAATAATTTAAAGTGCAAGCAACAGAAAATGTTAAATAATTATCAAAAACAAAATTTACATGATTTTGAAAACAATGAAATATATAAAACAAACATAACTAACCAGAATTAAAATATATTTTAAAAATATTCATGAAATCCAATTTAAATTTTCGCGGTATTTCATCAAAATTATATTTTACTGTACCATCTGAATACGAATACGTCCACAAAAGTACTTCAAAAGAAATCCTGATAAATCGTAACAGCGAATGACGAAAGAAAACATTCTATAATTTAAAAAAATTAACCAGTGATTATAAAGAATTGAATAAAACAATGAAAACTTAAGAATTTCAAAAAATCTTGCCGTTGTATTAAAAGAAGATTTTGCATATAATTTTAATTGACTTATTGCCCCTTTCGTAAATGATAATTTTCGCTTAAATTCTGGTCCAAAAAAAATTAAAAGCGAGAGCGGATTATCAAAAATTTCCTGATTTCGATAATCAAAAGTATTCGTAGACAACAATAAAAAACAGAATTCAGTTTCAAAAAATTTTAATAAGAAATCCCTTTCACGTTCGTTTCCATCAGAAACACTAAAAAAATTTCAAACTTCAAATTGCATTGTAAAAATTATTTTAAAAAATATGATGCATTTCGAATTTTTTAAAAAATAGATAAGAAAAAAGATAAAATTTTGAACAAATTTCAAGGAAAACCGATCAAACTTAAAGAAATAAAGTGAATCAGAAAATTATAATCAATCGACTATATAAGAAGAAATACACGACAGTTGCTTGGACAGTGGTTTATCGTGTTGAGAAGCAAGAGTGGTAGTGGTGGTTAACCTATACTCAAGTGATTCTCTGGCGAAAATTTTTGACCATACTAATAGCAAGCGGAACAAATCTGACAAGAAGTGGTGAAGTGTGTTTATTTATATAATATTGAAAAAATAACCTAAATAAACTATTCACATAAAGTCGGAAGGCGTTTATTCGTTGAAAATTATCGCTCCTCTCGTCACTTTCATTCAAAAACATATTTAACCAATATTTTCGACTTTTACGACAATTTGGAGGGTAAATTTCAATAAATCGATACAAAATTGTCCAAAAATCGTTATTTAAAAAAGAATTTTGAATCAAAGGCTAAAATTTTCTTCAAAATTTTAAGAAAAAAATTGAAAAATTTTAAGAAAAATTGCAGAAAAATTCCACTTTTCATTCTAAAAAAATTGTTAAAAATTAAAAGAGAAAAAAAAATATAAAAGAAACAAAACTAACATGTTTTCTTAGTTGAAAAATTAATTGTGCTAATTTTCTAGGAAAGATGAAACGATTTCCGATAATAGTATTGGAAAGCATTTGTAAATAATCCTTTGCAAGAAAAATATCAAGTGAGGAATGATTGACATTATCGAATATTACTGAGAATTCCTGTATGAAATAATTGCTTATCGAAACAGGAAATTCTCTTAACTCCTAAAAATAACAAAGAAATAATCAGAAACAAATAAAAAAGAAAAATAAAAAGGATGAAAACTTATAAAAAAACCTGATTCGAGATGAAAAATTTGGATAAATTTAACGAATTATTTATTAACCAATAATTATTTGCTTCATTCATTAAAATATGATAAAACAAACTAAGTGGAGAAATCCTGAAACACAAATAATTTTAATCAAAGAACAGCCAACGAGGAATTTTAATATCTTCGGTCGATTGTTGTGTTACTGATCTTCAGTGGCTGTGACTCGTCTGCTTTTGATTAATAATTCTTGATTGTAAAGAAACTCAAGATAAACATTTGTTCGCCCGTTTTTTAACAGGAATAAACCAGTTAAAATTGCAATGGCTGTCAGGAATCCAGATCTATCCTTACGTGATTCTAGGATAAGCGATCTCAAAAAGCGTCCGCCTTTTCCGGCGAGCATATTATCGCTAACTCAATGGTATGTTGAATAATCAGGTGATATAGCCCACTATCGAAAAATCGAACGGACTTAAACTGCCTCTCGGAAGTGGTCCATCTTCTTAATTCTGCATAAAAAGTGGTAGCTGGCTCGGAGAAAAGCTGCACGGTGTATTACATTAATTTAGTTTTGGGTGTATTTTGGAAAAAAACGGAGTGGGATGGACTCGTGATTGTTATGCCGAAAGTCACAACACCTCTAATAGTGTGGAATGCTGAGGTTTTGCCTATGTTAAGCTTTAAAGGACAGAAGATCTATGCCGAACCTTCCCAAAAACAATATAATTATTACCGGTGGAGATGGGAATGCACGTGGCACTATCCGTCTGCATTTTACGACAAGTATGGCACTAGAAGGTGCGTATTAACACCATCGTTTTGCTGAACAACACGGAGCCTTGCGCCATCGGTATATCGGTTCTTAGTAAAACGAGAGAAATCACATGGGATGCATGGAACTCTCCAGATAATCGACATTCGACCCAGAAGGACCAACTGATCAATCGCCCTTTTCCTCGACTACAACGAAGTGCAAACCGAGTTGGAGCTTTAAGCGAAGATCCGTGCGGAACGACTTGCCTTCAAAGTATGATTTCCATCTATTGTCATATACAATTTTACACAACCCTTTTTTTTCTTTTAAACCAAAAGTATTTCGGTAATTTGAAGGAAGGTTTTGATGAAAATGCCTATGGCAACTCATATTAGCCTTCGAAGTTCCAGCAGTAATACATATAAAGAAATTTGCCTCAGTCAATTTCCTGCTGAGTGAGAGGGATGGAGATTTTACTTCCCATGAAAAGCGTTAAGCCTTTCCCGAACCTCGGAGGCTGCGTTAAAGCCAAGTAGAAAGCCAAGCTTTTACCTAAAAAGTAGACGAATAATAATGAAAAGAGTCCAATTTGCTTCACCCCACATTTTTATTTACCCCACTCACCTTACTTTCATATACAAATAATTTGTGAAAAACATTAAAAATTTGTTCCCCAGCAGCCGCGCTGAGCTTTAGTAGTACTTCTTTAATTGCATGGATAAATTGCACCAAATTTCCTGTGAATTTTTTTCTCGCAGTTTCATTTGTGGCTTCATGCGCGGTTCCATGGAGACTTTTAATTTCGACAACGCCACGGGCGCTATTTTGCAATTAGTGTTGCTTTACCGAAAGATAAGCGCAAAGGCATCGCTGAGATTCGAATTGAAAACCGCTGCGACTCCACAAATGAATATTAAAATTAAACCTCAGTTCTTCCCTTTACTGGGAGAGCGATTTATTTAAATAAAATTATATTTGTATTCGCTTATATTTAATTACATTTCTAATCGTACATTTGCGATGATTTAATTTAAGTTTTCGTCGAGATGATAACTTTTCTACGATTTTTATCGATAAATATAGAAAAGATTGCTCGCATTTAAATTATCTTCCACTCCTCCACATTGGTAACGGAACGGAAGCAGAAATGTCCGCCGCCACTGAATTTCATTTCTAATGACAGCTTTATTCCCGTTGACTTTAACGAGTGGAAAATGCAAACGGATTTATTGTTCGGAGATATAACATTTAAATCTGATTGCAATGCAAAGCAGCGAAAAATTTATAAAATTTATAAATTTATTTCTAAACAAACAAACAGATGAAAATATTTCTAAAAGAAATGCTACTATGACCTCTCTTCTCGTTTTACCAGTTTATACTTACCTGAAAAATTGTTTCATATTGATCCATTTAAGGACTTGGAAAAAGAAGCTCAAATAAGGCAATTGCTATACGTTTATAACATTCGTGTTCTTATCATATCATTCGTATTTTCGCCAAATGACATTTGTTTCATTGCGAATATTTCACCATCTTTACTTTTATAAGTAACTATTAAAATTTATAACTATTAAAAATATAACTATTATAACTATTAAAAATTAATGTTTTGCTGATTTACCTTTGCTTTTTAATTTCCTATATTGTATATCTCGCTGTTCACTACTGTTGTTCATTTTTTTCGCCGAAATATTCGGTTCCTGGAATCTGGCAATTCTTAACGCTTTTTCTTCTCTTCGCACACTTTTTTTGTTTGTTTTAGTGAAAGATCGCAGCCTTTTTTCACTGTTCGCTTTTAATAATATATGTCTAAAAATTTGGATTTTTTAAATGAAAATTAGTTGGTATTAGTTAAAATCATTTAAATAACATAATTCACCTTATAAAAACCAATGCCATCAGTGTAAAACAATTACGACGGCAAACATTTCACGATGCTAGTTTTTCGAGTATTCCTGGTTATGAAGAAAACCATAGAAAGCAAAATATTACAGCCAATGAGAATTTTCAGACACAATCGTTTAAAAAAAATAAGCAAAACTGTTTTCACTTATTATTATACCTACTGATCTATACTTTTTAATTCAAAAAATATATTCAAAATTTGGAAAAACGTAGTTTTGTTTGCAAACATTTTACTTGATAACATTAAATTTGCGTAGTGCTAATGATGGGAACCCATTTGTAATTCTATCCTCAAAAGTGATCTTGTGAAAAGTCTCGGTAAATTGCAATCAGCTAAACCAGAATTAATATTCAATGAACAATGTTTGGTTACGACAAAAAAGGCTGAAAAAGGCTCCACAGACCTTGGATTCGAGTCCGGTGAAACGTTGGATGATATACTCGATGGTACAAAAACAATAGAATGTTTGAGAAACGACGCTGATAGACTGGTTAACATCTAAAATGTTTTTTCAGCTCAATCTAAAGAAAGATTTGACTTACCAACCAATCCAAAATTAAACTTGCGACTTAGCTAGTAAGAAAGATAAGTGCCATCTGATATGGACAACGATAGCGAGAATAGAAAAATCAATATCATACCTTATCAACATTCACTTTTTTACCAGTTGCAGCAGTTCGTAACGCATCGTCCAATTTATTTTTGGAAATTTTTCCCATCAAAAGCAATTAGGACTAAACTTGAAAACTACAGATTTAAATTACAATTAGGATTAAACTTAAAAATTACAGATTACAGATGCAACAGATCTTCAAGAAACTTCATGGCCTCAATCCCAACTAATATAATCTCAGTCCAACAGTACAATTCGCAACACATGACACCAAACCGCGACATCCCTAACCCTTTTTAAATTTACCACTCTCCAATCAATCCATACACATTCTAAGAATTTTTGCTGCTCATGAAATCTTTCACAAAACAGTACAAAAATACTTGAATACCAACTATTTTTCGCTTAATCTGTATAACAGTGAATATTAGGGAAAAAGCGAAATTTTATTTTCTATAACAAATTTAATTTTAACAACGAACAATGAAAGCGATCAAACAGCCCTTTCTGCAGAAGAAAACAAAGATAAATAAAGATAAAAAATTGATAAGAAAGGTACACCTTTTCAAAATCAGAAGCAAATTAATTGAAAAAAATCAAACAATAAGTTTTACAGTAAACTTATTCTAATAATTGAGTGCAATTAATAAAATAGCGCCTAAAATTTGGTCTCAAATGAATTCTGCTCAATAATGATTGGCACAAAATGATTCTGAAATGTAACAAAATTTATTTTTATATTTTATGATTCTGCACTCTTCCAGAGTTACAAAGTATAAAAAACCCAAAATTTTTCTAAAAATAGTATCATTTCATTTTTTCTTAGTTCCAACACCGGCTTTTTGTGCAGCCTTAGTTACCTTACCGGCCGTTTCAGTTTTATCAACTGATTTGATGACACCTACAGCAACTGTCTGTCGCATATCACGCACAGCAAAGCGACCAAGAGGTGGATAATCAGTAAATGATTCAACACACATCGGTTTTGTTGGAATTAAGTCAACAATGCCAGCATCTCCAGATTTAAGAAACTGAAAAGATTTGAATTAATGCACAGAAAAAAATCAAGTGATCCGAAGCGTGCTCTATATCATCCATTTTAAAGAACAAATTTTCAATAAGACAAACCTTAGGATTGTCTTCCACCTTCTTTCCAGATCGCCTATCAACTTTTTCTTTAAGTTCAGCGAATTTACAAGCAATATGGGCCGTGTGGCAATCGAGAACAGGTGTATATCCAGGACCGATTTGCCCAGGATGGTTCATGATGATAACCTAAATTTAATCAACAGACTTGCCTTATAATCAAATATTAAATAACTGTAATGAATAAATAAATATATACATAAATATAATAAATATAAACTATATATATACATATATGGATAAAATGATACAAAATAAATAAGGCGGTAATTACAATCAATCATTAACCATTATAATCAATAAACCTGAGCAGTGAATCCTTTCGCTTCTTTAGCGGGATCGTTTTTAGAGTCTGAAGCAACTGATCCACGACGAATATCTTTGACCGAAATGTTTTTAACGTTGAAACCAACGTTATCGCCAGGAAGTGCTTCTGCAAGTGATTCATGGTGCATTTCAACAGATTTAACTTCCGTAGTAACATTTTGCGGGGCAAAAGTAACGACCATTCCCGGTTTCAGAATTCCAGTTTCGACTCGACCAACAGGAACTGTTCCAATACCTAAATTTTCGATTACATATTTGCAAATTTTGAATAAAAATTGAAATCTTTATACAAAATCTTTATAAAATCTTCACCTCCTATCTTATACACATCTTGCAAAGGAAGACGTAGTGGTTTATCAGTTGGACGAGCTGGTGGCATGATCGAATCAAGGGCTTCCAAAAGAGTTTTGCCTGTAGCATTGCCTTCCTTCCGCTCAACGGTCCATCCTTTGAACCAAGGCATATTGTTAGATGGTTCCATCATATTGTCACCATTGAAACCAGAGATTGGAACGAAGGCTACTGCCTTAGGGTTATAACCAATTTTTTTAATATAATTTGATACTTCCGTAGTCACCTAAAACACTCTATCCTCAATTTTTTTCTTCAACTTCAACAAATTTAAATCAGAACAAAATTTAACACCTCATTAAATCGCGCTTCGGAAAATGGTGGTTCTGTTGAATCCATTTTGTTACATGCAACTATCAGCTGTTTAACGCCAAGAGTTTGCGCTAAAAGCGCATGTTCACGAGTTTGACCATTTTTCGAAATACCTGCCTCGAACTCACCAGTACCACATGCTACTACCAATACAGCACAGTCAGCCTGCGACGTACCTGAATAATAAAAAAATTGAAATGAAAAAGAACATATAATAAGTTGCACTTTCATAATACTCAAAATTACTTACCTTACTTAAATCATAAATCGCGATTTTATGCATTTTAGATATGAGTATGGAAACGGTAGGTACTCAAAAAATTATAAACGGTGGGTTGTTGAAGCACCAAATGAACATTTAAAAAAAAACGAAAAAAAATATACCAGTAATCATGTTTTTGATAAAATCACGATGGCCAGGTGCATCAATAATAGTAACATAATATTTGGAGGTCTCGAATTTCCACAAAGCGATATCAATCGTAATACCACGTTCACGTTCAGCCTTTAATTTATCAAGAACCCACGCATATTTAAATGATCCTTTACCCATTTCCTGCGCTTCTTTCTCGAATTTCTCAATCGTTCGTTTATCAATACCACCACATTTATAAATAAGATGCCCAGTCGTCGTCGATTTACCCGAATCGACGTGTCCAATGACGACAATATTAATGTGAATTTTTTCTTTGCCCATTATAAACCAACTATGCGTAATATGACAGCTAAAAGACAAAAAAAACAAGTGAACTAACATTAAAAATATGTTATTTCAAAACAAACAACGATGGTTCGTATCAATCTTCAATAATTTCTTCAATAAAATTAATATCTTAATGAAAACTAATGATAAATTGATTTAATACAATCGATATCATTTCGTTTACTTAATCTGGAACATCAACATTTTAAATCAAAAATTGTAACTATTTAAATTACATCAAATTAAGAAATAATCCAACAAAATTAAAGAAACATTGTTAAAATGGGGTATTTCTTTTCGAAGTTAGCAAACCAAAATCCCAATTATAAAAAAAATATTGCGAGAAAATATGGCAATAGCATGAGAGTGAAAAACTGAAAACGAAATTCGAACCCTATTAAAAATTAAAGAAAAATCGATTACGAATCGACTAATGAAGGATTGGCTGACAAGGTAATTTTGCAATTCGATTCAGAGTGGTGCATCGAATGGTTAGTAGCTTCGTTGGGAATCCAGCAAATAAATTTCATCCGCCTTCGCCTGAATATCTGCATTAATAACACTATCATAGAACATCGCTTATTTTGGATAGGCAACATTCTTAGTTGTCCCAATAGTAAGGAGTGATGCATACGCATAGGAGTCATCTCATACCCGCTAATGAACTGTGATGGACAGCGTCAAAAGCGAGGATGACCAATTAAAAGCTGAACTGAGAGATGAGAATATACCTCGAAAACAGGCAAGCCAGCGATAAAATGACTTAGATTGTGGAAAAAAATTGATTAAGCATATATTCAAACACATTGCATCAAGCGGTTTGAGAGCGCCTATCTCTTATAACTAACGGAGTTCAATAAGCGATACTTAGTGATGGTACTTAGAAGGAAGAAAAAAGTCTCGCAACCAAACTATCTTGGAAAAAAATCAAAATAACCATTAATGATATTAAAGTCTGATAAATTATTGCATTTACCCAATTTGCAAAAACAAATTAAATAATTAAACTTTTTTAAAATAATGGCCAGAAGCACTGAACCACATAATTCTTCTAAAAACAACTTAAGCGAACGACCCGAAGGCCAAAGGACGCAATTTTGACCAAACATTCCACCTCCCATGCAACCGCTCCGCGCCTCGCCACAACAATTACAACAAACGCAATGCTTAACCTACGAATCACATCTGTATGAACATTGCATTGCGCAATGCAAATAAATTTGTACCACTTGTCACAGCAAATCTCTACGTCGCGTTAAATTTTTCCATATCCCATGTTAGCCTGGAATTTCCTGGTGATGGATTAAATGTGCACCGAAACCCGATATGGTCACCACACCCTACACTATTTAGCACCACGTTATCACCAATACAGCATTTTTATTGCAAAACCATGGTACCTTGAAAAATCTATTGCTTGAATCATATAATCATTTCAAGAATTAATTTTAATCTATTGAAGATATTACAGCTCAATATTTTTCGCTGGCTTCAGTGGAATTAATGAAAATATAAATTTTTAATATTTCGAACGATACGTTCAGTTAAAAGCCGTTTTTTAAAACTAATTTAGTAGGGAAATTAGCGAGTTCGAAGGATGTGCGGACGAGTGGATTTGCAGACTTCTGCTTGTTCATACAGGTAGAGCGACGAACCGAGGAAATAGTGCGGAAACTCATCGCTGATCTTATCTCCGTCTTCTTCTTCCGATTATCAATGGTTAGGCTGGCTGGATTGGCCAAAACGATAAGGCGTCTCGAAGCCGCTCGACCCGATGCTGTGCCTCGTATTAAAAGGAGTCAATCCTGCCACCATCTAAGTCCATTTATCGCTGGTCCACTCTATATGCTTAAAATCTTTCCTGACTGTCTTTCCAAGACTTGATTGGCCCTCCTCACCTTTGACGAGTTTAACAAATAACAATATACAAATAATAATATCAACAACAATATGGGTCAATATGGTTCATATAATGGGCGATAAAGAACGTGATCCAATCAGTATAGGCATTCTGTGTCGTTTATGCAAGTGGTGTCTGAACGAAGATGGATGACCAGTCATGTGAGTTTCTACCTATTCGGCAAGCAAGTAAATCTTATGAGCTGTAGTCAAATGTAGAAAACTCCTCAATATTTTCCATTCTTTTTAGCCATATTTTGCAGCTATATAAGACTATATGGTGCAAAGTACCAGCAACAGTAATTAATTAACAGCATTAATTTATTCAGATTAATGGCATCTAATGCTTGACCTCTTAAAAATTGACTTAAAAATTCGAAGTGCTTAGTTCTAATAATTTCCAATAGTCAGTTGAATGATCCAAACCAGTAATACTGTTAATTTAAGAAAAATTTTTAATAAAGAGTTGTAACTTCACAATTTTCCTCCAATAATTTCAGATAATTCTAATTCTCCATATAATTTGTAAATAATTGGCTAGCACTCATGATTTCTGGTTAAAATTTGCTCCATTCGCTACTAATACGATAGGAAATAATCTCCATTATCCATAATCTTAAGACCCAACAAGACTCCAGGAAAAGATGGTCTTGGGTGCCCATTCCTCAAATGTTGTCCTTTATAACGCATCTTCAATGCATCTTCAACAAATATTTCTGGTATGGAAGAAAGAAATATTACTGGATAACTTGAGCAAAACAATTCTGCTCCTAATTCTCAAGAAAGGGCATACTGCGACAATTATCGAGGAATCAGCCTATTAGACGTCTCAGCAAAAATTTTTGCTTCCCTTTTACTCAACAGACTTATGGAAGTACGAGACAACAGGATGCACCCTAATCAAGCTGGATTCAGACCAGGGCCGGTTGTGCTGACCAGGTATTCACGTTAAGAAGGGTGTTAGAACATCGTTTTAGATATTTTCAACCCACTTACGAGTTTCATCGACTTTGCGGATGCGTTTAATTCAATTGATAGAACGCTTTGGAGGGTGATAGAACGCGATGTTGTTCCACAGAAGATCATTCGACTCATAAAGGGATTTTATGAGCAAACGATGCAGGTCTATGTATATGTATATGGGGAACTGACTCCTTCGAAATAAAAACTGGTATCCATCAAAGCTGCGTCCTTTTCCCCTACAATATCAACTATTCCAGAACATAGTATCACAAATCTCGAATACGCTGAAGATATAGTACTTTTTGCTGACAGCTATGACGAGGTGCAAATAATGTTAACCAATGTATCAACAACTGCAACGAGAACTGGACTCAAAAGCAATGTAAATAAAACGAAAGCTTTTTCGTTTTCGTTTTCGTTTTATGTACAAGAAACTGATAAAATGCCTCTTTTTATAAATTCATTGCAGGTCAAGGAAGTGCCCGATTTTAAATACCTTGGGTCCACTCTAATACCAAATGGTCAGGCAAAAGACGATATTATAGCCTGGATCACGGCAGCTAGAAATACGTTGTTCCGGTTGACGAAACCTCTATGGACTCATCACTATTAAAACGAAAGTCCGCTTCTATAGCTGTCGGAAATAATGTTTTTCCATGCTTAAAATCATAAGTAGGCTTACATCCGATATTTTTGAAGGCAAATTTCTCTTGAGAAATTTGTAAAGAATACTGCCAATTTGTGAAGAAATTATACGTCTAATTATAAATTAAAATCTCTTTACATATTCCTTATAAAAAACGAAAAGGAAACAACGAGAGAGCAGAGTGTGTTTATTCGGTCGGTTTGTAATTTGGTCAGTTTGTTATTTGGTGGGTGAATTTATCGAGTTTATCAGTTTATAAGTCAGTTGATTAGTGAGTTTCTGCAATACGTCCTTCGTATTCAATCGTAATCCTACCTTTCAATTCGTAATAATAATTGATATTATTTTTTATTGATATATTATTTTGCACGTCGTTCTATTGTACTGCTCTCTGGGCAATAATAAAATCTACAACTAGTTGTATATTCCAACTCTAATTCGTGAAAGCGCCGCGAGTGCGCAAGTCACTTCTTTCAAAAATTTTAGTTTTTTTTTCTTCTTTCTGAATTAACAAAACTTTTCAATAGCCGACAATAGCTGCGATCTGCTTGATCTTTCTATATGGCTGCGAGACATGGCCGATGATCATTTCATATCTAAGATTCATTTTATGGATCCGACAAGCGGATAAGATCTCACATCCATCTTCCATGTTTGCATCCATTTTCGCTCAAAGACAATTTGCATTAATAATGCATCACATCGTCTTTGCTGGGTAGGATATGTTCTCCGTCGTTCACCACAAAAGTGATTTATATTTCGTTACTTGCCAAGCCCTTGAAGTACTGAACAACTTGGAGACGTTATCCTTGCAGCCCGTGGAACCAGACGAATCAATAATATTGAAAGCTATTAAAAGAAGAAATATAATGCGGAATTTTTTTCAAAAATCACTTCGCGAAAAAAGAATATATGAATTTTAAATAATGGCTTACTCTTGTAAGACAAAAGTCAAAGCTCTTATTCTTAAAGCAATAAGCAATTACTCGGTTATTTATCCTTCGTTTTTCATATTTAGCACAAATTGAATTTTCTGAGTTTTGTTCAAAATAAATGCCACAAAATATATACCAAAATATTTAATTTTTAAATTTGTAAATATGGGGGATAAAAATGTATTTATCGCTGAAAAGTCACAAAAATGTGGAAGCAAAGGCCATGTGGAAGAAGAATTATCGAATGGATTGCCAAATTAGACTCTCTAATTGGCTTTTTTATATAAATCGATGCAATACTGAAAAATAACAACAACTGGCTCAATTAGGCTTGATTTATTTTTCGCGTCCTAAATCTTCAGAGTCTCGTTTTCTTCTTTCTATTTGGGCAATTATTGAATTCTTAAATTAGATGTCTGAAATTCGTTCAAAAGCTATTCCTCTTTCCATAAATCGGAATAGCCGAGTGGATAGTATTTTAGATTACCGTACTATGTGTTTTGTCGTCGACAGGAGTATCCAGTAAGCTTGTTAAAAAACTCCCTGTCGTAATGTGAATCTTTGGCAATCTGAAAAAATTTCCAACCATACTAGCCAGCGAAGCCAGTCTAACCAAAAATGTGACCTTATTTCCACAGTTATTAGCTTATTTTTCCTTTATTTAAAGTTAGAAAAGTGTAGAACCATTTTCTTCTTCTTATTCTTCGTCTTCTAACAGCTCTCACCATTATTGGTTAGGCTGGCTCCAACGGCTATAAGGGTAAAACGCTTCCAAGCTGCACAGTCTGATACCATCGTCGACAGCAATAGAAGTCATTCCTTTCTTCATGGTCTAAGTCCATATATCGCTGGTCTACCTATACTTTCAAAATCTTTTCTGATTTTGTCCAGGTCTTGATTGGACCACCTCGCTTTTATTGCCACTTATCACTCGGTTTAGCAAGTAACGAAATATGCGACAACTCTTGTGGTGGACGACGGAGAACGTTCTCTAACCAACGAAGACGACGCTCTATGATAACATTATTAATGCAAGTGGTATTTGAATAAAGGTGGACACAATCGTGTGCGATTTTATCCGCTCGACGGACCCATTAAAAAAATGGTTGAACCATTTTGAATTCATTTAAATTTTATGCGCTCATTGGGAGCGAGAAAATGGTTTAATGGTTTTTCTAGTAATCGCGATGTATTCATTGCCTTTATATAATTGGGATCGTATTTATAGAGCGATAGTGATCCTAGCCAGTTTTAATCAGTCATAGTCAGTTTTAGATTTATAAAAAGTTATTTTTACAGTAACAATAAGGAACATTTCAATTTTTATTGCAACAAATTTTTTAATTTACATTTTTTTATTCGCCTTAGGGAACGGCTATTTATGAATTTTTGTCCAGAATATATGAACGAATATGTGATTTCTCATATTTTATCTCAAACCATCTCAATGTCCGCCATTGAAATATAAAGAATTTAAATATTTTTCATGCTCAAGAATGGCATAGCTGCAAAAAATATCGATTCCAATTTCTAAAACTATGGAATCAACTGGACTAAACTGATTTTTTTTCGTGCACCACTCACTCACTCGTTAATAGTATGAAGCGCTTTTGTCAGTCACCTGAGCGTCGAAGCGGATCCTTGTAGTACTTCTCTTATTTGCCGAATATCTTTCAAAAGTGGATTTTATTATTGCTACAGAAATTGTTGATGAGAGTATTTCAAAATGAAGAACTTCCCAAGGACTTCGATTCAGCTCATGTAATATTTATATTTCAGGTCACACAATTCGAGAAAAGCCCTTTCTTTTTATTTTTATGGACACTTTAATTTGGTTCTTCTTGATCAGCATTACTTGTCTTTCTTCTCTCAGTGATATAAAATGGTTATCACCATTCAATCGCGATAATAATATTGCTGCTCTGTGCACGAATCAAAATTATATGCTTATTATGCTGAGGAGGGGCATACCTACGGTATTTACAATTTCATTTTAAAATCCATGTTTTTAAAAACTGCAAAAATTTTAGAATCTGCTGAAACAACTAGTTGAATATCAACTAGTTAAATAGTTGAAATAAAAATAAAAGCATAAATAAATAAAAATTTGCGAAATTTAAATCAAATTTTTAATAAAATATACATAAAAAATATTTAAAATTTAATTTTTACAAAAAATTTTAAAAAATTTTCAATTATTTTTATTTATTTATTTTTTATTTATTTGTTCTTTAAAAATTATTTTTAATCAAATATAGAAGTTGGGGTTGAATAATTAAATGTTAATTTTCGCACCAAATTGTTCACTCACTTGTACTTTTCTCATTTATAATTATGCTTATGGGAAGGCTTCTTAAAATTCGCCGAGAAATTTGTTTCGTTTATAAGAGATTGTTCTATAAACTATTACTACTATATGGATTATTAATTCTCGAATTTGTTATTCGCTATTCATTTGAGATAGAATGGAATTATTTTCTGAATTTGTGAATTATTCGTAATAACTTGAGCTCATTTATTCGGAGAATTCGAACGACTTAGCTTTATTAGATTTATTTATCAATACTAATGACTCCGTTCTATTTTAATGACTCGAATTGGGACAGTGAGCAATCTTTTTTATAACTTATCAAATTATATTGAACTAGAAGAAATTAGTTCAATTAGTTATCATATTCAGCTGGTATTTTTAAAAATTATACTTTTGTGTAATCGCAATCCATTTCATACAAAGCGATAGTGAAGTGGACAATTTTATACATTTATGTAACGTTTTGAGCGATTGGCTCAGTGCTTATTGCTCTCATTTGGGAACGGCAATGCTGGAGTTTTACTTCTGGCGGGAAGCGTGTTCCTTTCCTTGAAAATCCGATGGTGCTGGAAACTCATCTGTACTCCTAACAAGCGACGCAGTGAGTTTAACCGAGAGTGCTAACTGGTCCTTAAAAAAAAAATTCTGCATATCCTTCTTCGGGTATTTATTCTGAATTAGCTTCACTGGCTACTCCAATGAAATCCATTTAATAGAGAATCATTTGAGAAAATACAGATGGATCTCCAGCACCATCCAAATTCTACATACTCAAATTATTTAAATGAAATATTTATCATTGCATATTATCACCATTATGCCTATACGGCAATATACTTACTGTTTTTATAGTTATATAGTCTTTTCCGTCATGATGCATTGTGCTGGATGCAAGTACAAAGATATGTGCCAATACAGTATAGCGCTCTCTTAAAATTTATGCAGTTACTGGGATTCTGTGAAATTAAGAAAATTGTCGACTTTAAATGGCATCGAAATATCGAATATAGACGAGAATTTCAGCTAATGATTACTAGAGCTGCATTTGCATTGGTTAGAGAAATTCATTGCTTCCTAGGTTCCCAGCCAAATTTCCAGTAAATCTGCAAAAAATCAACAGTCTTCATTTTAAAATCAAATTTAGAATTCCTTTCTAATTTCTCTCTGAAATTCTTTTGCAGCATTCATTATGCTGAAGAAAATTGCGCTATTTTCATTTCTTTGGTTTTCTAAATCATTTCTTATCATTTCTTATAAATTGACAAATAAAAAAAGGCTTTTCCATAAAAACTAATTACAGATTTGTCGAAGATCTGACGATATTGGACGCTTTCAGCTGAATCGGCACGCAGATATTTTCAGGATAATCTTTGAAAAAGAGAACAGCAATCGAAAGTGCATATTTCTTTGCTTTAACTGGATTCATTTTTTAATGACTGATTTGCTTCCATCAAAGATCGAACCTATGAGATTTGAAGCACGTATCACTCGGATATCCTATAGTTTGATTATTTTACTTAATGTTTAGTTCATTTTATGAGTGAGAAGAAATCGTAATTAGCTATCGTAAATAAATTTGCTTCAGATACATTTGCGACAATGTTTTGAAATTATATGAGAGTTTATATCAGAGATGCCATGTTGACGAGCCTACCGGGCGACTGCGGCTAATTGCCAAAGTATTCTTATTAGATATTCGTTGCCTTTAAATAAGCAGAAATATTTCAAAAAATTTAACTCGTGATTTGTCTTTTTCATAGACAAACAAGTTATTGCGATTGGATCAGTTAATCTGTTTAACACCTTTCTCTTGGCGATTTCCTTGCAAAAGTGCCTTTAACTGATTTGATATGTTAAAAGTTAAAGGCTTTCGTCCCAATCGTCTAAATTTATATTCCTTACGAAAAGCCAGCCATGGAAAACTGCATATGCAATAAGTAAAATAAAGTTTGAAGTTTTTAAAATAAAATAAAGTTTTCTTTAAAAAATTTTAAAAAACAGAATTGGCAGATTTGTTCGGGTAAATCGGCAGTTCGACTTCTCAGAATGGGAGTGTTTTTTCGCCGTTTTTCCCATACTTGTGCAACAATGGACGAATTTTATACCGAGCAATCGAATGCAGACACGTCGCTCGGCTTTGCATTAACAAATGATACGGCATTCATGAATATTTTAAGGTTTACTTGCATGTGAAATAGCGTCTCATTGATAAAAACATTGTAATATTGAAATATTGCCACAAACGCCAGCAGATCTATCATTTTGGCCATATGCTATTCTGGACCCATTAAATATAAAATTAAAATTGTTTGAGTAAAGATGATTTATAGCACAAACCTAATGAATGCAGTCAGCAGCGACAGTAAACTACTGCAAATTGTGTTTAAAACTCGACCTCTGTTACAACACTTTAGTTTGGCAGCTTTGAAGCTTTACCGACAACTCCAACAACAAACTGCAAGGCTAAATTTTATGTTTAAGAACTAAGTAAACGACTGCACAAAGTTTGTGGCATGTTAATTTAAAAAAATATTAAATCATTTCAGATGCCCGATACATGCAGATACGAATAATTTATTACTTTATATAGAAAATAATACTGATGACATCGCAAACACAACTGATTATGATACGCAGAATAATTTTATGGATGAAGACTGTGGTGAAGCTAACAGTTTAAATAGCGCAGATAATTATCATCTTGAAAATCTCAAGTTTGTTTTTCACAGACCATTAATCATAATAACATAACCATATGCTTCTTAATTTACCATAGAACTGAGAGGCTTTTGTGAATGTGAGGAGGTCTCTCAATAGCATATGTCCAGAACTTTGCTGCAGTTCCATAGTAATTTCAGGTTTTTGGGTATGATTGCATATGCAGCAGTATTAACTGAAATAACACTTTTACTTATTGTAGTCATCAATTCCATAATATTATCCAGTTTATTAATACGAACTTATAAGCATCTTTCAACAGCAACTATCTTGTTCATTTTCAATATTTTACTCTCAAATGTGCTTTTCGTTTCTTCATTATTATTCCTCTTTTCTGAAATGTTTTATAATGATATTATTGCACATTCAATCAACGAAGTAAGCAAAGATTATGTAAAGTTTGAAAATTTCATTAAATACGGGTTAAATCTATGCCTTTACGGAGCAAATGGACCAGTGGTATGTTGTTTCAAGCGAGTGTAAAGCGAGAAAGAATTCTAGTTCCTGTCATCGAAGGGGAATCCGGATGATGGTGTAGAATCCATCTACATTTCATTCTCCACATTACTCTAAAGCGAAAGGGTATTATTCTACCCTTAGTTAGTGATGAGCTAAGCTTATTAAAAATCTCAGTTCCATGACTCAGTTTTTTTTCTGGTTTGAAGTTATTTTTGTATTTGTATTATTACAATGGATATTTTTTTGTATTATTATTTGAAGTTATTTTTGTATTTGTATTATTACAATGGATATTTTTTACAATGGATATGATTCAGGATTCTGAATGGAGAAAAGAAGCACCATTAATTGTCGTCGAAATACTAAATGCTCATTTATTTGCTGATAATTATTTCATAATCCACGTTCTACAAGAAATTTTATATTCAATGGCACAAAATGGCTCATTACTTGGCCTTACCAGTCTTTTACTTCTTGTCCTTGTCAGCCTTTTCTTATGACAAAAAAATTTTAAATTTTTTAAAAATCTTAATTTTTTTAATGAAAATTTTCAAAACATTTGAAAAATATATATGTCCAGATGAGATATTTTCGATATAAATTCTTACTCTTCAACTGAAAAACGGATAGAAGCGGTAAACATCGATCGTTGATTATGTTTATAGCCATGACACTGAGAGGCAAAAATTCGGATCGGACCACATGTGCGACAGAAGCAAGCTTCCTTTAAAAGATTCAGGTGACACTGGCAACCCACCTGTGCCTCTCTCGTCAAATGATCAAGCAATTAGCAGATCTAACCAAAAATGCGAGCGCTAAGCATTTAAATTTATTCATTTCAACTAGGTAAGTAAGAAATATCAAATATAACTTAATTTTCAGGTAGTTATTCAACGATCAATGGTTGGAAAATCTGTGAAACTATCGAAACGCTCAGTCGTTGCCATTTTCACTTCTGTGTGGACAGTTTTGTTTATTTCGCACATAGCTTTTTCCGCGCTTCAGTTCACTGCTATACGAGCAATTGATGATATGTTTGTAGGTTTAACTTCTGGAAAGCAATACATAATTTGTCGTCAAAGGTGAGTACTGAAATATCGTGCATGCGTCTGATTTGATTTGTATATTCGAATAACCTTCGAGCCGCTGTCGACTCATCCAATCTCTTCCTTTCCCGGTAACAGTGTCGCCCAACCGTAATTGGCAATCACTTCTGGTCAAGCTACTTGCTGTTCTCTTAGCGCGAAATTTTTCTACTTGGCGAATTTATTTGACAAGTGCTTTGCCAGCAGCAACAGGATTTTTTAATGAAAAATTTATTTCTGTAGGTGCAAAGAACCAAATCTATGGTACTAGGATAAAATCGAACAAAACTCAATTACTAGAACTATTCAGTAAAATTCGGCATTATTAAAGTCGTAAATCGTAATTTTTCAGAAAATTCGTTTCACAGTATAGAGAAATAGGTAAAAGATGTGATCGTATTTCACCTTTTCATGAATTTGGAGCATATTTATTACGCGGACACGTATTCTTCACTAGTATTTTTCTTATTTTAGCAGTATTTATATTTATCATAACTTCGATTTATCATCGTCGAGTAAAGAAGGCGCACAGTGAATTCAACAAACAATTCAAGTAACAAATAATTCATGTGAAAAAATGTAAAAAATAATATGGAAAAGTATTTTTTAACCCTAATTTAATGCGATATTTCGAAAAATTCGGCTGGATTTGCCGAGATTCACGGTAATGCCATCGTTCTTGTCGGCCGATTGAGACAATCGGTCCATTGTTAACATCGCGTGATGTTCGAGACTCACATGCATATTTTCAAATGACTCTTTGGTTGAGGTGTCTGCCCATTAATAACTGCTGCATTAAATTCGATTATTTTCCAATATCCAGTGATTTGCAACAATATTATTTGCTAAACACTTCACTAGCATTACTTTAAGGCAAAATGGCTGGCGAAAAATTTTTTCAGCGAACGAGCGCCACATCGCCGTCGCGAAATGCTTTTTAATACACTTTTGCTGTCAATATGCGCGTACTTTATATCGGTTACCGGACAAACATTTATTGAAGTAGCAATTTTTTGGGTTCAAGATCGAAACTCTATAGCAGATTTAGCTCAGTGGTTTCAGTTAGCTCGTATCATCGCATTTATTGACCCACTTCTGAATCCAGTATTGGTTACCATAAGAACACCGCCACTTAGACGAATGGTAATTCATTCATTCTCCTAAATAATGAAACTGAATTGCTATCAAATTTTTTCAATGCAATAGAATTTTTTAGAATTATTTAGTTTGATCAAATACAGATGAAATTTGCACCATTTGTAGTAATTTCGGAGTAATAAAATCTTTTAACAAACCATTCTTAATTTTGCTGGCTTCAGCGATTGCTAAGTGAGAGCTGTTCGCCTGGAAGGACTTTTCTGATCTAGGAAAAAATAGGAAGAATATATTTTTTCTTATTTTGTTAATATTATAATAATTTCTATTTTATAATTTGAATACGATTTTATATTGTTTTTCTCATTTTTACAATTCAAATTCAAATAAAATAAAAATGGTTTTCCAGAGATAATAAATACGACGAGTAATGAGAAATATGTTGGCTAATTTGTAAGGAATTATTACTACAAAAATTCAAATAAAAATTAATATTGGAACCGAAATTAAGACAAAATCCAGATAAAATAATTTAATTTTTCAATAGATGAGGCGATATTTAAATTATATAGCCACCGTTGTTGTATATTTCTGTTGTTCGTGGAAACGCCATCTCAGTGGTCATGGAAGACGACCAAAACCGAAAATTTCTTTGCCTGCGAATACTGTAGACTCACCGAGCAGCAGCAAAATCACAGTGAATATGGACGAATTATTCACAAAGGCTAGTTTAAGTAATAAATTCAAATAGCAATTTTTCAACCCATAAACCTTTGCTATCAAATCTTTACTACCAAAAAAACTGTGTCTTCAAAAACTGTTAGAATGGAAAAAAACAATTATTGATAAACGATTAAAAAGCTTAGAAATATTGTTTGTCAATTGAAACTTTTAAAGGAAGCTAGAATAGGCACAAATTTTTTTTACAACAATATTTCTTCTTCAAGCTACTGCGTGATTCCCATTGGCCATAGGCATATTTACTTGCATTTTGAATCGCTTAAAAAGTCTCTGGCTTCATCTGGGTTTCCTTTAAATGACAAGGGTTGGTCTCGTCAGGAGAAGACTTGATAAAATTTGTTTTAATGATGATAAGATGAATTTTAGTTTTCTTTTGCCAAATCACTATTACGGACATCTTGGAGTAAGCGAAGTGCGGGATTATCGAATTCGAATAATTCAGTTGTTTGATTCTTGTTTCAGTGATAACTGTTCTATAATGATTAATTATTGTTCATCAATATTTACAGATAAGTTAATAAAAAAACCGTCGAATACTTCGCTGAACCATTGCAAATCTTTTTAAAAAGAATTAAAAAAATTCAAAATTTCTTTAAATTGAATAGTGTAAAGCGGTCGTTTTCATTTCATCTGTGCAACTGATCAAAATCGAACAAAGTTTCAATAATGTATAATTCTTATTTATTTTTTTCTATAAATGCTAGCATTAAATATTTCATTGCAGTAAAACCAGTAAGTCAGTGGGAAATGTTCTATGTGGGAGAAACGGATCCAACCTGCATTTTTAATGACGTATTCGTCAACGGGCACGGACCTAACCTATAATGTCCGAACCCCGTTGAAGCAATGCATCCTATTTCACTATCATTGTAACCAGTATTAATATTTTATAATTGTTGCTAATTTTGGCATTTATTCTATGATCTAATGAAAATCAGTTTTCATCGCATGCAAAATCGTTTTTTGGATTTATCTGTTTAGAGAATATAACAAAAAATTTGGTGGATGTGATAATCGTTATTTTAAATATTCAGTTATTTTAAAGAACCAAAAAACTTTGTGCTTTCGATCATATTAGAGGTGCAACAATAGATACTTTGAGTGAAAATTACAGGATTCAATCAAATAATCAAATGACAATACTTCCATATATTGATATAAGTGACAGTGACAGCTATACAGAAACTAGAGATCGATTTGATGATACGCGAGATTTCGCATGCACGAGTTTGCTTCTTCTCTTAATGACCGCGTATTCTACGATAATCCGAGATGATATTACGCTGATGATGTAGTCATATTTGGTGGCCGTTATGACAATAGTGCAAATAATGTTAGATAGCTGCAGCGGAATCGGACTCAGGATCAATATAAAGAAAACGCAGATCTTTTCGAAGATCATTATAAACTGATAAAAAACCTCTTTTTATAAACTCATTGATTGAGGAAGTGCTTGATTTCAACCGTTGCATGGATATATCTAATACCGAATGGCCAAGCAAAAAACGAAATTACAACCCAGATGACGGTAGAACTGCGTTCTTCTCGTTAACGTTTTTATGGAGTTATCACCATAAAAACGACAGTCCGAATCCATGTAGCTTCAATTCGCTCTATCTTGCTATATGGCTGCGAAATATGGCCAATGAGAATGGAGGATATTAAGCAATAATCTGCCTTTGACCACTTATCTCCAAGGTATTTTACGAGTTCCCCAAGTGGATAAAATCTTACATGACTGCACCCACCTTCGTTCAAATACCACTTGTACCACTTGCATTAACAGTGTCATCACAGAACATTGTCTTCGCTGGCCGTGTCCACCACAAAAGTTGAAATATATTTGCTGCGATGAGCGTCAAAAGCAAAGAGAGCCAATCAAGACTAATACAGGGTGGGAAGATTTTGAGTGGAAAAAGAAATGGCTTCTATTAGTATGAGTGACGGTATCGGACTGAACAGCTTAGAGAAGTTATTGAAGTTATCTTGTAGCTAGTGGAGCCAGCCGATTCAGTAATAGTGTTGTTAGAAGATATTTATTGTACATTATCAGAAACCAAAAAATTTCACCTATTGTTCATTTATTTCTTCGACTTGCTCAGTAATTCTTTTTAAATAGTTTTTTGTAAGCAAAGAAAATAATTAACCATGCATCTATCTCCTCATCCTCAACCTACGGTCTTCTACCAGAAGCCTGGAAGGTTAAAAGTTATGCTCAATATCTTAGCTAATCCTAGTAGTGCTCTCTTCTGGATAGGGATTCCTGATATTGTTCCTGGAGTCTGCTGAAGCCACTTTTCTAGTTGAGGAGTCACAATTCCTTGCGCTCTTACTATCACTTTGACCTTCATTTGCCACATCGTTTATGGTTTCTCTTTTATCCCCTGGTATTTTTCTAGCTTCGCATATTCCTTCTTCCTGATCACCGTTACTTATTCTTCTTCTTCTAACAGTTACTAGCTAGGCTGGCTCTGCTGGCTACGGCTAAGACATTTCCAAGCTGCTCAGTCCGACGCCATCGCTGGTAATAGAAGCTATTCTTTTTTCCATCGTCTAAGTCCATATAACGCTGGTCTCCCTATACGTTCGAAATCTTTCCTGACTGTATCAATTCAGATCTTCATTGGCCCACCTCACTTTTGATGCAACCATCACAGGGTTTTAGTAGCGAAATATGCGTTAAATCTTGTGATGGACAACGGAGAATGTCCTAACCAGCGAAGGCGACACTCGCTCTGTGATAATATTATTAATACAGGTGGTATTTGAGCGATGATGGATATAGTCATGTGCGATTTTATCTGCTCAGCAATGTACCTTAGAGATGAGTGGTCAAAGGCTAATAGTTTCTTAATATCTTCCACTCTCATTGACCATGTTTCGCAGCCATATAGCAAGATCGAACGAATTGCAGCGGATTTATGGACCGGATTTTCCTCTTTATGGAAATTTCGCGACGATTCCATAAAGGTTTCATCAACCGGAAAAACATAACTTCAACTGTCGTTATCCAGGTTGCAATTTCATTCTTTGCCTGGCCATTTAGGATTAGAGTGGATCCAAGGTATTTAAAGTCCAGCACTTCCTCAACCGGCAAAAATAGGCACTAAAAAACTGTGCTATTTTATTTGCAAAATAGGGTTTTGGAAAAAAAACCTTTCAGTTTGCTAATTTTCGTTAAATGGAATGCATTCGGCTGTTCGTAAAGTTAGCAGTCTTCATAAGCCGACGGTGAAATATATTTTAATATCCTAAAGCAGTAATAAATGGTAATATTTCTAAAAGAATGTGGGATTCGCGGCTTCATATAAAGCAAAGAGATAAAAAATTAACAATTTCTTTGGCAATTTTAATCGCACAAATAATTTATCGCACTTATTGCTTATGCCAAGAAAAACAGACGAATCGAATTAATAGATTCCAAGTAGCGATCTTTTCCTGGTGATCAAACAGACCAAAGCATGCTCCCCTAATTTAACGATAAGAATGGTTTCGGGGCCTCCGCAAATATTCCGCATAGTTATTCCGCCTAATTACTAGAACTGACCGCCACTGCAGAAAGCACGTCCATACGTCCAGGTCATTAGCATCATTTTTCTATTGAAACTTCAGCGCTTCTTTTGAACCGCGAATGCATGTACCAACTGAATTGCCACCAGCCACCATTATCAATTTGTATTCGGGTATTATCAGCAATCGTCGATGGCAGAAGTTAAATATTTTCATATTTCTCCATTATGCTTCTTGTATTTTATATAAAATTCCAGAAAGTGACCGAAACACTCACCAGAGAGCCCGTGGCAGAAATTAAATTAAAAATTAAACAGGTCTTATACTTAACCGCTTAAAAAACCCGCAACTGTACTGATAGCCAGCGTGCGTCCAGATTTTCGTTAACGCTATTAAAACGATAGTGAGCTGTTATTTTTAAGGAAATTCTTAAAACGATTTTTTTATATCGGTATTTTTGTACTCCATTTTTTCCATTTTTTTTACGAATCGGATTTAAAAATCAATAGGTGACAATCCATATTCATAGGTCAGAACCAGAGGATTAAAGGTATTGGGGAGGTTTTTGATGAGTTAAGCTCAATCAGAAGATTAAAAAGCTTGACGGGTGTTGGTTAATATTATGAAATATTTGCCAGTGTCTCACTTATTTTAGCTCTTACAAGTAAATTATATAAGGTGGGATTATTTATTTAATAATTTATGTTTCAGTTTCGCGGTATTCTCCGTTTTCTATATCTTCCTATATTAATATTCTCTACTTTATTTTTATTCTGTATTTCTGTATTCTGTATTTTTTATCTGTGTGTATTCTATATTTTTTTATTCGGATTTTTCTGTATTCTCTACATAAGTTTTGTTTCTAAATTCTTTATTATCTTTACCTATAGCATTCTTCTTCTTCTGATAGCCCTCACCATTACTAGTTAAGCTCGCTATAGGGCCAAGACGTCTCCAAGTTGCTCGATCTGATGAATCGTTAATACTATTAAAAGTCATTCCTTTTTCCATCGTCTAAGTCCATGTATCGCTTGTCCACCTATGCGTTCAAATCTTTTCTAACTGTAGCAGTCCAGGCCTTAAATGGTCCTCCTCGCTTTTGACTCCTCCATCCATCATAAAATTTAGGAAGTAGCGAAGTATGTATCAACTCATACGATGGATGATGAAGAACCTGGCCAGCGGGGGCGACGATCCATCATTTTACAAGATTTCTTTTTATTTTTTCATTTCTTTATCATTCGTATGTAGGTTATTAGTATGTAGGTTACCTGTTTATAAGATTCACCCTAAAGTTCATTATTTTTTGTCTAACAACTAATCGTTTAAAAATAAGTGATGCTGGTGACCCACCTACCGCTAATCGACTCTCTGACAATGATTTCTTACTGGATCTAACATGAAATAACGATCCCTAGTGCCGCTTAGCTTATTTTCTGGTATCAAGATTCTGTTGGTGTCAAGATTTGACTGAAAGATACTGTGAGGTGAAGTCCCTGGACCAAAAGCCGAAAGAGTTGTCGCCAGTAGTAGGTGGAACCGGCAGAAAACACATAATATGGTATAAACCAGCCTATCGTGGAATTTTCATTTGGAGAGTTAGATAAATTCAGCCATTTTTCCTTAATTTAGAAGCTCAGTGATATATTCATCAAAATGTTCACTAAAATCAACATATTCTTACAAGTGCGCCTAACTTATAGAAATGAAAATAAAAAAACAATCTCTGATTCTGTTTTCATGCGCGAATGCATCAGAAAGTACTTGTGACGAATGGGCAAATGTTAGTGAGCTGTGAATAACAAGATCATGGATGTTGGCAGTCAGTTGATAGCCATCTATACTATATCTAAATACGTAAATTTTCTTGCTTCAGATCTTGGGTAGATGTTGACCCTAGCTGAGAGCAAAATTATTGGCCGTATTGTTATGTAGTCTTGGACGAAATGATACAGATTGTCCTGAGAAGCTCGATCATCAGGTTTGAAAGGTTTGAAAGCCTGAACTGGATAGTCTACTCTGGTTTTAAAGGAATTCATCAAGACTGTCAGCGTATATTCTTCTATTCTAGATGACTTTGAAAAAATTATTATATATAGAGCTTAAATTATTCAACAAATTTCTTTCGAAAAGTGACGTAGTCGAACGAGCCTAGAATGCTGAAAGCATAGGGCGTAGTATTACATGCATGTGGTTGGCAAATATAGTTTCAGGGTTCGATGCCTTAATGAGCGTTTTGCTGAAGGTTTTGGACCAATACATACTTTCAAAATGGGAGAGTTTATCATGGAACTTTCACTTTCGCAACTAACAACATCCAAATATATTGATATATTTGGTCATTTGGAACGTTTCCAACTAGAAAGCCGTTTTTCGACATCTCAGAGGCAGTTTGTTCCCAATTAAAAGCTTATTTCCAGAAAAGATACCACTTGAGAATGGGCTAGTTTTCGGAATAAACAACAAATTGTTCGAAGAGAGCCGGCAAGTTGGAAGATTCCAGCCTTCTTCAAAGCCGTAATGTGGCCTGATTACAGAAACAGCAGCTGGAGTAAGCGTTAGTCAAAAATTATTTTGCTTTCTTCGTAAAGCAATCACAACTCATGACCAATAAAATGATCTGAGATAAAGATAGGATATTTTCCGGAGCTCTCGATTGGCTTTGGTTGTGATAAAGATTAAACTTAACGTCTTCTTGACATTGCATTTCACTTTCAAAGAATTACTATAAGAAAAGAATTGATTCCGAAGATAGATCATTGTATAATTCCTGTCTGAGCAGTCAGCAAACTGGATATCTCTTAAAGATTTTCTCCTTTCCGCTAAATAACCTTCTGCCAGTACAGGATCGATTTCGGTGAGGGTAAAACAATTTATATCTTTAAATCGTAAAAAAAGCTTTATTATAATATATTTCTTTATAATTTATGTTAAATTCGATGTAAAAATTGGGTTAAATTATTTTTCAACAATTTGCTTCAGCTTTTTTTTCAATTTTTCTTCTTTTTATGTATCATCGCATAAAATTTTTTAAAATTTGTATGGAAATTATTGAATGGCCCAGTGGGTTTTTGCTCCATTAGGAGCGCTGATGCTGAGGTTCGATTCCCTGCAGGAAACCTGTACAAAAATCTGGGTGGTGCACCTGTATTTCTATCACCAAAGGACTCCCTGGCATATTGCTCATTGCGACTAGCCAGTGAAGCGAATTTAACAGTAATGGTGAGGACTCTTAAAAAAAAATTTATATGAAAATTATTGAATCCGTCAATCAAATTAAATTTTATTGCTTTAATTACGGTCCAGAATATTCACTTATGAACCTTTCTGAATTATATTCATATAATTTCTCTCTATTTTTCGGTTACCGAACAGTGTGGGAAAATACGAATTAAAAAGTGAACTATTTGCATTTTGTTGCTATTAGTCGAACCATATTCTTGTTTTTCCATAATTGTTTTTTTCCATAATTGTTTTTCTTGTTTTTTTTTTTCTAATTTATCGAATAGAATCCAAGTGATATTTGTTTCCCATTTATACTTCTTTCCCCAAGTTACTTTTTTGGCGAAGGGTATAATTGAGAATAATCAATGGAATTAGCCAAACCAAAAATGATAAGTATTGTAAAAAGATGATGCCATACTTTCTTCGTTGTATATATAAGATACCTGGTCCTTATTGTATTGATTCTATTATTCAGCAGTCGAAGCATCAATTTAAAGATAAAGATGTTTTCGTTGTAATGGAAGTGATTTAAAAGTAACTAAAGAAAATTTATTACTTTCAGGATTTTGCATTCACTATTCAAAAAAAAGAAATTTGATTGTTCAGTGCAGTAAGCGAAATTTCATATTATGGATAGTGAAGTTGTAAAAGCATTTAATGCCGAGGTTAGTCATTTTCTCTTAATTTCTGTTAATTTTCTGTTAATATTTCTTCATAATTTCTTCATATACAGTTCTGAGATATGAAAAATAATTGGCTGAGTGATTTAGTGGCAAGATTCCACCTAGATTCGAGAAGGTTTGCTTCAAATCTGGTTGATGCACCATGCTTTGTCGGGTGATAATATCATTGAGGAGCTAAAGCCAGCGACATTGTTCAGTGGTGCATAGCGCTGGTTGGGATCCTACTTCTGTTAGGAATAATGTCTTTTCTTCAAAAATCCAAGTAATGTTGGCGAATTGTCTGTATTTTTATCGTCAAGTGACAAAATCTGTCTGGTCAAATAACAGAGTGAACTTAACTAGCAACGCAATCAGCCTTTTTTAAAAAAATTGAATATTTAAAGCTTCCATTTAAGTAATTTCCTTAAAAAATCCATTTATCTTGATTCTTCAGCTTGTTTCTTTGTATGAACTTAGACCACCAATCAGTAAAAAGAAAATTGTGGACATAACAAAAGCAGCACTTAAAGCCATAAAATATTATAAACATGTTGTGTTTGGCATTGAAAAATTTTTGTCCAAGGTTAGCTCTTTCATTTTGCCTCTTTATTAAATTGGAAGTCATGGTGCTGCTTATATAAAATAACTTTTTTAATTGGTTCTATAATTTCAACGTAGAATCTAGAGGTGACAACAATTCATAAATGACATAATGCTAAGAGAATAGGAGAGAATAAGAATGGTAACAAAAAAGAATGATAAAAATGATAATAAAAGATAAAGCAAGATAGTTACTTAGATAATTTGAGGTAATTGAATGGTTGAATACCAAATAATAATAGAACAATTATATGCAAATCTAGTCAAAAAAAAGTGGAATGTATGAAATGTTCCTGCTGCTTTTACGATATATTGCTAAAAAAATGAAAAAATTGTTTGGAAATTAAAGGAGAAAGAAAAGTAAAAGTAAAAGAAAAAGAAATATTTCTTGGTAACTTGGGCAGTGGGCGAAAATGTTTTCTTTATTCCTTTCCTTTTTTTTTCTCTGTGGTCTTTCAGCAGTTAAGTTGAGAGGTCCTTTTTAAAGCATCGTTTACTTTTAAATGGTATAAAATCTCGTTTTTGCGAGTTTCAATTAATTTGTTCAATATTTTATTAAAAGAGACTTTTCATAATTTCATATTTTTTAGTGCAAACCTGAATATAAGATACCTGGTCTTTATTGTATTGATTCTATTATTCGGCAGTCGAAGCATCAATTTAAAGATAAAGATGTTTTCGCACCACGATTCGCCACAAATATGCATATGACATTAATAAATCTCCTTTGTTGCAAGAATGATGAAAAAGTTCGTTCGTTGTTGTTCATCTATAAATTTTTTTCTTGCTTGTAATCGAGATACAGTGAATTGAATTGAATCTAAAATAGCGGTACATTGATATTTATATACGAGTTTCATATTAGATTTTGCATCTTGATCTTTTATTTTCAGTTGAAAGTTGTTCGCGTTCTAAATTTATGGAAATGCCATGGGATTTACGATGAAGCTCGTGTCTCTCCCTGGCTTACTTATTGTCATAATCATCATGGTTTAGGTTTGTTTTTATTTAGACTTGCATACTTTTTTATGAAAGTTACTTTACTCATTTGGCAAATTTAATTAGGAAAATTTTAGAAGTAAACTTCAAATTTTTGAATTAACTGGAGTTAATTTACAGAAACCGATTATATGCAAGTGGAAAAATCGGTCAAAGGAGATCAAGCGGACTTATCAATTTATCATAGAGGGCATGGAAATATTGAAAAAAAGAAGGGTGAGCCACACACGCCTCCTTTAAAGGTGAATTTCAGAAACAGAAAGGTAAAAGTGATTGGATATCAATTTTAGCTGATATTAACACAGCAAATTTGCAGCAAAATCGTGAAAATACACCGGTGATACCCTTTCGCGAGCCGAGTGACGAATCAGTTGAAGGTGGTGTTAGCGAACGTGAGACATTAGCAATGCTAACAGGGATGGGATTAGATTTAGGTGGAATGTTCAGTATGGACCATGGATTATTACAAAAAGTTCACAAAATAGTCAACGACAAGCTTGTTGAGCGACGTGAAATCGATTCTAGAAGACAAGGGAATATAAAGGTTGTCTGATATGATTGTTTTAAAATGCGTTTTTTGTGGATATTGTGCATTTCGCGAGAAAATTAGAAAAATTTATTAAATCTAATTCTTCAAAATAAAAAATAAATAATTCTAATTGGAACGAATATATTCTTGTGCAAGTCTTTTCAGAATTTATTGTCCAAGGAATTCGATTATAGCGATGAAGACGAAAGCGAAGATGATGAAAACAGTCGTAAATTGCAAGTTGAAACAAAGCCTGTTGAATTTACAAAACAACAAATCATTGGGTTTTTTTTGACATTTTTCTGACATTTTTACTAATTGATTAACTTTTTTTGTATTTGTTGTTTTTTCTATTTATTTCGGATTATTATTAAATCTTCAGGATGGCAGAAGCAGTTTTACGTGAGGCTGATACCAAAGAAGAAATACAACGTATGCATAGTGAGCGTCTTACTGCTTTAAGCCAAGCTGCTGCTCGTGTACAGGCGTCAAAGCAAAGCGTCACTGCATTAAATGCGATAGCAAATCCAGTAACAAATCCTGCTACAGCAATTCCAATTAATATTCCTCTTAATCCAGCTCCAGAAGTATCCAATTTGATAAATACTACTTCTATACCGATTCCGCCACCTATTGTGCAACCACAGTTAATTCCTTCTTCTATGGCAACTCAATCATTGGTAATATTTCCATGTTTTTCGTTGCCATTCATTTAAAATGCTTCTTATTCTTTAATTTTATTATAAAAGAATATTTTTTAAAGAAAATTTCAATAAATTAATGAATAACTTATTTTTCCTTACAAATTCAAATTATAAATTTAGTTTTTGATGAAGTTTATTTCGTTTTAGCTTACAAATACTTCACAGTCTCAAATGCCACCTTTCACTCCCAATATTCCACCACCAAATTTTATGAATATTCTATCTACAAATCAGTCGAATATTCCTCCTCAAACCAGTGGTCGAGACATGGTTTAGTTTTTTTTATTATTGTTTTCCTCGTTTTTATCGATATTTGCTTTTCAAATTTGCTTTTATGCGAAATTATTTCTTAATATTTTGCTAATGTTAAGAATTGATAAAAATACTTTTCATCATTGTTTAAGGATGACAGATATGAAATGGCTAATGATCGTGATGACCGTGATCATAGAGATCGGTCCAGAGATCATCGTGATAATCGAAGGAGAGATCGATCAAGGTATTCAGTTGTTCAATTATTCATTTTTTAAGCCTTTCAAACTTAATTTTTCTTTCGAATTATGAAAGCTTAACAAGCTTAACTTTTTTTATAGAGAGAGAGATAGAGATAGAAGCGATAGTAGGAATTATATTGATGGTCGAGCATCAAAACGAATTCGTCGTAGCCGCTCACGAGATCGCAATTATAGTGAAATGTATCATGATCGTCGTAGTGGTAGTGAAGGACGGAAGGATTCCGCGCGGAATCGAGATAAAGACAGGGATAATTCTTCGGTAAAAAATAATTGTTTAAACTTTTATTGCATGACGCGATTACTTTAGGGATTTTTGACAATTTTTTACTTCCTGTCATGCTACATGCTTTTTTTAAAATTTCGGTCTAATTATATTCACGATCTTCAAATATTTATTAATTTTAGTATCGCGATATGGAACGCCATCGTCGCAAAATGGGTCTTCCTTGGCCTCCCAAAGAAGGACATGTATTAAGTATATCTTTTTTCTCCTGCATCACGCATTTTTTTCTTTTTTTTTTTATTTTATTTTATTTTTGGTATTGGTAGCTTTATTGATTTCTTTCAAAGTTTTCGGGTTTGAAAAGGTTAAATTTATTATGGAATTGAATTATTTCATTTCATTTTTATTGATTTGTTTTAGTTGCTTCATGCACTCTTTGGTTTGGTCGTATTCCACACAACTGTTCTGAAGAGGATATCCGTTTATCGGTAGCAGAGGCCGGCGAACCATCGCGGATTAGTATCATCCACTCACGAGCATGTGCATATGTTACAATGAAAGATCGCAAAGCTGCTTTTCGTGTCATGGACCGAATGCAAAAAAATATTCAAGTGGCTAAAAAAAATGTTAAGGTATTTTATTTACAATATTAAATGTGTTAAATTTCGTTTATAGCAAACGATAGTAAAAGCTGAAATAATCCTTTACATACTAATCCTACTTATAATTAAGTAGTTTTTAGTTAAACTGGGGTACTGGTCAGGGTTTGAAAGGTGAGAAATATATGGATTATTGGGATTCAAACAAAGGTTATTCACTGATTCCCTACAATAAACTTCCGGATGATCTAGAGCCACTCTTGGAAGGTGGTCATTTGGATGTGGAAACGTTACCATCGCATCTTAGAAGTATGTCTTTTTAGATATTTCCATTTTCTTTTGTATTTCCAAAAGTATCTTCAGATTAAAAAATTTCAGGCTTATATGATGAGCATGGTTTAAAAGGCAAAAATAGAGAAGAAATTAAAATATCTGGCACTGGAACAAATATGCATCTACCTCCAACATTACCTCCATTTCCCTTTTCTTGTTAGTTATTTAGTATATATTTTTTTTGAATATTTTATCCCATATTGAATATATTGATTATTACAAGTTTGAACCAGATTTTTATAATTTCAGTGAATCAAGCAACACCTCTCGGAGGTGCTCCACCATTTTTTCCGCCTGGCGTTTTGCCTCTTCCCGGTACTTTTCCGTCATTACCTCTCATTGACAATTCTGCTATGCATATTCCACCAAAAGAGGGTCAGACGTCACAGACCGGTGCATTAACCACACGCAATCCTTCCGTTTCTCAACAACAATTAAGTTTTATCTTTAATCGAAATTAATTTTAGTAGAACAGAATTATTATAAAAAAGATCAGCTGGTGCTGGACCAGCATTTATAACTATAACTATATCCTCTGACAAAAGTCAGTAGAACCAGCTCACCCAATGGGTGCTGCTAAAAGAGGAAGGTGTTTCAAGCTCAACAGAAAATTTTACAATCGTTTTTTATAATTAAAAAATGTATACTTTTCCAGATGGTGCCGTTGGCTGGGACACCAAGCAATACTCGACAAAGAGTTCCCAGTTATGATCCAATTGGTCTGTGAATTTCCCTTTTTTTTCTTTCAATCTAACATTACTTGTTGCTTTTTTAAATTTCTTTTGTTATTTCTAGATGTTTCAAGTTCAGGCCATTTTATGCCTACAAATTTCGGTAATCAACTTCCACCTCGTTTTCCCGGTAATCGCGGTGGATATATGAATGCACCTTTTAATATGCGAGGTCCTCGTCCCGATATGGCATTAAGGTTAATTTTGATAATTTTTTACCGGATGAACCATTGAAAAACGTCATTTACAAGGTGTTTTTTTCGCATAATATGCATTTCTTAATCTAAAAGAAAAATATAGCATGTTTTTGCACTACTTTTGCAGGCAATGTTATATTTCGAACATATTGTAAAATTTTTTTTAAATATTTTTTTAAAAATATTTTTAAATATTTATCTCTTACAAAATATTTCTTTTTTCTTTTTAAAATTTTTCTAATCTCTCATTCTTTTTTATAACAAACCTTTTATAGCAAGTAGCTTTTCCAGCCTTTCCAAAGTAATGGTTTGTACTTTATATTTCAACATCTTTTATTTTATGATTTTAGAGGCAATTTGCGTGCAAGGTTTCCGCCAATGAATAAATTTCCAGTTAGTTTTATTTTCGAATTTGAATTATTTGAATTATTGAATCGAAATTTTGAATTTGAAAGTTTAATTGTAAAGTTTAAGAGATGGGCTTTATTTAATTGTTCTCAAACTTTAATACATAAATAAAATCTTTTTAAATGCGGATGAAAATTTTCTTTTTCTCATGTTTCTAAATATTCGACTGTTTGCTTTATATGCGATTTTTCTATAATAATTTTCTCTTTTTCATGCCGCGAATATGAGACATCCTAGCGTACCAAATATTGGTCGCCCAGTTCCACGAATGAGTCGTCCATTCTTGCACAATCCACTTTTTCAGACAAATGCCAGTGGTAGTCGAGGTTTTCCAATCCTTTTAGTAAAAATGATTAGGAATTTTAATTGATTTTTTTATTTTAATTTTGATTAATTTAATTGATTTAATTGAATTAAATTTAGTTGATAAATTTACATAAATTTAAATTATTTAAATTACTTGATACGTTTATCAATTTTATTATAAATTTTCAAACACTTAAAAAAAGCTTCTACTTTTATATCGAATTAAAAAAGTTAAGGGAAATTAATTAAAAAAGAGGAAGATTCCTCGAATTTGTTGAATTTTTATTAACAGCAAATTTTTGTTTTTATTTTTTCTTTTAATATATGAGGTTTCCGTCCTGATTCTTCTTTATGTAAATTTTTGTATTTTTGAATTCTTAATTTAGGGCAGAATTTTTCGTCAAAAGTAGTTGATGATTCAATAAATGAACCAGTTACATCTACCACACATGATGATGACACAGTTAGTGAATTTAATTCCACAGTTCAGGCTGCCGATAATAACAAATTCGATGTAAAATTTTTTTTTGCCATTACGATCATTATTTAAGGCATACATAGGCGAAGAAACTGGATTAAATTTTTTCTTCTTTAACTTTCTCGAATAGTTGTTTTATGAGGTGTTACTGAATTTTAAAAATTAAATATTTTAACAAATATGAAATTTAAATTTTCAGACTTCAGCTGGTCAAGAAGATCGGAAGATGGAATATGATGTGAGTTATGCGCAAAAGACTAAGTGACCATTGATGCTCGTCGATTTGTTGTCAGCTGTTTATCTGTTAATATTCCGACTAAGTTTTCGCTGAATTTTCTCTGATACAGTATTGTGATCAAGTTTTTTAAAAATGTTTTCATGAAAGTTCTTAATACGTTTTATATTATTTCCGGGTACGCCCAATTTTGTTCATATGTGAAAATTTTTTTTAATTAATTGGTCCATGTTTATTTTTTTTGGCGGTACATTGGCCATAATTGCGTTCTAATGAATTTTTAATGAAGTTGTCCATAAGTTATTTTGGATTGAAACGCTTTCTTTCAATTAAATTAAATTAAATTGTGAGCTATTAATCATTGTAAAGGATTTCCATATTATTATTTGACATGTATTTTTCAAAATTGTTGAAAAGGTATTCAATTTTGCATTTTTTTTTAGCTATTTCTTATTTTCCTGAAGGTCTCGTTGAATTACTTGTTAATGAGGGAATTTGCCCAGAATTATTCAACTCGTTACAGATTGCATTTTAATATTTATTTAAGAAAAATAATAAAGAATAATAGTGATTGTGAAAAATGTCATTTGGTTTAGGGTAGGTATATAACGAAAAGATTCGGGCAGTTTGGTATCTTTAAATTTCTTGTTGGGCTATGAGAATTATCGGTGGATACTAATATTATATCAATGCAAATGTTACTTTAAAAAAAAAGTATGTTTGAAGACAATGAAGATTTTAATCATTATTGCTTATGTTTATCGGATCTAAAGTGAATTTAATGGGTCTGTGTTTTGTGGTTTAATAATAATAATTAATAATATTAATAACAAATAATAATGATAATGGTAGTGTTAATAAACAATTATTTTTATTAATGATATAATAATAAAATAGTAATGATAGAGTATTATTTAATGTTAGTAGTAATAATATTAATTAATGATAATAATAATTAATAATAAGAATAACGATAATTCTTTCTATTATGTCTGTGTGAATTTTATCATCGATGAATTTTTCCTGTTTAATTAAAACCCCTGCAAAAACGAAAGTGGTTCCTAAATATTTTTAGAATTATTTCACTAACTAATAATTGATAATAACAATAATAATAAAATAATAGTAATTAATAAAAATAAATAATGATGATCAGAAACGTAAATAAATTATAAATAGTAATAAAAATTATAATAAACAATAATAAAAATTAATAATAATAATATAACAACAATAATAATTTAATAACAATAAATAATAATAAATAATATTTATAAAAAAAGTGCTAAAACTAAATTGAGGATAAGTCTGTGTTAAATATAATGTCATGGCTTTTCAATTCCACTTATTTTTAGCAGCCAATTTCGGAGAAATGCATCAGTGGGGCGATTCACTTAAACGGCTAATTATGTAAAATTCAGGAAGTTATTTGGGATTATGATTAGAACAATCCTCAACCCTAATTGAACGAATATATCTTTCGACTATTTTGCCCATTCACATTTTGCTAATGAATATGGTAACAAAAACGACAATAAATATTGCAAGTTGAAGTCGAGTTTTGCGGGAATTTTTTATAAATTCCAATAATTAATGGATAATAAAAATAAAAGAATCGTTAGAAAAAAATAATTTTTAGCGGTGAAATGTGGTATAAATCAGCAAAATGAACTGTGAGGAATTCGAAATTTTATAAATTTACAAAATAAATTTGATTTAAAGTCACAATTGTAGATGATGAATTTCGAATATTCAATTTTTTTCTGATTTAAATATTTCGAAAAATAAATCATTCAATTGCCATCGTGCAATGGCCCATTTATAAAAATTTATTTCAAAAAATGTCAAATTTTTTCAGAAAAGTCAATTTTTAACCGAAAATTTATCATAAAATATAAGAGGCAAGTAGAGCGGAAGAGCTAAAAAAACAGCTGAAAGCCAATTATCTCTTCATTTGGCTCATTAAACTACTATTCCGCACCATTAGCAAAAGTTTAACAACGATATTTTAAACCATCATTCTCAGCTAAAAACAGGCAAGCGGTTAAGCGATTACTGTACTGAAAGGCACTGTTCGGTGGCACCGAACGTATTTGTAAAAACTCCGCTGCCCACCTTTACTTTACTGCTTCCCCTACAGAAATTCCTACCAGTTGTAGCTGGAGCGAATCTTTGATTAGCGAAGTCAACAGGTCGAATGGCAAAAAACTCCCTCCGGGCGGCTCGCCTATCGTCCCGTGTCACGTGAGACCCTGGATTTTTGATTGGTTTAATTACTGAATTGAGTCGGTTCAGATCCATTTTTGATTTACGTCTTCAGTAGCTCTTACATTCGCCATTCGGCATCTATAAACTTCCACCGCCATCTATAAACTTTGTGGTTTCTTTAGTTTTGCTTTAAATTTTCAAAAATTCAGTTAAAAAGTCCTTTAATGGATTACTTTTGTGTTGTTAAAAAACATATAATGCTTCTCATCTGGTTTCTCCACTTTGGTTGGATGAAACCCTTCGTCAGAAACATAAATAAAATAATAATAAAAATTATAATGCAAGGGATTCGCGTAAAAGTGGACGAGGGTCGTGAATATTATAGTTTAATGGATTGCTGGCCACTCGCACGATTTCTTTCCAGAAAAACATCGAATAATTACGGAAAAGTTGGAATGGAAAAATTTTTTACATATTTGAAGCACTATAAAAATGCAAAATCTCATTGAGCTTTTGGGACTTTTTCCAAAAAAAATCCAAAGCCGTTAGCATTTCTGGTCGATTCTTCTAAGTCCTGTAGTTTCCGCGAGACTCTTTAAGGAAACTCAAACATAAAATCTACAGTTTTCACCAGACTCAGTGAGGAAACTCAAATAGTTCCACATGGGCTATAAAATTTGGGCTGCCAAATAGAAGGAAGAGCGAAGCGACCGTAAATTCACATTCTCGCTGGTCTCTTCTTCGCAGTTAAATGGATATAACCGATTTCTTAGATGACTTTAATTTTGTGGATTTTTTATTTTATCCACTGTTTGCCATTTCAATTTTAATTATTATTAAAATTCCGTTGTTTATTATTATTTTATTGTTAGTAATTATTATTATAATTATGAACAAATTTTATTATTATCGTTGTCATATTAATTATCATTTTTATTTGTATTGTATTAATTAATTACAATTAATTTCCTAATTTTTAATATTAATCTCTTCTTCTTCTAACGGCGCTCACCATTAGTGGTTAGGCTGGTTCCAGCGGCTACAAGGATCAGACGCTTCCAAGCGACGCGGTCCGATGCCATCGCAATAAAAGTCGTTCCTCTTCCCATCGTCTTAATCCACCAGTGTACTGCTGATTCACCTACACGTTCAAAAAATCTTTCCTGAATGTGTCAGTGCAAGTCCTGGTCGGCCCACCTCGCTTTTGACGGCATCCATCCCATGGTACAGCAAGTAACGAAATATGCGTCAACTCCAGTGGTGGACGACGGAGAACGTGTCCTAACCACCGAAGGCGACGCTCTGTGATAACATTATTGATGCAAGTGGTATTCGAATGAAGGCGGATGTGATCATATGATATTATATATGCCCGATGTATCATCCGTAAAATGTACCTTAGACAAGAATGGTCAAAGGAGACAGCTTCTTATCCCCCGTTCTAATTGGCCATGTTTCGCAGCCATATAGCAAGAACGGACGAATTGCAACTATATGGACGCAGATTTTCATCTTTATGGTGATTTCGCAACAGTTCCATAAAGGTTTCATCAACCGGAAAAACATAATTCTAGCTGTCGTTACGATTTATCCTTTGCATGGCCATTTGAGATTATAGTGGATCCAAGGTATTTAAAGTCCAGCACTTCCACAACCGGCAATAAAAATAAGTATTTTATCACCATCTTGTATAAGATGAAGAACTTTCGTTTTATTTACATTGGTTTTGAGTCCAGTTCTCGCTGCAGTTATCAATATATTGTTTAACATTATTTGTATTTCTTATAACCGTCAGCACAAAGGACTACATCATCAGCGTATTCGAGAAGCGTGATACTATGCTCTATGTTAATATTGATTAATAAAATATTTATTACTAATGTTTTTTTTTAATCAAATGTTATTGTTTTCATTATTTTTTGTATTTATTATTATCATCATTAACGAGCTATAAGAATTGATCGATTGTTTTGATTTCGATTTTCTCAAAATTGAAAATTTGCCATTGAAATATCATATTTTGCGTTGTATCAAATGATAAATATGATGAAGTTTTCTGACATTTCTTTGAAAGTAATATATTTGATATTAGTTTGAAACGATTTAAGGGTGAACGGTGAACCTTGGAACATTTGCGATTATTATGGATCCAGAGAATTGCAAGAGTGAATTCACTAGTTTGGAACCAATGAGACCACGTCGAGAGAGCGTCAAATTAAATGTTGCAGATTGCAAGTTTTTTTTCTTTTGGTGTCTTTGGTGTTTTAATGTTAATATTTATCACTGTGTTTATACTTCCAATAGACAAGAAAATCACTATTTATTATCAATTTGGCAAAAATTATCATTAATTAATAAATGTTTTAATCAATATTACTATTATTTTATTATTTTATTATTATTATTTTCATCTTTATTATTTATTATTGTTAATTATTATTTATTATTATTAAATTATTATTAATTGTTGTTATATTATTACTATTAATTTTTATTATTGTTATTATTTACAATTATTTCCAATTATCGTTATTTATTTTTATTAGTTGTTATTATATTATTTTATAATTATTATTATTATTAATTAATGAAATAATTCTAAAAATATTTAGGGAATACTTTCGTTTTTGCCAGGGCTAAATCTTTGATTATATTTAAGTTCTTGCACAAGAAAGATTCATCGATGATAAAAGTCACCTAGAAATGATTGAAAGAATTGGTGGAACTGATTTACCCGAAATGGATACTTCATTAGCATCAACAAGCATGATCACCAATGAAATGAATTATAATGAAATATTGGATCGTTTTACACGTAATGAGATTGCATACGATGATTTTATGCAATTAACAGGTTCTTTTTTCTTTTACACGATTCAGTCACATATATTTCCTAACTTCATAGTATAATCACTGAATATACGACGAAGAAGAAGTAAAGGAATAAAAAATTGGAATTTAAATTTAGAAATTCTTTTAATATTATTTAATCGTGAATTTCATTCGCTTTACATTTTTAACATAACGAAGATATTTTTCCATCATGTGGAAGACATTTGCAAGAAATTTATAACTCTGTTTTTTTTCTATTTTGCTCGATCTTTTGATTTCCCTTCCTTATTTTTTCCTATTTCCCTAATGTATCTTCCTTTGCCAACTGTTATCATATCAGCAATTGATCTTGTGTCGTTTTCTAATTAGTGATTTATATGAAGTTATATTTTACTTGTCTGGCGTCTTTCTTATAATTCTTATAATTCAACCTAATGTTTCGCTTTCATATACTTCCTTCCTATTATATTTCAGCAGATATTAAGATTACCAGAAAGTATCCTGTTGAAAAACTTTTAATTGAATTAAATTTTTTAATTGAAAATTAATTAATTAAATTAATTTACATGATCTGTCTTCAGGTGGTATTGGTCTAGATGAAGAAATCGCTGATTTCAAATTCACAAATGAAGGTTTTTCTTTTTTTCGTTTACCATGTCGTATCATATAAATGCTGATAAAATACCTATTTTTATCAGTTCATTGCCGGTTGAGAAAATGTTGAATCTTACCCAAATTGCCAGGCAAAGGATGAAATTGTAACCTGGATAACGACAGCTGGTAATATTCCGGTTGATAAAACCCTTTATGGAACTGTCGCGAAATCATCATATAGACGAAAATTCGCATCCATATAGCTGCAATTCGTTCTATCTTGCTATATGGCTGTGAAATATGGCCAATGAGAGTGGAGGATATTAAGAAGCTATTAGTCTTTGACCACTCATGTTTAAGGTACATTTTATGGACCCATCGAGCGGATAAGATCGCACATGATTGTATCCATTGTATCCACCTTCGCTCAAATACCACCTGTATTAATAATGCTATTACAGAACGTCGCCTTCGGTGTTTAGGGCACGTTCTCGTTCACCACAAGAATTGTTGCATATTTCGTTACTTGCTAAATCGTGTGGATGGTGTCAAAAGCGAGGAGGGCCAGTCCAGTCAAGACCTGGATTGATACAGTCAAAGATTTTGAACGTATAATAGGACCAGGGACATATGGGCTTAGGCCATGGAAAAAGGAATGGCTTCTATTATTATTAACAACGGCGTCGGACCGAGCAGCTTGGAGACGTCTTACCCTTGTAGCCAGTAGAACTGTAGAAGATATCGTATAAATAATCAGAGAATATAGTGATGTTGTTAAAATTATTTTGATTGATTTATTTAAATCAATTAAAATTTAATTAAAATTTTATAATATATATAATTAATTGAAATTTAATTATTTTAATTAAAATTAATGTTTTGCAATTATTAGAAGAAAAAATATTTTAAATTTATTTTCTATAGTAATTTTCTTTTGTGATGAAAACAGAAGATGAAATAGCCAACCAGCATATCAGAAAAAGGTCTAAACGAATGCGAGTAAATGAAACATCGAGGTAACCGCTTTTGTTGATTTCTTTAATTGAAAAAATTAGAAAATAATAGCAAAAGTTGCTTGTAAGAAATAAAATTTTTCAATGTTAATGAGGTAGAGCATTATAGCGTTGCATTAATGGAAGATGAAGAAGATTGGGATGATCAAGATGATGATGAAACCGACCATGGCAAGAGTGAAATTTTTGAAAATTGGGTATTCGATTTGTATTATATTTTTATTTTATCGTCTTTACCTTAATTATTTATTTTTTGTTCAGTACTTAATGGAGACAGAAAAATTGAGTGATATATTGCTTCGAGCAAATTTATTATTAGTTCCGTGTATATCCCTTCGTAAGATTGACATTATAAGTGAGTTCTAGGTGATGCTACTGTGGACTTATCTGCATTTCTATTTTGAAGTGATTTCTAGCGAAAGGTTCCCATCTTAGCAGTCAGTAGATCTGATCAAGCCATAATTGAGTTGAAAGGCGAAAAAGATTTATTCAAGCATATTTATTAAATATTAGGTAAAGTAAGAGATTTGCAGCAACAGATTGATAGCATTGAAATCCCTACTCATTCCAAGATCTTACCTGAAGATAAATCGACGGATGATATTGATGAAGATCGTTTGCTTGGTATCCCTCTTGAGTTGCGTACCTGCAATCAATCAGCCGATCAAGAAATTGTAAAAGAACCTCGTTCATCCAGTGGATTGCAGCGTAGTAAACTCAGCAAGTGAATTTGTTGGTTTATTAATTTATCGGAAAGTTAAGAAAGAATAACTAATTGTAGTTCATTGCTACGAATCGACCAACATCTAATTAAAATGATCTATAAAGCATGCTATTTTTAGTCGTTTGGCGATATGTTTGGTCTTTGCAAAAATTCATATTTCTATTTTATGATTCTTATTTTACGACATTAATATATTCTAGAACTCTTGATGCTGTTCTTGGTCAAGCCAATGTTATTTATGCCAAAGGTCAAGTAAAAGAAGCTCTTACAATGTTATTAGAGGTATATTTTTTAGGTGTCCTTGAAAGTCAAAGAATTTATAGAATTAGAGATTTAATGAAAACACTCCCTAGTTTTACGCAAATTTCAGTAAAAAGATCAGTGAATATCTAAAAGTGCAAATGAGTTTCCATAATACTTCTACTTGCATTTTTATCTATTTGTAAGAAATCGTATGTGGTCATGGATTCAGCATGATTAACACTTAAGAATTATATCAATAAAAAATTGATTAGAAGATTGCTAGGTTGCACATTTCATCAGGCGAAAAAAAGCAATAGAATTTAGCAACATAAAAAACATGCAATGGTGCTTTTCTATTAAAAGATGTTCGAAATTCAGAAGGATAATAGATAATAGATAGCACTCGGTTATATTATAAGTTAAATTGTGGTGTATGTGATATGGTAGTTTCGGCATTTTTTTTTCTGCTGTGCCTATTGAGTAAATTGCTATTGCTATTATTTAAAAGACGAATATGGAATAACGACTGCATTAAAGTTTTAATTCTTGCACTAATAAATTTTTTGTTTGATTTTAAGTCGTTATGAAGAGTGGATGAATTTTAGGAAAAAGTTGAATACAGTGATAAAGTCAATATTTTGTATATATAATTTATATATCACAGAACCATTGTTATTATTGTTATTATTATTTATTTTCATTTATTATTATTTATTTAAAAATTTTTAGTCTGAACTACTTTGCAGGTGATTCGACAAGCACCGCGAACTTATGAGCCATATCTGCAAGTGGCTGATATTTATAATGAACTTGGTCAGCCGCACAATTCTTTGCAGTATGGGTTGCTTGCAGCACATCTAAATTATCGAACTCCGCCTGAACAGTGGTGTAGGTTAGGAGATTTGGCCTTCAAATTGGAACGGTTTGAAGAAGCTGCAGCTTGTTACGGAAGAGGTTTTTTTTAAATTTATATTCGAGGATTTTTTTAGGCTTTAAGCCCAAACTAAGCTCAACTTGAAATGGTTTCTAGGCATTTATTATTTTCAATAATGGTTGTGCCAAAAATTTATTTTTGAATGCAAAATTAATATTTCTAGTTTTGTTGGCATAAACATTAATCATTATATATAGAGTATGCCTATCTTTCCGAAGAATTCTCATAGGTATATTTTTCATAGTTCTCATAACCTTAATAATTTTTTTTTAAATTTCAATCTAAATGGTTTCCATTAGTAATTTATTCCAAATTTTTACCTTTTATTACTGAAACTAAATTGATAACTTTGTTATTTTCAAGGTCTAAGTTTTAACAATGATTTGATTAAATTTTGATTAAATTTCATCAAAATTTTTCAACAGATTAAAAAATAAATTAGAACAAAGATCAATATCCATATAATAAATCAGTAAATCAAATTTTGAATCGAAACTCGCCTCAAATCCAAAGTTTCGAGATTTATGATTTATGATTAGAATGGAAAATCCAAATGGATTTAGTCATTTTAAAAATTCAAGAAGGCAACGCAGTGATTCTGCGAAAGAAGCTTTATCAATGAACACGATTAAATTTCAGAAAATTTCGAATTTTATTTAACGCACAGAAAATATTCCCACAAAAGTAAATTAGATGATAAAATTTCTTATTTATTGGTAAATAAAAATATTTATTTAAGAGAAGATTAAGCTTATAAATTCTAATAAAATCATGAAACAATAAAATTTGATAAAGCGACAAGAGGCGAGCCGACAAACTGGAAGCATTACGAAAAGCGCATCGATGCTCTGGAACGAATCGGCTTACGACCATTGGCAATGAAGACACGATTACAAGCTGCACAATTTATTGATCATTCAGCTGCTGGAGTCGACTTTGAGTGGTTTTCTGCTTTAATCAAAACGGTTCGTTAATCCAGAATTTTTTCTCATTAAAAAAGTTTTACCTCTTTGCAGTGGTAAGGACACTGGCATATCAATGATGATTATTTTATTTAAAGGCTGCTGAATATTACATACAAAAAAATGACGAAGAAAAAGCAATTTCTGCTTTAGAAGCTTACGTGTTACGGAGTCGTGTATTTGGAAGAAACGCAGATACGCAACACAATATTTTAATTGGTTTTTCTTGAAAATTAATATTGAATGGTTTTTACGATTTAAAATTGCTAATTTTACCGTATCTATTTCATTCAAGGAAAACTTAAAATAAACATTTTTGGACATAAATGAATTGAATCTGAAAAAAAAAAATGTTTTGTCAAATGGAAATCCTATAAAGATACTCATCTTTAACCTTTTGATATATAATGAAAATTATAATTAAAGAAAATTAAAGTTATAATTTCATTATTGCCTAATAAATATAGAAGTTTTGTGCATTGATTTAAATATAACATTTTATAAAATAAAAAATTTAAAAAAAGATAAAAAATTTTTTAGAATTAATTTCAGAAAATTGGTTATATTTTTTCTTTTAGGAATGTGGATGACACGAAATCGGTTCGAAGATGCTGCAAAATCCATATTTGCTTTGTGTCCTGACATTACTGCATTGAATAAGGATGGGAATTTTGCCATAGAAGTAAAAACATTTTTTTCACATTAATGATGTTTTTGTTTGAAAAAAATTACTATAAATCTGAAGTATCAACTATCTTATTCATCCATAAATATCATATTATATCAGAAATCATTAGGCTCACTGGCTTAATATTTTTTTCCATAATCATAATCTAAATTTTTGGCTTTATTTGCTACAGTGATTATTAATGTAAGTCCATTTTTTATCTTCTTCTAATAGCTCTCATTATTACTGGTTAAGCTGGCTCCATTGGCTGTAAGAGTCTCCAGTCTGTTCGACGCCATCGCTGACAACATTAGGAACCTTTCCTTTCTTTGTCGTTTGAGCCTATATATCATTGGTCCTATACATTCAAAGTCTTTCATGATTGTATCAGCCCAGGTCCTCTTGATTGGTCCTGCTCGCTTTTAGCTTTGCCATAACAGGGTTTAGCAAATAACGAAAGGTGTGCCAACTCTTGTGAGTGGGTGACGAAGAACTCTCTAAGATTAGCAAAGATTACCTTTGTGATGCTACTCTTAATGAAAGTGGTATTTGAATAAAGAATGCGATCGTGATTTTATCCACTTGGCGAAAGCCCGTAAAATGTGCCTTAGAAATAAGTGGTCAAAGGCTTTTGATAACTTCTTAATATCCACTCCTCTTATTATAACCATATAGCAAGATCGAGCAAGCTATATGGACGCGGACTTTCGTCTTTATGGTAATTTCACGACGACTTCATGAAGATCTCGTTAACAGGAAGTATTTCTAGCTGATCTGGTTATAATTTTTTCTTTTGCCTGGCCATTTGGTATTAGAGTGAGTTCAAGATATTTAAAATCGGGCATTTCCTCAACCGGCAATGAGTTTATAAAAAGAAACACATTTTATCAGCTTCTTGTATATAAAACGAAAGCCTTTCCGTTTTATTTACATTGACCCTAAGTCTGATTCTCGCTGCATTTTCTTGCGTTGTTGGCAAGTTGTTTGCATTTCATCATAACTACCAACAAAAAGGACTACATCATTAACATATTCAAGGATCTGTGATATAATGTTCTGGACTGATTTGGATATTTCTTGAGTGCAAGCGGTTCTATTATCCAGTCTATTGCATAGTTGATATTGTAGGAGGAAATGACGCAGCCTTGACGGATACGAGTTCTTGTTTCGAAGGAGTCAGTTCCTCATACACATAGACCTGCATCGTTTGCTCATAAAATGCCTTTATGAGTCGAATGATCTTCTCTGGAACATCTCATCGCATTCCATCACCCTCCAAAGCGCCGTTCTATCAATTGAATTAAATGTATCCGCAAAGTCGATGAAACTCGTAAGTGAGTTGCAAATATCTAAAACGATGTTCTAACGCCCTTCTTAACGTGAATATCTGGTCAGTGCAACGCGCCCTGGTCTGAATCCAGCTTGATTAGGGCGCATCCTGCTGTCCCTACTTTTATAAGTCTATTGAATAAAAATGAGGCAAAAATTTTCGCGGGGATGTCTAATAGGCTGATTTCTCGATAATTGTCGCAGTATGCCCTGCCATTTTTCTTGAGAATTGTGAGCAGAATTGCTTTGCTCCAGTCATCATGTTTCTTTTTTCCATACTAGAAAGTACATTTGTTGAAGATCTGTGCGTTATAAAGGACGATGGACAATATTTGAAGAGTTCAAACAAAAGATCATCTTATTGGTCTTAAACTTATGGATAACGGGGATTATTTCTTTTTCTGTTGGAGGCTCGTAATTATAAGCGTATGCTTCGGCAAACGTATCAGCTATATCAGGTGCAACAAATGGCACTTCATTGTAAAGTTTGGCCTCAAAGAATTCTTTTTATCTTATGAAGTAATCCTTAATATTCTTAACCGGCACGCCATTGCTGTCATTTACCATTTCAGTGATCGTTCCCCAAGTTATAGTTGCTTTATGAAGAAGGCGGAATAGTTTCCTGTTATTGCCTAATCGAGCTGCCGTCTTCATTCTTGAGGCCATGTCAATCCATTAATGATTTCTGCCGCGTCATGCTGCTTTCGTTACAAATCTTCGAAGCATCCGGTGGTCAGGATCACCTGACATTCGTTCTTTGGCAGCTTTTTATATAGTTAGACAATTGCTTCCGATACCCAATCACATCTCACATCTCCTATTAATATGCCCTAGCGTGGAAGTGGCTGACTTTCGAAGACATTCCTTTAATTTGGATCAGTATTCATTTGCCGTTCTAGAAAAATCATTGATATTTGTATCACTGAGATGTTTCAATAAATCAATTTGAAATGCGCTCTCTGTCTCCGATTTTTTTCCTGTTTTAGTTAGAATCTTGGGAGGTGTTGTTTTTTGCGAGTTGTCATTTTATCCGGCTCGAATCATAACATGGTCAGATCCATGAACATTACCTATTTCAGCACAGGGATAGGAACGACTATCTAGTACAGAACTCTTCCAACGGCGGTTATTTAAAATATAATCAATGTAAGGCCTTTTCATGAAAGTTTCATTTTTGCTGAGGTTTTTCATTTTTCAGGTGAAATATGTAAATGCTACTTATACTATTTCCCCATTTCCACCAACAGAAGTGGATAGGTTTATCATAGGTGATACTTTCAGTACTTCATTACTTGCTCGTTTAATTACTTGCTTTATACGCCTTGGTCGAAAAGATCTAGTTCCAGTAAGTTCCTTATTTATTAAAAAGAAAAAAAGAAAAAAAAAGATAAGTAATCACAGCACTTACCATTTTTGATCAGGCTTACTTCGGTGTGATGAGAAATTTTAATTGAGGGATCAATTAACGATAGAAGTGATCGTCAATACATCAATATTTTTTAAATTTTTTCCGGATATTTTCCGTTTGGGTTTTCAATATTTATAGGAAGGGTTTGTTTCCGTTAAGAAAAATTGGAATTTAACATATTACCATCGAATGAAAATGAATCTATAATAGTAAAAGTAGATATTATTTGTAATAAGCGGTTTTAATGGCTTTAATAAATGAAACGGCAGAAAAATACATAGTGAATACATGAATTCATATATTCTGAATTAATTTAAAATTAATATAAAATAAAATGTCTTTTAACAACATTTTCGATCTTATTTCGAAGAACAATTTAGTCCTATTGGTCATAAATTTTTTGTTGAAATTTTAGTTGTAATAATTTTTTAGTACTAAATGAATTGTTTTCAAGACGTTGATAGACAAGCTTTTGGAACGTACGCCGTGTTCAAGGGATGATTTATTTTATGTAGATATTGGTTGCGCTTATCAAGCAATGGATTGTATACCACATGCACAAAAATATGTGGAGCACTTGCTGAATCGAGATCATTTTAGAAATGTACCTGGCGTTTGGTTCATTTATGGTCAATTGCTCACTGTTAGCACTTCCGCTATTCAGTCAAAAATTTTTTTTATTTTAAAAACGTTAAAAATAAAAATTTTAGAGTAATTTTATGATAATTTTATGCAGTTTTCAATGCTATATTAAAATAGTTATTTAGTTATATCAATTTTTTATATTTTAGAATAAAATAGCAAAAACTCTTTAAAAATAATTTTAAAAAGTTGCTGATAGGTTCTTTTTAGGCTCGGAAGAAGCTAAAAGATGCATGTATTGCTTTTATGCACGTTATTGATTTACAACCATCGCACGTTGATGCACGGATTAATTTGTCAACAATACAACAACGTCTCGGAATGACAGAACAGGCTTTTGAAACTCTTAAAGATTATGATCTTGACACTGGAAGCTTTTTGCCGGTGAGGCTTTTATGTCATGTTGATAAATTTGACGTATAGTTTTTTTTTTTTTTTTAAGCCACGGAAAAATTTCTTTATGTAAAATTTTTCTTCAGAGAAAAAAGTTGCTTTTTATTTATTTTATTTATTACTTTCCCATACTGTAGCAGCATTGCTAGCATCACTTATTTTTTATTTGATCCTTGTCTGTTATTAAGTCTGTTATTAATGTTGCTGTCTTTTATATATTTTTTTAGTTATGTATTTTTCTGCAGGATGAGCGTTTGCTAATAAGGCAAGCTGATTTTCTTTTCAAGCAAAAACGCATTGAGCAATTTGTGAAATGTGTTCGAATGTTGCTTGCGCCTCATTTTTATGTGGTCTATAAGGAACTTCCAATTCGGAGAAGGTGGATGACACTTGGAGTTGGGAAGCCTGGTTTCGGATTAATTTTTAAATAATTTTATCATTCTTTTTTATTCATCAGTTTTAAACTTTTTTATTTACTTCCGGAAAAATTTTGTTTAAATTCTATTGTTAATAAATTCTAATGAATTTTTTTTTATTGTTCTTTATTGGATAAGCGAATGTTTTTGATCACTGTTGCTGCAAAATTCATTTAAAAATGATTGAAACTTTTTTTACTTAGGTTAATGCCTCATAATTTAGGTACATTTTCATGTAATGGGTTGCGTAGGACTTCTCTAAATGCAGTGCGAGGTAGTCAACTGGAAAAATATGTGAAGCGATTGGGATCTTTAGCTGTCGCTGAACAACGGCCCTTAAATGATATGACAGACGTCCAGGTGATTTTGGATATTTTGGCATATGCATGGTTAAAATTTTTCTTTGTTCTTTGAAGAAAATTTACAGTTCCTAATTTATAGTCCCATTTAACTCACTGCTGTTTTGCAATTCAAGCTTTCAGATGCATGATTATAGTGTGAAGTTGATAGAAACACTATTAAATGAAAATCGATTTATTGAAGCATTACAAGTGTGTTGCTATACTTTCCTCCACCCAGCAATAAATAAAAGTTACCAGTATGTTTTCTTGCCACTGAAATTAATTCTATTTCTTATCATAGTTTGCAATTTCCTGATTCTATTTAATCATAAATTAATCTAATAACTAGAGTTAATTCTAGAACCTTCGAAACTTTCCAATGCTTACTACTTTATTGTTCATTCAAAGCAAAAAGTTGGAACCTAGCATTTGAACATATGCGTTGGCTTTATACTTCATCCATGGTTCGTCCTTTAATTTTTGTTATAGCTAATGTTAATTTGGATAAGCGCGAGCGTTTTATAATTTAATCGCTCATCACTGAAATAATCCAAGGTAATGATGGTGTATAAGATTATCAAAGACCTCCTTATAGGGCAGGGCGAGTTCTCTGCGACTAAAAGAACGACGATGCTCTATCTGTCATCACCAACTTTTCATAGCTTCTCGAGCTATATGTTTGTAATTGCGAGCGAGCTGCAAACAAAGCTAGCAATAATCTTCGTTATTCAGAAGCTTAAGGCCAATAAAAGTATTTGGACTGAATTCTTCAAACGCCCTTCACAACTCATCTTCAAAGGACATATTGGTATGGAAGAAAGTAATACCAAATGACTGGAGTAAAGTAATCTTTCCAGTCTCTAAGAAGAGTGATAGAATATGCTGTATATGTAATTATTCTTTGACAAGGTAAGGTTTTAGAACGTGTTTATTGGTTTTGCCTCTGCTTTTAATTCAGTTGATGGAATCGCGTTGTAGAAAATGATGGAATGCGGCGTTCTTCCAGAAATCATTTGGCTTGTAAAGGTATTTTACCAGCATACATGGCATAAACGAATTGATATAGATCTTTTCCTCTACAATATTCAATTATGCGATTGATCGGTTATGAACACTTGCTCACTCGCGTTAAGAGGTCTAGAGCATAGTATCTTAATATCTTGAATACGCTTGTAATATATTTTTGCTGACAATTATGAAGAAATGCAAGGGATGCTAAATGATACATCGGCGCAAGTACAACAAAAATCGAGCTCAAGTTCAAAGCAAACAAATAAGATGGAAGTCTTTTCGTCTTACGTACCACATGTTATAAAAATGCCTATTTTTATCAGTTCATCACGAGTTGAACTTTTTACCTTAAAAATGGTTAATTGTAAACGTCTTGGATCTATCATTCAACCAAATGGCCAAGCAAAAGACGATATTTTAGCCCTGATAACCGCAAGTATGTTCTTTCAAAACATCTAGAATCGCTGCGAAATCACCATCAAAATGAACTCCTCATCTATTTGGCTGTAACATATGCCATCCTGTCATACAGCTGACCAATGAGAGTGGAAAAATATTAAGAAGCTACCTACCTTTCACTCATATACTTACGCCTGAGGCACATTTTATATGTCTATCGAATGGATAAAATTGGATATGATTTCACTTTTGCTCATATACATCGCTTTGTTAGGCCATACACTTCGATGTTCCTTGTAGGAATTGGCCCAAATCTTGCTATTTGCTAAGCCCTGCGATAGATGACGTCGAAAGTAAGGCCAATGGAAGCCTGAATTAATACACGAAGTCATTTTTTTAAAATGAAAAGATTTTGAGGCCGTCCAGCTATGTATAAAGCTCAAACGATGAAAAAAACTGGCTTTTTAAATCCCAAGCATCGAATGTGGCTCAGATCTAAATAGTAACCAGTTGTCTGGAGCAGATAATGAATCACTCGTAATATCGTATTGTATCAGTTATCAATTTCTTTTTAGTAATAATCGGTATCATATTGTTAGGTTATTATCCCGTTTTATTTCAAGCGGTCGTAATATATCGATGGTTTATTATAAATTATTAATCTAAAATTTAGAAAGAAATAGAAGAAAATTTTTTTCGTTAAAAATGGTGAGTCTCTTAGAAAAAGGATTTATATTCATTTTTTCAGAGCAATGATCGTCTTATTTCATCTGCTGATCGTGATCTTTTATTCGTTCGTATATTTAATGCTATGAATTATATTTTCTGCCATTCTCAAAATGTTTCTTATCACCGTTATATAATGCGGTCATTGTCAAAAATTCCCGGGAATATTGCTTTGCAGATGATTTCTGGAAACAATTCTCTCGTAACAGGAGCATATCGTCATGCCTTAGGTGATTTTTTGCCAAACTTATTATGGTAATTACTATATTTCCTATTCAAATATAAAATCTGTTTTTTAAAATAGATATTTCCGAAATCGTTTTTATCTTTAAATATTTTTTATTAATTTAGAGTACAGAATACTTTATTTTTTCTACAGAATACTTTATTTTTTTAATATTTATATCATTTAATATAATGTTTTATTTTAAATCATAGTATATAAATATTTTTTTCGATCGAATCATTCTAACTGTTATTGTTGAGGTGAATATCTTCGAGTGTGGTTTCAAGTACCTGATAATCCTTTGGTTTGTCTTCTTATCGCTTTGACATTCTCGCATATGGCTTGTAAAAAAGATATTGCTAGTCGTCATATGATTTTGTTAAGGGTATATTATAATTTCAGTTGTTCACTTGTTGTTCACTTCCTTTATTCTTCGTTTCATTCTGATATTTTCTACAACTATTTTTGTGGTTTTTTTTATTGGTAATTATAGGCATACGCATTTATGAGTCGCTATGAAAAGTTGCGTGGGATACCACAAGAATCGTACTATAATATTGCGAGAATGTTTCATCAGATAAATTTTCTTCATGTTGCTATGTATTTCTATGAAAAATGTTTAGAGGTATGTTAATTGCTAATTATTAAAGTGTTATAAATTATTTTATAAATAGCGATTCTTGAAAATTGTTTTTTATAGAATTTTTTTTATAGAAATAAGATAGAACCTTAGTGAATTAGATTGTATTCAAATATCCCTTATAGATTTATTAATATTTTAGGGCACATATTATATATGGAATGCAATATTATTGAAATTTCAGACAGAAGTGGTGCGGATGGCAGTTGTGAACAATGAAACGTACGAAGATGAAGTTGTAGTGGCTAACTGTTACGATTTACGTCCGTTGGCTGCACATAATCTTGCTTTGATATATGAAAAGAGTGGGAATACAGCAATGGCTCGATATATAAAGAGAAAATATATCACCGTTTAGTTTAGTTTAAAAAATTCGCTGACAAATTTATTTGCTGACCAAACTTGTGTACTCTTGTAAAATATAGAACTTTGTTTGTTGCCTAAGGCGAATGACCTGATAGTTCTCGTATTGTTCAATTTTTATGAATTTTAATTTTATTTAGAATCAGAATAGAATAATATTTTTTATTGTAACTTTTTAATTCCATATAATTTAAATAATTTATCTAAATTTTAATGTTCCTGTCATTCATTGCTTTTTATTTTATTTTCATTTCTTCATTTAATCCAAAAATGTTAGCATGGTTTACTGTAACTTTTTGTTATATATCACTAATGTTCCATAAAAATATCAAATTGATTATCTGCCCAGTCGCGTTGAAGATCATTGATATCCTTACCATACATATTTCGCGAAAAATCTTCTAAAAACCTCCCTATGTTTATGTTTGTTTTAATTTTCCCTAACACATCGAAGGCAGCCTTTTGGTATATAATAATCCATTTTACATTCTTCGGCCATAATCTCTTGTGTATTGCCTTAAATCCTTTCGCAAATCTTGTTTTGATCCTTACAGCATTCGCCGCCATTTTTCATCTATCGCAATTATCCCAAGAAAATGCCAAGCATGAAGGAATGATGGAAATTTTTAGAGAAATTTTTTTAAGAGCAGTTATCATCACTGGTTAGACTTATTCTGTTGGCTTGTTGCACTAGACAGATATGCCAGGAGACAGATATGTACCTTGGCAGGTGAGTTGCCACCATCAACAGATTTTGGACACGTTTACTCATGAAGGCATTGCTCAGATCGCCGAATTGAGCAACCCACTGAGTCATTCTATTCTGTTTTATTTTATGTTAGACGATACTGGCGCTAGAAGAAAAGTGGTGCGTTGGGCCCAATTGTCCGTTCTTGGTGGGAATTATCATACCATCGGGCTACCGACATGTTTTGGAGAAATCTATAAAAAGGTGATTGGCTTCCATTCTATAAACACAACAATATCACTTGTAAATTATTAACCCATAACTGATCATCTTTTTGCAGTTCGTTATAAATTTGCTTATGTCATTTTTAGTCAACAACAAAGAATCGTGGAATATACTTTCAAAGGAAATATTCTAAATATCCCTCCTTTGTATGTTTGTTTTTTGTTTTATACATTTTAGCAGATTATGTACAGTCATTCGTCATGTTTTTTCGTATAAATGATCAGTTAAAAAAGTGAAAAGCTGTGATCACAGTTTTTTGCAAATTTCTGTAATAATATGCAAGTTGAGATTTATTTCTGATAATTGTTGCTTTTTTAGCGCAAAATAGAGAAACAAAACGATGTTTGTTCTGGCTGTCATGGAAGATAACATAAGGGTGAAGCCGCATCAATTCGGCGAACTTTTCGAACAGGTGATTTCATAAGGCTTCGCTTTAATTTCCATGAGTTTAATTTTTATTTAGGTAGTCAGAAAACAGCTTAACCAACGATTCGCAAATAAAATAGTCCCTGGCCTTGGGCTTTGCATAGCGGTCCACGATTTTATAGAAGTGGGTGCCTCATTCATTCTTCCTAGTGATGGCAGTTCACATACTCGCGTGAAGGTTAGGTTTACGTGTGCTGTTTACTTATTTATTCGTACTATTCTCAGATTTCTAATATTTAAATGGCAGGTTGGCTCTGATTGATTTTATTTTTCATATATTTTTACGATTAATACTTGGCCCAGAATTAATCGCTTGCTTAATCATTTGTTTCAGTTTCGATTCATCGTTTTCAAACCATTTGTCGACGAAATAATAGAAGCTGTTGTTGCCTCAAGCAATAGTAAAGGGCTTACGTTGTCATTGACATTTTTCGATGATATTTTCGTTCCCGCCGAACGACTTCCGCAAACTTCAGTTTTCGAAGAGAATGAACAAGTAAATTGGTTCATTTGTGTAATTTTTATATTAGCTTAAATATTTTTTGTACATAGATTAATTGAAAAAGTGCGAAGAATATATAAAAAAGAATGTAAGAAACTTGCAGATTTGGTACTGGGAATATCGATCAGATGAAGATGAACCCCCAGCTAAATTATATATGGACCCAGGGAAAAGAATTAGGTTTCGCGTTGTCGAGAACATTTTCAAGTTGATTTTCTATTTTTTTAAAATCAAGTTATTAATTATTTATGTGTGTTTTTTGTTTATGCATTCCTGTTTTTCATTGAAAATGTAAAATATTTGATTTTATATTTGATTTCTTGAAATTTCAGTTTTTCAGTTTTATTATTTTATTTTTTCTTTAAAAATGAGTATAATTTTGGCATTATCATATTTTTTAAGAGATATTGATCCTGGTCTTGCACCGGAAGAAGCAATGAAAGAAAAATCATATCAAATAATTGGCTCAATGGCGGAATCAGGCTTAGGTTGTGTGCAGTGGTGGGCACCGGCAGAGGAGGCTTTTTATGAGAAAGATGATGATGAAGAAGATCAAGAAACAGATTAATGTCCTATAAATTTTCCATATTATCTTTAATCTTCATCTTCATCTATATTTATTCGTCTTGAGTGAATGAATCTATATTTATCTATATTTATTCTGTTTAAAAGTCATATTTTTTTTCCACTTAATTAATTTTTCGTTAATTTCGATTTCAGTTTTGCAGAAATTTAGTGGGAAAAGCAGTATTTTGCAATAGTTTTAAAATCTATTTGGTGTCTGGCTTAAAGGAAAAAGATAAATAATAAATATAAATATCTTGTCTTATTATCAAGAAAGCGGTTTAAACCTCCCTCCAAATTTCTCGCATATTTTGAGATCTGCTAATCGAGAATAATCTATAGTTTGATTTGTATGGAAAAAAATCATTCCGATAGATGTGTTATTTCGACAATGGAAATATTTTTAATTTTAATCACTTCAAAAAATAAAATTTCCACAGCTATTATGTTATTACATGGTGATATTTAAATATTTTCATGCATATTCACCCACAAGCCATATTTAATAATTGAACCAATAATTGAAACTACTCTTCAGTCGACTAATCGGAATCTTTCTGAATGGGTCTTCCTGGAATATCTATAGAATATTTGCTAGCACCGAGAATCCAAAATTCGAATAATAAATTAGCATCGATTCCTTGAATAAATTTGGAAAGCTTATCATAACCGTTTGCTAGATCCAATTAGGCAACTGAAACAATATAAATACGGTAGTATAAGTCAGTGGATACGAACCACTCATAAAGATTGAGCGTCTATTTGTTTTAGTTATATGACTCAAAGTAGTTGTATTGGTTCTTTTTGATGCATATTAATGGTATGCATGAGGCATGCGTTTCTAAATATCTCACATAAAATTTAAAATTTATCTGATGATGAAATTACCTTTCACATGCTAAATCAAAAAATTTCAACGATCCCCGGAATGCTTTGTATAATTTAATTATATTCTGGGAAATTAAATTATCTGCTGGTAATTCAAAATCTATTGATAAGGTGGAAACTAAATAAATGCCCAGAAATGCTAATTATTCTGGTCTTCTGTCATTATAAAGTGGCCGTTTCATTTCTTGAAATCATTCAGATTCAGATCATTCAGATCTTGAGTTGAGTTAAGTTTAATCTGTATTCTTCACTGTAGCACTTTAAAATTCATCCATAGAATCGTCAAATAAGTCGATTGCCCATCAATATGAAACTAGTTTACTTTTTACTGGCAAAATAATTCCTTAATTGATTATAAATCCGTATAATATTAAACCAGAATCGGAAGAATTCGACAAGGTCTCTCTGCGCGCAGAAAATTCCCTTTTATCACTTTTATCAATTCGAATTGCGTTAAAGAATTTCGCGGAAAGTGAGTGCTGGCAGATATTGTGGAGTGAAGTAAACCGACTTGTAAATAACACTTATTCCTTTATTTCTATTTCATTTCATATTTCTTCATTTTATTATTGGAATTGAATTGAAATTGACTAGCGATATATGTTTTTAGTTTTAAAAATAATTTTAATAATATTATCGGCAAATTAACTAAAATTGATATAACAATTCTTTGTTCAAGAATTTCGCTTCACCACTGCTGCTTAGATCAGCTCGGAGAGACAAATGCTGCTAGAGAGTCGCGAGCAAAAGAAGAAGATGGGTCGCCGAATACCGGACTTTCGAAGGACAGATTTTACTTCTGCCAGAAGTAGAATCCTAGTATTGGTGCTCCAGGCTAATCAACAACCCATCCATCCATCCATCCTACCTTCTTTCGGCGACATCGGCGCGCGATGAATGCACTACCTCCTGGATTCAAACACTAGCCATTCTCGATTCTTGGCGGCAATAATCTTTCCATTAAGCCATCTAACTGGTTTCTTTATAATTTTTTGGTCTGTTTAGTGCTATTTAAAATCTAATTTGAAATATTTAATATTTAAAATCCACATAATATTCAAAATTTAATATTTAAAATTGCATAATATTTAAAATCCAAACGTATGGCATTTATGGCATTTCTCAAGTTCAGTAAATTCAATTGCAGAGTTGTAATTAAACGGAATAAATTACCAGAGGAAGGAGATCGTTTAAGAAAATTTTTTTTTATGAAATTTTTCAAAAAAACGGTTTGCAATTTATTTATTTTGTTATTTCATTGGAGAATTTTTTAAATATTATTTTACATTTCTAAATATACAACATTTTTTTTATAAACGACGAATGCAAAAAATATTTTAAATTCGCCAGTGAAATTTTTCTAATATTTTAATTAATTTATTTTATAAAAGTTTTGCGAAGTAAAATTTCAATTTGAGAAAATCCAATTTGGAATGATTTCGCGTTCTTTTAAATAAGTAATAAACGAATAAACGAATTTAATAAACGAATTTAGAATATTGTTTGTGGGCGAATTTGCTCGAAAATCTTTAATAATCACAATGTAATAGTTACAAACGATTGTGGAACATTACGAATTGTGAGATCATTAAAAGATATTTTCGAAAAAACACATCTATCAGGGTTTCCATATGAATAAGTCAGTTTAGATCAGCGGTTCTCAAAGTGGGGTTCACAGGTATCCCCAAGGGCATTTTAAGGAAATCCATTCCGTTTAGGTTTTTTTGATTTAATTTTATATTTTTTGTTTTATAGCCAGATTTACAAAAATGTAGTAAAACATGGCACCACATTTCTCACAGAATTTTCTTCATTCTTTTTCAAAGAAAAAATATTTTAATAAAAAAATTGTTTGTGTTGCGAGATAAGTTTTTAATTGCTTGGATTATTTTTAAATTATTTAATGAACGAATATTTCCAAGTTATAATTTTCTTCGTTAAATATCGATAGAAGTTATAAGCCCATATAAACAAAAGATTTTCGAAATTCCTCATGTTTCCAATGAGTTTTAAGAGTGTGGAAAAGTCCCGAAAGGTCCAAAAAGTTTGAGAACCACTGACAGTCCAATAATTTAGTGTTTGAATGCAAGAAACGACTTTCACTATATATCTCTCTTAATTTATTGGATAAATTCTAAGGCAGTACTAGGACATAATACGATTACAGTATCTATTTAAAATTTTATTTACCCACTTCCCATTAAAGGCTGTTTCTCTTAAGGCTTGGCTATCGTAATTGCTAGGAGCGGTCAGATCTAAAAGTGAGAAATAAATGAATAAATTCAATTGAAAACAGGATAAAATTTACAAATTTTACGTTGAGTATCAGCCTCGAAATTTATATTTAATTTTATTCCATCTATTATCAGCCTGTTTTCTTATCATTCTATTAGCCAATTGCTTAGCTTCATTCATATTTTTTGATAAATAATTAAAATAATGAATTAAATTCCAAAATAAGCTGAGATTCAACTGTAGAGATGATTTTAGCGAGAGATTCCACATACAAAATTCTGAAATCAGAGGTACAATGCAACTGTTCGTAAATGGAACGTGCAGTATCAATTCTACTGGAGCGATAAAAAATTCTAAAAGCATAGGCTAAACAAAAAATGCTACAAATTGAAACTCTAACAAAAAAAGTAAGATAACAAAAAAAGCAAATTTGTAAGTCATTTAAACAATTTTAAAACAGTGGCATGTGGTACTTAAAAATTTTTTGAGCAAAATCGGAAAAAAGCAATAAAATAAGAAAAGCTTTCAATCTTTGAAAAACTTCAGTATATAGAGAAATATTAGACGAATATTTCTGTTATTCCTGAATAGTTTTTTAGATGAAAAAACAATGAAAATATCATAAAAAACTTGAAACAATAAAAACGGATCCTTCGAAAATTATTTTCATATGAAAATTAATCATTGAAGAGATAAAAAAAATATTTGTAAAGATTGACAATGTCCGAAAATTTCGCTAATTTCAATTAAATTAATTAATTAACTTTAATTCTGTTTAATAGCATTCATTTCACTTAACTATGAGTTAATGAAAGTGGCTCTCGTGAGAGAATCAATCTTTAACGATAGAAGTACAGATGTGTCCCCTTCGAAATAATTAATTATTTAATTAGTTTTTAAATAATTTAACGAAAACGATACATAAAACAAGTTATTTGGAAACAAAATGCTAACGATGACAAATGAATGAAAAGTGGAAAAAATGTTAAAAATAAGAGGCCCAAGAAAATATGGAATACTGACCAGTTTTTTAAGCTCTTCGGCTTTCACAAAACAATTTCTAAATGTTGTTCAATTTCTAAACGTTCCACCGCCTTTTGCTTGTAAAAATTTCATCAGAATAGTCCCTAAATCGAGCCAAGCGATTCGTTTTTTGATGGATTTTCAGATGTTTCACCTTATTCAGTGGTCGACGAGTTATGTAATCCACTGCAACACCTTCTAAGGCATAATCGTAATCGTCACGAATTTTCACATTATCTATAAATGCATGGAACTTCTTTAAAGACCCTTCTAGAATATTGGTGAAAGACGTCCATTTTTCTTTTTTTAAATTTATAAAGACTGAAACGTTTCTTAAATTTCGAAGCCATTAAAAAATGTGTATTTATTTCAATCTATTTTATAGTTTAACATGTAGATTGAATAAAAAATAAACGAAATAAGTGCTTGAAAAATCACGCAAAATCACTCATTTACCACGTTTATAAAAATCACATTTTGCTTATTAGTAGTGCCATAATGGTACTGCAAAATTTTTTAGGCGCTAATTGCATATTTTATCTTATTGTTATCGCTAAATATCTATTGCCATTCACACCCGTTTTATGGGACCATCTGCATTTTTGATTTAAGCCAGTAAAAAGTTACCTATAGTTGATGGAATATTTTGACTTTCATCGTTGATATAAGATATGATTAAGGTGATAAAATCATTTTCAAGATGAAAATAAAACAAACCGAAAAAATTTTTTTGAATCGGTTGCATCATTACATGCGCTATACATAGCAAAACGAAGAATGAAAATAAAAACATCGTTGGATACTTTGAGTATTGTTGAACTGAAGAAATTATGGCAGAATATGATAAAATGATTTCTG